GGGAGGGAGTGAGTGAGACGCGTCAATCGGTGAGCTCGGCGCTGTGGCCGGCGAGACGCAGGAGGCCGTCATCGGCAGAGGCCTCGGAATCGAATTCGTAGATCCGTTCGTCCTGCTTGAAGCCGCCATAGACGAGCTCGCCCGCGCATCGGACGACGGGCAGGCGGTGGCACTCGGCCAGATGTGCGAGAATAGCAGCGAGTCCTTGCTTGGACTGCGTGCAGTACGGCACGTTGCACCCGTACGTCTTGGACCGCACCAGTCGCCACTTGGACCTCTTGCTGCAGCTGGGGTCGGCCACCGAAGTGTCGGTGAGCAGATTGCAGATTTGGCGCTGCCAGCGGTCGCGTCTGCTGTAGACAGCCCTGCCGACGTTGAGAGGCATGTAGTACACCATGTCGAGGATGGTAGTTGCGTTGGAGAGGCAGTAGTGGAGCTCGAAGTCGGCCAAGGTCAAGGGCCGCAGACGGGTGGCAAAGCAGGCCTCTCGACACTGCACCATTCAGCCTTGGAAGACGCGGTTGTCCCAATCGAGAATGGTTGCGGTCAAGGGAGGCCGACATGGCTACAGGAAGGATAGGGAGGGTCTTCCGGTGACGAACCTTGACATGATGTCGAATGGAACAACCGCGGCAACGAGACCCGTACACCACACAACCCGCCCGCTGGCCCTCGTTTGAATCTGCGACAATAGATCGCTTGCCTCCATGACGCATCTCGAGTCCGTCTCCTTCGTCGGTAGCTACCTTGCCGTCGCCGAGACGGAACGGCAGGGCCTCTGCCCGACCTGCGTCGAGCGCCGCGCCACCAACGAGCACGAGCTGGCCATCGCCAACATGGGCTACCGGGCCGCCGTCACAGCGTGCACGGATCAGGGCCTTGTCTACAAGCACCTGAGCCTAAGGCAGATGAAGGAGGCCCTCTTGCTCTACCAGCGTCGTCGCCAGGTGCCGTTCATGGCGATGAACAAGGCGCAGCTCGCGAAGATCTGCAGCTACGCTCGCTCGGCCTCGGCGGTGGCGGAGGGCGGTGAGCCGATCTCTTCCGACAATATGGACCATTGGGAGATGATCGAGTTCCTCACCTCCTTCTGTGGCTCGCCCTGCGCCCCGAACGGCATCCTCAACGACGCTTCGGACTGGGAGGAGGAGCCGGCCGATCAGGAGGAGGAGCAGCTGGCGTCGCTCGATCGCACGCCACTGGCGGACACCACCAACGCTGCAGCCTGGTCTTCGTCCACCTCGGCCGCGGCCGCCGCTCCTCGATACAAGTGGAGCCTCGACCAGGCCACCGCCAAGTACGAAGCGCTTCGAGCTGCCCTTCGCGCCGGCGTCGACATACGTGAGCAGCTCGACGGCAAGCCCATCAACACCGTCACGCCAGCGCAGCTGGCGAGGGACATTGCAGCCGTCCTCCGCAAGCCCTCCTTCCGGCCTGTTCCCGTGCCTCCTCTGCCTACGCAGCCGCTCGCGACGCCGAGCCAGCCTTCTGGCACGATCGAGGGCATCACTCCGCTCTCGCTGCGTTGCCACTCACTCGACCCGCAGCGCCAATGCTTCGTCGGCATCGGCCGACTGGGCCTGCTCTACACCCGCAACCAGTTCGCCAGCCTGAGCCACCAGCTGGAGCACATCATCGATCACACAGAGGAGGTCAACCCCGGCTTCCGACTCTGCTGGCTCTGCTCCAGCCGGTTCTGCACCAAGGAGGACGCCAAGCACGTCGAACAATGTGGAGAGGCCTACTTTTCCACCGGTCCGCGGCCCTTGACCTTGGCCGGCCTCGAGCTCCACTACTGCCTCTCCAACGCAACTACCATCCTCGACATGGTGTACTACATGCCTCTCAACGTCGACCGGACCGTCTACAGCAGACGCGACCGCTGGCAGCGGCAGATCTACAACCTCCTCACCGACACCTCGGTGACCCTCCCCGGCGGCCGATCCCGGCGGCAGCAAGAGGTCCAAGTGGCGACTGATGCAGTCCAAGACGTACGAGTGCATCGCGCCGTACCGTACCCAGTCCAGGCAAAGTTTTGCTTTCTTCCCGTCCGGCCGAATACTGCCGTCGACCCGTCGACCCGTCAACCGACGCTTCGGCAAGCTCGGCCCACAGCAGTTCCAAGAAAGACGACCTTCAACGAAGGCCTCCAGCACCTTCGTTCCCAGCGCAGAGCTCATTGATCGACGTGTTGCGTACGTCGGCAACCTGCACATCAACGCATTGCACTGTGTTCGTCTTGAACTGCGATCGATTGACTTCTTCTTGCACGGATTGAATCATTCGCCGACATCAGAAGATGAAGTTTTCCTGCAATTCGCACGCTCGGCAGACTTGACTGCCCGTCTATCCTTCTCAAGACCAATGCGACCGACGGCCCTTGCTCGCGGTGCCGCTGAAAGTCTGCTCACGCGATGCTATATCCACCTTCAACTTGAAGGCTGTGTGGGCGACGGTCCTGTCAAACTTCCCAAACAACAATGAATTCCGACATATGCTACGCTACAACAACAGACCTTGCCTGTTTGCGCTCAGAGACGGGCAGCCTGGCCAGTGAGGAGCTGGTTGCCGTTCCTGAGCACGGCGACGGCCTCGTTGACCATGTCGTCGACGATTTCCTTGGCGGGCTTGATATCGTCGATGACCGACGCACACTTGCCGAGGAGGAAGCGCTGACGAGCCTGTGCCTCCTTCGAGCCCTCCTCGTCGTCGTTCTCGAGGTCGTGGTAGACGGGGATGACACCCTTGTCCGTGAGCTTCTTGATCTCGTCCGGGCGCGACTCCCAGTCCATAATGTAGGGCGTCTTGAAGAGACGCAGCGGACGACCGGTGAAGATGATGGTGCGGATGTCGGTCTCGTGCGTCGACTTGAGCACGGCCTCCTTGTGCGCCTTGGGGGCGCCGGACTCCTTGGAGGCGACGAATCGGGTGCCGACCCAGACACCGTCGGCGCCGTAGCAAAGCGAGGCAGCGAGACCGCGGCCGTTGTAGATACCACCGGCAGCCACCGTGATGATGGGCTTGCCGGTCAGCGGGCTCTTGCGGCCACGGCAGATGTCGACGACGCGGGGAGCAATGATGGAGAGAGGCACGTCGCCAGTGTGTCCGCCGCCCTCGCCACCCTGGAAGATGACCATGTCGACACCGGCCTCGAGGACCTTGGGTGCGTGCTTGGGGTGACCAATGATGCCGGCCACCATGATCTTGGCACCGTGCAGCTTCTTGACCACCTCGACGGGGGGAACACCGACGGCGGAAACGAAAAGCTTGGCGCCCGACTCGATGATGATGTCGATGAGCTCGGGGAGCTGTCCGTTTGTGTAGTCGGTGTTGGTCTTTCGTGCACCACCGCCGACCTTGGGCAGGAGAAGATCGACGCCGAATGGAGCATTCTTGTCAGTGAGATGGCTCTTGAGCTCTTCCACCTGTTGGCGCAGGAATTTGGGGGTATAGCCGACTCCTCCGATTACACCGATACCACCCGCATTGCTGACGGCGGCGGCGAGCTCGGGACCGGCAGCGACGTTCCTATGAAGACAATGGATGCAGAGAAATGAAAAAAAAAGTGTCAGAGAATATTGCATGGTGGCGACGGGGAGGGGCGACGCGTCACTTACATGCCGGCGAGCATGATGGGGTGCTTGAGGCCGAAAGCCTCGGTGAGAGGGGTCTTGATCTGCTGTGGGGAGGCCATTTTTGGATGATGAGGGGATATCTGTGGACAAGCAAAGGTATCGTGGAAGAAGGAAGGAGAGGGGTGGGGGAAGCCAGTGGCGTGTAAGCTAGAGCCAACAATGAATGCGGGGTAAGTGGCTGCCAGCTCAACGCGGCATCGGGCTGCGCGGTTGGACCAAGGGTCTACGGACTCAGCTTGCGGTTGCCACCGGTGGAAGCTTACAGCTGTCCCAAGCTGCGCTGGCCTTCTTCCAGGGTGCGAGCGAGGCGTGCGCTGTGTGTGCTGCGTGCGGTTTCTGTGTGTGTCACTTTCGCCTGCTGTAAGCGCGCTTGGTCGGCAAAGCCTTTCCGCCACTTACCGGAAGCCATCTAGCCGGTCGACCGGCGCAGCGGCAGGGTGAATGCGAAGAATCCTCCGAGAATTGCTCACGCGCGACCTTTCCCGCACGATAACATTTTGATGCATGTGCGGAAGCGGAAGGCGGATGCGGACCCTGAGCCTCCACAAGGTCAGTTCTCCGCTCCTACGAAAGTTAGAAGAGTCGATTCTTCAGCCTCACTCCTCGACCCTCACCACCACACCTCAGCACGACACCGCTCTCGGTGAAGCTCACCGGTGTCATGTCATCGAGCGCAGAAGCGACTGCGGAAGAAGCAGCGGCTCTGATCGAGGCAAACTTCGTCGGGCGCACCAGCATCGTCCACATCCCCGACGGCCGTGCTTTTTGCGGCACTTTCCTGTGCGTTGACTCGGGCAGCAACATCATCCTGTCCGACACCGATGAGCTCAGGCTCACGTCATCCGGAGGCACTTCCTCGCGCAACGTGGGCATGGTTATGATTCCGGGCAACTGCGTCGTCAAGATCGAGGTTCAGCGCGACCTTCCGCAACACGCAGCTCCAACGTCGGAGCAGGCACCATTGTCGGGCTCCATGGCTCAAGCAGGATGGCCCGATGACGACTCAATGTACGCTTGACAATGCATGCACTAGTGGTTTAGCAAGAAGACCCCATCAACTACCCTAGAACACCGGTCAAACAGCCGGGTCGCCAGCGAATCGAGCTGGACAACCTGGTCATCACCGTCGTTGTCAGCTGTGAACTCGAGCATCGGCTTCAGCAAAGCCAGCAGCGATTCAAGCAAGTCGTATCGTATCGCGTGCATGGCATCCTCCATGTCGATTGACAGCATGACCTGCAAGCACGAGCCGAAAACTGTGTCGATGCCGGTCGCAAATTGCTCGGCCTCACCATCGGGAGCTAGTTCTCTGCTGTATCTGAGCTCCCGCCCGAGCTTGTCAACGATGGTCTCGGCCATCTCACCTGCTGCGTTGAAGGAGAACGTGCTGCCGCGTGCTAGCAATCGCTCGAGGATTCCAGCAACGATCTTGAACTCGCCCTCAAGGCTGTGCCAAAGGACATCAGTCAAGAGCTGTGCGAAACGAAGGCTGAGCGGCGCTTCATCTGTCGCTTCCTCGTCCCAGTCGATTTCTGCAAGGGCGTCGACGCAGATCCCCAGGATTGCCAGAGCTGTCGGCCGCGCTTCTCCCAGCGGCGATGCAGATGCCGAGGCTGCTTCGAGGCTCTCTACAAGCCTGCCTGCGACGTTTTTCACGGCTCCACGGACATCCTCGCCGGCGTGAAGCGCAGCGATCGTGTCCAGCAATTTGTACGTCCAATCGCAAGGGCCTCCCCAAAACCACACATCGCCGACAAGCTCTCTGTCGAGCGAGTATCGCTCGTCTTCTGTCGCAGCCTCCAGCCAACCGCGCGCGGCGTCGACCGTATGGCATGCATCAATGGAGGGCCCGGCTTGATTGACGCATGCAAGAAGATCAGCATCAGCTGTCTCTCACCCTGCCACAGCGTGTCCAAACTCACCGTCTCGCCACTGCGCGACGAGCACGAAAAAGGCTCGGTAGACGCCCAGCGAAAAAGGCAGCGGCCCACAAGGGAAGGAACCGAGCGAAAGCAGGAAGCAAGACACTTCTTTGCCCAGTGCTTGCCTCTGCTCAAGTGTCTGAACCTCGACGCCATCTCTCTCTCCCAGCACCATCTGCAACATGCAGAATCGGTCAGTCAGTTCATCTTCCTAATCTTCGCAATGTTCAACAAGCGCGACTGGCAAAGGCTCTCACCACTGCGGCTCGGACGAGCTGATCTGCCATCATGACTGCGGATCGAAGGATATGGGCAGCACATTGGAACAGTGCCGTGAGCTTGTGGCATTATATGTGCCCGACTGAAGAGCACTTCTTGGCGCAAGACAGCGCGTGCGCGCCCCGAAAAGCGATACCTCGACACTGAGAGCAGCCGCATCGGTGGTCCCGTGTGTTGCGGTATCGCAGTCTCGTCGGAGCAGCCGAAGGTTGGGAGCTTGCAGATCTTGAATCGGCACATCCGACCAAACGGGACGAATCGATACCACGGTCGGAGGCTCGACAATGTTCCCGCAAAAAATGCCGGGCCACCCGGCTACTGAGAAGTTCGGTGGTCAACGCGGCCACCCAGCCTCGGCTATCTCCGGTAATGTACTTCTGCAGGGGCCACCTACACCATTCCGCAATACCTGGAGCGGGCCAACACTACCGCACACCTCTTAAGCTCGCGCCACCAACACCCGCGCATCGCCGTCACAAGAGGCATCTGTTCTGAAACCATGACGAGCGCAACCATTTCAACGAGCGACGAAGTGATCCTGTGCTGCGTGCAGGACACGCCCGTGTCTTTCGACTTGCAGGCTTCGCTCGACAAGCTGTCCAAGCTGGCACGCGAGGCGACCACCAAGGCGCGGGCGCTCGCGTCATCGCCCTCGGTGCCCATCGTAGTGCTCTTCCCCGAGGCGTTCCTGAGTGCCTATCCGCGTGGGCTCGATTTTGGCGCCAAGATCGGCTCGCGCACTCCCGAAGGCCGCACATGGTTCGGGCGCTACCACGCGTCTTCGGTGCCGGTCTGCGATACCGAAGGCGCAGAGATGCGCGCTATCCGCAACGTCGCCAAAGAGAACGGCATCACGCTTGTGGTGGGCGTGATCGAGCGATGCGATCGCCCCGAGACGGGAAAGAAGCGCGCCGAGTACGGAAGCAAGGTCGTCGGCGGCACCGGGTCCATCTACTGCACCGCACTGACGATCTCCGAGACGGGCGAGGTGCTTGCATCGCACCGCAAGCTCATGCCGACAGGAACAGAGCGTCTCGTGTGGGGTCAAGGAGATGGACAAGGTATCAAGGTCGTACCTACTCCTGCTGGCAACGTTGGAGCCGTCATCTGCTGGGAGGTAAATACACCAGACCCAGAGAAAGTCATACGATTGCAGAAGCTCACGATTTGACCTCTCTCCGCATTGCTTGTTCGGGCATGCAGAACTACATGCCGTTGCTGCGAACGGCCATGTACGAGCGCGGGGTAGAAATCTACTGCGCGCCGACGGCGGACAGCCGACCGACGTGGACGTCGAGTATGCAGCACATCGCCATGGAGGGCCGTTGCTACGTGATCTCGTGCAACCAGTTCAACACGCGCTCCGACTTTCCTCACGACTACCCGGCGCTGCACGACCTGAAGCCGGACGACATTGTGACGCGCGGCGGAAGCGTGATCGTTGGCCCCCTGGGAGACATCCTCGCGGGCCCGCTGATGGACGAGGCGGGCATCCTGGTGGCCAAGGTCAGCAAGAGTGCACTGGTCGAGTCCAAGATGGACTTTGACGTTGCCGGACACTATGCGCGCAACGATGTGCTGCGATTGCACGTCAACGACGACTAGAGCAACTGAGCCTGTTGAGCACACTGTTGCCCGGCGTTTCTGCAAAATAGGAGTCCAAAGCCGATGGTGTTCCTGAACTGAATGCACCGAGGGTGTCATAGTCAACGCCACACAGTGCGAGGCAACAGCTGTGAGCGGACTTAAAGACCTTCCAGAAGGTTTTACGACCGAAGCAGCCAAAGCCACATGCAGGAGCAAAGGGCGGACCGTTATGCTCGCTGCACGTGGTGTCCAGCCTTGGCTTACGCCATTGCATCCACGGCTTGCTGCTTGGCAAGTGTGGTGGCCTCGGCAGGCTGGATTTTCCGTCGCCAGGGTCCGCGGAATTTCATCAAGGGCGGACGCTTGGATTTCCACTCTTTCCTCGGCCAGTACTCCAAAGAACGACACCATTAGGCCTTGTAGCTGCGCATCTTCTTGTGCAGGTTGAGATGGCAACAGAAGGTTGCTGCTGGGCTCGCTCGTTGTTGTCAGTCACGGCATGAGCCTAAGAAAGCAAGCGCAAGAGGGCAAGGCAACGGCGGTTGCGTTGAGCTCGGAATTCGGCGTGGGAGGTCGAGTTCCTGATCCAGAGGGACGCATCGGCGGCGCGCGGATGGGCTCGGCACCTTAGCTAAAAAGAGCAAGGGCGAAAGCAGCTGCAGCTGGCTGCATGATCTTCGCATGACATCCGATGTTCGCAGGCAGGAGTGTTTTAGTTTGCGCGAAAACCCAACTCAACTGCCTTTCGAGACTCGTCTAGCCCTGAGTCGACCGGCCATTTTTGCGCCGGATGCTACGAAAGCAGATGGACAAGCCCTAGCGTAGTTTGAAAGTCACGCCATGGCTCGCTCGACCTGACCGAGTGTGCCGAAAGCAGGGTCTTGCCCCGCTCAGCACAGGGTTCCGCCCTGGCAAAAACCAACGACCGGCGCTGCCTCCGAGTTCCGCTCGCTGGTGTATTCGCCAAGACAAAAAAGATATGGTGAGCAGCCGGTGCGTGACGCTGGTGTGCTTCCTGTGGCCGGCCGGACGGCAAGCACTGCCCCTGCAACCATCAACCCTGTACTCCGCCAGCCACCTCCTCCAGGCACGGCACCAGCGCCGTCCGCAGCCGAATTGCCTCGGAACCTTCCGATGCCTCTGGATGCGCGTTGCGTCTCGACCGCCTCCTCCAATCTTGCCTAGCCTAGCCTTGTCCGGCCCCCTTGCTCGCTTCACCCTGCTCCGACCAGCACATGGACATCTCCCACGCCTTATAAGACCATCCGGCGCTTGACCGTTTCGGCACCTCTCCGAGCCTTGCCTTTGTTCTCACGATCCCCGGCATACCGTCGTCACAAGGCGAGAATTACGGCGGCATGACCACATCGGCACAGCCGTCTCAGGCGCCCAGCGGCCAATCTTCGGCAGCCATCGCAACGCCGCGCAAGGATGAGCGCGAGTCGTCGTCAGCCTCGGATGTCTCGCTCCAACGCACGCGTTCGTCGGATGCGCCGAGCCTGTCGTCCTCTGCCATCCGATGGAATCAGTTCCGCGCGCTGACAAAGAAGAATTGGATCGTCTTGCGCTCGTATTGGCTGGTCAACCTGCTGCGATGCCTCATCATCCCCATCGCCTATTACGTCTTTCTCGGCGAGGCCAAGAACTTCTTCAACACCACCAACGACCTCGGCCTCGGACAGCCCGTGCCGGTGCGTCGTCTTTCGGACGACCTCCGCAACCCCGTCTACTGGCTCGATTCGCGCACCCAGACCGCCGACTCGCGCTTCTCCGCCCAGCAGGTTATCGATGTCGTGCTCGACTCGTTGCGGCCAGAACAACGCTCGCTCGTCAGGCAGGTCGACAGCGACTCGGACCTCGGCCTGGCGTGTCCGCAGGCATTCAACGGCCTCAGCTCCTGCTTCGGCGCCGTCGAGTTCTCCAACATCTCCGCCCAGGGCAGCGTCGCCTACACCCTGCGTCTCGATCCGGGCCTCAACCGCGTCAAGGTGAGCACCAACAGCGGCGATGCCGAGAAGCGCACCTTACCGCTCCAATTCGCCATCGACGCCGCCATCCTCCAGCTCAACGGCGCACCCGCCTCGGCGTACGCACAGCCACCGCTCGAGCAGCCGTATTCGCAGCAGACCAACGCACAACAGGCAGAGAGCCAACGCAGAGGCTTCCTCGGCGGCGTCGACCAGCTCACCGTGCTCGCCTTCTTCATCGGCATGCTTGGCGTCGTCTGGCATCTCCCTTCGTCCGTCTCCGAGGAGAGGGGCTCCGGCATGACCGCCCTGCTCACCACAATGGGCTGCGGTCAGCTTCCGCGTCTTCTCTCTTGGCTTTGCGGACCTGGTGCTTCCTACCTCCCGGCGTGGTTCGTCATGGGCGGGACACTCTCGGCGACGCTCTGGACGACGAGCAACAAGGCTCTCTGCATCTTTGCCCACGTCCTTCCCGGCCTTGCCATGGCAAGCTGGTCGCTCTTCGTCGCCACCTTCTTTGCGCGTGCCAACGTCTCAAGTATTATTACCACCGCCCTCGCCATCCTCTTTGCCATCGTAGCGCTCATCACCAAACACATCGGCGAGGGAGGCGGCATCATCATCGGCCTCCTCTTCCCCTCCGCCTCCTTCGTCTATGAATTCATCGCCATCTCGGCCTACGAGCACGAGGGTCTGCCAGCCGACGCCACTGCATCGCGCGACGGCATCAACAAGGGTCCCTCGATCCTCGGCCAGATCATCGTTCAGGTCATCGGCATCTTCCTCTTCCCCGCTCTCACCATCTTGCTCGAACGCAAGCTCTTCTTCTCTGAGCCCTTCTTCCAGTGGCTCTTCCGACGTCGTCGATCTCAACCGTCCGTCCCGCACCAGAACGGCCACAACTTCTCTGAGAAAGACATGTCGACAAGCAGTGCCACACCGGCGCTCAAAATCACAGACCTCACCAAGAAGTATGGCAAGAAGGACAGCAGCCTCGCCGTCGATGGCCTTGACCTTGAAGTCGCACGAGGAAGCATCACGTGCCTGTTGGGCTCCAACGGATCAGGCAAGTCGACGACGATTGGCATCGTCGGTGGCAACATCAGGAAGACGTCCGGTCAAGTCTACATCGACGGTTACGAGCGTGGAGCGGCTCCGCCTGGCATCATCGGTGTCTGCCCTCAAAAGGACGTACTGTACAACCAACTCACCTGCATGCAGCACGTCGAGCTCTTCCGCGCCATCAAGCACCGCCGCGGCTCCAAAGACGACCCCGAGGACCTGCTCACGCGATGCGAGCTTGCGCACAAGCTCAAGAGCAAGCCCTACGAGCTCTCAGGCGGTCAAAAGCGGCGACTGCAGACCGCCGCCGCGCTCGTGGGTCAGTCGACCTTCCTGATGTTCGATGAGGCCACATCGGGCCTCGACCCGCTTTCACGCCGTGCCATCTGGAAGATCCTGCTCAACGAACGAGGCAAGCGCTCCATTCTGCTCACCAGCCACTTCCTCGACGAGGCGGACCTGCTGGGTGATCACATCGTCATCCTCGCCGCTCCCGGTAAAAAGCTCTGCGAAGGAACGCCCATCGAGCTCAAGACCTCCTACGGCCAGGGAACCACCATCCACGTCTCGCCAAGGGGCCTCCAAGTACTCCCGCTGCTCAACGAGGTGGCTCCTGGCACCAGACCCATCGCGTCGATCGAGCCTGAACAGGACTCGTTCCTGCTCCCTTCGACAGACCAGGCTCTGGTGGCCAAGGTCCTGGAGGCGATTGAGTCGCGCAAGGAAGCACTGGGCGTGGACGGATACGATGTGGCCGGGCCGTCGCTCGAGAGTGTCTTCCTGACGCTCAACTCTGAGCATGCACGTCTCAACGGACGCCAGGAAGAGGTCGACGAGATGGAAGGCAACGTCGGCCACTGGAGCCGCGTCGATGCCGGCGCTCAATCCGGACTGTCCGACGGCTCGGTTTCGAGCATTCTGACTTTGAGCTTGGCGCAGTTTTCGAAGCGCATGGTGCTTTACCGTCGGATCTACCTGCCGGCCATCTTTGCGATCCTCGTTGCGGTCCTCGGCTCAATCGTGCCCCTCGCATTCTTCTCGGACCGCGATCCATCGTGCACTCGAGGCTTTGCGGATCGCGAACTGAGCTTCCGCGCCACGTTCTGGGGCAACGCATCGGCAGCTACCGAGCTGCTCTATGCCGCACCCGAGGCCAACGCGCAGACGGTCTTTGGCAACGGCTTCGACCTCGAATCGATCGCGTTCGATCGCGTGCCGATCGAAGAGTACAATGCGACCATAGCGCGCTTGTGGAACGAGAACCAACGCGGACTTGGCGGAATCGCGCTGCCTGGATCTGCAGGCGCCGTCAACCAATTCTCCTACCTCGCCGACGAAGGCCCGGAAACGCCCATCGCTGCACTCAACCTTGTCAGCAACGCCGGCCTTGCGAGCGTTCGAAGCACCACCAACAGTACCGATGGCTCGCCCACCATCACGTCTTCCTACCGCCCGCTCAGCAATCTCAGCCTGGGCAACGGATTGGGTTCCTCGCTCAAGTGGGCCGTAGTGTTCGGCTTGGTGCAGGCGGTGTGGCCCGCGTTTGCGGCGCTGTATCCGTCTGCCGAACGCAACAACCGCGTCAAAGCAATGGCTCTCACCAACGGCATGCGTGCTATCCCGCTCTGGCTTGGCCATTTACTGGCTGAACTGCCGGTCATCATCATCAGCACGGTGCCCGTGGCGTTGGTGTACGCGTTCGCATCGTCCCAATTTGCAGGCGAGGGCGTCTTTTGGGTTGTGCTCTTCCTGCACGGCGTCTCGTCGACGCTGCAGGGCTTTGTTGTGTCGCTGTACGCGCCCAACCAGCTGGCGGCGTTCGCCATTGTCGCAGCGTGGAACGTGCTCGCGTTCCTCATCTACTTTGCGACGACCATGCTGACGGTGACCTACTACGTGGGCAACGGGCTGGCAGGCGCTCTGGACGCAGCCTATTATGTCGAGGCGATCCTCGCCCCGAGCGTCAGCATGACTCGCGCGGGCTTTGTTTCGGTCAACCTGTTCAACTTACTGTGCAACGGTCGCGGCGGGTACAAGAGCGGCGGTATTGGCGCCATCGACTTGCTCGGCGCACCGATCGTGTACACCATCGCCTGGGCGCTGGTGTGCTTCGCCATCCTAATCGCGCACGACTCGGGAGTATCGCTTTGGCCATCGTGGCTCGGCTTTGCGCGTCGATCTCGCCGCGGCAAGAACGATGTGCACGAAGAAGGCAAGGTCCAGCCGACAGGCCAGGGCGTGCGCGAGGAAGCGCTGCGTCTGGACTCGCCCGAATGCGACGATGTGCTGCAGGCCAAGCATCTCGACAAGTCGTACGGAAAGCTGCTCGCCGTCGACGACGTTTCGATCGGCGTGCGACGTGAGGAGACCGTGGCGCTGCTCGGCATCAACGGTGGCGGCAAGACCACGACGCACGCGCTGATCCGCGGCGAACTCGTTCCCGACTCGGGCAGCGTCGTGATTGCTGGCATCAGCGTGGCGCAGCAGCGCACGCTGGCGCGCTCGCACATTGCGTCGGTGCCGCAGTTTGACGGCCTCGATCCGCTACTGACGGTCGAAGAGCACCTGCGCACGTATGCGCGCGTCAAGGGCGTCGAGAAGCGTCTGCGCCGCGACAATGTGGCGGCGGTGATGCACCTCACCAACCTTACGCAGTACGCCGATCGACGCGCCGGCGCGCTCTCCGGCGGCAACATGCGCAAGCTCTCGCTGGCGATTGCGCTGCTGGGCAATCCGTCGGTGCTGTTGCTGGACGAGCTGTCGTCGGGCGTGGATTCGTGGACCAAGCGCGGGCTGTGGCAGACGCTCCGCCGTGCGGGCAAGGGGCGCGCGACGCTGCTCACGTCGCACAGCATGGAGGAGGCGGCGGCGCTCGCGTCGCGCGTGGCGATCCAGGCGTCGCGCATCCTCGCCATCGACACGATCGGCAATCTGCGCAAGAGCCAGCCGGCGTACGAGCTGCAGCTCGACCTGGCACAGGAGCATCGTGGCTCGCACGAGGCATACGGCCGCGTGGAGCGGCTCGTCAAGCAGCTCTTCCCGCACGCGACCTCGTCGGACGAGGCAAGTGCGCGCTTCGAGATTCCGCTCGCAGAAGGGCAGTCGGTCTCTTCGCTCTTCCGCAAGCTCGAACAGGCGAGCCAGGAGCGCGAGCAGGCCGGGATTGTCGGCTACCAGATCTCGCCCGTGTCGCTCGAGTCGCTCTTCCTCCAGATCGTGCGACAGGCGCAGAGTGCCGCCGCCAGGGACGAGATCGGCCGCCATCAGGGCTGAGTTGTCGTCCCTTGATGGCCGAGCATGTAACATTCATTCTTTCGTTTGGAATCACATAGACTTTCTCGGTATGCCTGGATGTGTTGGCAAGCTGCAGGGGAGTGGGAACTTTGAGGGTTGCGGCGGGTGTGAAAGTGTTAGAGCGCTTTGCATGCGGGACGTGGATGCGGGCCGTGGAGGTTTTGGATTCCCGCGGAGGTTAGGGTTTTGGGCGGTGTATGCTGATGCCATAACGCGGCGTTCGCTTTCACGCTATCTTGCACCACCACCGCCATCGAGTCGTACGAACCTTCGCTATGCCTGGTGGGAACGTGCATCTTGTGGTAGTGCACCACGGACTATGGGGCTCTCCCGAGAACACCGCGTACCTGTGCACGACGCTTGCGCGGTTTCACGGCGGTGTCGCGACGCCTAGTAGCAAGCTCACACCCCCCGAGTCCGAGGCGACGCTCTCCGCGCATGCCGACACGCACGCCAACGCGGGCGCTGATACGCGGCTGGTTGTGCATAACAGCTCCGCCAATGCGGCCGACCATACGTACGACGGCATCGACTGGTGTGCCGAACGACTTGTAGCCGAGATCTACGCCCAGATCACCGCACTCGAATACGATGAAGCTAGAGTCACCAAACTCAGCCTGGTGGGGTACTCGCTGGGAGGGTTGGTGGTGAGGTACGCAGCGGGGTTGATGTATCTCGACGGTGTGTTCGGCGACAGGACCGCGACGGTGGACTTCAAGTCGCGACCCGAGGCAGCCTCGCTATCTACCATCGCCACACCCCACTTGGGCATCCTTGAAACGGGCACTACCTTTAGCAAGGTTGCTGCATTCTTTGGCGGACGAATCTTAGGCAGGACAGGAACACAGCTCTACCTCAAGGATCGTAGTTGGATTCCATCTAAAGGGTCGCAGGGCATGTGTTTGCTCGAAGCCCTCGTGGATGATCGCTTTGCTTTCATTTCTGCACTCAAGCTGTTCAAGCGCATAGATATCTACGCCAATGCGGTTGCCGATCTTACGGTACCTTATCGGACTGCTGCATTTGAACAACACGATCCCTTCGTACTTCCTCTAACACTGGAGCGAGATCCAGACTTCCCAGTTCTCCTCACCTCATACACATCAAAGACGCCCGAACCAAAGTCGACGTGGTCCAAAGTGTCGTCGAAACTTTCACCTCGCAACCTGCCGTGGATCTTGAATCCACAACGCATCCCTTTCCGCTTCCCACTCAACTACGCTGCATGGTTAGGCCTTCCCATCCTCGTCCCCGTCATGATCGGTCTGGTCCTACACAAGCTCAAGTCCGACAGCAAGGTATCCAACAAACGAGTGGCGCAGTTCGAACAAAAGTACGCCCAAGATCACAATCACCCCCCAGCATCCGCTGCAGACGAGATGCAACAGAAACGCTTCGCTAGACTACTCGCCACCGTAGAGGCAGATGCCGAAGAATCCCTGCGCGAACTAGGCGAAGACTTTGTAGACATCCAACCCAAAACCCCATCACACGACAACATCAACTCAACCCCAACATCCATCTCTACAACAGCGAACAACACCGCAAAGTCAGAACTCCCCCTCTCAGACATCCAGAACCGCATCGCTTCCACGCTCAACAACAAAGCTATCCTGCCCCAGGTGCAGAAACACCTCGCCCATTTCGACGACGTCCTCAACGCACATGCCGTCATCATCGTCCGAACCACCACCATCGATGCACACAAGAAGGGCATCCCCCTCATCAACGCCTTCACCCACCGCTTCGCTCTCTAGATTCCCCCACACACGCCGTAGACAAATTGACGTGGACATGCAATTAGAAGCGACCGCCGGCGCGAGAGAGTGTTGGATACAAGTACAGCGCGCGCGGGATGAGGTATACAGAGAGAGAAGCAAGAGTGCGATGCGGTGCGTGCGGGCCGAGACGGGGTGTCGAACGCGACACGAATTAATGTTGGGAAAGACGAGAGGGTAGGAGGGAAGCTAGAAGGTCGACTCCTTGCCGTAGCCGCAGAGATACGACTCCCAGTGGCCAAAGTAGTCGCGGTCCTTGGTGGGCGCGGCGCGCGGGGCAATGCGAAGGGGCGCGTGGGGCGCGAGAGCGCATGCGGTGGGCGGGCTGAAGGGCGAGCGGAACAGCTGTCCGTACGCATTCCGCTCGGGTTCGACGACGGCGCCGACGTGTGCGGCGCTCTGTCGCTGGCGCCTGTCGTGCTGAGCGCGCGTAAAGTCGATCATGGCGGCGAGCGTGGCGGGCGGAGCGAGTTGTATGCTGGGCTTGCGGTCCGGCTCGTTGCGCACGGCATCAAGAGCGTAGCGCGACACCGTGGTCGAAGCGCGAGGAGGCTCGACACAGGCTGCCGGGGTGAGTGGCGAATGGTCCTCGTCGGACGAAGCCATGCCGGGCTGCATGGGCAGCGTGTGGGAGGGCATGAGTGGGGCTACGCTGGACTTGGGCGAGACTGGCTCGTCGATGGGGAGCGGGATGGCCGGCTTGGTGAAGTGAGTGCCCAGCTGAAGCGGACCGTTGCGTGCGGAGGAGAGCGAGAGCATGCGTGCGCCCGTGTAGTCGAGCTGGTAGTCTACGATGGGCCAGAAGCGCTGTCGTTCGGGAGCCTGCTTTGCGTTGCGCTCGTCGTACATCTCGAGCCCGTGTGCGAGCGGGTTCGAGATGCTTGCCATGCGCGTCCAGCCGATGGGAGCGGTGCGCGTGGCCGAGAGCAGACGCAGCTCGGGTAGCACCTCCAGTCGCGGGACACTCTCAGATGCTGAGGGTGCCCGGACTTGGGTATGGGAGCCGGTAGACTGAGTTCGGGAGGATGCGCGTGCCTTGCGGAAAGCGTGGGCCGTGTCTGAGTGGCGCTTGCGCTGGCGTTTGAGAGCTCGACGCCATGATGAGGCGACGGAAGGCAGGTGCGAGGGCGAAGTCAAGGGCAGAGAGGCGGATGCGGAACGTCCAGTGTAGAGCGTGCGCTTCGAGTGCACTGGCGAGGCTCGCGAGCGATTCCTTTTGGCCAGCCGAGGTAAGACGATGTCGTCTTCAGACAAGACGCTTTTCTGAGCGAGTCTGGTGCGAGAGCCAGTCGAGCGACGATGTGTGCTCGACCAAGCACGAGCCCTGAGTGTGGCGCGGCTGCTTGACCGGCGATGCTGATGCATGTGGATGTCGTCGAAGCTGCTAGCGCTCGAATCTGAAGCCTGGGTGAGGGGTGTCTGGGACGACGAAGGAGGGCAGGAGCGAGGAGACGCTTCACTCAGCGGTGGCGAAGGCGATGGGGAATTGAGCGGTACGAAGACCGACGAAGTGGTGCCAGAGGGTGGCAACGAGGGCTGTTTGTGGGTGCGTGGAGGCGAGGCGGTGGGTGGCGTGGAGAGCGAGTGGACGCGTTTGCGCATCTCGCGGAAAGCGTCGGATTGGTAGGGTTCTAAGGGCGACATTGTGTTGCGCGATGGACGAGAAAGCGACGAGAATCAATGCTCCACTCGATCGATGCACGAGGCGGTCGAGGGAGGGCCCAAGGTGGCTAAAGCTCCAATGTGGCAGACCAGTCGGAGGCGAGAGGATGGTGCGCAGAGCGAATTGTTAAGAACAGCGAGGGCCGGCGCGAGTGGATTGGGTTAGTTGATGTTTGGTCGATATGGCGTACGGAGATGGTGGTCGCAAGATGGTAAGACGGAGCAGCAACGAGCAGGACGAAGGGGCAGGGGCTGGCAGCGAGGGGATGGGAGGGGGTTACCGGCGAGGATGGCGTGGTGAGGGGGTGCGCTTTATTGGCAGGCGTCAACGTGACTGAGCGGCTGCGCAGCTGAGCAGCAGAGAGTGTTCTGAGCGAGCCAAAAGGCAGGCCGAGGCTGACAGGCATGCTTGATGAGCAGGGGAGCGGCTGCATGCACACCCTCACTCACACAGCTCACACACTTGCCATGAGTGCGAATAAAGCGTTGTCGGTGGGGCCGATGCTCCGGCACAGTCGGGGATGGCGCACCCAGCTCCCGACGATCTGGATGTCCAGCTGCGAGCTCATGCCGGGATCGCAGACGAGAGGCACAGCAAGGCAGAGCAGCGACAGAGAGACGAGTCGGGTCGAGGCCCTGTGGTGCACCGAAGCCACGGCGCTTCGAGTCGAAGTCCGATGGGCGCTTGGACGCTCGGGAGCGCAGAGGCACGCCGCCATCGAGCGGATGTCACGATCTTGGAGCGCATCGCGTCGCATGCAAAGGCTACAAAGGGGCTTCCTGCCAGTCATGAGCCTAATTGTCACAACCGAAGCCCAGCCGTGCGCGGCATTTTGCCTCCCCCCATTGTGTATTTTTCCTCGGCGCGTTTGCGTGGATCGGCGTGGCAGCAGAGAGTGGCATCACTTCTGGGTGTGGGACGCTTGGTCGGGCGATGCGGCGGCTCGATGATGAACATGCGCTGATGCGCACCCAGCAGCTCCTCGCCCTCTCCTCCGACCGGTGTTGCTCAGGCGTAGGCGCAAGCCCGTTTGGGCTCCCTCCCAAATCACTCGGAGCGGCCGTATGCACCGTGTATGATGTGGGCACAGCCAACGAGTGTGCTGACATCGAAGCTTTGGCCGGGCGTCCACCTTTGGCCAAACGATGACTGGCTATGGTGACGACAAACGAGGGCCGACAGTGACCCAGTGCCATGCGTCGTCGATGCGCGCAAGCCGATGAAGGCAGCATCGGTGCGTGCGGGTCGAGTGCGAAGATCGAGTCGCATGGAAGCTTAGCTTCAGCCGGTGGTGAGCCTAAAGCTGTCCCGGATGGATGCCGCTTATTTCGCCGCTCTGCAGGATGCGGCGACTTTGTCCGATGATCATCTCGGTTGCTCCGCGACTACTGTAACGTAGGGCGCAAGTTGCGAGTAGCGGAATTGCAGCGACAGCACAGCGTCATGTCGACGTAACCTCACCAACGATTCCATCTCGTCTCGTAACTCGCCCGGCGCATCGGCTAGACCGGCAGGAAAATAACCTTCTTTTCTCACGCCCGTCTCGTCTCGCCTTTGCCCTGTGTCTCGTGCCCTCTGTCTTGCACTTGTGACAATGTGATATCAGGTGGGGCTTTTTGTGTGACTGGAAGCCAACAGACAGCGTCATACCCGCCGGCCATATGAAGTGCTTGGGGCGATGGACAATGCGAAAGCAGCGCTTGGAATCCTGCTCGACAAATCGTCCGAAACCGATCAACGTCACACGCGTCCGCAGCCGCCATCGAAGACGCCCACCCCACCCAGGAATTTCCAACTTTTGGTCCACGCATCCACACATCGCTCACCCACATCCCAGCAGCACACAGAGTAACGCTCGGTGGGGCCATTCCTGCTCGCAACACGCTCCATCGCCATCCACAGCCGTCGATCGCCACGAACGCTGGTCATGACCGAGACTGCGGCGAGCATCCCTCACTCAGGCACCGATGCACTCGCACCGAATCTCTGCATCATCTCAGACACCTCGAAATAAGGACTCCCCTGCGGATGCGGTCGAGTGCGACCCCACCCAGGCAACCACCCACCGGCTTCATTTGCTTTGTCATTGGTCAACGCGAGAGCAGGCTGCAACAGAATCGTATGAGAGTGACGAGCACTTGACTCGAACGGCGATGCTCGAAGGCAACGTCGACGATTGATGTTCTTCTAGCTTGGGCTGCGCATGACGCCTTGTTTTGATGAGGCACGGCTACGTGGGTGGGCGGCAAAAAGGGACGCACGACAAGGTGTGCATGCATGTCCAGCCGAGCGTCCAGACGACCACGACCATCGGCGTTCTTTGCGGGCCCCAACCAGCGCGGTGGTCGGTGGCAGCCTTGGACGCTCGCTTCGATGCTCGATACCGCCGCAACGGCTGCAACACGAGCCTAATTCAAGCGAACGATCTCGACGAGTGTCTCACCCAGACCAGCTTTGTTCCCCAGCCGTGGTTTCTGGATCGCATGGCCCTTGGCATCGCAGCTTTGCTGGCGCGCGCGCCTCTCCAAATTTCAAGATCGTCGTCGGCGGCGGCGGCTGGGCTGGCCACGCGTGCCTCCGAGTTGAGTGACAAGCACGCTGCTCGTGGCGATCGGGCGATTTTAAGAAACGCATCCTCAGCCTCGCTGCGCTGTGCCGTGTCGATCTTGAATTCCCTTGGCGAGTCGCGCCCATCCATCGGCCGGCCCGCATCACCGCTGCGCTCCGTCTCTCCGCGTCGAGACCGCTCGCCTTCCCAATCGAGCGGCAGTGCTGACAGTGAGTCATTCTCCGTGGCTTGGCTGCGATCTTGAGCGCCAGATCCCAAACGAACAAAAGCACAGGCACCGGCGTCCCGTTCAAAACGACAGCGATCCCGTTGGCGAGGCGCAACCTCCTTTTCGCCGTGGAGCGCCAGTTAGCCTCCGAAAGGAAACAAGCTCGAGCCCCAAACTTGGGACTCTGCGCACGATGCAGAGTGTGAACACGCTGGCTGCGAAGTCAAGATTTAGCGTTGACTGCCGCCCACCCAGCTTTGCAGTGTGCTGCTGCTGCTGCTGCTGCAAGGCGCGATCGAAGCTGCCATGCGCGCGGTCCATGAAAATGTGCATTCGGATGCCATCCGCGCCCAAGGCTGCCGAACTACCGCGGCGCATTTTGATCCCCGCGAGCCATCCGAACTCAACCGGCACGGCTGCTCCGAACGTGCATGCTTGCGCTGAGCTCGTGCAATTTTGCAGGGCCTTCGCGCGTGGCGGAGCTGCACAGTGCATTAGCCTTCATAAGGCCGAGATGGGCGATGGCCGCTAGCTTGGGCGGTGGCACTTGCAAGGCCTAGACCGTTGCTCCCCGCTTGCTAGCTCGACGCCTCGACGCTACGAAAGCCCGCCGCCATCTTGATCCTGCGCCGCGATCGCACGCCGCACCTCCTTGAGTGAAGCCTCTTGATCGCGCCGGGAGTGTGGGAGCTGCGCTGTGCCTCTCTGTAGTCGCGCGGGTCCAGCCCTTGCCCCGCCGATTCGCATTCCGCGCTGCTCTCATTCTCACTCGCCGATGCTTCCACGCTATCGAACCGGGCATGGAGCGTGATTCAAGAACAAGTCTCGAATGGCGATACGCAGCGGCATCGGAAGCACCGAAAAAGCTGCTCGGATGCGCCGACCAACTCATGCACACATCGATGCCACACCCGACAAAAGTGAATTGCAAGTGTGGATTCCATGCATTGCGACCGTCTGTCACCGCAGCTAGAGCAGACCGTTCTGCTTGAGAAAGTGCACCTCTGAGGGCGCGAGCATTTGCTGCACTTGCTTGCCTTGGCCTAGCGACTCGGCTCGGCTCTTACTAGACGCGCCTACAGCCAAGCTCGAGGTGACGGCGCGCATCTTGCCTGGCGACATGCCCTCTTTCGTTGCTAGTTGATGAGCACTTCTCAGACGCGCCCTGATCCCGAGCGGGTCGTTCTTCGCCTTTGCCACGTCCATCTCGTTTGCGGCGGGGATGATGAGCACTGGTGCATCGCTTAGAATGCGGCCGTAGAGTCGACGCTGTGCTCTTGCGGCGTATTGTTTGGGATGTGACGACCAGCCGTGCACACGCAACGACCGCTTTCGATGCGCAGCACCAGACACATCCGATCGATACAGCTCCACCGCCTCCCGAGCTGCTGCAAGGTACGGTCGATCCCCCGCTCTGCGGCCCTGGCCTCGAGCCAAGTTCTCGAGATGAGCAAAGAGCGAGGGAGCGGGAGCTTCGGCCGAGACGACGTCGATGGGCAGCTTGACTTTGCGCAGATACGTCCTCCTATACCTGGCCATTGCATTCTGCAGCGTGCTCGCCCGCTTGGCGCGACCAAACATCGCCACGAGCGGATCGTCCTCTTTGGGCAAAAACGGCGGCGGAGGTCTTTCCGTCATATGCGCTGTCGTTTTCACCGCTGCCCCGTTCATCGTAGCCGCATTCGTCACAATCGCCAGCAGCACTGGAGAAACCTGCTTCGCGGTCAGCTTGTCCTCTGCTGTCTCGCGCTGCTCGCTAGGAGCTGGCTTGGGCGAGAGGTCGGTGAGAGCATCGCGGCGCAGTTTTCCGCTGCGCGCATAGGCGAGCGAGAGCGCACGGTACACTGCATGTTCCCAGCCGTGGTTGGCGTCTGCGAGCTGACGACGATGCAGACGTGCGCGTGCGAGCCGCTTGGACGCTGTCGACGGTGGCCATTCCTCGCTTGGCGGAGACGAGGTGAGAAGCGGTTCGATGTTTTTGCGCGCAAGGAAGCGATGCGAGCTGTAGAGGACGGGATCACCGAACGTGGCCGACAGCAGACGTGCCTGTTGAAGCAGCGTGCGGTATAGATGCTTCAAGCCTTCCTGGCTCGCGCCCGACACGAGCCGTCGTGACGAACTCGAACTCGATGCCATCCTTTAGCTGTCGGGGATGGTGGACAAGGCCCAAAGAGCGGAAAAAACAAGGGTCCAGGTATTCCTCTCGCCTCCAATGCCGACTTCCGAACCCGCGCCTCCACGCACACACACACGCACCTCCCAACCACGATTTCTTCCTGACTTCCCTTCAACCTAAGCATTCACCATGTCTTCATCTACTTCGCCCGTCGTGGCTGGGGAGGGCTTCTGGGCGGACCTGTTCAACTCGGTCTTCTCGCCCGAATACAACACCGTTCCACAGCGCCTGATGAACTACGCCTTCTATGCGCTCTTTGTCGTACTCGCCATCCTCGTCTTTCTCACCTCGTACAATCCGCACGTCATCGCACTCCTCACGCTCGCCCTAGGCCTGTGGATGAGCATCAACTGGTAAGGCCCCTTCCTCCCCTCCAGACACGCATACTTTGGTTTTGTGGTGCTGATGGTTCGTTTGTGTTGGGAATAGGTTCATGAAGGAGCTCGCCAAGATGCCCGCTTCGTCCAAGCAGGTTCAGCAAATGCCCGACGCCCCACAGACCGAAGCCAAAAAGGACCTCTGACAATCACACTGCCATCAACACGATACCCTATTTCACCCAGGTGCAAGCTCGTTCTCGTCATAGATCGGCATGAATCGCATTGTGGAAGAACACCCGGGGCTACTTTTGCGGAGGTGGATCTCGTCGCGAGCTGGCTCTATTGAGCCTATCTGGCTTGGGCGATCCCACCCCGGACCCTTTATCCTTGAGCAAAGACTGGAAGAAGCTATGGAGTACTTCACTCTGCTTTGGTGCACCTGGCGAAGCTGCACCTGGGCTCATTGCTGGACTTGCAGGTCTGCTTCTCTCGCCCGTCATAGCTGCCACAGCCGCAGCGGCTGCAGCCGAAGTGCTTTCGCGCCGCACCGGTTCGATCCTCGGCTTTGCCTCTGTTGGCTCCTTGCTCTCCCTCGCCATGTACTTTTCCACCGAGGGCAGTGCCGCACTCGCCCCCGTCATGGGGCCCACCACACCACGCTTGCTGAGCTTTGCCCTCGGATCCGGGTCTTTTTGAAGCGTCGCATGGTGGCCGCCCAAAAACGCCTGCTCGTCAGGAATCCGCACCTTGTTGACCGTATCTTTACCCGCAGGTCCTGCTTGCCAGTCGGAAACAATGTCCTCGTACAGCTTCATGGCCGACTGAACCTCTTCCCCATCGCGACGCTCCAGCTGCAATTCCTTCTCGAGCTGGTCCTCGACTTCCTTGGTGCGTGCCAGACCGCGCGCGCGACGTTGCCGCTCTATCTCGCAATCGCTCTCCCAGCCCTTGCCCAAGCCCTGGCAGTCAAACGGCTCGCGCAGCGCACGGATCTTGCCCCAGCTATCCCAGCCCGCAGGCACGAGCAGCGTATCCCGATCCGTCGTCGACGCGCGGTACGCAAAGCCAAACACAGCCGCACCCCCCGCCGCAGCCCCATTCACCACACCCCCTGCTGAAGCCGATGCCCCTGTGCCCGTCTGTTGCTGGTGTTGCTGGTGCGACGGTGTGAAGAGTCGGTGGAGGAGGTAGGAGCGCAGGATGTCGATCGACTGTGCGCGCATCGACGACGTGTAGAAGAGCGCCGCGCCGTACTTCATGCACACGGTGCGCAGCACCTGCTGGATGTAGTCAAACTGCTCGTCCTTGAACTCGCTGTCGCGCTCGAGCCGCGAAATCGCATCCGCCTTGGTGCACACCACCACGATGGGAATGCCCAGATTGTCGGTCAGCATGCCGTCGGTGAGTGGATTGTCGTCTCCCCCCTCGAGCTGCACGTTGACCGTTGTGATGGGTGCCGCCAAAGCCGATGCATCCGTCGATGCATCCTGTTCTGTGGCGGATGCAAGCGCGTTTGCATCCGCGCCAGAGCCGGCGTCGACCGGCTTGGGCGCAGGCTCGACGTACGCGCGGATGTACGCCTCGAGACGCTCCCTCATCTCGTCGAGCGCCACACGCGTCTTGCTCCACTTTGCATCTCGCTGCTGTTGCGACGAGAGCGCGCCGTCCGAGGCGCGGTCTATAAGTTCGCGGAGGATGCTGATCCAGTTGCGCAGCTGCTCCAAAAAAGTCCATGGCTGCTCCCAGTCGAGCACGATAACGACGAGCGAATCGCGGAGAGAATCGATGGATGCCTTGCCCGACGACACGCGGTTTGGGTCGGGGGAAGAAGCGGGGCCTGCGGCTGAGGACGAGATGGCAGCAGAAGCAAGCGTCGCCATTGCAGCCGCGGCGTCTTGCTCGGTCGAGCTGAGGTTAGACTCCGGAAACGCGTAGGGCAGCAGAGATGTGTACGCAGCATGCGACGAGTGGATCGTGTAAGCGCCCACACGAGCCACGGTCTCGTCTCTGTCCTTCTCGTCGGGCACATCGAAGTATGCGTAGGCGAGCCCGAGGTCGACACTTCGGGAGCTGCTCCTCGATGCGGCTGTCGCGGGCGTTTTGTCGTCGACGGCAGTGGTGGTGGGCGCATCTTGTGCGTAGGAAGAGCGGCCGCTGACGAGACCCGAGGGAGAAGTGGAGGCGAGTGCGGTGAGGAGCGACGACTTGCCGGACGCGGGCTCGCCCAGAAGCACTACGTTCTTCGTGGAGATGGCCTTGGAGCTCTTGACGCTGTTGAGGATGCTGGACCACAGATCTTGCTGAGGCGCTGCATGTTGATCTATTGGCTCCGTGGCTGAGGTGTGGCCGTTTTGGAGGCCTGTCTTGAGCGGATCCGCTGGCGAGGCGAGAACGTCCATGATGGGCAAGCGACCGGATCCTGCGTGGGCTGCCTAGCGGTGTTCTTCGGTGCAGCGAGAGTGATGGTGGAGCTCAGAGAGGCAGAGCAACACCGCGAGTGAAGCGGGTTCTGAGCGTGGCATTTCGAAGCCCAAAAGTAACACGCGCGCCTCGCTTTCACTTTGGCTCGGGTGTTGCATCGGGGAGTTAGTTGTGCCGATCGCATTTGATTTGACGTGCGCACGACAGCAGTGCAACAGCAGCCGAGGCGATCGCGGCGTTCAAAAGTCTATTTTGGCAGCGGTGAATCAGAGCTTGGCCGCCCGATCCAGAGTACCGCTGTGTAGCAAGCTTGGCTCGGTTACGCTTTTTGGACTCGGCTGGTCAGTGCTGAGCAGTGCGGAAACGGCTCAGCCGCCTCCGCCGCCGCGGATGGCCTCCACTCGCTGGCTGCTGCTCAGTTGCGCTCCCTGGCAACAGCAGCAGCGGCGGCGGCGGCGGCGGCTAGGGCGCAGCAACCGCCTGCCCTCTCCACCACCACCACCACGCCGAGTCAACCTCCAATCACCTCCTTTAACCTTCGCTTCTCCGCCAAAGCAACAATACAATGTCGAGTCCGCGACACTCGCCGCCTCCGTCAGCTGCGGCCCCCAAGCCCAAGGGCATCTTGAAGAATGCAGGCGACCGCAGACCGTCGCAAGGAGAAGCGCTGGGCCAGGACGAGGACGCTGCCAACAGGTAAGTGCACATCTCGCAATGGACCAAGAAGACGGCAAACGACTGACCACTTCTCCGATGGATGCTTGCTCAGACTCCAATGGGACGAAACCAACCTGACGCTGCACGAGATCGAGCGCGAACAGCAGGAGGCGCGCATGAAGATCGACGAGCCCAAGACTCCGTTTGTGCATGGCACCTCGATCGGTCCAGTCGGAGACGACGATGGTAAGTGCACTGCCCAAGCTGCTCGGTCCGACAGCATGCGAGACTGATCGTCGAACTGCCTTTTGTTTCACAACAGTGTTCGATCTCGACGGCGCTGCACCGAGCTCCAACGCGGGCGGAAGCCGTCGTGGATCGTCGGCGGCAGAGCAGCTGGCGGCCAACACGTCGGCCAACGCCGGACGCAACCCTGGCGAAGGTCTGGGTATCGCTGTGGGTCTCGATGCTGCCGACCTGGCCAGAGGTGCGAGCGCCTCGGGCGAGGGCGATGTGCGACCGGTATCGGCTCGATCCACGTCGCGCTCTCCGTCGTTTTCGCTGCCTCCCAAGAGCCCGTCGTCGCGACGCTCCAGCTCGCGATCGGCCACCGCCATGGCAGACGACCAGCGAAGCGACGTCCGCCAACAGGCCCATGACATGGATATCGACGACGGTGTCGATGGCGAGGTGGAGGAGGAAGATCCGGATCCGGAGAGTAAGTTTGGTTGATTGCCGACATGATTTTGCGCTGGATGCGCTGCTGACCTTGCCTCTCTTGTGTCGTTTCAGCTCAAGCCAAGCATGCCGCCTTTGCCGCCAAGCGCAACCAGCACTACGGCAACGAGGCCGAGGCGATGAAGATCGCTGCAGCGCTCGCAGCCCACGACGACGACGACGATGAGGACGACGACGACCGAGACTCGAGCGGTGTGCCGCCGCTGCCCAAGGCGCCCAATGGCACAGCAGCGCGATCGTGATCTTGGTCACTGCAGGCCGCCATCGCTATAGCGCATCTGAATCGACTTTTGTTTGCACTGCGATGCGATGCGGGTGCAGTGCCCGAAAGTGTAAGAGAGCTCGCCCCTGTGGCGGTTGCTACTTGTGAGGACCCTTTGGTTGGAGCGTGGAGGAAATGTGGAGGGGTGAGAGGCTCTGAGGCTGCGGAAGGGTTCATTTGTGCGGCTGCATCACCACAGCGGGCGGGCCGGCTGAGTCGAAAAGGCATCGCAACGCGCTCCAACGCAACGGCCCAATCAACACCTGCTGGCTCAAAAGCTCGAGTTTTTTTTTGATTTTATTTTTTTGGGATTTTTACCTTTGAGCCGCTCCACCTCACCTCGAGTTGCGGCCCTACGAGTGGCTTTGATACGACCCACCACCACCATCCCCTGCATTGTTTCGACCCTTGGCCTCCTAAGATACCTCTTTCAACTTCACGATCTCGATACGACACCCTCACGCACGCACCACCCTACGCAGGCCCTACTTGGCCGCCACATCACACACATCCACTGACTCGACGCGGGGATTGGCGACGATGGACCTGTCGAACTTGCGCACGAGTTTGCGCGAAGAGGAGGCGTCGACGCGGCGGCGCACGTCGCATCTGCGCGCAGCCGAGGACGAGCTGAACGGTGTCTTCCGTACGTCGGCGCTTGGGTTGACCACGCTCTACAGGCAGGCGGTGGCAGCGTCCAAGGCGTCGTATGAAAAGGGCTATGCGCACGCGCTCGCGCATGTGCTCGAGCTGTGCGACAACGACCGCGACTGGCTCAAGGGCTACCTCCAGCGCAGGATCGAGGCGATCGAAGCTGTCGAGGACGAGTCGGACGACCGAGATCCTCCTCAAACGCAGCATCAGGATGCGGAGGAGATCAATTCGTCCCCCGCCGTGGCGCGTAACCACGCCAGCACCTCGCAGCCTCGACCCACGTTCGAGGCTTCGCCCAGGCACAACAAACGCACACGAGGCGCCACGTCCACCAGCCGTACAACCGCCGTCGATGACGAGCAGCATGATCGACGAATCTCCAGCCGCGGTGCCAGCTCATCGCGCACCCGCCCCACCAACGCCTCCGCCTCGACCTCGGCCTTTTCGGCCAACTTTGACTTTGCAGCCCCCATTGCCTATCCTGACGCCAGTGCTGGGCGGGGTGAATCGAGCGCATCTCGAACCCCGCGCACCACATCCCGCACCGAAGCACCTTCGATCAAGACGTCGAATCCGGCGGCACAGCGTCGGCGACTGCACAAGCTCAAAGGTCTGCGTGCAGGCAAGGACCGCGTGCTCGAGGTGCACGCCGACCGTGGTCCCGACGACATGGATGATGGCGAGGAGGACGAGGCGGATTGGACCGACGACGACGAAGACGCCAGGGGGCGCAGGGTTGGATGGGCGGATAAGGAGCGCGAGGACGAGGCCGAGGCGAGGGTCGTAGAGAGGCTCGATCGAAGAAAGAGAAGAAGGACGTTTAATACCAACGCTGCGCCGGCGGGAGACGAGGGCATGCATGCGTAGTCATTAGTAGGAGCAGAGAAATGCAAGAGACCAATCGCATTGTGCTTGCATAGCGTGTTGCGTGGGAGGTCCAAGCTGCGTGAGTTGTGTGTGGAGGTGCAGGATGGGTGCGGCCGCGGCGACTGCATCGTCCGAATGGTCGGCTTGGTATCGACAGAGTTTGGCATTGCGACTGCACTGCTGGGCGCATCGGCACGCATGTTGCATTGCTGTGCGCGACCATTTCCCAGCGTGCCTGCGACCGTGTGCGCTGGCTGTGGGCCGGTGTGCATTCGTGGCTGTCATATCCACTGCAGAACGCTTCCCTTTCCCTACAGCATCGGTAAGCCGTCGCAAGTGTGCAGCTCAAAGGGTCAAAAGCGTTTCCTGACGATGTCCGAAGTGACATCCTCCGAAGGCGCGGTCAAAGTCAGCCAGGCGCGCCGATTCAGTGGATCTTGGCTCGTCATCAGCTCTCGTTTTGTTTAGATCCGAGTGTATCAAGTCTTGCTTCCTGATGCATAGCAACGGCTTTGAGATGTGCTGTGACGTTGCGCCATTTGGGGTCCACAAAAATTGTATTCTTCAGCCCTTGCACTCGGCACACATGCTCGTCACGCCGCACGCTTTCCACAGTGTCAGCCAATCCGAGCTTGGTGCATCGCCAGCTGCGATGCCACGCACAAGCTACGACCGTCGTGTTGAAGCATCGCATTCATCGCATTCCAATCGGCAGTGTCTGGCCCTTGCACTCGAACCGCATTTCAACCAGCGACGTCGCGGCGGGTTTCGAGCACTTGGTCGTCCTCATCGTGTTTGTCCTCGGCCCTCACCGTTGGCCTGATGACGATCTTGGTCGGGCTGCAAAGGCGACCAGCTCGTCGCCGCGTGTCGTCAGGATATGACCGTGTGCAAAAGCAACACCCGATGTGCACCACCACCACGCGCCACTTCGAGTCGCATTCAAATTGACCCACCTCCAGCTTTTCCACTCCCAACCGGATTTCATCCGTCTCAAGCGCACCTTGCCACCGCAATTTCAAGCTCGAGAAGCATACCCATCGCACGTCCGATGTGAGCCCTACAACCCTGCCATTGGGGGGGAAAAGAGCACCTGAATTGCAATCTCTAGCCCTTCCACTCGAACCGAATCTCGCCCGTTTCGAGCAGCTCGTCGTCGTCTTCATCATCGTGTTCGTCCTCACTCGGCCTCTGTTTCCCCTTGCGCTGATCCTCAGCTTCAAACGCAAACGGCTCGTCGTCGGACGCTGCGTCGAGGTCGCTTACGTCGTCGTTGTCATCGTACCCCTCCGAGTCGTAGAACACCTGGCCCTCGTCTTCGCTCTCCGGCTCCGCTGTAATCACCGCGCCCACCAGCGGCGACGTCGCACGTGGGCTCCGCGACATCTCATCCGGCGATGCTGCCCGCCGCCTCCAAGGTGCTGTCCATGACGATCCCGAAGGCGAAGCACTCATCGCCTCATCGGTGGGATTGGACTCAAGTGCCGGTTCAGCCGACGTCGCACGCTGCTTTCTCTCCACCTCCTCGTCCTTGACCGACCCCTTGCGCGATAGACCCAACGAGCCCAGACCAAACCGACTCAACCGGCCCGGTTTCTCCTCCACCCCCACCGCCGTATCCGACGTCACCGACCTAACCGAACGCAAAGACCGCCCCGACCGCGCCGATAGCGCAGGCGATACCGGCGGCGTGCCGAGCAACTCGTCATCCGGCGGCAACTCCACCTCGACAATCGCCGGACGCCAGTAGTTGAAGTCGTTGTACTCCGGCTTGCGCGGCTCGCGCTCCTCCTTGGCCGTGATCGGCGGGAACATCTGGTCCACCAAATCCGTCATGTGGATGTACGACGACTTGTACCCCGCCAGCTCGAGCAACTCCATCTTCACCTCGCCGTTGGTGTCAATCGTAAAGATGCGCGACGAGGGGATGTTGACACTGCGGTACGACAGCGCGTCGGTGATGCGGTTGCCAAAGCCCGCGTAGAACGGCGTCGGATGCTCCTCCTTCTTCGCCTGGGTTGCGTCGGGCGGGGGAGACAGCGCACGTGCACCACCCAGCGTAGGTGACGAGGGGCTCGGACTCAGCTGTCCCGATCGCACGCTGCTTGCATCCGACGCCGATGCTGCCTCGCCACTCTCAGCCGGCGTCGCGGTGGCAGCGCCCGACGACGGACTGTCCTCGGCCCCCGCTCCGGCCTTGGCCGCTTCGACCGCGTCCGAATCGGCGCCCTTGAGATCGCCGCCCGGCTGCGAATGTGCCGTGCGCGGATCCGCGCCGAACAGACGCGCGATATCGCGCAAACACGCCATCTTGAACACCTCGGGCTTGCGCAGAATCACCTCCCTGTGCAGACTCGCAATGAGCCTATCGGGCGACATGATCACCGGTCCATCCGGCAGCTGGTATCCATTCTGCCTGATCCCCTTGAGATAGTCGCGCGTCGAGTCGGCCTGCCCAATGGCGCGCGAGGTGAGGTACATGATCCTGTACCCGTTCCTTGCAATGTCCGTGTACAGCTTGGCGACGCCAATGTGCGTCCAGTCGCGGCCGATCATGGTGAATACATGTCCGAGCGCGTCCGACTTGGTGATGGTGCCGTCGATGTCCGAGACGACGATCTTGTGGTTCGACTCCCACACAAAGATGCGCGCCGAGCACGTCGCCACGCCCGAGTAGGACGACGTGACGGAGAAGGTGATGCTGTTGGCGCCCTTGCGCAGGTTGAGCGACTTGAGCTGGTCCGACGTGAGCCGCAGCGTCTTGGCGTACGTCTTGCCCGTTCTCTTCGCCGCGCTTGCCGCCGCTGACGCCGCTGGACGCTCGCCGTTCTTGGCAGCCGCCGCCGCCGCCTTGTCCGCCTCGAGCAGCACCGAGTCCGTGTTGGAGCGCTCAATGCCTGCGCTGTTGGCCGTGCCGACGTCCACCGTGAGCGACTTGGCGGGCTTGGCCACGTTCAGATCGCCCGCGATCGTCTCGGCGTCTCGGCCGGCAGCCTGCTTGAGATCGGGGATGCTCTTGCTGCTGCGCCGGAACCAGCGCGACCAGTAGCTGGCGGTGGAGATGCGATCGGCACCGTCGGCCTCCTCGTCCATGTTGGTGGCCGAGGTGGAGCTGGACAGCGTGCCGCGGTACAGCGAGAGCGTCGCGAGCACCGCCGACGCATTCTCCCACGTCAAGAAGCGGTCGTGGTACCGAATGACAAGCCGCTCGTCGTTCACCACGTCCTCGTCGTGCGCAAAGCGCTCAAACGACACGCGGTTCTCTCTGAACGCGTACTCGTCCGCGGCGTCGTCACTGCCGAACTGCGCCGTGTAGCACAGACTGAGCTCAAACGAGTGGGACGACGAGTCCTCGAGCTGGAGCAGGAACGCGTACGGGTCCGCATCGGAGCTCGTCAGCTTGCCCGCGGCCTCGCCTTGCTCGGTCTGGCGGCGGAGCGCGTCGAGCGCCGCGGCGTCGGACGAGCGTGCAGCCTGGTAGCTGTCGGTGCTGGCGAAGCGCGTGCGGCGTCGGCTGGGCGGACCCCTAGGTGTCGATGCGGAAGACTCGGCGGCCGGGTCTGCCCACTGCCACCTGGAGTTACTCGAGAGGCCCAGATGCGCAGCACCCGCATCGTCGAGGTACGTCGGGGCCTCTTCGCTGGGCAGCCTGAGGTCGCGCAGACTCGAGACAACGCCCGAGACCGAGTAGGACGACGTGAGCGCCTCGGTGGAGTTGTCGACCGAGTTGTGTCCCGACGCCGACTTTGCGTGCGGCACTTCGGCCTCGGTGTCCGAGAGCGAGAATTCGTGGTGGTGGCGCGAGCCGCGTGCGCTGGTGCGGCGTCTGCCGCCCGCCTGATTGTCTTCGTCGGTGTTCCTGTTGCGGCTGGTGAGCGAGGCGTGCCTGCGGAGCGACTCGGTGGCCTTGGGCTGACGCCTGCCGCGCTCGGCGCGGTTCATGCGCGCGAGCCTGGCGAGGTCTCTGGACAGCTCGATCTCGTCGCGATGTGCGCTCTGCGTGGGTGTGGACCCGAGGCGCGGCGAAGCCTGCTGCGAGCTGAAGCTGGCGATGTTGGTGGCGGCGGAATCGTCGAGGCTCTCGCGGCGTGCATCGCGCTCGCGGGAGTGCGAGTGGGAGGAGCGCGCCGTTCGGTAGTCGACTGAAAAGCTGGGTCTGTGCGAGCGCGAGCCCGAGCCGCGACGCAGGGAGGCGGACGAGCCCGGGAGCGACACCTTGTGCTGGTGACCGGGACCGTTGAGGCGCTCCGGGTGGCCGTGTCGGCCCTTGCCGCCGTGCCGCCTACCGAGGGGCATCTCGTCGGCGAATCGATGCCCCTCTTGGAAGGCGAGATCCTCGCCGTCGGCGGTCATCTTGTATCCGTCCATATCGAGCATGTACTGCAAGTCCTCTTTGCGCTGCTTGACCTTGACGGGAGCCACAACATCGTCTGCAGCATCGTCGTGGTCGTCGTCCTCGTCGACAGCGGTGTCTTCGTCGTCGCCGTCGTCGTCGTGGTCGGCGTGGTGTACAGTCTTGCTGTGCTGCTGTCGCTGCTTGTGCATGTGCAGGTGGGTGGATGCGTCGGTCATTGCCGGGTCGATGGTCTTGTTGCCATCGCCTATGGGCACGGGCTTGAGGCGCTTGCCTGCAAGGTACTCGGAGTGGTGGATGGAGGCGACGCTCTCAGTCTTGCTGCGGTGTTTGCTGCCGGCGCTGGAGCCGAAGGGAGCGGGATAGGCCTCCTCGCCCGAGTCGATGCTGCGCAGGCTGTCTGCATCGTGGTCGCTCACCACCTCATCCTCGATGACCTGGAGCGCCTTGTCACGCAGCTGTTTTTCGAGCACTTCGGTGTGATTGGCGGGCTTGCTCTGAGGTGTGGAGTCGTCCTGGGCCTGTTGGCGCTTCTTGCCGTCGGGGCCGCCTTGCTCGGGCTCGTAGCTGTGTGCGTCGTTGTGGTCGTTGTCGACGGGAGCGCCGGTCTGGTTGTCGGTGGGGTCGTTGCGCTGCGCCTTTTCGGCGGTGTGGTCGAGGCGTGGGTTGTTGGTGCCGCCCATGACGGCCCTGCCAGCGGCGCCGATGACGCCGCTCGCCTTGGAGGCAGCGGAGCCGACCTTGTTGAGGAGCGAGTCGGAGCCGGCGGCGGAACCGGAGCCGGTCCTTGACGAGTCGGAGGGGACGTTGAGGTCGCCCTGCTCGTCGGGCTCGCCACTGCGTTTGTTTTGTTTGAGCTGCTGCTTTGTGTTGGTGTCGGACTCTGCATCCGCATTGGACTGGTCGGGGAGTTGGTCAGGATCAGACTCGCCGGCTTCTCCGAGTTCGAGCGGCTCGACCTCGATGGAGTCGTTGTTGGCAGCCTCGGGAGAGGTGATGGGGCTAGCAGCGGCGCTGAGGATGGGGCTGGTGACGAGGTCTGCGGGGATGTGGTCGTCGTCCTCGTCGATCTCCATGACAAAGAAGGCCTCTCCGGAGTCGCTGACCTTCATGGCAAAGGGGAGCGGGTCTGTAGAGTTGTTGAGATGGAGCGTGACCTTCCTCTCGCCTGGTCTGAGCACGCTCATCTTTCCGAAGCGGACGTGGAAGGGCGTGCTTGCGAGCTCGGTGACTTGGCGCGTGACGGTCTTGTACTTGCGTTGGTGCTCTGGCCGCACGCCGACCTGCGACTCGGGGAGCACGTTTCCGTGCGCATCGACTTCGACGTCCTCATGCTTGTCCACCGTGCGTTCTACGACGATGACGTCGATTGCGCCGCTGAGGGTGGCCGGGTTGATGTTGGGTGTGATGGTGTTGTACACCGTCGAGACGAGCTTGCCGACGTACTGCATGGTGTACGTGTGCCTCGAATGTCCGTGCTGCTGCTATGGACCATGCGCAGTCGTCGAATGGCAAGAGGAGGGAGGAGGTCGTGGGGGTGAAGCAAGGGTCTCCCTCTCTGCTCGACGAGGGACTCAAAACGTGGACCAATTTTCGGCTCCATTTTGGCTCTTTCTCGGCTGCATTTTCACGTCCGACTGCCTTCACTCTGTCGAAGTGCACTGTCCACCAGGCCGACTTGCCTTTGCCCGACTCTCTCTCTTCGGCCCGGCTCTGCTTTGCAATTTGTGTGGAGGCGACGCCGTCATCGCTGGCCTAAAATACACAAAAAAATCAATTTCCGCCCTCTTTTTTTTTGGTGTGATTCAGCCGATCCGATCGATCTGCTGGGCTCGCCTAAGCACATGTCAGGGTTCGTCACAGACCCTATTTGCGGGGTGGACCCTAGTGCCTCCTCCCTCCCTTCCATCATGTCTAGTATCATACCAACCTTGTGATGGTGGTAGCGACTTTTCACGAGGATACGCACTTGGCATTCGAATGCGCATCGGAGGTTTTTGGCGGCGCGCGTATCGATGGATTGAGCGCGATTCGCGCCGTAAATTCCGGACGTTTTTCTTTCAAAAATATGCCGGCGATTTAGCCGGCGCACTGACCACCGCTTCACTCTGCACCACCATCCGCATCACCTGCCGTCATGTCGGACATCGCCGTCGTCGGAAGCTTTTCCACGCCTCCAAACGGGTCTGGCAGCCCGAGGACGCTGCTTACTGAGCAGGGGGAGGCTCGGGATGCGCTGCTGCACATTGCGATGGCACAGGTGCTTCCGGACGATTCAGGTCTGCATGCCACCTCGCGCTCCGGCCTGTCGAAGCTCGAGAACTGGGCAGCCAGAGCGGCGCAAGAGGGCGCAGACGTAGTCGTGTTTCCCGAGTACTTTCTCAGTGGTGCAACCCACGAGCTATGGTCTAGCGTTCGTGGCCAGCAGTCGGAGGCAGAACAGGGAGAACAGGCTTGGCTTGATGTGATCCTGCACGTCGCGCGCAAGTACGATGTAGACGTCGTAGCGGGTACGGTTGTGGAGCTGGGCACCAAAGCCGAGCTACCGCACAGGAAGGATGGTGACGAGCTGTATAACACCTCGTATTACGTTTCGCGCGGAGGCGAGGTGCATCGATACACAAAACAGAATTTGTGGCATCCGGAACGGGCTACACTGTCCAACTCGCACCCTGGATCGCATCCGGACCAACACGAACTCGCAACGTTTGTGATCGAAACCAAACGTGGGACGAAAGTGCGTGCAGCGATGGCGATTTGTTGGGATCTGGCATGGTACGATCGCTTCAACCAAATGCTCACCCCACCCTTTTCCGCCGCTTCCGACCTCGATCGAGAGGGCCAAGTCAAGGGTCCGGATGTGATCTTTGCCCCGACTTGCTGGTACGCTTCAGACGGCGGTTCCGCTGCACTGGCTTGGAATCCAAACGCAGAAGCAAAGTTGCTCGACTCTCTAACCCAAGCCCGAGCTGTCGAGATCGAAGCCCTAGTGGTCATGTGCAACATCGCAGGTCCCATCTTCACCCCCGACCAAATGCAATCCCTCATCCAACAGATCAAGTCCAACCCGGACACAGATCTGCCTCTGATAGGACTGGGCAGAAGCACCATCGCTGCACCCTTCTTGGGCATCGCAGCACAAACACCCGATGCAAACGAGGCACTCCTGCTCCAATCCATCGACCTCAACGTCCTCCTAGACGCACGCCAAGTCTACCGCATGCGCTACGACCATGCCCTGCGCTAGAAAAATCAAGAATGCACATTGCCAAATTGTGCCTGCACCCTTAATGTCTGTGCTTGGCCTTCAACGCTGTGGCTTATGCGAGTGTCCGTCGCTATTGCTGTCGCTCAGCTCGTCGTCACCCACATCAAAGATCGCATCCTCCTCGTCGGGCGACCTCTTGCTGACCAGCCGCTCCAGCTCGTGATTATCTCCGCTCTCGCCACCCGTCGCCGCCTGCGACGCGCCAAATTCGGTGGTGGTGGCGAGCCTCAGTGCACCGCCTCGACCGATACGATTGGTGTCCATGCGACGTCGCTTGCGCGCGCGCAGCAACAGCCACGTTCCCACCGACACTGCAATCAGCAGAACTACCAACGCCAACGAGCCAGCATCGTAGTACGCTCGCCAGCGCGCCTCCTCTGCCACCTCGGCCTCGGTCTTGCCCGAGCCCGGGATGACGGGCGAGCCGTCCTTGCCGATCTGCGCCACGCCTCCACCTCCGCCCGTGACGAGGATGCGGTCAGGCTCATCGCCGACGCGCGAGGGGATCATGGCATTGGGACCGGCCACCTTCATGTAGTCGATGCCCATGAAGCGCACCATCATGTCGTGGCTCTCGATCGGCTTGTCCACCCCGACCATATGGCTGGCGCCGCTGATGCCGACGTAGGTGAGGTTGCGCGCCGTGCGCCACGTGCCCGCCAGACTGCCGTTGACGTACCAATCTTGCGCCGGATGCTCGCCGAACCCCTTGCTGCCGCCCCACTCGAGGTTCTCGGCGGTGCGTCGCACGCCAATGGCGTTGCAGATCAGGTCCTCCTCGCCCGCGAAGAGCAGCACGCGCACTCCGCTCTCGAGCAGCTCGGGCAGCAGCGACACCGAGGCGGGCGAGGTGACGTCGCTGCGCATGGCCGAGCCGACGTTGGCGTTGCACTCGACCCACGCCTCGGGCTTGTGGTCGTCGTCGACATGCAGCGCCTTGCGCACGTCGGGGCGTCGGAGGTAGTCGTACATGGCCGAGAGCGTGTTGGGCCAGTTCATGCCGCACGCGGGCGAGGTGTCGCTGAGACGCACGTCGTAGATGTTGATGCACGTAAAGGCGGACGAGCCGGGCGGTTTGGCGGTGGTGGCGGCTACGATGGTCTGGAGGATCTCGTCGCAGGTGCCAATCTCGCGCGGGCTGCCCGAGCTGGTCGTGAGCCTGGCGAGCTCCTTGTGGCAGCGGTCGACGATGTTCGAGACGCGCTTGTAGTCGTCCGAAGAGGTGGACCAGATCTTCTTGTCGATCATGGTTTCGAGTTCGGTGCCGTACTGGTTCTTGGGATCGATGAAGCCGTTGCCGATGGCGATACCCTTGAGTGTGACGGGTGGATTGTGGGCCTTGATGATCGCTTTTGCGGTGTAGGGGATGTATTGGCCGGCAAAGCTCTCGCCGGCGAGGTAGACGTCGACGCCGCTACCTTGGCTGCCGAACTTGAGCTCGACGTCGCGCGAGTACTCGGGGAAGACCTGGACGAATTGCTGCAAGAAGTGGAGCACCTCGTCGGCCGCCTGAGGCAAGGAGTTGGCATAGCCGTTTGTGTTGACGTAGCTGAAACCGGTGCCGACGGGCTGGTCGAGGAAGAGGATGTCGGCATACTCGTTCCAGCTTGCGCCGTCCTTGACCCACACAAGGCCACCCTTGCCGTCCATCCTCCAAGCACCGACCTCCATCATGGCGCCGTCGAAGGAGGAGCAGCCGGGCCCGCCGTTGAACCAGACGATGAGTTTGCGCTTGGCGGGGACGTGACGTGCTCGGAGCAGCAGGAAGAAGAGGTGCGCATTGTCCTTGGGTCGACCGTTTGCGCCTTCGGTGCGTGCAGGCAGGTAGCCGGCGGACATCTGGAGCGGGTGACCCACCGCCGACGATGAAGATCCTTCGCCATGGAGGTCGGGCAGCCCGGGCACGTGGAAGGATGAGGCGGCGGGGATGGGGATGCCGCGGCGCAGCAGCACCTCGCGCGGGTCGAGGAGCGGCATGTGGATCGAGTGGTGGTGGCGTGAGGGCAAGGATCGAAGCGCAGCCCAGACGAGTGACAGTTGTGAGTGTGATCGATTGATTGATTGATTGGGTGATTGAGAGAGTGGGTGACTTCAGGGTCGCCTCCTTGCTTGAGCTGCGTCGGAGTGAGTCTTCGCAGCGTGACAGCAGAAAGGCAGCAAAGAGGCGCGCGTGTCTGTGCGTTTGGGCCGGGCGGGATTTTAAGCAATGTTAGATTATAGAGACGCGTCTGGCTGCCGTCAGTCAGCACGAAGTCCCGACTCAGGGTCCAACTTGCTCTTTGCTCGCAGCTGAGCTCAACCGGTGGGGCCTCCTTCCTCTCGTCCATTCGCATCGCATCGGCTTGGCAATCGGCACACGAAGCAATGCGCCGCTGCGCTCAAGCTGCCTCGCCAGCATCGCCACCATGGACGGTCGCTCGGTCGATCCAAATCCACCGCCAGATCCGCATGCTGTGCTCCAGCAGCTCATAAGGCAGGCCGAAGCGCGCTCATCCTCGCCGCCTTCCCATCGAGACAAAGACGATCACAACGATGACGCATCATCATCCAGCGATGCAACCTCGCCACAGGCATCCGAAGAGACCGTACCTGGCCTGCTGCCCTACGAGCATATCTCGGCCATCATAGCCTCGCTCTCGGCCGATCGACGCGAGCTCACCACTCTGCTCCGCCAACGCAAGCTGCTCCACACCGCACACAAGCGCAACACGGCGCATCAGCACTCGCTCGAACGCTCACTCAACCTCCTCGCCAAGACGCGCGACGAGCTCAAATCCGCGCTCGGCTCGCTCGACGTCGCCGACATTGTGGATGCAGAAGATCAGTCGCTCGAAGTCATTCGCACACACCGGCTCGCCGAGGACGCTGCAGCCAGCTGCCCTCTACCCCCAGCAGCCGTGCAGCAAATCCCGCTACTCCGTCTGCAGTCCATCGAGCGCGCCGAGTTCGACAACGCGCTCGCTTCCAGAATGTGGATCGACATGGAGGACCACCAGATCCGCGCCGCCGTCAAAGCATCCGCGCTCAAGGCGCACACCATCGAGCTCAGCACCGATCCCAATTTCCACGGCGACCCACTCGCAGCAGCAGCCAGTCTCGACGACGATACCGTGTTTCGCCTCGCAGAACAGATCGAGCACTCGGCTCAAACTGCCTCTTCGCGTGGTTTGACAGCAAACGGGCTCGACTGGGCCACCATCGCCGGTCGAGTAGATGGGCGCACCATCGACGAGGTGCGCACCCGATGGAACGGCCACCTCCGTCCAGGCGTCAATAACGCACCGTGGTCGAAGGAAGAACTCGACCAACTCATCAGTATCGTCATGCCGCACTTGAGCGCCTACCTGAGCCGAAACAAAGACCCGGACTCTGGCGTCTCGACACAAGCACAACCACAGCACGAGCTGCCCGTCCCATGGCAGGCAGTGACAGATCAGCTTCGCACGGCTCGCACCGCCTATTCCTGCTTCGCTGCATTCTGCGAGGCGTTGGTGGCTCGCGATCAACCCGACGTGGAGCCAGTGGAAGACGAGGAGAGCAAGTTGCTCTTCAGCCTCTTCCGCGGCGCCTGGCGGCTCATGACGCTGCACAGCACTGCCACTCCGAACGTGTCCCCCTCGGCCTTGCTTCCCTCCACGGCTTCGGGATCCGACAACAAGGCGGGCGCGTCGTCTCGCACGGCGTCGATCTTGGGCAGCGTGGCACGGCATCCTCAATACGCCTATCGGCGATTCCGCAACACCACCGATCCCGCCATGGCCACGGGCAAGTGGTTACCGCACGAAGACCTGCTTCTTATCGAGGCAGTGCGTCTGCTCGGCCAGGACAATTGGGGTCCCGTGGCAGCACGTGTGCCCGGTCGCACCACACACCAGTGCCGCGAACGCTGGGTGCGCAGGCTCAAGCAGCTCGTAGCCTCCGCCGACACCGCAGCGTCCACCCACACCCACGCTGGACCAAGTACAACCACCGCAGTCCACGCGCAATTCGACGTTACGCAGCTCAAGGAGCTGCTGGGAAAGACGCGCAAGGTCCAGTGGACACCGGAGATGGACCGAGCCCTGCTGGGGTACGTCGACGCATCGCAGGATTACAAAAGCAAGGATGCGTCGACGTTCGGACGGATCGCGCAGCTCGTAGGTGCAAGCGTGGGTGTTGCGCTGTCGGATAAGAACGTTCGCGATCGGCTGGTGTTCTTTCGCCGTCAACGCGATTCGGCCGTGCCCAAGACTCCAACGGCGTCCGAGACGGCCAGTGCAGCCGCTGGACCAGCGAAGCGCGCGGCCGAAGACGTTGTGACAGATCCACGCGAAGAGGCAGAGATGTCCAGTGGCAGTCGGGCCGGCGCTGGTGAGGCCCGTGACGAGATGCCAGCGCGCACCACCATCATGCCCGGTAGCAAGCGGCAGAAGCAGGTGTGACCTCGATGAACATGCAATCGATCGGGGTGTCAAATTTCCCCCATTTTTCCGATTCCGATTTGTGAAATCACGTGAAGCAGCGAGAGAGAGAGGCTTCGGAAGGAGCGGGTGGATTTTTTCCCTTTGCATCTCGGAAGACCATCTCTCCACCTTGTCACTCTATCGCACCCCACCGGTCCGCATCGATCAGCGTTTCGTCCCCCAGGAGGGCTCAACAGTAAACTACGACGAAACGGCACGACTGTATACGCATCGCAGTATGGCATCACTCTTGCGCAACGCAGCGGTGCGTCGCAGCGCACTGTGCTGTGCTGGACCTTCCAACGCCTCCCTGCCCGTCGCTACATTCGCCACGTCGACACGCAGCCTGATTGCGGACAACAAGACTGACGCCACGCCTGCACGGGTTCACCGTTCTACATCCGAAGCTAGCGTTGAGGGGCAGGGTAAGACGCAGCGCGAAGCCATCGCCTCGGCCATGGGAGTGCTGGACACACTTGCGCGCGATGTAGCCTCTCCACCGCCTCGCCCGACCTCGACCGAATCCGTCTCCACTCCCTCGTCACCGGGGTTGGAAGCGGTCTACGACAGCACGGGCCCCGTCTACACACCATCTACACTTCCGCCTCGCACGGACGCTACACTGGAATTCCTCACGAACCTGCTCATGAAGGCGGGTAAAAAAGCGCAAGCTCAGCGATTCACCACGCGCACAATGTCGATCCTTGCGACGGTGACCAACTCGAACCCTCTGCCGCTGGTGCACGATGCGATCGAGCGCACCGCCCCACTGGTGAAGCTGCAGAGCAAAAAACAGGGCGGCAAATCGTTGCAGGTGCCCGTAGCGCTCACCCAGCGCCAAAGCACGCGCAAGGCACTCACGTGGATCATCGAGGCCAGCAAAAAGCGTCCCGACCGCGAGATCGAAAAGCGCCTCGCAGCCGAGTTCCTCGCCGTCATCGAGGGCACCAGCTCCGCCATTGCCAAGAAGGAGGAACAGCACCGAATGGCCACTGTCAACAGAGCAAATGCCGCCGTCCGAATCTAGTTTCCCTCACCACCGATGTGCAACTTGTAATGTAACTGTATTCCGACATGCTGGAAGTGACCTACAAGACTGGTTCGAAGAGCCGAGAGTGAGTGTGTATGACTCTTTGAGGGAGAGGGGGGGAAATTGCGATCGGGTGAGGGTGCGAAATCGGGGGTGAGATGAAGGTGTGCCGATGGTGAAGCGGTGAGGGGGCCATGCGCGCGCGTGCTAGAGGTGCGCTTAGCCGAGCCGAGCCGCGTTCGGAAAAGAATGCTTCTGTTGCCACGGCTCGTGCAGCGGCAAAGCGCCCAAAAATAAACGCGCGCATTTCGCAGAGTGTGTTGATCTGCAGCGCATGCATCCCAACACGCATCTGCCCTAAACTGGCGCCCTTTTTTTTTTTTTGGTCCAGGCCCCGACGCACGAAAGGCAGCGGTTTCAGCCATGTTTGACCCGACCAACAGCCGCTCTACACTGCTCTGCTCTGCCCTTTTCCGGGATAGCTTAAACATCGAGCTGGCGCATTTCGGATTGGCATCTTGACATCCCACCCCCACCATCGTCCTCGGTAACAATGACGCGTCGCTACCTGTTTCCCGCACTGGCGGTTTCGTTCGTGTCGATGGTGCTGCTGGTGCTCGTCACCATCAGCACGCCCACGACACTCTCGGACAGCACGCCGTTTGATTTCGTGCGTTCCTCGCGTCTCGACGGCATCGTCGATCTTAGCCCGGGTAGCAACGATAAGCGTCCGCTTGGCGCACTCAAGTTCGGCACCTGGGGCTACTGCTCCGCTCTGAACGGCACCGACAACTACGCCTGCTTCAAACACTCCCACGGCTACAGCGCCACATTCGGCATCAATCCAAACACTACCGCTACGGCGGCACGCGATTCGGTCACCATCGGCGCCTCCTGGACCCGAGGACTCGCTGTTCACGTCGTGGCTTTCGTCGCTGCTATTGCTGGCCTCGTCCTGACGGCTATCCCCAAGCAGCCAGTTCGTCTTGCTGCGACGGTGGTCAATGCGGTAGCCGCACTGCTGGCATTGATCGCGTTCTGCATCGACATTGCGCTGTTCGTCTACGTCCAGAAGCAGATGAAGAAGGTCGCCGACTCGCCCAAGAGCATGCCCGGTCCTGCATTCTACATGGCTCTCATCGCTATCCCCATCGCCATCATCGCCACCGCGCTGACGTTCCTCAACTGGAGATCCGAAGGCCTCGACAAGGTCGTCACCTCCGGCTACGATTACCCCGCCCAGACCGAGTGGAACTCGCACCAGATGCAACCCACCACCACCTCCACCGAACACACCCAGGGCGCCTCCTCCGCCAGCGCCCAAAAGGTCCTCGACGCCTACGAGGAGAGCAAGAACTAATCCTCCCCCCCCCCCCCTCCCTCTTTTGCGCTCATTTGCAATCACACGCTGCTCCCGTCTTTTGTCAAATCTTTTATTTCCCTCTGCTGGGGTAAAGGCTGGGCTAGGCGAATTCGGTGCCAAAGATCGTGTTGACCTTGTTGGCCGTATGCCAGCCAGCGAGCGCTGCGGCTATAGCGGCTGCTTGGGCGAGTAGCGCCACGGTGGCAGCGAGCATGAAGCGCGGCGTCCACACCTTGAACAGCATGAGGTGGCGGCTGAAGAGCGTGCCCGCTAGTGCGGCGGATGTGGTGAGCAGCAGGGCGTTATAGAGCGCCAGTGTGAGCAGCGCATGCAGCATCACGGAGGGTGTGGCCATCTTGCGGCCGCTTCCACGTGGGAGCGGGGTGGCATTCCACACTACCGCCAGCACCACCAGTAGCGGTGGGAGCAGCGAGACCGCGCCGAACGAGTTGAGTGCCACCAACACCGGCGACAGCGGGTAGCTGACCGTCGGGCTCGTGAGGAACGCTACGCGCCACTGGATCGACGCCAGTGTCGCCTGGTGACCGGTGCCGAACAGCCCGATGTAGCCCAGCAGCGCAAGCGACGCAATCTCCGCCGCGGAAAGGTGCACTGCTCCGGCGGGAGTTTCGGTGCGCTGACGGTGCAACACCACCCGATCCCTCTCGGCATCTCCCAACTCCACAGCCGCTAGCGCCGCAACCAGCACTGCGGCCAGGGCAAGCTGCCCAGCAGGCTGCGTCACCAGAAACAGCACCGCAAACACCGCACCCACCAGCAACACATAGCTGCTACCCAGACTGTTCGAGTATCCGAGAATCGTCACTTTGGTCTTTTCCTCGCCCTCCGCCGCTGCCTCGCGTCGGATCTCGAGACACAGCGGTGCGAAGACCCAGAACACCCCCGCGACCCCGGGCAGTCCGAGCGCCAACACCGCCACCCACCCCTTAACCCACTCGACTCGTGCCGCCTCGCCGCTCGCCTGCACCGCATCGAGCGCCACCGCCCAGTCCAGCACCCAGTACCCTGCCCCGAGCATGAGCGCCGGCCGCAGCGCCCACGTAAAGAACATCGGCGCCACACCCACGTAGCTCCTGCTCTGCGCCAAGAACCACGCCACAACGCGCGGCAGTGCAAACGCGGCTGCATACGATGCCACCATGACGTACGGACTGTTCAACGCCGCTGTGCCCGCAAAGAACGTCGAGGTGCAGTGAGCAGCCTGCTCCTCGCGACATACGCGCGGCATGGATGCGGCCCGAACGAGCAGCAGCGCAACTACCGCCATCAGACCCAATCGCACCTGCTGCCGCTGCGTGCTCGCTGCACCAACCGCGAACGCGCCCCGCAGCAGAAGCAGCACCGCTGAGGCGAGCAGCACGAAGCGATCCTCAAAGATCAGCAGCGAGTTGCTAGCGAACGACCCCGCGTGCAGCAGCAGTACTATCCATCCGGCTGCATCCAACACCCGAGTCGTCGTCGGCACCGCCACCGAATCCGACTCTCGGGTCCGTATGCTGCGTCGCAGATTCGCGCCCGACGCACTGAGTAGCAGTCCGAGTTGAGAGCCTACCGCGCTGCCCGCAAGCAGCCCGTCCAGCAGCGTCAGATTCGCCAACCCCGCCAGCACTAGCTGCGTAGCTGTCGCCGCAGCCGCACCCGTCGCCGCGCCAACGAGCGCAGGAGTACGCACCGCCGCATACACCACCCTGCCCAGCTCCTCCGCACCGCTGCTGGCCCTCTCCACCATTACGTCCCCATCGGCAGTGTCGGCATCGAGGCGACCAATGAGGCCGGTACGTGCGCCGGAGCGGAGCACCCACGCCGACGCGAGGCCCAGCACGAGCACTAGCAGCCCAAGCCCAATGCGCACCTGGTCGAACTGCGCCCACACGCTGCGTGCGCTCACGAGGCTGACGCGGTTGAACGCGTGGTACGCCTGCGCAGCCTTCCTCCACAGCGTCTCGACGTCCGCCTGCGCCGCTCGGCCGTGGAGCGCAGCAGCGAGCTCGGCGTCCGCGCGCACGGCGGCCAGCCAGCGCGCATCGAGCTCGGAGCGGAACGCCGCCAGATCGGGCGACTGCGCGGCGTACGCTGCGAGGTAGGTGCGCATCTGTGTCGCCATGATGCGCAGCGCACGCAGCAGCGTATCCGGATGCGCAAAGAGTTCGGGCACAACACTGCCCAGGTTGCTGTACGGCACACCCACCCCGAGCAGCAGCGCCAGTGTAGGCACCACGTCGATCTGCTGGATGCTCCGGTGGGCCCCATACGGCGGCGATGGCAGCGGCGAGAACGCGATGCGGCTTGGCAGCAGCGCCTCCAGCTCCGGTGTGGAGATGTACTCGGCTGCGTCCATCTTGCCACCGCGCGCCGTGTAGCCGAATCCGGACTTGGCATACATCCAGATCCCTGCGCCCACCTCGAGCTCTCCGTCGCCGCCGTGGTCGCCATGCTCGTCCATGCCGTGGTCGCCCAGGACCACCAGCAGCGTATCGTCATCCATGGCGTCCGTCACGTTCTGCACGAAGCGCTGCATCTCGCCCAGCTTCGTCGCCATCTTTTCGTGGCTCGCTCCGAAACGGTGCCCAACATGGTCGACGCCCAGAGTGTGTCCGACCAGCAGGCGCCAGTGGTCATGCACACCGGCCTTGCGGTCAGCATGCTGCGGCTGCAGGAAGGGCAGCAGGCGGGATTCGACTCCACGGTCGACCGTATCGAGGTCCTCGACGTTGAACGAGTCGTACGTCCACATGGTGTCGTTGTCAAACAGACCAGGTAACACCGTCGCCCACGTGTCGTCGCCTGCAAACACGAGGCCGGCGCGCGCATCCGCACCACGCTGCGCCAGGATCGAGGCGCGCAGCTGAGCGATCCACGTGTCCTCGTGCACGCGGCCGACGCCCGTGCCCGCCGAGCCAAAGTTGGCGCCCGCCTCGAAAAACGTCGGCAGCGTGCCTGCCGTAAGCCCCTTGAGCCGCTGCAGCGTCGTCGTGGGCGGATCCGCGGCGAAATGCGCCAGGAACCCAGCAGGACCCGGCCGCTTTGCATGCACGGGGCTGCCATGCTGCGCGGTGAGCTGTGCCGGAAGTGTGAGGACACTGTGATAGTGCGGATTCGGCTTCCATGCGTCTTCCACTCTGTCGGACACCGACCCCGCAGGAGGCGGTGGGGCGATAAAGTCGTACCGCAGCGCATCGATCACGATGACGACCGCCTTGCTATGCGTCGGCTTGAGCCTACACTCGCCCATGCCCGTTTGCGGATCGAGTGTCTCTGCCCATTTCAGAAGTGCAGCATCGTCAAACGCAGCCGGCGGCGCAGGAAGCGTCCATGCCGAGTCGGCGGGCCTGGTGCAGTTGTTGGCGCCTAGCAGCTCGTGACGCGTGAGGAGGAACCCCTTGACGAAGAGCCAGAGTCCGGCGAAGGTCTGCAGCAGCACGAGAACGAGGATGCCGATCACGGCGAGGAACGCGCGGTTCGGCGACGCCGCTTTGGGAGGTACACGGTCCGGATGCCGTGCGGCGTACGAGGAATGCGACGAGTGTGACGAGTGTGACGAGTGCGACGAGCGCCGTTGACGCAGCGCCGAGCTGCCAAACGCCGGATGCTGCGGCGTAGCCATGCTCACCTCGGGCGCTGGATTGAGCGCGGAGGTCGGCATCGTGCGGACTGAGTGGGTGATGTTGGTGTTGGTGTTGGAAGTTGCGAGCCGCGCAGATCGACGTCCGTGCTTTCCGCGATCCGATCCGTCTCGCCTCCACTCGCGAAATTTTGGACGTGTTAGACCGAATCATCGCTAGTCCGCAATCGGCGATCCACGCTTTGGTCGGAAGACCCGTTGTGGATGCACCATCAACGGCAAGATCCTTGGACCAGAGCAGGACACCATGACTGATGGCAATGACGATGCATGAGACCAGTTCCTGAGCGTGCTTACAATCTCGGAGTTTGTGCAGTGGATGTTCGAGCAGAGGTGAGGAGGGCGAGCCGTTTGAAGGCACTGCTAAGTCGACGGATTGAGCGCACCTCCTCCGATGGTCGGCGACGGGTACCACCACAAGGGGTCTCTGGCTTGTCGATCGTTGGCAGGCGTACCTCCCCTGAGGACCTTGATGAATACAGCCGCCACCGTCGACAAGTCGTTGTTGGTGGATTTCCGCCTTGCCCCGGCCCGGTATGTGCATCCGGGACTCCCATCCGCCCACGTGCACGCCCTGGAGGCGTCGCTACACATACCTCCTCGGGGGTACGACGCACGTAACCTGCTCGCTCTCTTCGACACTAAGAGTCACAGTCGCGACTGTTCACACTGTGGATAGACCAACATCCCAGTTTTCGTACTGCGACTAACACATTCGTTCGCAACCATACCTCTGCAGGGTGTCGCCGGGCTTCAGCGTCCTAGTGCAACCATCGCAGGCTTCGACGCTCGTATGGCTATCAGAACGGCAGGGGCTAGGATCTGCCACTCTCCGCCTTTGATTCGTCACTACCTCGCTCGGGCGTGGTAACAAAGTATCAAGCTCAATCTCCGAAACCAAGCCTCATTCCGCGTTACCCGTCTCTTTCCTCTTGAGATTGCGGATGCCAACGTCGCAGTGGATTACACGAACCTCATCGCCGCAGGTTCCAGCTTCGAGTCCACTGCGACGTTCGCATCCGCAATCTCAAGGGATATCGGGCCGACACTTCCAAGTACCGTCCAAGTACCGATTGCAGCCTCTCTAGGACAGCGGTGGCTCCGCCTGCCTCGATCTGGTGTTGCTGTTGGCCCATCTGGCCGATGAGGACGGCATGTTTTGCGCGCGGGCTGAGCATCGCTCAGGCTTTCGACACGATCAATGCCGCGTACTTTGACACGCACGACTTCCTCAAGGTCGCCATCTGACGCGAGGCAGGCGATCGATTCGTCTTCCGGGCCATCGAATTGACAGCCAAGGGTGCAGGCGAGGCCGAGTGGACCGTCTCGTCGACCGTACCGTACAGACTGATCATGGCCGTCGATGCCGACAACAAAGTCGCCAGAGCAGCCGTCCAGTCGGCCAAGAACCAGGTATTGTCGGTGTCGATGAAGCAGCGCGAGGAGACGTAGTGGTGCCCAGCACGAGTGAAGCGTGGAAGCAGCAGCACGACCTCGTGCGACGTGATGGAGAGAAAACGGCGTCTTGGATCCGATCGTCGCACCGAGGTCCCGTCGCACGCGCCCTCCTCCTTCCAAACCCTCATCTCATTCCTCGCTTCAGCCCCGCAGCGAGCCCCACTTCGAGCCCTAGCCCAAGCTCGCTGTTCCCTGGCCTGCAATAACGCCTCTTCCCGCCACCCTCGCCCTTACATTCACCGCCACCACTCTTCCCACCCAGCAAGAGCCGTCCTACTTAGAGATCACAACTTACTCCGCGCGCTTGCTCCGGCGCGGTTGCTCCGGCGCACAACGACGGAATCGCATTCCACCACCGCTCTGCAGCTCAACTCATCCGCGTAGCACAGGCGCAAGGCAGCGACGCGCCCACACTCACCTTGCCTTCCCCACACACGCGCGACCTGCTGCGTTCAACACTGCATCGGCGTCCACTAATCTACATATATACAACACGAGCTATATACAAAGGCTATTTACACCCTCCTTTACGGAGTTACTTGCTGCTGGTTGCAGACTTGAGTCTCCTGAGCAGATCGTCATCCTCACTCGTCTCGGGATGGAAGGTCAGCTTTCCGTCCTTGAACAGCGTGACTGTATCGACGGTTTCGCCGTCCTGAACCACCTCCTTCTGCTGGGTCTTCTTGGTCTCCCGTTGCGGTTCGGAGCGCCAGTTTCCGCCGATGCTGGCAACCACAAAACCGGGGACCATGGCGAGGATGCTCTGGTGGTGGATGTTGGCCGACTTGAGCTGGTGTGCGCGCGACTCGTAGATCCTCGGCGTGGCGCGGATACGGCCGCTGCGAATGCCGCGGAACGAGTTGAGCTGCTCGCCAACCTGACCCACCGCAGGAAGCCATTCGGAGAACGTGCGTGCGCGCGTGTCCTTCTTGCCGTCGTCGGATCCATCCACATCGCCAGACGTCGCAGGAAGCGCGTTCGGGTCCGACATGATCCTCCACCTAATCAGCAGATCCTCGATGGGCTGCGTGGGGATAAGTCGAATCAACACCGCCAGCGGCCACGATACCGCACCGATAACGATCGAAACCGCCCAGTCGCGTCCAGTGAGCTTGATCACCGAGAACGCCGCACCGCCAACGAACATGATGAGGATCTGGAATCCAATCTCAATCGCCATGATGCCCAGGAACCACGGGTTCTTGTGCAGGTTGCTGAAGATGTTGAGCTTGCGGTTGAGCGAACGCGAATTGACCTGGTTGAACAGCTGGCACCACACGAACGAGTTGAACACCAGCGCAGAGAGTTCCGTATCTTCGCGCGCGATCGCCGCCTCGGTGGTACCGTTCATGCCCAGGATCGACTTGCCGGCAAAGTTGAGCACCAGGATCACGGTGAACTGGTAGATCGACTGGCCCACGATCATCTTCCACATGTCGGTCGAGATGAGCGGCGCAGTGCGGCGGTCCGGCTTGCGGTCCAGCAGTTCAGGCGTGGCAGGGTCGGTGGCGAGCGCAAGTGCGGCGAGCGTGTCCATGATCAGGTTGATCCAGAGCAGCTGCACCGCCTTGAGCGCCGATTCGCCCTCCTCGGACGCGACGGCGGTGACAAAGGTGACAATGACGGCCGAGATGTTGACGGAAAGCTGGAACTGGAGGAACTTGCGCACCGCATCGTTGACACAGCGGCCCCACATGATGGCGCTGACAATCGAGGCAAAGTTGTCGTCCATGAGAATAATGTCCGAGGCCTCCTTGGCCACCTCGGTACCGGCGATGCCCATCGAGAAACCGACGTTGGCTGTCTTGAGCGCGGGACCGTCGTTGGTACCGTCGCCGGTGACACCGACGACCTCGCCGAGGCTCTTGAGCGTCTCGACGAGGATCTTCTTGTCCTCGGGCGAGGATCGGGCGAGCACCTGCAGCTTTGGCACCACCTCGAGCATGTCGGTTCGGCTGAGCTTGCGGAAGACGGGGCCTTCCATGACGATGCCACCGGGAGTATAGATACCACACTGGGTGGCGATAGACTTGGCGGTGAGCACATTGTCACCGGTGCACATCTTGACCTGCACACCAGCACGGCGGCAAGCTTCGACGGCGTCGGTGACACCGGGTCGCAGTGGGTCCTCGATGGCGGCGATGGCAACAAGCGTGAGGTTCTGGGCGAGCGAGGCGTACTCGACCTCGCCCGACTCGTCATACTTGGCGTCGGCGGGCGGGAAAGCCTCGAGGTCACGGTAGACGAGGGCGAGGGTTCGGAGCGTCTGGTTGGCGAAACCGGTGATGGTGGAGTTGACCTTGTCGAGCTTGGCGGCATCGAGCGGCTCGACGTGAACAGCGTCGGCATCCTGGCCCTCAACCTCGACGTGGTGAGTGCAGAGACGGGTGAGGACCTCGCTGGCACCCTTAAGGTAGACGCGGAAGCCGCCCTCGGGGCGCTTGACGACGACACCCATGGCCTTGCGCTCGGAGCTGAAGGGGATCATCTGGACGACCTCGGCGCGGTCTCGCGAGGCACGGTAGTCCTCCCAGCGGAGCTCCTTGGCCATCTTGAGCAGCGCGGTCTCGGTCTTGGAGCCGACAAATCCAATGTCCTTCTTCTTTTCCTCGGTGGCGGCCTTCTTGCTCGACTTCCACTTGAGGAGACCAGAGATGCCGTGCTTCTTGACAGCGACGACGGGGCTAACAGCCGCATCGTCGGAGGCGGATTCGGCGTCCTCTTCAAAGGCAGTCGAGTTGATGGCGATGGAGTCGTTGAGGAGCTTCTGGAGCGGCGTGCTGATGGCGCTGTTGAGCTCGTTCTGCTCGACGATGCGGGTCTGTGCGTTGGCGGAGGAGTCGTGCTCGGTCTCGACACGCTTGCGGTTGGCCTCGAGGCGGTCGGCAAACTTGAAGTTGACGCCGATGCTGCCGGCGACGACGCTCATCTCGTTCTGGGTGAGCGTGCCGGTCTTGTCGGTGCAGACGACGCTGGCGTTGGCCATGGTCTCGCAGGCGCCGAGCAAACGGACGAGGAGGTTCATCTTTGTCATGCGCTTCGTGGCAAAGGCGAGGGCGAGCGTGACGGCAAGGGGCAGACCTTCGGGCACGGCGACGACAACGACGGTGACGGCAATGATGAGGATCTGAATGAAGTCCTGCGCCTTGTCGTTGGCGGTGCGGTCGGGCTCCTGGGCGAGGTGAACAAAGAATCGGATCATGAGTGCGGTGAAGAGAATGATACCGGCGGAACCACCGAGCCAGGCGATGAGGTCGGCGAGGCGGTTGAGCTTGGACTGGAGCGGGGTGTCTTCGGCGTCGCTGCGGAGGGAGAGCATGAGCTTCCCGTTGAAACTGGTGGAGCCGACGGCGATGACGACGTACTCGCCGACGCCCTCGAGGACCTTGGAGCCGGAGATGAGGAAGCAGTCGCGGTTCTTGGGCTTGGAGTTGGTGCGGCGCGCCTCTTCGAGGTCCTGGATGCACTCGTCGTAGGTGACCTTGCGGATCATGTCGGACTCGCCGGTGGCGCCGGACTCGTCGCACTTTACATTGTGACCGCGGAGGAAGATGCCGTCGCAGGGGACGATCTCACCGGGCTCGAGCTGGAGGATGTCGCCGACGACGACGTCGTAGACAGACATGAGGGCGGGCTTGCCCTGACGGATGACCTTGACGTCGCGCTGCTCCTTCTTTGCGTTGAGCTTCTTGAACTGGCGCTCCTTCTGGTAGTCGTTGACGGAGCCGACGAGGTCAACGATGACGACGGCGACGAGGATGGCGACACCCTCGACCCAGTCAACCTGTGCGGCGTCGCAGATGGATTCGACGCCGTTGACGGTGCAGGCGACCTGCTCGGGGGGCGTACCGAAATCGGTGTAGAGACCAAGGGCGAGCGAGATGACGGCGGCGATACAGAGGAGGATGAGGATCTTGTCCTGGAGGGCGAGCCACATGAGGAGGAGGAGGCTGTTGGACTTGCGCTCGGGTAGCGTGTTGTTGCCGAATACGCGGACGCGGTCCTCTTCGGAGGCGTTGACAAAGTTGGGGTCTCGGTTGGTGGGGTCGGCGATGGCGGGTGTGCTCTCGATGTCGTGGTGGGCGGCGCCGGACTCGATGGCCTTGACGCCGCCGAGGTCGAGACCGCGGTGCTCGTCTGTGCCGAGGGATGCGAGGACGCCCTTGACACCGCCCATGTCACGGAGCTTCTCTACGCTCTTTGGGTCGAGGAGGTCGGCGAGCTCGATGGGACGGAAGGGGAAGGGGCGCGGGTCGACGTTGCGCTGACGCTCCTTTTCGGCAGCGAGCGCCTTGGCCTGAGCCTCACGTCGGCCGGAGCGTGTGGTGCTCTTGAAGGCCGACTTGACGCGGCCGAAGAAGCCCTGAGGAGCCTCATCGGCGTTGTCCTGAACGGCTGCGGCCTCGGAGGCGATTTCGACGTGCTTTTCGGTGGCGGACGACATGTTGTATGATGCTAGCCTATACCGTGTCGGGCTAGGGGGAGCTCGTTGGAGCTTGGTGTCGGGTGATGGGTATAAGCAAGGATTCAAGCAGACATGTTCTTGCTGGAAGGAGAGAGGGGGATGGTCGGGTCACAAATGCGACAGGCGGAGAGGGGGGTTGTTGGTCAAGACGAAAGAGGAAGGCAACGATGGAAGATGGACAGCAAATGCCAATGACTATATAGCGGGCTTGGGAGGCAATCGGCAACAGAGACGGGATCGATGGGGAGTGTGGGTGTGGGTGAAAGCGGTGCGCGCGTCTAGCGATGTGGATCGAGCGAGCGAGGTGCGGAGGAGAGAGAGGAACGTGCTCAGTCCTCAGTGGCGGAGCTGCAAGCGGGTCGGAGGCATGGAGCTCGCCAAGCCGTCAAAGAGGGCAGCTGTGTGTGCAAAGTCGCAGCACGCTCTTCCGCTTTCTTGGCTAAGAGAGAAGAGTGGCAAAGCAACGCGACAAAGGCATGAAGCTCCAAAATGCGGCGGTGCTGCTTTGCATCGCATCCTCTCGTGGCACTTTGCGAACAAAAAAGGGTCTCATCCGCCACACTCCACAAAGAAAAGCAAACGCGACAAAAGGGGGTTGCAGATGCAGTCTCGTCTTTTTGTTTCGAGCTTTTCGACGCGCATAAGCTTGGGCCTCATGCATGCCAAGACTCGGTCTCAGCTCCGCCTTTGGGCGCTTCAATGCGTTGCTGCTCCACCGCGCTATTTTGGGTCTCTCTCTCTCTCTCTCACCCACTCTCGCTCCACGACCCACCCTTGACGACTGCTCGAAAACAGATGCCCTGGACCCAACTGCGCCTCTCTCTCTGGCTTTGACGTCTTGGCACCAGCCCCTCACCTCTCCATCCCCCATCCCCACGTGTGAGCTTGGCCCCATCTTCAACTGCACATGCACACGATCATCTTCCCCTTTCTCTTTCTCGCTCCCGTGATCGGTATGATCGGAATGACTCGCAGCTTCGACTGACCAAATGAAGCCAGAATGAAAGAGCCGCTTCTGAACGGTGCTCAGTCACCCTTGGGTCAAAGAGTGAGGCGGTGAGGCAGATGACGAAATTGCGTGGGATATTTTTTTTTTTTTTTTTGAAGCGCAACCACGCCGAGACAGGTCGCGTTCGCCAGAATCCTTCTCTCGAATCGAGGCTGTGCTGCCATCCCCCTACCACCCGCAGTCACCGCTCAGAAAAAAGTCTTGGCGTCGGGTCTTGGCTCGCCTCATCCCTCACAGCCCAACCACAATCCCCCTCCAGCCAGCACGTGCGCTTCATCCCTCGCTTCTCCTTCTCACCGATTCCATCTCCGCTCCCGTCCAGCCTGTACTATATCTCACATCGCCCGGATCCGTTCATCACAGGCTCGTCCCCGATCGATCCTTGAGAGAAAAGAGTTGATTTTTTTGAGTGGTGAGGGATGTCAGATCTCGAGACGCTCGAAGCTGTAGGCGCCCACCAGCATGCTCTGCTCCAACAGTTGCAGACGGCGCGTCTTGGCCTCGCCCATGGTGCCCAGCTTGAGTCCCAGTCCACCGCCCATCTCGGCCCTCGCCGTCGCCTCGGCCTTGCTGCTCGCGTGCACCTTGGCATTGCCCGCCGACGCCATGGCGCCACTCGCCGCCAACGACGTGCCTCTCTTGCTGCTCTTCTTGTCGCGGCTCGCCGCCTCGCTCAGCAGCGCATTCTCCTGCTGCAGCTTGGCAAACGCCGACAGCGGCGCATTCACAAGTCGCAGCGTCGACATCAGCTGCACGTATCGTCCGATCGTCGCCGAGAGCGCCTCCACCGTAGCGTGCGTGCGCGGCGTCGTGAGCAGCAGCGGGAAGAACGTGTCGAGCACATCCGTCGCCAGCGCCATCGCCGCTTCCGCCTTGGGCATCTTGCTGTCATCCCCGCGCTCAACCACCTGCAGAGGCAGTTGAATCGTCTGGCTGATCCACGCGTTGCACATCTGCAGCAGCGCCACCACCGACTCGACATCGTCGCGCAGCTGCGTCTTGAGCGCACTCCTCAGAGCCGCCCGCGATACCGGCACCTCCACCAGCTCCACCACCAGCGCCATGAACCCAGCTGCCGCCTTGGATGCGCTCGACGCGCTAAGCCCTCGCACCGCCGTCATGAGCAGCGATACCAGCGTCTCTTCCGACACTTCCGGAAGCCGCTCAATCGCCGCACGCACCAGCTTCGGCTCGTTGCTGCTCCCGATCCTCGCCCAGAATTCCGAAAGACGTGCTGCGTTGGAGGGCGACGCAACCGCACCGTTCGCCGCCGTCGATCCCGCCGTGGGCTGCAGCGATGCAAACACAGACGGATGCACCCGTGCATGCTTGAGCATCGTCACCAATGCCGCCGATGCAGTCAAGCCAGACGCGCTACCCTTGCGTGAAGACGGCGCCGGAAGCAGCACGTCGAGCAGCTCGCCAAAGAACGCCGTATCCGCCTCGGGTGCAGACATGGTCTCCACCATGCGTCCGTCCGCCGTAGAAGCCTCGATCCACTGGCTGATGAGCGTGTTGATCTCGGCGCCCTTCGCCTTGGCATTGCCGGTCGCCTGTGAGATGCGCTTGATCTGGTCCAAGACGTCCGCTCGGCTCGCATCCGATGCCGACACGCCAGCTGCGTCCGCTGCGTCCGTGGCAGCCGTCTGAATCCATCGCGCCGTGAGATCGCCCTTTCCGAGTGCATCGCGCAGCACGCTCGCCTCGGGCACCACAAACGGCATCGAGAGCACGCAGAGTCGGCGCTGCTGCAGCTGCAGGAGTGCCTCTGCGTTGGCGGACGAGTCCGAGATGCGCGCTGCCACCGTGGGAGCGCCGATGGTGATGACGCTGGTCGAGCCCGCGATGCGCGTTGCCGAGATGGTCGTCATGCGCTGCAGCAGGCCGAGCGTGGATGCAGCCGCGCTCGAGGGCGCAACAAACGGAACGGCCCAGTCGATCTCACGCAGCACTGCGCCCAGCTCCACATCAACGATGAGCGCCGCGATGCGCTCCTTGTCCTGCGTAGCCGGTGTGGCGCGCGTCACGCCGACGACCAGCGCATGGTCGCGGCTCAGAAGCAGACAGCACGCCGGCGAGGCGGTCGACGACGACGACGGACGTGCATTGCTCGCCGGAGCCAGAGCCGGAAGTAAGCTCGCGCCGCTTCGGACCAGCACCGGCTCAGCGCTGCTGGAGGTGGAGAGCTTGAAGCTGGTCAATTGGCCGTCGATGCCCAGAAGCGCCAGACGGCCGGCCGAGTGGAAGTGCACATCCTGAACGTGACGAGCGCTGGTGAAGCCTGGCACCTCGATTCTTCCTAGCTTGACCAGAGCAGCCATCGCGTCCGAGGCGCCGTCGAAGCTCTTGACAAATGCAGTGAGCTCAAGCGTGAGCGGACCGCTGGGGGCGCCCTTGGCGGGAAGATGGCCGCTCGAAGCGGCCACGTCGTCGTCGTCTTGGGCATCTTTGGCGCTGGGTTTGGAGCTGGCATCCTTCTTGGAGCGCTTTGACCTCTTTTTCTTCTTGGAATCGTCGCCGGCCTTGGCAGATGTGCTGGCAAGGATGTAGTCCGAGGTGACGGCGATGCGCAAGCCAAGAAGAGCCGCCTCTTCGATCTGCGAAGAGTGCGAGACGAGAGCTTTGGCAGAAGGTGCGTCGAGGATGTTGACGTAAAAATGGGAGCGTTGGTGGCCCGCGCCGTTGGTTGCGTCGATGGTCTGCACCACCTGCATCGACGTCGATGCGGTCTGTACCGAGGCTTCGTCGTCAAAGGTGATGGGCGACGACGAGACGAGCGTGAGGCTGTCGTCGGGATGGGTGAGCACCAAGCGTCCATCGCTGAGCGGGTGGATGAGGCGGACAGGCTTGTCGAGGGGGAGCACCTCCTTCTTGAACTGCACCTCGGCGTTCTCCTTGCTCTTGGCGGAGAGTTCTTCGACGAACGCCCACAGCTCGTGAGATGCGGCGACGGCGGCGCGGCCGGACTTGGAGCGTTTGTGGGACTCGATGCCGACGTAGGTGGTGCGGAGCGATCGACCGGCGCCGAGCGAGCTGAGCAGCGTGAGGGGAGCGGACGAAGCTGTGTCGGCGGAAGAGAGGGTGAAGCTCTGGATGGGCGTCTGCGTCTGCGGGTTCACCAGGTTGAGCGCGTTGGCAGCGACGAGGATGGGCAGAGTGCCCTTGAGCCTGCGCAGCGTCCTCGCATCCGACGATAGCTTGTAGGCTGCACCGGTGCTGACGGTGGAGCACTTTGTGGACGAGAATCCGGTGGCTGGGAGCGCAGCGTGGCGTGCGAGTTCGGCCGGAGCTGCACTCGGATGTGCCAGCAGCGATACGGGCTGCGACAGCTCCGGATGAGCCGATGCCGACGCCATGATGCCGGTGGGAGCGAGTCGAGCGGCGTGGGAACGAAAGTGTTTTATCGGATGGGTTCCGACAGTGTGATCTCTGACTGCGGCCGTGAGGGGTGAGGTTTCGGTTTGGAGATGAAGAGCGCCTTGTTCAAGGTTGCTGGTGGTCGTTGGAGGCAGTCAACCTAGAGTACGAACAGCTCTTGTCAGAGAGCGTCTACAACGGCGAAAAAATTCAGGAAGACACGCGAAAGCTCTCCTACAGCCACGATTTTTTTCGTGCATCTCCACACCCTGTCGGAAACTTGTCATCATGACAAACCACGGGCTGGAGGTCTATGAAGTGCAGTCTAACATGCTCGACCGAAAAAAATCGCTCCTCTCGCGGTTGTTTGCATAGCTAGGAACGGAAGCTTATCGGCTCATCATGGTTGTGATGAAGTCGAGGCAGCTGAGGCTGTGTGGTGGACAAAGCAGGTCCATGCACAGAGTTCATCACACGTTCCTGTGTGTGAACGTTGAGCATAAAAAGCGAGACGAGCCAAGCCGAGCTAAACCGAGCCAAGCAGACGTGTCGAGACGAGCCGTTAGAGTGCGGAGATGTGGCGCCACCGAGTTGCGCAGAGCCAGAGAGAGAGGAGGGGGAGCAGGAGAGTGCCGCTGGTTGGTTGGTTGGTTGGTTGGTTGGTTGGTTGGGTTGGTTGACTTCGGAGCTGCATCCCGACGCATGAGCTTTCTTTCGGCGCGGTCCGAAAGATCTTCACTGCAGCTGGCGGCATGCGTCCGTTGGTGCGAATCGACGTGGCAGGTGCAGCGTCCCTTCTGCCTGTTTCTTTTCCCAGTGAGCTGCCCTTTGCAATCGTGAATGCTGCTGGCTTCTCCCATCGGATGCACCGCACCAAGCTCACGACTCTCTCTCTACGCGACTCTACGCTGGGTCGAATCGCGCTCGCTTCTGCATCAAAGGGCCAGCGCCAAATGCTCGCTAAAAAGGGATCGCTTCCGTCGCGCTCCTGGCTTGCATCGCCCAGGGTCTGCTGCGTGCAGTTTGTGCATTTGGGCCATTTGACTCGCTGCTGACTGGGCCGTCTCCGCATTGGCAGACTCCGCTCATTCTTCTTCAAAAAAGCTTTTTTGGTTCTCTTTCAGGGCGACTGGCCGGTCTCGGCAGATGCGAGCGACTAACACTCTAATCGGCCCACTTGGCCGGCGCGTGCTCGTGTGCTCGTGCTCGTGCCACTTTGCCGCCCGCAACGCCCAATTCAGGGTTGCGCTCAGGGCACCTGCGCAGAGAGCAGTGGCTCAGAGCGCAGATCCAAACGCTCTTCTCTTGTTGATCCACGCTTGGCCACACGCATGCACGCAACTCCCTCCAACCGCCGTCGCCGCCGCCACGACAACCACACACGCTCATGCCTCTCGTCTGTTGGCCATCTCCGAAACCCACCGCACCTCTCCGTCCACAATACGGTAGCAGGTAGCCACCCGACGCTCTCCCATCGCAAGGACCCGCCCGCCCGCTCGCCCGCCCGTCCCCTTTGTCGTCGCACCTCACACTCCCTTTGAGCGTGTGCAACGGCTTCCTCCCCCCACCACCATCCCCCTCCCTACCCTCCTTTTCATCGACATCTTTTGACGACCACGACGCGCGGCGACTCCGCTATTACAACCTCCTTGCGCGCTCAGTCTCGAGAGGAAGTGCATTCCATTTCATCGGGCGCCCCAGCACGGCACTTTGGTTGGCACCACGTCACTGCTGCCAGTCGGCGTCTTGAGCTGCCACCCGTCCTCATTAAGTTTCCTGCACTTAGGCGTCGGTCGCTACGCAAGCAACAAAAGCCCTGCATCCAAACCCGCTTCCGCTTTTCATCTCGCCCCTCTCACCCGCGAATCTCCTTTTCGTCGGTCACCCGCATCATTCGCCTCCATCCTCTTTGTCGGACATTACCCAAAGATGACGCCTTGATTGGCTCGCACCACTGCTTCGATTTCCTTTCGCCATTGCATACCCGTCACAGGCATCTACCGCCCTCTGACGACTCCCCTCTCAGCAGCAGCCAGTCGCCTTTCGCACTTTCGTCCTAAACAGAGGCATTCTACATCACCGGCAACCCGACAAGCATCCGTAAGGAGCACCCGGCCGCCACCGCATCGGGCAAAGTCCCTCGAGCATGCCCGCATCCTTGGAAAATGGCGCCGCCGCCTTGCGCGACGTTCCGTCCTTTGTCAGCGCTCGTGCCGCAAACACCATCATCTCCGAGGATCGTCCCACCCGCATCCAAGCAGAGACGCTTCTCGTCCTCAATGGCTTGCTCGACGAATTGCTCCTCCTCATCCTCGCTTCCGCCAAAAGTCTAGCCACCGACCGCATCAAGTCGGATGGCATGCTCAAGGTCCTCAGCAACAACCTCTTGGCAAAGGACGCCGTGCTCGAGGCCGAGCTCGAGCTTCGCAGCTACGTCGATGGCAAGCGCGCAGAAGGCGCAAAAGTGCCCTTGGGCCTCATGGCCACTTCCAGACTCGACGGCACCGACGGATTTCCTGTCCAGAGCGCCTTCAAAGCTCTCCGACTGCGGTGTCAGTTCTACTCGACGCTCGGCGACTGCGACGACGAAGGCCTCGCCAAGGACCAGAACATTATGAGCACAGACGGCCGCCCCATCGCCACCGTCACCCAAGGCGTCGCCATCTACGTCACCGCGCTCCTCGAGTACGTCGGTCAGCACGTCCTCCAGAACGTCTCCCGAGTCATCGAGCGCGACAACTCCGACGAAGCCAGCCTCTACGACCTGCGCGCAGCAATCACCGAGGACGAGCAGCTCAACCCCCTCTACAACAAGATGGCCATCAAGCAGGAGCTCGCACGCCGCATCGACATCCTCGAAGCGCGCAGGCGCAAACTCACCGAAGATGGCGCCAGGTCCGGCGTCCGCTCCGACGCACGCGTCGTCAAACCCTGGCACGTCCCCACCGAGGGCGACTTCGACGAAGCTGCCGGGCCCACTCTATTCTCGGCCAAGCGCGCCTCGGTGCAGCAGCCGTTCTCCACCGCCTCGTCATCCAGGCACGGCCATGCAGCTTCGAGCAGCATCGGACACGCGGACAGCTCGTCTCTGCGTGCCAGTACATCCACGCTGCGCACCTCCTCTTCCATTGCCAACCACAACACTCCCGAAAGCTCGTCTCTCGTCTCGTCCACAGGTGGTGCTGCGGCGCAATCAGATTCCCGCTCATCCCCTGCACGCAATGCCTCTGGCAGCACTTCTCGCTCCGAGGCCAACACAGGCAGCATCGGGCGGCGACAAAGCTCGGATCGCAGCTGGTCCGGCATGTTCGGAAGCATGAAGCGACGCGGCAGCTTTAAACAAGGATCGGATCCCAATGGAACAGCAGGTCGTCCCTTTCTCCAGCCCGATGCCGCCTCCTTGCAGACCAGCCAGTCCAGCTCGGCGCTCGATCCGGACGACGACTTTGAAGCGCTCATGCTTTCCAATCAGACCATGAAGGTATCGCTCACTCCCAATCGGCTTCACACCATCGAGGTCGCCAAGAAGGGCGATGATGCCAATCTCGGATCTGTGCGTCGACGCCCTGGCACAGCCGGTCTACGAGACGAATCTGCCCCGGTAGCTGGCGCATTCGGCCAGGCACCCAGCCCTTCTGCAACGCTCAGCTCGCAAATGTCCGATGCCCAGTCAGGTACCGCCAATGGCGCCGCCGGTGTTGTCCCCGAGACAACCTTCCCGCGCCCGAGCTCCCGCGCTTCGCTGCAGACAGCAGTGCGTCCAGAGCGCAGGGCTGCTGCGCCTCCGCCCTCGTCCTACCGCAGCCCATCTCCTGCGTTCCTTGGCAAGACGAATCTGCTGGTGCGCGATGTATTGGAGGAGGACGCCGGTCTGCCGGCTCAGATGTCTGCAGCGGCACCGCGCCGTAGCGGGCTGCGCCTTCAGCCTCGCGATGACGAGGCAGAGCGCGGATCCTCGAATGCCAAGGACCTTGTGGATCTCTTCAGATCCACACCGCCTTCGGCGACGTCGGAGCGATTCGGCAACTTTGGATCGGACACGGCTTCGCTCAACGATGCATCGAGCAAAAAGTCGGCGATGGGCGACCGCGTCCGCACGCTGTTTGGACGAAAGTCGACCAGCAGCTCGGGGCATGGCACGCCCGCTTCGCCACAGCAGAAGACCCAACGCTCCATCGCACGTGGCGACACCAAGCCGAGCCTCGAAGGCTCGCAAGACACGTACATCACCAGCAGCACCAACAACTCGATGGAGCAGTCCAGATCGCTATTCTCGCCCAATGAGGCGCCTTTCAACCGATCGGCAGCATCGCGCTCGTCGACCTCGACGTCCGAACACCCGACGGCCAGCGCAGACGCAGCACCCGATTCCAAGGTGACTCCGGATGTCACGGTGGTCGAGCCCGACACCGACTCGCCGAAAGGGACCAATGGACTGGGCATCGCATCGACGGCTGCAGCCGCTGCAGCTGCGGCGGCTGGCACGGCCGGTATCATGGCGGCGGCTCGCTCAGCCAGCCACGGCTCGCGCTCCACGAGTCACGCTAGCCAGACGCCGAGCATAGCCGAGGGCACCATCCACGACGACACCATCGCTGATGATGCCTCTGCCACATCCAAGACCAAGGTCACGGAAGAGCTCGTGAGTCGCAAGGTGCCGTGGGGCTACAAGCGCAACTCGACGAACGCAGGCCAGTTGATTGAGCGCAGCGGCACTCCCCTGTCCGACCGACGCAGAAGCATTGGCTACCAAAGCTCCAATGGCCACGGCGTGCTGCCTGTTCGTGGGGCGTCGAGCGCAGCGTTGTCTGACAACGGTCACAGTGCAGGTGGAGCGACGGTGCCGACGACACCCATTGCATCGACTGCCGACGAGCAGGGTGCGGCAGCCTCGGCTAGCTCGGTTGTTCGCTCCGCCAATGCGCCGAGCGCGTGGTCTGGTAGCATAGCGCCTGCTTCGTCGCTGACGCGCACGAGGAGGAGCTCGTTTGGCGCGCGGCCATCCACCGCGAATCAGGCGCGTCGACCGAGCGCGCACCTCGAGACGATCCAGCTGCTGGCGGAGCTGGAGAGGGCGATGCGCAACTGCCACAGCGTCGACGAGTGCCGAGCGCTTGTGCACAAGGCGATGCACTCGGACGGCACGCCGCTGTCTCCCTCGGCATCTGGCATGAGCGCCGCTTCTGGTGGACAGGAAGCCAATGGCGAGCGCAAAGTCCAAGTGAGCGACACCGCTGCGGGTGTGGTTGCGCCGTCAGTAGACCAGAGCAACGTTGCTCCCACCGTGACGAGCGGAGAGAAGACAAGCAGCAAGGAAGTGGGCGGTGCCGCGCTTGGACAGACAGGAAGCGGGGGCGCGATCACGTCGCTCGAGCAGGCGGAGCAAGGGCTGGTGGTGGCATGGCTGCTCGGTGGCGATGACGACCCGGAGCCACGTCGCGACAGCAAGGGAGCCGAGCGGGTGGTGCGTGAATCACTCACATCGTCCGGCTCGGGCTTGACGAATGGCGAGGCGGACGAGACAGTGGTGCGCAACTTTTCGCTCGACTCGACGGCGTCGGGCAAGGATGTGGCCAACCTGGCGTCGAGCAGCGTAGTGTCGTTGCAGTCCAACTACAAGGACGCGCAGGACGAGGTGGCGGCAGAGTGACGAAAGCATGCGAGCGTGCGTGCTCGAATCTGAGCGAGATGCAGGACCACATGAAGCGTCGATCATGCACGACTGCCCTACGAATACGAGTCCATCGTCAATGTGTTTTCTGGTGCGTGTGAGCACTGTGGATGTCGGGTGAGAGGGTCCAGACCGATGAGGCTGAGGCAGCAGCACGTGGATGGGTGGATGTCGGGAACTGGACCGGGACGGGCAGGAAGACGCGGATGTAAAAGTGCGGGGAAAGCGATGCAGGGCGTCTTGTTTGGCGGCAAAACCAAAGCATGCAACACGTCCACTAAGGTGCGGGGTGTTGGTACGTACGGGTGGTGTACTCGTGTTGCCGTGATGGCCGTATGATGGCGGGACGGAGTCAGGAACGGGCGGCAGGGCAAGGTGTGAGATCGTGCCTGCCTTTTTGTGCTGTCGTTTTGTGCGGATGATGAGCGCGGCGCCGCGCACATTCGCGGACGAACACCTCGGCTTTCCTTGAGCAGTTGAGTCTCCGCCCATCCGCCCACAGCGAATGCAGCGCGACCTGCATGCAAAAGTTCTTGGCATTCCGCACCTTCCACAACAGGCGAATGTCGAGTGTCGGCCAGACTGTCCTCGTGGCGGTTTGAACCTCGCTTCGAGCCACGAGCGCCCGTCACTTACAAAGCACGAAGCCTCTTACCTCTCGTACAATAGGCAGATCGCCAAGATTCAGCAAACACATGGACTGCGGTTCCGAACCAAATTGACCGTCGATGACCGGGGTTGTAGCTGGCTTCTTGATGAGAAAGAGGTGAGGCATGGTGTGGTCCCGTGTCTTCTGGCCCGTCTCTGTGCTACGTACCCGCCTTGTCAAGCGCCCCAAGTTGGTGGTTCCTGCCTTTTTGACGCTCCGATGCTCGTTCTCCGCCTTTTCCGCCACCTTAGCTACCTTTCGTCTCCCCAACCACCGACTTCATCAACGCCGCCGCATACACCGACTGCCTCCCACACGGCAGTTTACCCGTCCAGCCACCACATGCTTTTGCCCCCCGCATTTTACCCCACAACGCCGTGCGAGTCATCCCAGCCCCCCCGCTGCAGCACACCGGCAAGCCACCTCATTTCAGAACCGGCTCGGCCAACGGCTTCGTTCCCGTTGATAACCTTTCCGTCTGATCCGAGTCGCCTACAGCCCCACTGCCACACACGACGATAAGCGCGCTCGTTGCATGCATCCCGAGAGCAAGTTCATTTCGCTCGGCTGCACAACCTAGATATAGGCGGAGCTAAGGTCGTATCCATCCGACCTCCTCATTCTCTCTCTCGTCTCATCGTCCTCATCGACCCTCTTCCCCTCCCTCCCTTCCTTCCTTCCTTCTTCTCTCAAGGCAGTGACACCATCCCTCCCTCTCGACAAAAGCCTTGGAGATCACATCCGACTTGGACAACTTGGATTGCAGTGGACGATATGACGAGCACTACCTCGCCGTCGGCCGTCATCGACGTGATGCAGCGCGACATCGAACGCGCCTCGTCCGAGGACGAAAAGAATGCCGAGTTCAAGCAGGGCTCGGGCGACGTTGCGCAGCTGTATGCCAGCGGCACGCCCAAGTCCGAGCCCAGCCTCATGGTCTACGACGCTGCCACCGAAAAGCGTCTCGTCCGCAAGGTCGACCTCATGATCGTACCCACCGTCGCCATGCTCTACCTCATGTGTACGTCATCTCCCATCCTTCCCTTCCGCGTCTCGACGACTCCGTTCCGAGCTGACCTTTTGAGCTGATGTGGTGGTACAGGCTTTATTGACCGTGCCAATGTGGGCAATGCTCGTATCGCCGGTCTGGAGAAGGACCTCGGCATGAACCCAAAGTCGTACGACTTCAACATCCTCCTCACCGCCTTCTACGCCGCCTACGCCGCCTTCGAGATCCCCTCCACCACCCTCACCAAGATCCTCGGCCCCGGCCGATGGATCCCCATGATGGCCTTCCTCTTTGGTCTGCTGTCCATGGCAAACGCTTTCGTCACCAACTTTGCCGGCGCCGTCGCTGTCCGCTTCCTTTTGGGCGTAGCGGAAGCTGGTATGCTTCCCTCCATTGCGTATTACCTCAGCAGGTGGTACAAGAAGGATGAGCTGGTCTTTAGGCTCGGTCTCTACCTCGTTACCGCCCCTTCGGCAGGTGCTTTTGGCGGTCTGCTTGCGTCGGCTATCCTCAAGATCCCCCATATCGGTTCAGTCAGGTCTTGGGAGATGATCTTCCTCGTTGGTACGTCCATTTGCGCCCGTTCCGCGTCCCCGTTCCAACTACCGCCCACTTGTCGCTCCCACCATGCACTCATATGAAGTCGTGACGTCGCAGTGCAAAGATGAACTGACCCCGCGCGTAAACTTAATTTTTGATCTAACATTTTTCTGATTTTTGCAGAGGGCCTCATCACCATCGTGGTCGCCATCGTCGGATACTTTACCTTGACCGACTCGATCCATACTGCACGCTGGCTTACCGAGGACGAGAAGCGCTTCCTTCAGGCTAGGCTCAAGTCGGAGCTCGTTGGACAGAAGCAGCTGGTGGACAAGACGCACAAGAAGCTCATCTGGAAGGGCATCACCAACACCACCTCGCTCGCCTGCGCCATGATGTTCCTCTTCGACAACATCTCAGTGCAAGGTACTGCTGTGTTCCTGCCATCCGTAGTTCGTGGAATCTTCCCTGCTCCCAAGTACGATGTGATCGACCAGCAGCTGCTTACGGTGCCGCCGAATGTGGCGGGAGCGATTGCGACGCTGGCATTTGCATATGCATCGGCCAAGTTCCGCATCCGCTCGGTATTTGTCGTCAGCGGTACGGTTCTGATGATTATCGGATATTCAATGTTCCTCGGAAGCAAGAATCTGTACGTGCGCTATGCTGCTTCGTTCTTCGCCACCTCGGGCGCATTCACCATGGGTGCACTGCTTCCAGCATACGCGGCGGTCAACACGAACAACGACAGCGAACGTACGGGCGCCATTGCAGTCACCGTCTTCTTTGGCAACATCGGCGGTCTAATCTCGACTTGGAGCTACCTCAGCAAGTACGCGCCCAACTACATCCCGGGCAATGCGCTCAACCTCGCCGGCGCCATCGTCATGATCATCATCGCCGTCTGCCTTGTCTCGTGGCAGAGGTGGGAGAACAAGCAGCGAGAGGCGGGCAAGAGGGACTGGAAGCTCGAGGGTCTGTCCGAGGACGAGATCCAGATGCTCGGTTCAGACCACCCCCACTTCAGACTCAGGTACTAGTGCCACTGCACACACGCTCATGTATGATAGTGATATAAAGGGTCCCGTTCGGTACGGTCAGAATGCACATGGTTATTCACGCCTCAGACACTCGAGAGGGGTACATAAGCCACGTATCTGGCACAGGTCGAGGCTCGGACTCGTGATGGAAGCAGACGAGCTTCCGCCCCGCCATTCACATTGCCTCGCTGTAAACGTTGTGCATGGTGTTGGGTTCGGCATGAACGAACCGATCCTCCGGATTCCGAACCCCACACGTCATGCACGTCCGCATTGTTTGTGCACGTCTGCATTGTTTGTACCACCGCACGGTGCTCGTGCCTTTGTGCTGCTTCCTGCACAGAGTTATTCAGGGCCCTAGAGGTCCGTGCCTCCAGCCCACACGCATGTCTCGGTCTCGATCAATTGGCTCGTCTCGCACTCAGCTCGCACAGCTTGTAGATAGGCCATCATAATTCATATTCGCTCCGCTTCCTTTCATTGCTCGGTTCGCCCGCAGCACATCGTTCCGCCTTCTTTTGACAACTTGCCCGACTTATCCAGCGTCCCTTCAGTACACGGCATCTACAGACTCTAGCAGGATCCTGACTCGTGGTGGAAGCGGATGATCAGTCGACCTGCCTTGACATTGGATGACCTTTGTGGAGGAGGTCGGATCTGCGAGTCGTGGTGGAAGCGGACGCTTGGTCGACCGGACTATAGCTGCCGCTGACGTCGTGCAGAGAGGGAACGCACCGCCCCGGGTCTTGAACCGGTAGAGGTCGCTGTCGTTGTCAACGAGAGGTCGCTGTCGTTGTCAACGAGAGGTCGCTGTCGTTGTCAACGTACATGTGCGTCTTCTTGCCGTCGCCAATGTCGATGTGCACGATCCTGAACTTCGACTTGCCGATCTTGTGGTCTCAGTCGTGCTTGAGGATGAGGACGACCAGTCGGTCGGTAGCGGGCTCGTTGGCACAGCCGACTTCCTTGAAGTCCTCCGGGCCCAGGAAGTACCTGCTGCTGTGGTCGGTCTGGCCGGGCAAGTAGCAGTCCTGGCTGTTCGCTCGAACAGCACTGTGGGCGGGGTTGGGGGCGGGGGCGGCAAAGCTGGTGGCGCTGCGGTTGTTGACGATGGCGGAGGCGGCGGCGGAGGTCGTAGCGCCGAGGTCGCGGGCAGAGGCGATGGTGTTGCCGATTTGCTGGCGACGGAGGTGCTGGCGCCGAGGTTGCTGGCGGCGGCGGTACCGACATGGGCGGCATCGACAGAAGGGCCGCAGGGAGTCTCGAACGTCAGGATCTCATCATCTTCGGGGACGGACGTGTCCTCGTCGCCGTGAGCTGGGGAGACTGTCCTCGAGGGAGTGTTCCCACGGACGTGTCCTCACGGGCGTGTCCTCGCGGGCGTCGGGCGTCGGGCGTCAGGCTTGCGGACGATGTCGACGTAGGCCTTGCAAAGCTTGTCCTGCGCGATGGTCTCGGCGGCGTCCCATTGCTTACGAGAGCTTCGCTCTCGGAGACCTCGTCGTATCCGGCAACCTCCGTCGTGTGCGACTTGATGTGCCCATGAATAGCAGACTGCTTCGCTCTGAGCGACCCTGTCTGACCCTTTCCCGCTCCATTGGGAATCGGACATCGCCTGCTACCCGCAACCTTTCCGCACCCAATCTCCGCGCCCGACCTCCGCACCGGACCGGAGCGGTAACTTTAACGTTCCGTCGGAGATTGGCAGATGAAGCACCTCTAATCCATCGGCCAGACAGTCGCCAACAACGAGGTGCGGACATTTTTGGGGCAGAACCTGGCGTCTATCTCGGCGTACCAAGTTTTCACCTCGTTCCAGGTGAGAGTGCTGGGCACAGTTCAGAATACAGACCCATAGTAGAAGCAAATGCTCAGTCCACCTGCCTTGACCTCGCAATGGCAAAGGTTGCGCAGCCGAGCCATTGCACCTCACGTTGTCCGACACCTCAAACACAAACGAGGTGTACCAGTAGAAGAAGTATCGCATTCCAGTTGGAAAGGCGTGGTATATTTACAGCATTGCTCTAGCATCTAGCCGCATCGGCTGAAAGTTTTGGAATCAAGGCAAAAGAAGCGGAACTTAGAGGACGGGAGGGGGAGTGTTCCAGCCAGGGGCATTGAGGATGATGGCGAGGAGGCAACCGGAGATGAGACCTGCGATGGGGAGGGTGAGGACCCAAGAGAAGAAGATCCAGCCGAGCATTCTCCAGTTCATGGCCTTGTAGTCGCCGTTGCACAGCCCAACTGCGAGCGTTGCACCAGTGATCGACTGGGTCGACGAGACGGGCAGACCGAGGTACGATGCGACGACGACGGTGATGGATGCGCCGAGCTCCATGGAGAATCCACGGCTGGGCGAGTGCATGGTGAGCCTGTTGCCGAGCACGCTCATCAGCTTCCAGCCATACGTGCCGAGACCGATGACGATCGCAATACCACCAAATGCCAGAATCCAGATAGGGACAGGCTCCTTGGAGCCGGGGAATTCGGAGGTGGACCAAACGGACCATACGACGGCAAGGGGTCCGATGGCGTTGGAAACGTCGTTGGCGCCGTGGGCAAAGGAGGCAGTGCACGCAGTCATGACCTGCATGAACGAGTAGAGGTGCTCGACGCGGTTGTCGTACTGCTCGGCCACCGCGTGCATCTGACGCAGCTTGGCCTTCTCCTTCTCGGAACCGTGGGCCTGCATGGCGTGGATATCGGTGCGCAGACCGGCGGACAGACTGTACCAGATCCATGGAAGCGAGTTGTAGCGCACGATCGTGTACAGGTTCCAAGGCTCGAGCCAGCTACCCTCATACTTGCGGTAATTGGGAGGGGTAGGACGGCCCGGGATGTGGTTCTCGTCGATCTTGACCGGACGGCCATCCTCAAGCTCGGTCTCGAGGTGTGCGAGGCGCGAAGGGTGCACCTGCTCCGATGCGGGCTGGTTGAGCTTGGCATCCTTCTCGTCGCTGTTGCTGTTTGCGCTGTTGGAAGCAGTGTCGATCTCGTCGCCAGTGCGTGCAACCGGAGCAGAGGCAGGTGCAGCAGCCGCACGGTGCTGCTCGGCCACGGCAGGGTCGGCAAAGTCATGAATGCGGTAGTCCGGAACAGCCGAGTCGGCAGTAACGGCGTCCGCAGGAGCAGGTCGCCACCAGAGCAGGGGACCCATGAAGAAGTGGTACCACTTGAGCGTGTAATCGCCGCGCACCACCTTGCCGTACACGTAGGGAAGCCAGAAGAGGATCGAGAGCAAAGCCACCACGGATGCGGTACCGAGCACAGCAGCCACGGTAGTCGAAGGTGGCAGCTCGTCGAGGTTGAGCGAGGGCGAGCCCTTGACGATGATCGAGACGGTGAGCACACCCGAGACGATGAAAAAGTACACGGGTGCGGTGAAGAGACCCATCATGACGGGGTCCTTGGCCTTGAGCACGACGTACTTGGTGATGAGGTACACGATGGCAGCGAAACCACCGGCGACAGCGGGAGCAATACCCCACGAGGCAAAGATCTGCGAAACACCGTTCCAGCCCCACTTGACACCGCGTGCGCCGTTGACAGCAATACCGACGCCGATAACCGAGCCGACGGTGGTGTGGGTGGTGGAGACCGGCATGGCGTTGCGCGTGGCAAAGGTGAGCCAGGTGGCCGAACCGATGATGGAGCACGTAAAGGCAAGGAGGAGGACCGAGGCGTTGCCGTTGAAGACGCCGAGGTCGATGATGCCGTTCTTGATGGTGGATGCCACGCGCGCACCCACGAGCACGGCACCGAGGAACTCGCAGATGGCAGCGGCAAACATGGCCTGTCGGAAGGTAAGCGACTTGGACGAAACCGAAGTGGCGAACGAGTTGGCCACATCGTTGGCGCCGATACCGTACGCGTTGACGAAGGCGCCGATCATCGAGAAGGCAAAGAGGTAGTCGTAGTCGTGGTACTTGGGCATCTTGTCCAAGCTTCTCTTTCCGCGTAGGAAAGGATGAAAGGGGTGGAGAGTAAGAAGGAGGTGGTCTGATGGACTAGACTTGGAGAGACGACGGCTGCACAGACCGAAGATGGTCGATGGAGCTTCTTATACATTTGGCCATCTCGCTGCTATTCTACGGCTCAACGGCGACGACTCTTGCAGCAGGAATCTGACGGACGATTGCCGCAGAGACCGAGCACCCAAGTTGCCACCGGAAGATCAGACTCCATGGCGCAACGAATCGACGGACCAAGCGGAGACACGGAGCGATGGACGTGGACGAGCCAAGCCATGTCAAAAGCTCGAGCCGAGTCGGGACGAACGAACGTGGACAGGCAGCATGAAACCGAGGACCCGCAAAGCGGCGGTAACGGATGCGGCCCTATGGCTAGGCTGAGGGTATGGATGAAACACCTTCCATTTCGAGAGGGTGCTCGATTCAGAGGATGCGCACGTGCGAAGCAGGAACCGACGAGCTTTGATGGACCGAGAAAGGATCGGACTCTCGGGAGAGGGCGATGGGGGCGCAGCATAGGATCAAGAGGACGCCGATGGTTCGGGATGGCCTGCCAAGGAGTGCACTTGGCGGAGAAGAGGGAGCCAAGAGCTGCACGCTGGACCGCGCATGGGCGTCGTTGGCCAACGCGAGAGCGGCGGCGGTGCACGACAGTTTGCCAAGCCTCCTCGACTCTTCGAGCTTCGCTGTCACTGAGGCAGGACTCGGGATGCAGCTGAGCCTCGGTACAGGCGCTAGGTTAAGGCAGGTACGGGAGCGAGCGGGGCCTCGTGCGGGTAAGCGAGGCCAACGAAGCGATGGGCAGGCTTGGTCGCGTGGGTGGGGCACATGCAGTGAGGATGTGCCAAGAAGCGCACGCAGTCAAGAGCGAAACCGTCTGTGTGCAACGGATGAGCTGTAGCTTGATCAGGCGGAAACGGAGAATAATGCGGAGTACCGGCAGATTGAACGCAGTCGCAGCGCCGTGATAGCCACAGAGGCCGATGAGAGAGAGGTGAAGAGCATGAGGGGATGCGTCGCCAAGAGGCGTCGGTGCCAAGACGTCGGATATGGGTCTTGGCGCAGTTCGACGTTCCGCACTCAGCTGCCGCACTCAGCTGCGGGCCAAAAAGGCGCTCAGATAAAGCGCCGAAACAGCGGCTAAAATTGCCAAAATCGCGCAAACCTCCCGTTTCAGAGCGTCGTTAGGGACGAGCAAGCCACCACAGCGAACGTGGGCAGACTGAAAACTCTTGGCTAGCCTGTCTTTGCAACCATGAGTTTCATGGTCGACGTCCAGCTCCTCTCGGCTCCTCTCAGCTTCTCTCAGCTTCTGGACAGCTCAAAGTTCTTGCGGCCCCCTCGCCACACAGGCCCTAGAGCGCGGTTGTCATCGACGATGAGGGTCAGATCTAGCATCAATCGGGCTAGATCGCGACCAAATTTGACAGTGTGTGATCGCGATTTCTGACAGTCACAGATTGGAAACTGTAGATGTGGGTACATACGACCTGACACTGAGAAAGTTTCGCACTCGCACGGTGCAGCGGGTTGGAAGCTGAGCCGCAGCTCCACTTTTGCGGAAGCAACAAAACGCACGCGTCACAACTTCGATCAATCAAGACCGCGCTGAGCTGTGCCTCGCCTTGGCTTACTTCCACAACCTCATCACCGACGTCCTTCAGCGATCTTTCCGGTAGAGATGGCTTCGTCGTGGGCCCACACGGGCATCGCGCCCCTACTCGAGCGCATGAAGTCGCAGGACTCCGACTTCCGCTTCATGGCGCTCAACGACCTCAACGCCGAACTCTCCAAGGACTCCTACATCCAGATGGACGAGTCCACCGAGAACAGCGTCGTCCGCAAGGTGCTCGACCTCATGAAGGACACCAACACCGAGGTCAAAAACATGGTCGTCCGCTCCCTCGCTATCCTCGTGCCCCGCCTCCGCGAAAAGTCCTTGCAGCTCGTCATCGACACGCTCATCGATTACATCTCCTCTGACAACGACGAGCTCAGGGACATCGCCGCTCTCGCGCTCAAGACGGTCACAGCCCAGATGCCCACCCGCTCCTCCTACGCCACAACCGCCCTCAACAAGCTCGCGCCCAAACTCCTCAACCACGTCGCCGACGCCGCCGCCTCCCAGGAGCTCCTCATCGACTCGCTCGACATCCTTGCTGAACTCATCGCAAAGTTCGCCTCGTCCGTCACCACCACCGTCGCCCTTCAGAATGCCATCCTCAAGGCCGTCGTCCCCGCCATGCGCCACACACGTCCCGCCGTGCGCAAGCGCTCCCTGACCGTGCTCGGCGCGCTCGGCTCGTGCGCCACATCCGACATCTTCACCCAGCTCTCCGTACAGCTCAGCGCCGACCTCGGCGCGCAATCGTCGCTCGACACGCGCAAGACCGCCGTGCAGCTCATCGGCATCTTTGCACGCACCTGCCCGCGCAGGCTTGGCCGCCGTCTGCCCGAGTTCATGCCCGCCGTGCTCGAGACCGCCCAGATCGATGACGACGACGAGCTGCGCGAGCTCTCGCTCCAATCCATAGAGCTCATCCTCCTTCGCTGTCCCGCAGAGGTCACCCCCTTCGTCAACTCATCCATCGAGCTCGCCACCACCCTCGTCAAGCACGACCCCAACTACGCAGGCTTCGACGACGACGAAGAGATGCGCGACGCCGACGACACCTTCGATGATGAAGACGAAGACGACGACTATCTCGACGAAGACTACTCGGACGACGACGACATGTCTTGGAAGGTCCGCAGAGCGTCCGCCAAGGTGCTCAATGCCGCGCTCACAAGCCGTCCAGAGCTCCTGGCGCACAACGTCGGCGCCGTCGCCCCCGTCCTCGTCTCGCGCTTCTCCGAGCGCGAAGAGAGCGTCCGCCTCGAGATCCTCGACACCTTCCTTGCTTTGCTCAAGCAGATGCAGCTCTACGGCGGCGGTCCGCAGGCGACCGAAGTCATTGGCGCGGCCACCACCTCCTCTGCCAGCCAGGCCGCTGCCATCGCCGCAGCCGGCGTGCTCAAGCGCAAGCGCCACGAGATGGATGCCGACGACCTCGAGGGCTCGCCGCGCAGCCAGCTTGTCGCGCTCGTGCCCGCCATCGCAAAGGCACTCAACCGCGAAATCGTGTCCAAGTCCATCCCAACGCGTCACAAGAGCTTCGTCGTCCTGCGTGAGCTCGTCGTCGTTCTTCACGGCGGTCTCGACGCTCAAATCGGCTCGATCCTCGCACAGACCGAAAAGTCGCTCAAGGGCGCCGAGTCGGCTCCCTCGGGCGGCTCCAACCTCAAGGCCGACATCCTCGGCTTCTTCCGCGTGCTCTTCCTCACCCACCAGCCCAAGAGCTTCGAGGACCAGCTGCCCCAGCTCGTGCCCATCCTCGCTGCCTCCATCGAGGACAAGCTGCACCGCAGCTGCATCGAGGCCTTCCTCACGTGCTCCCAGCTCGTCTCGGTGCTGCGTCCGCTTGGTGCCACCGCCACCGCGCCCGGCGCCACCGCCGCACGCCCCGGACAGTACAAGCCGTACCTGCTGCACATCTACGCCGCCACCGTCGCGCGGCTCAACCGGCTCGATTCGGACCAGGAGATCAAGGAGCGCGGCATCGCCTGTCTGGGCGTGCTCCTCGCCCACGGCGGTGACGACCTCGAGGAGAAGCACACCGAGTGCTTCGATCTGCTCTCCAACCGCCTCACCAGCGAAGTGACGCGCTTCGTCACGGTCAAGGTCATCGCACAGATCGCCAGCTCGCCCGTATGCAAGGGCGCCGCATTCGATGCGTTTTTGCGCTCCGCCATCGCCGAGGTTGCCACACTCCTGCGCAAATCCAACCGCCAGCTGCGACTCGCCGCCTTCGACTGTCTCGCCGCGGCACTCTCGCGGCCGTCGAACGAGCTCAGCACCGCATCGTCCAACTCGATCCTCGCCGAGGTGCAGCCGCTGATCAACAGCGACATGGACATGAACCTGCTGCCGCACGTGCTGCGCAGCATCAACCTCATCTTGCTCAATGACCCGGCGACGCGCGAGTCGGTGCGCGCGTCGGTGCTGCCGCAGATCTACTCGGTGCTGCGCCTGCCCATCGCGCAGGGACCCGCGATGGATGCGCTGCTCGAATTCTTCCGCCTCCTGGTTGGCGCACAGCCCGAGTCGGCGACCGAGATTGTCGACGAACTGCTGGCTGCGCTCGACGCGGCCAAGGGCAGCGTGAGCGGCACGCACATCTACTCGACCGTGTCGAGGTGCATCGGCGCATCGTGCACCGTCTCGGCGCCCGCAAGCTCGATTGTGGCAGACAAGGCGACCACGACGCTCCAGGGCGGCAGCGCCAAGGACAGCGAGGTGTACTTTGCGCTGCTGCTGCTCGGCGAGCTTGGGCGGTTCAACGACTTTTCGACGCGCGCCGGGCTGCTCGAGCGCGTGCTCACCTTCTATGCCGCCGACTCGGAGGAGGTCAAGATGGCGGCGGCGTTTGCGGTGGGCAACATGGCGGTGGGTGCGCTGGGCGCGTTCCTACCCGTGATCGTCGGCCATATCCGCGGGCAGACCGACGACAAGGCGTCGGCGCACAGGTTCCTGTCGCTGCATGCGCTCAAGGAGCTCATCACGCACGGCTCGGCTGAGCAGCTGAGCGTGGTGGCGGAGCAGGTGTGGCCTGTGCTCTTCGACGCCTCCGAGACCAAGGAGGAGGGTGCGCGCTCGATCGGCGCAGAGTGTCTGGCGAGGCTGGCGCTGAGCGAGCCGACCAAGTTTCTTCCGCTGCTGCAGGAGAGGCTCCGGTCGCCCTCGGTGTCGGTGCGCGCGACGGTGCTGGCGGCGGTCCGCTTTACGCTGTCGACCGAGTCGTCTGCAGCGTACGACGAGCTGCTGGCGCCTTGTTTGGTGGACTTTCTCATGCTGCTTGCGGATCCGGAGCTCGAGGTGCGGCGCAATGCGACGTTTGCGCTCAACTCGGCGGCGCACAACAAGCCGTACCTGATTCGCGATCATTTGGCGACGGTGGTGCCGTTGCTGTACGCCGAGACGCATGTGCGCACCGAGCTGCTGCGCAAGGTGGCCATGGGACCGTTCCAGATCGTCACGGACGACGGACTGGATCTGCGCAAGAATGCGTACGAGACCATGTACCAGCTGCTCGACTCGCTCTGGTCGCGTCTCGACATGGCCGCCTACATCGACCGCGTCGTGGCGGGGCTGGCGGATTCCGACGACGGCATCAAGACGCTCTGCTACCTCATGGTGATCAAGCTCGTCGAGCTCGGCTCGCCCGTGGTGCGCTCGGTGCTCGCGGGCCGACTCGAGGAGATCGCCGATCCGGTCGGCGCAACGCTGCGCAGCAAGCTCAAGGAAACTGCCACCAAGCAGGAGATCGAAAAGCAGGGCGAGCTTCAGCGTTTCATCTATCGCATGCTCGTCGTGGTCACGCGCGCCATGGACGCGGTCGTGGGGCCTGTGGCGACGCCCAAATTCAGCGCACTCGTCCAGGAGGCTAGGTCGGCATCGGCACAGCATGGAAGCACCACGAGCGCGCCTGGTGCGCTGTGGAGGGAGACGGAAGCTGCACTTGCCACGGCGTCTGCGCCATGAGGCTCGAAATTCAGAGCTCGTTTTGGTCCATTTCATCGACTGTGTGTGCGTGAGTGGGTGGGTGTGGGGCTAGGTGGTTGTGATGGGGACGGAGCCTAGGGAGGGGAATGGATCTTTGGCGCTTAGGACGAGGATGCCTCGTTCGTGGGCGATGTAACCCTTGATGTAGCCCTTGTAGATGAGGGTGGCGAGGATCCATTCGAGGTCTTGGTAGGCGTACGGCAGACGTATGAGGTCCGAGGTTGTGGCGGTATGGATGGTCTTGATCGCCACGCGCGTTGGTTTGTCTGGCAGAGCGAGGCAGATGTGTTTGAGCAAGGTGCGCAGCGTAGCCTCGCGCGCGCGTTCAATGGCGATAAATGTGCCGCGCTTGACGAGCCAGGCTTCGATATCCGGTCGTGCCAATGCAGCATCAAACGCCTTGACATCGCCTCTGCGCAGCGCATCTGCAAACGGCCTATACGCCTGAAGCTTGTCCCCCACCGCACCCTTGAACAACGCCTCGCTTGGAAGCCTACCCTGCAGCAGCTTGACCGGGATCAGGTAGGTGAGTATCAGCGCCTGATTGGTGGATGCGCTGCGATGACACATGGCCAATGCAGCAGAGAGCTCCGTCTCGGCCCGCTCGTACTCCTCATTAAGAAAAGCAAGCACGCCGACGTAATACCGAAACGTCACCTGCTGGCTCTTTGCAAAGCTCTCGAGCGGCGGCAATGCAGCCGCATTCAAAGCACGCAGGATGTTGCGGCACAGCGAGACCGACTTGAGCCGAAAGTACGTCTTGAACACCATGCCCACCACCTCGTACGTGCCCCACTTGCGGCTCTCGTCCATGTCCGCATTGCGGTCCGCAATGCACGCCGTAAAGGCCTTGTTCAACTGCCGCGCACATTCCTCCAGCCTCTTGTTAGCTACACTCGACGTTCTTGCGACTGTCGCCTCTCCCGCCACTGCCGCAGCCACCTTCTGACTCGCATTCTCCGTCCTCGGTTCCTTGGCTTCGAGTGCAGCTTCATCCGCCTGTACCGCAAGCCAGCGCAGGTTGAGGCACAGGATGCGCAGCAGCGGCAACGCCCATCTTCCGGGCGTGAGCGTGGCAAAGTGGCGAAGGAAGGCGGTGACCGCGGCATTGTACGCGTCGAATGCGTCGGCGAGTCGATCGGCGCGCGTCTTGCCCTCCGCATCGGGCGTGGCGGGCGGGTAGGCGGCGAGGGAGGATGCGAGCGAAAAGGCGTAGAGAGAGCCGAGGTGTTGCGCACACATCTCCTCCCAGGGCGAGGCAAGGTAGCCCGTACACTTGCGCAGGGCTGCCGTGATCTTGTGCGGACGTGCATCGCCGATTTCGAGCAGCACCGACGCAGCGACCGGCCCGCCGATGGCAAACAGCTGCGCGAGCGTGTGTCCATCCGAGCCCTTGGATGCGGCTATGACCGCGTCGGCAAAGATCGCCGGCCTCATCGCAGCAAAGATTCGCGCCAGAAGCAGCGGAGATCGACCGGATGCCGTGTGCGAAGTGTGTGTTGCGTATGGAAAGGCGATGGAGGATCGAGGTGAGTGAAGGTGGAAGAGGAGGAGGAAGACACGAGGCCAAGCTTCTCGACTTCCTCCACTCACCGAAATTCGGGAGCCGGAAATGAGCTTTGTCGCTCCGCGTCCCACCTCAAAGCAACACCAACCCAGCAGCACGCAGCTCCCCCTTCCCTCTCCTTCTCTATACACTCTCAAGTCAGCAGCGAGTTTGTGAGCGGCGCGCGTATGCTGCGCCAGAATACAATTAGTCGCGACCATAAACAGACAGCGAATGTAAAAAGAAAAGCTACACGACCAAAAAGTGTACTACCCGCACTCGCACTTGCGGGCGAGCGGGGGGCGTACAAAGAAACGCGAACAGACGGACATGCGGCACGCAGTGATACGATGGGGAGGCTCAGGGCACGCCTGCTTCGTGCTGGCCTCCTCCTCTGCGTGCGCTGAGAGACAGTGGATACCGACACCATGCTGAACAGGTACGAATTAGCCGAATCCACGATCCAGCTTGCAAGTTGCAAGGCAGCAGGAGAGGGTTAGCGCAGAAGCTCTCCGAGCACGAGCGACGAGAGGGGTGTGGGCGAGTTGTGGAAACGCGCGACGCGCACCAGCACAATCACGCGGAACACGATGCGGAAGATGGCGCGCAGGAAGACGAGCTGGTTGTACGTCCCGAGCAGCGGCGTAGTCTCTGGATCCGACGCGGCCACGGCGGCGGCGGCAGGAGACAGCATCGCGCTCATCAAGCCGCCGAGGCCAGAGCCAGACGATGTTGCCGCCAGCGCTGCCGCAGCGCCTGCCATGAGCAGCGACCCGTTGCCAGAGCTGCCCGTCGTTGGAGGCTTGGCTGCGTCCACTGCAGCCAGTGCGACACCAGCGTCATCACCGCCTGCCTTGCGGGCCGTGCCGCTCTGCGACGACAACCACCGCACGGCATCGTACGAAGTAAGCCCGCGCGGTGCCGTCACCTTTCCGCTCGCACCACCATCTCCGCCACGAACCGGCTCGACGGCTTGCTTCTGTGGCGGAATGGACGCTCGCGTCGCCTCCGCATCAGCTCTCACACCCTCCTGCTTCTGCTGCTGCTGCTGCTGCTGTTGCTGTTGTTGCTGGATCTGGACGAGCTTTTCGTACCTACCTCGGATGCGGCTGTCGAGCGTCTTGCCCGCGCTCGCCAGCCGCGCATCGAGTGCCTGGGTGCGCAGCCACTGTAGCAGGCGTCTTAAAAATTTGCCACCACGGCATACACGGCGCCGGTGAAGCCGGCAAACACCAGCACGCCCGACAAGATGGCCGCGACGCGATTCAGCAGCACGTACCGCTCCAAATCGCGCCACGGCGTCGCCACCGCCGACCTCGTCGCCACGGCCACCTGGTAGCCCTGCACCTTGGGCGGTGCCATCTCGTTCAACCGCTGCATGCCGTCGACCACCGGTTCGGACGGTAGGTCCTGCTCGGCGTGCGCAGCGAAGAGGCGGCTGCGACGCGGCTCCTCGACCTCCTCGACGGGCTCCATTGCGCGGCCGTGCCATGCCTGCCATGCCGAGCCGGAAGCCGCCTCCGGTACAGTGCGCACGGGCGACTGGAAGAAGCTCACCTGCGGGTTGGTGTCGAGCAGCGAGCCGAGGCTGCGCGTCTTGCTTTTGCGCACCTTGCTCGGCGGCGGCTGGTTGGCATTGCTACTCGTCGTCCTTGCGCTGTTGGTCGTGCCCACCGACGAAGGAGCATACGACATACCCGACGGCATGCCGCCCATCTCTAGTCCGAGTCCGCCCTGCCATCCACCCGCATCGTGCGTCCAGTCGTGCTCGTAGCTCACGCCGTCGACGAAGGTGGATGAGGAGCCCGGGTTGGGGCTGGAGCTTGCCGAGTGTGGATGCATGCTGGGCTCGTGCTGCCAGACGTCCACCTTGTCGCGCGCACGCGTGTCGCTCGACGGATGACGCAGCTGACCATCGGGCGTCAAGTACCAACCTCCGATCATCCACAGCCACGGCATGCCCAGAAACCCGGCCCAGAACATGTTCTTGCTCGGCGTCGTGCCCTCGAGCAGCGATGCAGGCGTAGCAAACAGTCCGCCTCCCTCACCCCCGCGTCTCGATCGCTTGTGAGCTGCAGTCAGCGGAGGATGCGTGCCCGCGCCATAGTGCATCGAGAAGCTGCCCGACGCGCCCGCGCGGTGCTGCGACGCCGCCCGCGTAAAGATCGACACCGCCGGCTGCTCGTCTTGGTCGTTGTCGTCGTCGACCGCAAACCGCGCGGTGCGCGTGCGCCGGTGCAGGCGCGGCTGCTTTTCGGGGCTGATGCCAAAGTCGCCCAACTCCGTCGTGGCGACGCGTCGGTGGTCGTGCTTGTTTCTGGCTGCCGCGTCTTGATGTCCCGAGTACGACCACGGGTCCGCCATCTCGCCCGTATCGGGCATTGGCGTGTGGAACGTCTCGCCCGCATGAGCATGCTCGCTGTTCCATGCCGTGCCCTGTCCGGCAAGTCGACGCATCTCGTCGCGCGCGCGATCGAGCTCCGAGACCGTCATCCCGCTTTCGCCCACGTGAGCTTGGGGCGGCACTGCGCGCTGCGCAGGCGCTGCGCTACCGGCGAGCAGAAGCGGGATATGGTTAGCAGGCGTATGCTCTTGGCGTCCGTTCGCACCCCAATCGTGTGGCTCGAACGCCATACGCGGAGTGAAGCCCGACGGGCTCTCTGCCACACGTGGCGAACGCAGTGCATCGAGCCACGCACGCTCCGCACCTCCCTGCGGTGGCTCGTTGGCTGCCGTCGCGGGCAAGGCGCCGGCGCGCTCCTTGCCGCCAAACGTGGTCATGGACATCCTCTTGCTGGTGAGGCTTGCGGTCCTCGACAGTCCGCCCTGGCGCAGGATCGAGTCGCGCTTGCGCTGTGCCTCGCCTTCCGCACCGTCAAGCACGTACGGCAGACGCGTCGGCTCCTGCGCCGACACGATGTAGCCGATGCCCGAGTTGCGCTTGCGCTGACGCTCGACGGCGCTCATGCGGCGCAGCTTCTTGAGTGCATCCATGCGCTCCTTCTCTCGCTCTTCCGCCGACACATCGGCGCCATCCTGCGTCGGAGGATCACACGCCTCCACAGCCTCGTCCTCGACCGGGGGCGGCAGGGGCGGCGAGCCAGCGAGCAGCCGCAGCGCCACGGCGCGCGCATCCTTCTCCGCCACCTCGTCCTCCTCGCCCGGCGTCGGCGAGCGGAACCTCTGTCGCTGCAGATCGTACCTGCCGCTGCTCTGGCGCTTCTCCACCAGCGACAGCGGGCGGAACGAGCCCCTGGACGCCTTGCGCTCTTCAAGCGGCGCAGGCGCCTCCTTGTGCTCGGCCTCCTGCGAGGTATTGGCGAGCTCGAGGTCGACGCTGCGATCGCCCACCGCACCGAGGTTGAACGATGTCCGGCGAGGCGAGGAGACGGCGGTCCAGAGCTTGCTGACCCACTGACCAGCCTTGCCCTGCTCCACAGTCCTGCGCGCATCGCCACGGTCCAGAGCCACCTCGGTCTCGAGGCCGCCGTCATCCAGGTCGATGTTGACGAACTTGACGTCGGCGTCGCTGCCGCCGCGCATGGGCGCCGCGAGCATGCTGCCGTTATCGCGGCTGCGTCGCGTGTTGAGTCGCCATCCATTGCTCCCCTTGCCCTTTGGAGGCTGGAGGCTGCGGGTCGCATCTGCAGCATTCGGACCCGCAGGCGTGGGGTTGTACGCGAACGCCGAGATCGACGAGGCGATGCTGTGCGAGTGGAGGAGATCGCGGTCGATGCCTACGTGTGCGCGGTTGACGATCACCTCGGCTGCCGATGCAGGCACGGGCCCAGTGAGGAGCGAGTCGAGACCGGCGGGGGCGGCGCTACCCTTATCGAGCCCGCTAGCGGTGCGTGGCGAGCGGCAGTCGTTGGGCAGGACGGGGCTGGGGCCGGCAAAGTCGAGTCCGAGTCCGAGCTCGTGGTGCAGGTCCTGGCGGCTCGTGCGCGTCAGCACCGCCTCGCGCGACTTTTCGCGCGAGCGACCAAGCGCCTCAGCGTCGGGCGACATGGTGATCGAGAGGTGTGGTGAAGCCGAGTCGTGCGGAAACCGCGTCATGCATCGCGAAGCCTGGCGCAGCAGATCGGTAGTGATGGGCGCAAAGCCCTTGGGGGCCTCCATGGCGCCACCGACTTGCGCTGGGTACTCCAAGTCCAGACCCAGACCCTGCACTGCAGACGCATCACCGGAAGCGTGCGTCGCGATCTTGCGGTCATCGGACCCGAGCTGCGGGGAGGCGTAGTTGCTGTGGATGATGGTGGTGGGAGCAGGAGATGCAGCGGGCAACTTGGGATCGAGAAGCAACGGCGACTGTGGCCACGGACCGTTGGTGCCGCTTCGATTGCGCGTCATGGGCACGGGCCCCGCTGCGGTAGAGGCAAGCACGCCACTGTGCGACGCGGCCCTCTCCATTGCGGCTCTGTTGTCCGCAGCGAGCAACGACGGCGCGGTCTGCGTGGATCCGAATCGGAATGGCTCGTCGCGCTCGTCTGGCGTCGACACAGTCGAGATGACGAGCGTCTGCCTCAATCTCGACGGATGGTCATCATCTGTGCTCTCGGTACTGCGCGAGTCCTGCCTCGTCCTTTCCTCGCCGAAGCCGCCCTGGGCTGGCTTGGTCGCAGCGCTCTCGGCCGTCGAGTTGGGGCCGCGGCTGAGGCGCTCGTCTGCGCGGATAGACAGCCGCATAGCCTCGTGACCTGCGTCGAGCATCTGCTGGTCGGCAGCCAGCTCCTGCTGCTGCAAGAGTGCCTTGCGTTGACGCTGGGTGAGGATCCACTGCTCGGTGTTGCGCGCTCCCCGACCACCGACACCCGTGTCCATGTCAGCCGCTGCCGTGCCAAGCGACGGCATCTCAGCATGCGAGGCTGTTGCAACCTGTGTCTTGGTCGGTGCGCCAGGCGGTACGATCATCTCGGCAAACACTGGGGTGAATGGAGTGAGCGGCGAGTGGTGCGTCGATGGGGTTGAGCGATCCGACATGCTCCACGTCATAGTTGTCGCGGAGCCAACGGTGCTGCTCAATGTCATCGGCACAGACGTGAGCGTCGAGGCTGTGTTGATCGAGCTCGTTGCGCCGATGCCGAGCATGTTTGACGAAACAGTCGTGGCTCCATCCAGACCTGCAGTGACGGTAGGTGGTGCTGGCGGTGTCCAGCCATTCCCACTCGGGAAGAGTGCCTCGTATCGCTCGAGAGGAGGCAGTGGTGGAGGCAAGGGTAGGCCTTCTGTCGTCCATGCCGCATGATGGCCGTGAATGCTGCCGGAGCTGGCAGCGCCAGTCATGCCGTCCGAAAGCGCGGTGCGGAAGGAGTCGAGGCTGCTGCGAGCGGCGTGCGTAGTCCTGGACCGAATCGAGCGGGCAGCCTCGCTAAAGTCGACCGACGACACCGACGGTTTTGCCTTGTGCGCATGGGAGCGCGACTCGCCTGCATCGGTGGCGGTGTGGTACGCCGAGGTGGACGGCAGCGAGTAGTCGTGGAACGACGGGCTGAGTGCGGGCGACGGCAACGGCTCGTTGGGCGGTGGGAAGGGCGGTGGCCCCAACGATGCGAGCGAAGCCGATGCGCGGAAGGAGCGCGTCGAATGCGAGCGCGCTCTACGCGCTTGCACGGGTGTAGCCTTGGCCGACGATGCCGTCGAGTGACTGGCAGTGGGTGTGCGGCGTAGGGCCTCTGAGCTCTGCCTGGTGCCACTGCGTGCTGCCGAGGTGGATGCCGCTCTGCGCACGGCGGCTGAATCGGGCGTAGCTTCAAGCTGGTTCTTCTCGCCCTCGAATGCATTGTCGGGAAGCCTATTGATGGCCGCGCCTCGGCGTGTTGCGCTGAGCGGCGTGATTGGCAAAGGATTGAGCTGAGGATGCGAACCGAGCGCTGCAAGCGGTGGAACGACGGCCGTGGCGGGAGTGATGGGAGAGAAGATGCTCTGCCCCACCAGTTCGCCGCTCGCCGGTCGAGCTAGCATGGCCGCGCGAGCATTGGCTGCAGACATGGCGAGCTGACGCTGACGCTTGGCCTCGGAGCCGGGCGTCAAGTCCAGTGGCGCAGGTGGAGCCTTCCTACGCTTGTCCCAATCGGCATCTTGGCGCATGCTACGCATGAGCTTACTGTTGGGCGACGGCGATGCGCGTGCACCCGGCGACGCAGACAGCGAGCTATCTGCGGTCGCCTCGGTCGAGCTCTCTTGCATTGGCCTGGGAGGCGTTGTGATATCGCTGGCGTCATGCTGTGCAGGGGTGATGATGGACTCGGGCGTGTCGTCTGGCGAGAAGTGGCTCCTCAAGGGCAAGTTGCGGTCGTACGACGAGTCCAATGCCGAGCCGCTGGAATCGGGCGCCTCGGACGACGATTCGCGGTCGAAGCGCGAGATGTAATCGAAGGACAAGTCGAGGTCCACATCGGCCGAGTCGGACGAGATTCGGCCTGCACTGCTGGCTGGCGCCACGACGTAGGTCGAATCTAAGCTGCTGGCGCCGAGAGCCAGAGGAGCGCCGAAGGACGCGCGTGCGAGCTGCGCCGAGAAGTGGTAGACCTTCTTGGCGTGCTTGTATGTGGTTTGAGCCGTCTCTGTAGCCGCCTCGTCGTGGGCGGTGTTGGATGGAAGCGCTTCTGGTGCTGGCGGGCGGGCATCTTTGTCGATGGCGAACGTGCTCGAGTCGGGACTGGGGCTGTTGGCGAGCCACAGACCTGCGCCTGATCCGCTGTGGCTGTGAGGTGAGCGATGCAGCGTGTTGGAGCGCGCGAGGAGTTTGGAGGGTTTGCGAGCCACGCCGTGCGCCTCGACGCCTGCTGCAGAGGTAGACGCGGCTGACATGTTGCAGCGATGGCTAGGTGGGAGAGGCGAGTGTGGCACGTTGACAGTCACGATTCTAGCCTAGGTGGCTAGACTGGCAGGAAGGCTAGATGCGCGACTCAATTGGTGAGCCTCGTCATGTTGGATGTCGGTGATGTTGTTGATGGTTCGCAGCTCTCGGCGTGCCTGGCTAGGTGGTGTTTGTTGTTGTTGATGTCGACTCGACGATCCGAGGCTGCAAGATGAAGGCGGGCGGCGACACGGCAGATTGATCGTCGGCAATGTGCACTTATGAAGCTGATGCTGATGTGTATATGAAAAGATCGGGATGGCTGCTGGGCTAGGGTTCGGAACGTGCGCAGCAGGGTGGTATGAGGATGTCGAGGCGAAGGTCGGGTAGGGATAGTGGTAGTGGGATAGCGCGATGGCCTCGACGACGCTGGTGGCGACGACGCAATGACGGACACGTGCCTGGCTGGGAGTGAGGAGCCGCGATGTAGGAGCAGCACACAGCAGGCTTGAGGGAGACAAGGCAGAGCAAGGCGACGAGTACACTTGTGAGGGTCGATCCAACTCAGGGTCGCCAGCTGCGGGGCGGCGGTAAGGTATGTCTCAGATCGAAGGCCTTGCTCATGCTGACCATCTCCAAGCAGGGCAGGGCAGAGAAGGGCGATCGAAAGGGATGCTAGACCGAGCAGGCAGAGTAGCCCAAGGAAGGCATGCGCGACGATGTTTTGGGTAGTCTCTCGTAGCACTCCCACTCGACGCTGCACTCCGCCAGCCGCGGCCATTCAAGCCGGCGCTACGCTGCTACACTGCTGATGTGTCACGACGAGCCACGGAGCGGCCCGTCGAGGTTCAGCATGCAGGAAGCAGATCACGAGTGCATGAGGCTGCAGTCCCACCACCATGGCCGTGGAACCGTCGCGCCGTACTAGGAATGTAAGCTACACTCCCTGACGAGGACCAGGCCCAGGGCTCGGCCATGGCCCAAGGTGGAAGGTGGCTCCGAGCGGATCTTTCGACGGCTGTCAAAACGGGAATTTCGACTGCAGGCGTCGCTCAGCGTACATCGCCAGGCCGACGTGCAGGAGCGAGCTGAGCTGCTAGGGCGATCATTTCAGGCACGCGTCGCCAACACAACAACACCTTCGCTCAGGCTTTTCTCGACCCATGCCGCATTGCAACTCCGCCTCGGCGATGGAGTCTACCTGAGCCAGCCCCCTCTCTTCTCTCTGTACTTTCTCTCTACCCTCTTTCGACACAGCTCACTGGAGTCGGATCGGATCGGCGAGGCGGCTACCGGCAACACACCATTGCCGTGAGGCCCGCGAGGTGTGAATGCGAACTGGCGAGAGGTGGCATAGCGAGCTTCATGGCCGCGAGAAACCGCGGGGGATTGCGAGGTGACATAGCCTGCGCCATGGGTCCGAGCCTCGGGCGCAGCGAATTCCAAGAGTTTTAGGCTCGCGGCCCAAAGGCACAGCCTGCAGTGCTGCAGAGCCGCAGGCCTGGACATTGCATGTGCAGGCGTCACGCGTCTCGCAAAAAAACAGCAATGTTAGAGTCATCTCGTTCCTGATTCATGAGTGTCATGCTTATCTAATACCCCCTTGAGCTTCTCCACACCAAATGCACGGCCGCCTGTGTGCATCCTTTCTTCTCAAACCTGCCTTCGTTTCGACTACGGCCACGGTGGCATACGATGGCGACGGCATCTGCATCGACACGAGCGCCCCCCAGCTCCGGTGGTAGCTCCAATCCCACGGGCGCTGCGAGTAGCGGTCCCAGCGTCGGCGCTGGAGGATCAGCCTCGTCAAGTGGACCCTCGAAAGTCGCACCCGCCGGCGCGCAGCAGCCGCAGATCTCGCTGCTGGGTACTTTGCCGCTGCACCTCGTACCCTCGCTGTTGCGGCGGATCGAGACGACGCTCGTGACGCTGGCGCCGGACGTGCTGTGCGAAAAGGAGACCGTGCTGGCGCGCCACGACGACGAGGCCTCCGCCGTGCGCGAGACGGGCGACAATGCGTGGGCGAGCGTGGTCAAGGCGCGGCGTGGCGTTAAGCTTCGCGTTCGCGAAACCGCACGCTCCAATGGCCACACCGAATGCACCCTCTGCCTGCCGCTACCGAGCTTGCCGGAGCGCCAGTATCCGCGTGCTTCTGTGCGGCCGAGTTACACCGTCGAGGTGCTTTCCGACACGCCTGGCGCGCCTCACCCACGCAAAGGGGATCCACTGGCAGATGGTGTGCTGAGTTTTGATCCCGAAGTGCTGGATACGGACGCAGCGAATGGCTGGAAGAGTCTCGTGTCGGCACTGGGGTGGAGGGCGCACTTTGCGCTGCTGCGCTATGGCCTGGCGTACACGCTCAACGCCTCGCTCTTCCGCCACTCGTCCACGGCCACACCGAACCCACTCAATCCATCCCAGCATACGCGCTACACGCTCAACGTCTATCGCATCTTTGTGCCCGATCCGTCCGGATACACTGCCGACTGGACACCGGTCGATCCACAGGCGGCCACGGTGGTGGTTGAGCTCACCGCCACCGTCGGCGCCCAGCTCGATCAGAGCCACTTTAACCACTACTGCACCCTCCCTGACCCCGCTGCCACACCGAACGCGACGGGCGGACTCGATCCCAACTCCACCATCGAGTCCGCCATGGACTTCGCAGACCACGTCGCAAAACACCTCCGCGGCCTCGTGGATCTTCGCCGCGAAGCATACGACTGAACCAGCTCTATGCGCCCATTTGTACTTGTACTTGATCAACTTTTACACATTTCACAGCTAGCTGTCGTCGCAAGGCTGGGCGAGGATCTGGCAGAGAGGGACGAGGGTGGGTCTGCCATGTGCGCACTGGAAGGGAAACCTGCACCTGGCCAATCGCGCCACGAGCCGCTCGCACACATCCCTGCGCACGGCATCGTTGAACATGATGGCGCTACGACACGCCCTGCTTTTCACCACCTCGAGTAGCGATCCCGGCATCTGCCTTGCAAAGCTCATCCAGTCGCGATCGTCTGCCCTTACGGTTTTGTGTTTGCCTTGTCGACGCATCCTGTGCTGTTGGGTGTCTGCCTGGCGTCGAGTGATATCTTCGATGCAACTCACAAAGACGTCGCTGAGCAAGGCTTGGTTCTTGGGTCTGCCTGTGAGCGTCAGTGTTCGGTCCTTCAACACGTACGGCACGCCGCTAATATCCACCTGGGCCATCCTTGGTACTAGCTGCATCTCCCATCCAAGCCGTCTCATTGCCCTCGCCACCGAATCTGCTCTCAAAGCCTCGTACTGGTTCGTGCTGACGTCGACTGTCACTGCCGCTTCGAGCAAGAATGCTGCGGTTCGATCGGCACACCGCGTGGCATACTCTTCTAGAAAGCGTTCGAGTTGGTACCGCTCATCAGCAGCATGTTGGTCGACGCAAAACACCACCTGCTGTCCCTCGACAATGGTGGTGCATACGATGAACTTGCCGTCCACCTGGTCCAGCACCCTGGCTTGCGCTAGTGTCGATCGGGTAATCGCCCCCAGCACTTCGCCCTGCACCCCCAAACCCACATCCAGGCCATTTCCGGATACTTCCGAGGCCGGAGGTGGGAGCGGTATCGATGCAATGATGGCATCCAGCTCGGCATCTTCAAACTCGTCATCCGAGATCGCAGTTGCGTGTGCAGCGGGTCGGGGTGTGATGGTGAAGCCTTTGTTCAGGCTGGATCGATTGACGATGGTCGTTCGATGAGCCTGTCTTTGTGGGCCGATGGCGATGCTGTGGCCCGTACGCAGGTCGATGTGGAACAGACGACCGCTGACCGAATGCCGCCATTCCAGCATGCCAGCCGGTGTAAGCCCCGATGCTCGTGACATAAGTCCACCCAGAAGCGTAGCAGGCTGGCTGCTCCAAGAAGCGACGCATGCTGCATTTGAGAGGATACCAACCCGCATCACCGCACTCATTACAAGCAGCCTGGCAACTGCACACGCTGAAAAGCTTAGCCATCCTCATCTTCCCGCATCGTCAACACCAGTTGGTGGCGATCATGGCTTGTTGCAGAGTGCATACCGTTAGCCACCGAGCAAGCCATGGATCCAGCGTTGTCGGCGTTGGGCGCGCCGATGAATTTGTTACATCTACTACACCAACATGTCGAAGAAAAATCGGCTGGGATCTGTGCGCAGGGTCCTTGCTGCACGGTCACGTGCAGGCGCCAGTCAATTAGTGCACGCCCTCCCGCGGCTGCGACTCGCCCACACCCTCGGCCACCTTCACCCTCAAACCTCCCCTCTGTCCTTCAACCTTGCCCTCATCCAAACACGGATAGCACTCGAGTGACAGACTAAGAGATGCCTCATACTCCCACCACTGTAGTCTTCTCGTGAACGGATTCTGATGAGGCGTGACGAGGTGCTGTTGGGAGGGGGCGAGGGTAGACCTGATCGAGCCCCGGCCGCACGCGCGTCTCGAAATACCGCGAATCCACAACACGCCACGCGCGCCCCTCCTCCTCCCCTGGTCCAACCCCGAGCTCATCGCTCATCCATCCTCATCAACTGTTCATCCTCCCACTTCGACGCACACACACTCGCGTTTGCGTCGAGAAAGAAGATACCATTAATACAAGAAACAAAAAAGGGGAAAGGCAAAGGGTGGGGACAAGATCCAGGCATGGTCGCGCTTAAAGCGCTAGCGGGTGAGTGCCGGCCACGTCAGCGTACCCAGCAAAGGACACGACGACGCGACAGCAGCGACGGCCTGATCGAGTGGGCGAGAACAGCAGACGCGACGGACAAAAAACAAGACAAGAGCCAGTGTTGTACAAACGGGGAAGACGAGCCGAGACGGGCCAGCGCGGGGGGTGAGGCATCCAGTGCACCGAGCCACGAGCACGAAGCTGTGGCGGAGCGCACAGGACGACGGTGACGGCCGCTCGGCGACGGTACCAACGAGTGGCGACCATCGCTCGCGCCGCACGCAGAGCAAGAAAGGTATCGGGGGACAAGAACAGCTACAGCAAGACAGCAGTCGAGAGAGCGCGCGCTTATGCCTTCTTGGCGGCAGCCTTCTTGGCGGCGGGCTTCGCCACCTTGGGTTGGACGGGAGCAAGGGGTTTGCGAGCAGGAGCGTCAGCCTAGAGTGTTCGAGCGAGCCAAGCCAGACGAAGGGGGGGTTGGTACGATCAGCGTCGGTGTGCAAGCCACATGAGAGCGAAAGAGGCGGCAATGCCAGCCAATCATGCGACACCGATCGCGTCGCGAGGTGCGTCCGTCGCTCGGCTGGCTCTGCGATGCAATCACTAGAGCCAGCAGCAGCGATGACGCGCTACACTGCTTCGTCTCAGCTGGCCAGCGTCCCGAGTCCCCGATCCTTGCCAGGAGCGAGAGAGAGCGGGACGGCGACCACGATGAGCGAGCAGCCCCAACGTCTGTTAGAGCGATGTGGAGACACTTACCTTCTTGGCAGCGGGCTTCTTGGCCTTGGTGGCCGTTGACGAAGCGACCTTCTTGGCAGCAGGCTTCTTGGCGGCGGTCTAAAGAAGATGAAAACGAAAAATGAAATAAAAGTGTGAGCAACATGATCACGTGCGCAGAGGCAAACGATGATGATGATGATGACGACGACGACGACGACGACGAGAGCCGCGATGGTGATGACGAAGAGGTGGGAAGGGAGGGCGGGCACAGCAGGGGCCTTGGCGCAGCGACGCGCGAGGGGCCGATCGAAATCCAATTTTATTTCCGACCCCTCTCCTCCTCCTCCCTCAGCCGATGGCCAGGTGGGGATGGTGATGACGACGAGGACCAACTTACCTTCTTGGCAGCGGGCTTCTTGGCAGCCGCAGCAGGCTTCTTAGCGACGGCAGCCTTCTTGGCCGCGGGCTTCTTGGCGGCGGCGGCGGTGGCGGGCTTCTTCTCGACCTTGGCCTTGGGGGCGAGCTTGACCTTGCCCGAGGGGCCCTTGGGGAGGACAAAGGTCTTCTTCTCGGCACCGCGGGTGATGGCCTGGTTGACACGCGTGTTGAAGGTGGCCTCGGAGCCCTTGGCGGTCTCGGGGTGGTGAGACTGGATGTACTTCTTGATGGTGGCACGGCCGATACCAGCACGGGCCTCGGCGGGGTGAGCAAGGATGGCCTCCTTGATCATGGACTGCAGACGCGACGCGACGGACAACACAGACGGACACGGGCCAAATCAGACGATGGCGAGCAGGCAAAAGAGGGAGGATCGGGTCAGCAGGCTGTCATCGTCGTGCTTATCGGTGCTGCCAGCATCCCAGGGGGGCGAGGCGGCGCAGTAAATTATTTTCGAGAGGTGGGTCCATCGCGAGACGCGCGCGCGTGTTCCATCCATCCAAATCGCAGACGGATGCTGACGGCGACCGCGACGCTCGTCGGCGACCACCTCTGCGCGCATACACGTCGGCACATGCGCGTACGTGGTTGCGACATCGAGCATAAGCATGCAGGATGCTACTTACCTCGTAGGAGACCGAGGTGCCGGCGGCCTTCTTGGAGGCGGCCTTCTTGGCGGCGGGCTTAGCGGCGGCAGACATTGTTGCTGTGGGTGGTTGTTGGTGGTGGTGGTGACGAAGGTGTCGAGGTGTGGTGGTGTTGGATGGTGGAAGTGGTGGACAGAAGCGAGAGCTTGGATGTCGAGTGGTGGTGGACGATGGTGATGGTAGTGAGGAAAGGGGGAGGGGGGGCCGAGGGGAGGTAGAGATGAGGGGGTGGGCAGCTATTGGGGCGGGAGCCTATCCCAGAATTCAGGGTGGCTCAGCCGGGCAGCCTCATCGCGGCATGGCGGGCGTCGGCCAAGGCGAGGCGAGCTGACAGGCTCAATGGGAATCAACAGCAGTATGCAGCGGCGGCGGCACAAACCAGCACACAGCAGCACACAGCAGCGAGCCCGCCCGCTAAATGGCACCAGGAAAGCCAGGTCGGGCGAGTTGAGGCGAGGCGAGGCGAGGCGGGGGCGGGCCTTGGCTGGGAGAGCGTGTGTGGTCTGGCTGCTAAAAATCCAGTCCGGGCAGGGCCGTCGACTCGGCGCGTGGATTTTCGCGGGCCGGCTGCCTCGACACGAGTGGGTTGGCTTCTGGGTGCATGCGCAGCTCGCCGCCGCCGACTGACACCTCCTCTCCCCCTCCCTCCTCTCCCCCCCTCTCTCTCTCTTTTTGCCTTGCCAGCTTGCTGACTGACTTGCTTTCGTGTGCAGTCTATCGGCTTGTCCTGCTCTGCCTCTGAATCTCCGCGCCCGTTTGTGTGTGTGTTGAATTGCAAGATCCACGCACCTGCCTTGCTTGCTTGGCCCTGCGTATCTGCTCGCTCAGCCTCTTGGCTCCTCCATCTCGGAGGCCGTCTGTTTTGACCATGCAATGCTCTGTCTATCTCTCGCTTGATGGGACCGTCACGCGTCGTCCTTTGTCTAGAGTCAAAGTGTAGATGCTGTATCTTGCTCCATGATGTCCATGAGGCCCTGAATGCGGGCTTGACGCGCCTTCATTGTCAACACGCACTGCGCTCCTCCTCGTCATCCGTCCATGCTCAGATGCTCCCAGAATACAAGCAAGGCATGCATTGACGTCGTTGTCCTGCCATCCATATCATTCTCGATTATGCCATGCTCGCTGTATCCCTCCTTTGAACATTACTCGACACGTGAGGACGACGTCCCTCTTTCATCAATGAGCGCAACACCCTCGCTTTCTTGCGGCACACCCAGCCTTGCCTTGGTGGTGCCCCAGGGCCTGGCTTTCGGCAATGGAGAATGAACCACCGATGTAGTCAGTGCTTCTTCCAAGTGCTTCCAGGGGTGGGTTCGACGAGATCAAACCGCTGGCGCTCGCAGTTTTTTTTTTCTTCGGCGGCGCTCATCTCGCTCTCGCTCGGTCGCGGTAGCTGTTCATTCCTCCCCTGGTCCTCATTTGGGAAGCCATTCCTCGCCATCTCGCAGGCATAGGCTCGCCATTCCTGGATGCTGAGCTGTACTTCCGACGCGAATGACGGCCCACTGCATCCCGACCCTTCCAGGCTGCGAATATACTCGAGGTTCGTCCTCTGGATCTACGCTCCTCAACGAGAGCGCGGCATCCACACCATGATAGCGAGGCTGCCAGCATGGATTGCCAAGCGCAATCAGCTAGCTGAGCCAGCACGGATCGATACCAGTGAGAGCTTCGAAGAGTTGATTGCCGCGTGTGCTTGTTGGCGGCTCGATGCTCGGGAACCTGATCGTTGCGCGCACACCCGCATGCCAGTTGCCAGATCGCGCTCTGAATGTGTAGCGGGTCATTTCCCTTTTTGCCTCTCTCCGCTTCTTGCCCCATTTCCCCTTCATCTTCTCACCTACAAGCCTGATTCAACCGCATAGCACGATAGTATGGATCTTTCTCTTTGCATCGGTACCACTTTCTCCTCTTTCCGACGAGAGATGGAGGAGCAAGGACCCGACAAAAGCCAACCTCTGGCACGGTCGGGCGATTTTTCCAACGCCAAAGCTCGTCGCGTTGTTCGAGTCGCGCCAAGCAGCCATTCTATTTTGCAGACTGGAGCAACACCCAGCTTTGGCCGCCTCGCATGCATCGAGCCAAAAATGGCGCGAAAAAAGGCGTGCGTTCTTGAACACGGGGCCTGCTGCGTCGGCCCCCTCTCTCGAAGCTGGATTTGGCACACACTGGGGCTTCCAAAGCCGCGCGTGCCGTGCCGGGTGGGGGGCGATCCATCAGCCCATGCACTGCCCTGCCGATGCCCGCAAACAAGGCTTTCTCTCGCGCTGCCCCCCCTGAGCCACGCCCAGACTGCTCGGCCGCTGGCTCCACCTTTCCTTTCGCCTTCCTCTCCTGTGCGAGCGTAGGCTGGAGACACTCAAGGTTCAACTCGAGCTTGCCAAGACGCTCTGTACCCACCAACCGCCACGCACCGAGAAAGGTCCAAAGTGCAGGAACGGCAATTTCTCTTTACGGTAGCTCGACACCGTCTAAGCAGTCGGGATAAGCTACAGGCGCAAAATCAGAAATCCCGGGCGGAGGCGCGTAGTTGCGCGACTGTCTGCTCGGCCAGGCTTGAAAAATTCCGTGCCGCTCGCTGCACGGCGATCAGCACCCCGCCACCTGCCAACGTCGCCGTCGACCCTATCTGCAGCCATCCGAGAGCGAGGTTTCGCAAGGGACGTAGTTTTCTCTTCCTTCCAAGACGGCGTCGATCCGCATCCACATCCACATCCAGGTTTGCATCTGTCCGCTGGTCGTACCGGGTCGGGCGTGCATGGCAGCCAAGACCGCGCGGCCCTGCATATGGACGAGCATGAATTGATTGAGACCGCCGGCGCCACCACATCGGACGATGGTCTTTTCAGACGCGCATCGGGGACGATCTGCTTTCATCGTCGAAGAGCGTCACTCGTTGACCGAAGGAGGCTGCGTGCGCTTTCGCCCGATCCAGTCCGACAGCGATGACGCCGAGGTCTTGGTGGTCCTAGGTCCCACATTGAGGCTGCCCGCCCTGCCACTTGGCTTATCGCTGCTGTTGTTCGACTGCGACCCGTTGGCCGTGAGTGTCGATTGCGAATCGTTCGAGCTGGTTGGCGGCGTCGAGCGGTGCGGCTGGCTCGATTGCTCCTGCTGTCGTCGCCACTCGCGATCCTTGGCCTCGAGCTCTTTCGAACTCACTCGCTGGCTCGGGTCGAGTGTCTTCACCCCACCCGCGGGCACCAGCAGCGAGCGAGGTGTACACGCGCACGTTCTGCCTGGCTCGACCATTGTCGTGTATGGTATCAGATGGACGCAAGCCGCATGCTTCCGAAGAGGCTGAGTTGCACTGAGGGCGAGCTAAACACGCTAAGGCCAACTCAGCCCAAAGCGAGGCGGAGCTCCGAGATCCGATCTGGATCGTGTGGAGGTTTGGCCGCCAAACAGCGGCAACTGGGCGAGGAAGCAATTTCGAGGACCCTTGACACCGCCTCCCTGCAAAGATCGAATCTTCCTTCCACTCGTCACACCAGCTGAGCAGCGTCGGTACAGAAGCGTGCTCAGGGAGACGGAGAGACTAGCACACGATGAGCGTGCTGCTCGAGACGTCGGTAGGCGACATCGTGATCGACCTGCACACCGAGGCGGCGCCGCGCTCCTGCACCAACTTCCTCAAGCTGTGCTCCAAGCACTTCTACAAGCTCAACGCCTTCTTCCGCGTGCAGAAGGACTTTCTGGCGCAGACGGGCGATCCGACCAACACGGGCAAAAGCGGCGCCAGCATCTGGTCGCAGCTGCCCTCCACGTCGCGCGACCGTCTCGACAGCAGCTTGTTCCAGCCAGACACCGACGAGACGCTCAAGCATACCAGCAAGGGCACCGTCTCCTTTGCATGCATCCGCAGCCAGCAGGAGCATGCAGAAGACGAGGAGGGTGTGCTTCTGGCAGGGTCACAGTTCTTCATCACGCTCAAGGACGACATCGAGTATTTGGATGGCAAGCACGTACCTTTCGGAACGGTGGTCGAAGGGCAGGAGGCCGGTGGCACGCTCGACAAGATCAACGCCGCATTCACGGATGATCAGAAGCGGCCGCTCAAGGATATCCGCATCAGGCACGTCGTGGTGCTCGAAGACCCTTTTCCGGACCCGGACGGCTTCAGCCCGCCGTCGCGCTCGCCCTCGCCCACACCGTCGCAGCTTCACGCGCTGCGGCTTGCGGACGACGAGGACCTGAGCGAAGAGCGCGACGAGACCGAAAAGGAGCAGCAGCGACGCGATGCCGACACGAACGCAGCTGCGCTGACGCTCGAAATGGTCGGCGACCTCCCCTTTGCCGAGATCCGCCCGCCCGAGAACATCCTCTTTGTGTGCAAGCTCAATCCGGTCACGCGCAGCGACGATCTGGAGCTCATCTTCTCGCGCTTTGGCAGGATCATGTCGTGCGAGGTGATCAAGGACAAAAAGACCGGCGACTCGCTCCAGTACGCGTTTATCGAGTTCGACAAGAAGGACGACGCCGAACGCGCCTACTTCAAGATGCAGAACGTGCTCGTCGACGACCGCCGCATCTGGGTCGACTTTTCCCAGAGCGTCAGCAGGCTGCATGGCGACTGGGTCAAGAAGCGCAACGGAGGCAGAGAGGCGCCGCGCGGCCATTACAAGTGGGGCGATCAGTCGTCTCGCAATGGCTCGCATGCAGCCAGTCGCACCAGCTCGTACCGACCGCGCGACCAGAGGGAGGAGAGGGACCGTCGCGACCGCAATCAAAGGCCTCGCTCGCCCCGTCGAGAAGAAAGCAGGGAGCGTGATCGCAAGAGGTCGCGACGCCAAGACGACGACGACGACAGGCGCTACCGCAGAAGTGCCGAGCAAAGCAGGAGCACCCGCGACGACCGAGACAGCAGACACGGCCACGCGCGCTCCCGACGCGAACACACGTCCGGTCGCTCAGAGCGTTCCGAGCGCGAACGCGACCGTGACCGCCGTCGTGATGATGATCGAGATCGAGATCGCGAGCGCGCAAGCGGCAGTGGCAGCCGACGCGATCGCAGCGACGACAAAGATCGGCGGCGCCACGACGAGCGTTCGCGGCACGCGAGCGATTCTCGTCGTGACTAGCGCATCGTTGAGCGCCTCATTGCCCATTGCAGCATCAGGCAGTCAGGCATTGCATGGCTATGTACTTGTCGTCCTCGTTGTGCCAGGACCTGCTGTGTGAGAGTGAACTTTGTGTGGGACCCGGAGTAAGCGACCAATTCCGAAGGCTATCCGGCGCACCCTTGGCGTCTGTGCGCCGCCGCGGCTCCTTTGGAATTGGCGGAGGGAGATGGCGCGGGATTCGGGACTCGACACGTGTGTTGCACGTCTGGCATTGCACCCTTTTGAGCTGCTCGGGCTTCTTCTCACACCATCAGCGTCTCTCTCTCTCTCTCTTTCCACATATCTTCGTCACTTGAACTTCGCGACGGAGCAGTGCAAGGCAAGGCAAGGCGATGCGATGGTCGCCGAAATGAGTGCATCGCCCTACACACGGTCGAGCGCACTCGCGCCGTCGCCCACGGCGGCGTACTTCCCCAGCTCGTCGCGGCGCAGCAGCGTCTACACCTCGAACGCCGCGGCGGAAGACGACGAGGCGCTGGACGAGATTCGGCGGTACGAGTCGTTTTCCACCGTAGACTGGGTCGTCGACTCCACGCGCGAACGCAACCGCATCGCACGCGAACGCAATGCCGCCTCGGCGCACTTTGCCAACGCACACCTCGCCAACGGCTCACGCGCCGATGCTGCCTGGGGCCATGTAGGATTTGGAAGAGCCGGCATCCCGCCGAGATGGTGGTCTAGAGGACCCTGGGGAAGGAGAGCTTGGCTCGTGTGGGGGATCGTCAAGAGTGCGCTTGCCGCGTTTACCGATAGCGGCGTGATCGTGCTCGTGGGCATTCTGATCGGCCTCAATATGGGCGTCATCAGCTTGGCCACCGAGTGGGCGTCGGATCTCAAGCAGGGGTATTGCAGCTCCGGGTGGTGGCTCAATCAGAAGTTCTGCTGCTGGGAGATGATGGATCCTGCAGGGCCGGGTGGAGCACCGCTCCCGGCCGCAGCCAAAGCACTCGCCACCGCAACTGTCACTGTGACGGCACCCGCAGCTTCCTTGGACCCCACCGGCTCCACGACGCTGCTCTCCACGGCTGCGCCGGCAGCGGCACGCGCAACAGCCAGGGCCATCGCCCACGAAGCGTACAACCTCACACTCCGCGGCGTGCGCGATCACGAGCTGTGGTCGCGAGCGGCGCACGACATCTTTCACGACGGCCTCGGTGCAGGACTGGGCCTAATGGCGCGCGCGGAGGGTGCGGCATCTGCGGGCGCGGGCGACTTGAGCGAGACGTGCACCGACTGGGTGCCGTGGTCGCGCTGGGCGTTTCCGGCCTGGATCGTCTACATGCTCTTTGCGAGCCTGCTGTCGTTCATCTGCGCGCACCTCGTCAAGTCATTCGCACCCTACGCGGCCGGCAGCGGCATCTCGGAGATCAAGTGCATCCTGGCAGGGTTTGTGATCAACGGCTATCTGGGCTTCTGGACGCTGGCGATCAAGAGTCTGACGCTGCCGCTGGCGATTGCGTCCGGGCTCAGCGTGGGCAAGGAAGGCCCCGCAGTGCATGTGGCGTGCTGCATCGGCAACGTGGTGGCGAGCTTCTTTCGCTCGTTCAACCGGAGCCAGGCCAAGATGCGCGAGCTGCTCACCGCGGCTTCGGCGGCGGGAGTGGCAGTGGCGTTCGGCTCGCCAATTGGCGGCGTGCTCTTCTCGCTCGAAGAAATGGCGTACAACTTTCCGGCGTCGACCATGTGGCGCTCGTTCCTGTGCGCGTTGGCGGCGACGGTGACGCTGTCGTTCATGAACCCCTTCCGTACGGGCAAGCTCGTGCTCTTCCAGGTGTCGTACGACCGCGACTGGCACTACTTTGAGATCATCTTCTACATGATCATCGGCGTCTTTGGCGGGCTGTATGGCGCGTTTGTCATCAAGTACAATCTGCAGGTGCAGTCGTTTCGACGCAGCTACCTCGCCAAGCACGGCGTGAGCGAGGTGGTGGTGCTGGCGGTGCTCACGGCGTTCATTGGGTATGCCAACAAGTTCCTGCGCATCGATATGACCGAGTCGCTCGAGATCCTCTTCCGCGAATGCGAGGGCGGCGGCGACTACGATAACCTTTGCCAGAGCTGGGCACAGTGGCGCATGGTCAACTCGCTGCTGCTCGCCACGGTGCTGCGCACGGCGCTCGTCATCATCTCGTACGGATGCAAGGTGCCTGCGGGCATCTTTGTGCCCTCCATGGCTATTGGGGCTACGTTTGGTCGCATGGTGGGCATCCTCGTCAAGGCGCTCTACAACGCTTTTCCGCACTGGTCGCTGTTTTCGGCGTGCCAGCCCGATGTGCCGTGCATCACCCCGGGCACCTATGCGTTCTTGGGGGCCGCAGCGGCGCTTGCTGGCGTTACGCGCATCACCGTCGCCGTGGTGGTCATCATGTTCGAGCTCACGGGCGCACTCACCTACATCCTGCCCACCATGATCGTCGTGGGCATCACCAAGGGTGTTGCCGACTGGTTTTCGCGCGGCGGTATTGCCGAGCAGATGATCAAGTTCTCCGGCTACCCGTTCCTGGACAAGGACGACCACAGCTTTGGCGTGCCCGTTGCCGACGTGATGCGCGCGGATCCGCAGGTGCTGTACGCTGCAGGCATGCGGCTCGACGAGCTCGAAACCAAGCTCGCCGACGCCAGCTACAAGGGCCTGCCGCTGGTCCAGAGCAGGGACGATGCAACGCTGCTCGGATACGCGGGCAAGACGGAGCTGCGCTATGCGGTGGGCAAGGCAAGGCGCGCACGTGCACTCCATGCCGATACCACGTGTCTGTTCAGTGTGGGTCCGAACCGCGCGCGCGGCAGTCGGCGCGGGACGCAGCAGCAGGACCTGCTCAACGTGGCTTCGCTGCCTACGACGGCGGCGGCGGACCAGGCGGTGCGCGAGGACATGCTGAGCCGGTTCAGTGGTGCCGCTGCAGCAGGTGGGGCTCTGGGACTCGGCGGTGGCGGCACGGCAGCGCGCGCGTCGCAGCGTCAACACGAATCCGAGTCTCTCATCGGCCAGCTCGACGGTGCACACGACGATGACGACGACGCACCTCGACCCCGGTCGAGCTATCCGAGTGCTGGCATGGATGGTGATGACGACGACATGGACGGGGATCCCGAGCTGGGGGAGGCGGGCGGCGGAGTGGATGGCGAGGGCGATTCGGACGTGCTCGAGTTGGCGGGGTGGATTGATCCGACGCCTTTGATCGTGCAGCCAGACATGGCGCTCGAGACGGTGATGGACATGTTCAAGAACCTTGGGCCGCGCGTGATCCTCGTGGTCGAGTACGGCAAGCTCTCGGGGCTGGTTACGGTCAAAGACGTGCTGAAGCGCATTGCACAGCAAGAGAAAGCCGAAGCAGCCGCACGCTCGGCATCGCTACCGAGCACGGCTGCTGGCTCGCACGAGGGAATTGGGGGCGGCGAACTCGAGGTGCTGCTCAAAGAGGCCTACGACTGGGCACAGCAGCAGTGGGCATCCATCGCGCCGCATTTCGACCGTCTGGGTGCCAGAATGGGCGTGTCGACAAGGACGGCGTCGCGCGCCAGCGCGTACTCGCATCTCAGCTCACATGCGGGCAGGTACGACTCGACGCCCGAGCCCGAACCGGAATCCGTGGCGCTGCACAACTCGCAGGGTGCTCAACGGCATAAGCCGCAGGAAGACCAGCATTCGTTTGTGCTCGGTGAGGCAGACGAGTAGACACACGCCCAGTGGCGGGAACAGGACAGTGCAATCGCAGCGTGACAGGGCAACAAGACTGTGTGCGCGTGAGCTGTGCGGTGAATTGCGGATGAGCAGGTTGGCGCTGTGTCCTGCAGCGGAGTTAGCGCAACTTCTTGTCCTCGAAGAACCCCTGTAAAGCGTTGTGAAGATTAGCGTCAGCATTGCGTTTCTGATGCTGCGTCTTGGTGGAGTGAGGAAACTTACACGGAGATGACGGAGTTGCCAGACACACGCGCCGAGCAGCGTGATGAGTTGAAGAGAGCTCCACCACATTGCCCTCGAATTGGTCACTTCCGAGAGATCTCTGAACTGGGCCTCACGTTCTCTCTGATACTGCTGTTCCTTCCTAATGTCCCTCAGCAGGGCGTTGAGGTCTCTGACTCTCTGCGCGAGATCAGTCACATGCGCCTTATCCTTGTGCGAATTGTCGGGCTTTGCGTCGCCGATGACGATATCGAGGTGCATGCGCACCTGCACCGCGGGTCTTCCGTCGAACTTGGCGAGCATGCAGATGCGGTGGTCGCCCGCCTCGTGCGAGGTAAACGCAAACTTGCCCTCGGGTGGACCGCGCGACGAAGTCACAACATGGTCATCGCGCACTTCGCGAACAGAGATGTGGATACCCATGTCGTCCTTGACCACAAAGCGCTGCAGAGTGGTGTCCCACTCTTCGGTCATGTAGTGGCCCACCACCACCGTGTCGTTGGGCAGCTCTTCCAGGAAGCATTTGGGTGTGTCGGGCTCGAGGTAGAAGTACAGCGCAGCCGTTGAGCGCACCGCGAGCAGAAGCGTGCACAGCAGCAGGAGCACATTCGTTCGCCCCAGCATTGTGTCTTGCTCCGTCCCTGTCGGCGTCGAGCGAGCAGTGGGCTATACGATCCGTATATGCTTGTGCGCTTCGGTCCGAGTGTTATGTGCTGTGGCCGATCGAGTGGTCGAAGGATGTGCAGCACTGCCGTCCGCCCGAAGTTGGAGTGTACGGCGTCGACGCTGTGGTGTGCGTAGTGAAAAAGTGGTGTGATGAGGATGGTGAACGGCGAACTTAGGCTTTCTTGGCACGGGGCGTGTGGGTTGCGGCGACGTGGAGCCGACCTGTGCGTCGAATGCGCCCGCAGACCGAAGCGCTGGAAGAAAGAGCCGGCCCAAGGGTGCAGCTGAGACATCGCTGGCAGAGCCCCGTCACGTGAATTTCCTTCGCCCGCCAGCATGGTCTCGGCCTAACACCTTTCGGCCCTTTCCTACTCCCTTAGCACTCTCTCTGTGGCCAGTCCGAGGCACATGGTCGACTTGAACCTGGTGCTCCGTACATGCTTTCGAGAGCATCGATCCGGATGAAGCTGTAGCATCCACATGGAGCGGTGCTGATCATGCGAGTAGATGCCCTTCCCACTGCAATCCGGGCTCGGATTCAACACAGACATGGAAAAAGCCGCTAAAAAAAGGAGGCCGAAAAAAAGGCAGAGTTGCGCCATCTGAACCGCAATCGGGAGGTTCGCACGAATGATCTTCGATCCACCCATACCGTGTTAGAGCTCGATGAAAACGCTGGACTGCTGTGACGTCATCGGCCAGCATCACACGACTGCGAGCCAAGCTGTGCGCATCGGCGCCAACCGTTCCGAGGCAAGCCTAAAACGCCGCGATGTACACGAGTGGGCGACAATGACGAGCTGCCGCATCCGCATCCGAACGCCGCCTGCAATGCTCGCTCACACGACCCGGCGATGCGGGATTGACGGCCCGCGTTGGACAAAGGCGAACCAGCCCAGACTGCTAGGCGAGATTGGTCCGGCTTCGCCTTGTGCATCGAGCCTGCGACGCTGCAAGAGCCGACGAATACCGCCAGACTTTCCATTCTCGGAAGGTGCTACAGTAGTGGGTGCAAAGCGTTGCTGCCAAGGACGGCTGGCCTCGGAGTGGATGGATGGCGGGCGTTGCTGCCAAGAAGTTTCGCACAGGCACGCCCGACGCCATTCGAACTGGGCCCTATCGATCTGCCGTTCCCGAATTTCGCGTCTTCATGCCAATAGAAGTGCAAGTCTAACACGATCAGACCGACTTTTCGCTTCCCTCATGCGGCTCGGACGAGCTCTCCACACGACGAATGTCACAACGAGGGCTTCCAAGACGCAGGCGATCGGCCTTACATGCCAACATTCGGGGTGGCTCGCGATCTGACGAAGTGGGTTCAGATGCCGTGCCGCTGCGTTTGAAAAAAGGCACCCCTTCTCCCCATCCTGGGCTCCACGAGGCAGTATCTTTCTGCCAGCACCTTTGGGCTAGGGGCAACGGGAAGGCGCCACGCCCCTGCGCCCCTATTTCTGTGCACGAGAGCGGGGGAGGAGTCTTCGAGCTTTGTGTAGGACTTGCGGGCCGAGAGGTGGGATCCGAATTAGCGGGGCAGCAGGAACGATGCACGGAAGCCGGTCGACCGGCGGCAGCTTGACCACACGTGGATCACACGTCGTCAGTGTGACGGCGCCTTCACTTCCGTTGGAGGAGGAGACGGTATGGAAGCAGCCAGCGATCAAGGGACTGCAGGAGCGTAACACACCTCTCGATGCGGAGTCAAAAGTGCGCTTTCACTCCGCGGCAAGCGCAACATTCCTCGAGCTGAACGAGTGTCTACCACGACGCTCGCTTCGGCATTGTTCTGACCGTCCGACGGGGCGCTGTTGTGGCGATGTCAAGCAAAATGCGCAAAGTGGGCGAGGAAGAGAGGGCAAATGAGTGCGAGTCAGACTCCGATCGTGCCGGCGGTATTTCCAGTCCGCCGCATTAGGGGAAAATAACCAGGCGGGGCGCGAGTGTTTCAATGCCGCCGGTTCGTCGCAGCATTCCATCCGATCATCGGTTCGTTGTTCGAGACAGGCATTCGTGATCGCATTGGCTGAAAGGCATCGATAGTACGAGCAGATAAGACCGCCCCATGCGGGAACGGGTCGGTTGACCGGTGCGCGTGGGCTGGCCGTAGGAACCACGCGGTGGAGCTGTTGGAGTCGCGTGGTCGAGAGCGTGCAGGAGACGGGAAGCGGCATTGGTGTGCCGGGAGCTTCTACACCGCGCCGGCCGATACGAGCGGAGTGCCAGGGCGAAAGAGACGCGCGATCAACAGCAAAGCAGCAGCACACCTCACAACAGAGTGTTGGTTGCGGGTTGCGACGAGCAGGTTCAAAGTCCGACCTGCACATGAGGCTGCAATCGGCCCGGCCCTTGGACCACGCTGCGTCACTTTCTATTTCGCATTGTCCATTTTGCGCAGGCGACACCGGTTGCGGATTGCAGATGGACGAGTCGGAAGACGGTCGAGGGCGGAATGAACTTGCCGACACCTGCTGTCGGCCGTGTGACGCGCTTTGGCTGCAAGCGAAGACAACCTGCCCCGGTTTGGCAGCCTTGAATCGCGAGGTAGAGAGAAGTGGCTCGGTAAAAACCGACCGAGCGCCCGACGATCTGCGTGTGGGCGGGGCTTGGACGCTTGCGCAGATCGTCGTGATCCAGAGCAGTTAAAAAAAAAAGAGAAAAAAGGAGAGAAATTGCAAATTGGATGGCGCTCCATGCTTGCCCCTATTCGAGGGAGCTAAAGATTTGCCGCAGGCTGGCCAAGCTGCGCCAAGCCTTGGAGATGGTGCAGGCAGCATGGACCAAGCATTGACAGCGCCGGACGACCGCCGAGAAGACCGAACGACGACGAGCAGAAGAGCCAACACGCCAAGGCGGCTACGGCCCGACTGCAAAAGCGGCGCCAAGACCAGCGAGGCGGCTGCGACCGAAGGATCACGCTGCAAAGCCGAGCCACCCGTCTGCATCCCTGGCCATTCTCATGCGCTGTCAAACGCCAGCTTGACTGCTTCAACACGCAGGTGACAAGGGTGCTTGGGGCGCCTCAGGCCGTGCTGGCGATGCACGCGGTTCGGCTAGTGTGCAAGTCCCCCCTCCACCACCACCTCGACCGCTTGGACCACAAGATGCGGCGGTGGTTTGAAAAAACAGTCATCTTTCCAACCAAACCGCCACTGCGCTGCAACGGCACGCATGATGAGGTGGAAGCGAGCCAGTTGAAACTCAGAAAAATTACAGGTGGAAAAGAGAGAAAAACCTTCCGCGCGTCACACTCTCGTCGCCTGGGCCGCGTTTGCAGCAATGGCAGTTCAGTGGCAGTGTGTGTTGGCTTGTCGATCCCCATTCAGGCTGGGGTCGACTGGAACAGCCACGGCTCCTCCGATCTGTGTCGACGATGCAAATGCACCCTGGCCCTCGCCTCGAGGGGCCATGCATCCATCGCATCAACGCGGGCCCAGCCTCGGCACAGCGGCTCTTGGCTCCCAAATTCATTCCGAGCAGTTTTGTACTGTAACTGAGCAGCAGCAGGAGCAGCAGCAGCAGCAGCAGCATTCGGCAGCCCAAAAAAACCGCACGGATCGGAAGCCGAATGCTTGTCAACGGCTGTTGCGGTGCGGTGCGGCTGGCTGGAGCTGCTTTAGTCGCCGCAATGCTCAACCCAACTGCCCTCCGCCCGCTGCACTGCGCAATCATGCCTGCACCCGCTCTGCATCCGCTCTGCACCAGACTTACCTCATAGTTACGCGCAAGAGCATGTTCTCATCTGCGCTTCGCCCGAACCCTCTTTCGCTCCCTCTCGCTCTCGCTCCGCCGTCATTGCCAACGGCTCCCTGCTCCCCCGCTTCATCCTCACTCTCACTCTCACCCTCTTCCTCACCCTCATCCCCTGCCACTGCCCCCTGCCCCCCTCGTCGCTGAAAGCCGAGGCCCAACCTCGCCCCCCCAACCCTACAACTATCTCCGCTTTGTCCTCTCCTCATCGTGCGCGTCTTGTAGCTTCCTTGTCGATCGCTTGGCATCAACCGTGTTGCCTCTTCACCACCAACCTTGTTCGGCTCACCCACTTGCTTGGCACCCGCCCACCGATACACTCCCGACGGTGTCAACCCAAGCTTATCCTCCAACCCGCACCATCACCGCACGCATCCAGCTCCGCCCTGGTCACGCACGATCGGTATACATAAAGCCAATCGCCCGGCCTTGTGCTTCGTCATCCACGGCACTGCTTTCAGCGAGCATCTCTAAAGCTCTTTGGCGACCCCTCTCGGATGCAAAGCTGGATAGGATTCTTCAGCCCGTAGCCCGCAGTAGCGCTTCCGCAGCTTTTCGCAGCCTCTTCCACCTTGCGCTTGAGCTTGTTGCCCGCTCAACGCCTTGCGCTTCCGCATCGTCGCATCCCGCTGCGTCTCGGTCGTCGTCGATCGCTCTTGCATCGCCCGCAGCAACCTCCCTTCTCTTTCGAAAGCGGCTTGCATCGGATCCCTCACCCTCGTCCCGCAGCCGCACCGACAACAGTGGGCTCCACTTCATTTCGCACTGCCCCCTTTCCCGCCGGCCGACACTCCCAACCCGCCAACCCGTCTGCCCCACCGCACAACCACAGCCTCGCTGCCGACATCGCCACCAACACGCTTCTAAGAGACCGTCAACCCACCATCATCTTCCACCTTCCTTCCGCCACGCTTAACCATTGCTCGGATTGATGGTCGCATTGGTGTCTAGCTAGCTCCCCCATCCCCGCCCACAGTCCCTCCCCAACGGCGACACGAACCCCTCCATCCCTGAGGAATCCATCAAGCCGCCACCCCCCCTATCACACAATGCGCTCCTTCACACAGCCTCCATTGGTGTCCACCGGCATGCAGGCATCGACATGTGTGCGCCGCGCCGCTGCGTGGCTCTTGGTCGGCGCAGCTTGCGTCTCGGCATTACCACTTCGCGATGGACCTTCGGTGTTCGCTCCTGCGGCTCAGTCTTTGCAGCGTCGAGCGATCATGAAGGGCGACAACTACGTTCCGCTTGGCAACACCACCGTGCCGCTCTCGCCGCTGCTGCTCGTATTCGGCGGTCTTGGGGCCGCGGCGGTGGCGCTCGTGGTGGCGTTGATACGCATCTTGGTGCCGTCGTGCATGTCGAGGTCGTCGCGCATCGTGCTCGAGGAGCGCGAGCGTGCACGTCAGGATCTGCGCATCCGAGGCGCTGTTAGCCCGCGCGGCAGTCCGGGAGGCAGCCCCGTGCCTGGTGCTAGCACGCCGGTGCATCCGCAACAACGACGATATCCGCCCAACAAACCCATGCGCAAGGTCGGGCGCAACTCGCGCGGCAGCTTCACGCCGGCCGACTCGGCTTCGACCGTGTCGAGGAAGAGGTCGTACCGCGGCACGTCGATTTCGCTGTCCGAGGCGAGCAAGAAGGTGGACCGGTCGGTGGCATCGAGCTTGAGCGGCTTCCAGGTGCCGCTGCTTACTTCGAATGACTCGAGCAGCGGATCGTCGTCGTTCCATCTGAATGCAAAGGAGACCATGTCGGAACGCGCAAAGTATCCGATCACCGCCACCAACGATCTTAACCTGGCACGCAATAATCCGAGGCTCAGCTTTGGGACGCGACATCTGGCGCGCACGAGCTCGATTGGTAAGGGTGCGGATTTGCATCGAACACGCAGTGGGGGGCGTCAGCAGCCCGAGATTGCGTTGCATCCGCAGCCGGTCGATCCGGCGTATGCGCAGCGGTGGGCGAGGCGCGAGTCGTATCAGCATCCGCTGCAGGCGACGAGTCGGAGGGATTCGACGCTCTCGGCGTACGAGGTGAGCAGCAGCTCGGCAGAGCATAGCTATCTCGAAAGCACAGCCACCAGCAGGATCGGCTCGTTCAGCAACATGTCTGGCAATCCGTTGCAGCCGCTTAGTGCGCCTGGGTTCGGGGCGATGCCGCAGGCCACGCAGCCGTGGGCGAGTCCGAGGTCGTTGAGCAGGTCGCCGACCCCGGACTCGTTGTCGCCCAATGCGTCCAGGTTGGCTGTGGTGGGTGCGCCGCAGGTGGGCAGTAGGAACTCGTCCGTCAGTGCGCTGCTCGATTCGGATGGTAGCGATGCAGGGGTGGCGCCCCAGACGGCGGTGCTCATTCCATCGCGCGCCACGTCGTTCACAAAGTAAAAACGCAACATCAGGACAATCATCTCGCATCGCTTTTGCTCCATGTCTACAAAATTTAGTGCCACTCGGGCGGTGTAGCCGAATGGCAAGCAGTCGGAGGCTTGCCCCCGCACGTGCTTGGTCGTCGGCTGCTTCATCCCCGATTCTTTTGGCATGCACGCATCTGTACCAGTACCTTCGCATCGCAATGCGCTCATTCTTCTTTCTTGTGATTGTAAACGTTGGGCTGGTGGCGAAGGGGTGGAATGCGGAGGAAATGCGTCGGCTGTTCGCAGAGCACATTCACAATTCGGGCCGCCAGCGTCTATGTTTGGAGGATAAGATTGCAGGTGTGTGGGGGGGAGGCTAGGACGTGGATGTGGGGTTGGCTTTCTGTGTGGCGGCTTTGTCGCGGATCTGGTTGGTGATGTCCTGGAAGATGGGAAACGAAAGGCTGTCTCGGTATCGGTGTATTGTTGAACGTGAGAGTAGGGTTCCTGCTGTGACGCTCGAGTCTTGCGTTGTGAGTGGTTGGTCGATAGCGTCCGGTTTATCCTCGAGCTGGTGTAGCAGTTGTTGCGCGTCTTCCTTGGCATCATCCAACACACGTACAAGACCCGGATCAATTGGAATTCGTCCGAGGAAGTGGATTCCTTCTCGTTTCGCCAGGGCTTCACCACCGCCTTTACCCCAGACGTTGGTGCAGTCTTTGCAGTGCGGACAGATGTACCCGGACATGTTCTCGATCAGCCCCAGTACGGGCAGCTGAGTCTTGCGACAAAAGTCCAAACTGCGCAGATTATCCGCCAGACTAACGGCTTGAGGGGTGGTGACCATAACCGCGGAGGGTGAGAAGGTACGTAGGTATTCGAGGATCGAAATGTGTTCGTCCGACGTTCCCGGTGGTGTATCGATGATCAAATAGTCCAGAGCACCCCATCGAACGTCACCGAGGAACTGCTTGATCATAGCGTTCTTCTTTGGACCCCTCCAGACGACCGAATCGTTGCGCGAGCGGAGCAGAAATCCGACGGACATTACGGCGAGTTGTTGCGACGCATCCGTGTACACGGGCACCCATCCGTCCGTACTTTGCTTGACCGTGGCGCCGTCCAGGCCCAACATGCGTGGAATCGACGGTCCCGTCAGGTCCACATCCAGAATACCCACTTTGGCTAGCCGGCCGTCTGGAGAGATGGGGGTGGAGGAGAGTGAGAGCGCAAGCTGCGCAGATACGGACGATTTGCCCACGCCGCCTTTGCCCGAGAGCACGAGGATGATGTTCGACACCTGCGACAGACGGCGTACGATCTTGGGGTCTGCACCCAGATGCGACGCCGACGGCGAGACCGATGGCCCCGATGCACTCATCGCGCCGTGTTGCCTCTTGCTTTGCGTGGCGGTGGAGATGGTGGCGGATCGTTGAGCAAGTGCTCAGTCGGTGGGGAGGCAAGTTGCAGGGAGTCACCTCCACGCCGGCTATCTTTCTTCCTTCCCTACCCGCACCTGGATCGGGCTATGCATCGGAGGCCCCTGCAGGAAAATCGGGCAGCTAATCTCCGCCCCAGTGGAGCTTCATCTGAGTCGGGTCCGTCTGACAGCTATTCACGGCACTGCCGCTTACGAATGCATTGTGACTTGCATACAAGATCGTCGCCGAGTCGTTCGAAACCTCACGCAGCATTGCGAACCATGACATCGGTCGTTGAAGAACGTGCGAACAGCTTGGGATTTCTCGTGCGTGTCTTCCGCGAGAAAGGCATCGGGAGCGGGGTCCACTCGTACGTACCGCGCTCGTGCCGCGCTCGTGCGCCGGCTAGTGTGGAGTTGTGGTGCAGCATGACGCAAACATGTACTCTTAGCCCTTCCCCTTCCATCCTCGGGCTTATTCGCCGAAACCCAGGCTTGTGGAACGGGCATTTGTTGATGACGGGCCCGCATTTGGCGTCCTGGAATGCAGGGTCGAGTGTTCGCTCACCGGCTTCCGCGAAGCTCCTGAGCTTCAATCTGAACCGGTCCACCTTCTTGTGCTTTTGTATATAAACCCCCGAGAGCTTGGACGTTGGCCATCCCGTTGAGACCCACGAACCATCAAGTTTCCTACGACAAGCAACGAGTTCAGCATGATTTGGCCACGCGACGACGCTTCGGTGCGCGAGGCATTCAAGAACGACATTGACAATGTGCATCTGCTGTACGACTACGATGCCGAGAACCCCGAGACGGGCGCACCGGAAAAGTGGCGCTACGAAATGTGGTTCCGCTCGGAAAATCGCATTGTCTACGCCATCCATGGAGGGTAAGCCCATCTCCCCCACCCGAACACAATCTGGCACATACTGACCGCTTTGTTATACAGACCGATGGCGGGTCGACTGAACTATCAGACTGCCGACTACCAGTGCATCCGACCGGGTGAGCTGTGGCAATGCAACTGGCTCGAAGGTAAGCCTTTCCCCCAATCCTGGCGGAGTGAGAAACAAAGTTGACCGGTTTGGACGTGGTGTGAACGCGGTGTAGAGACGGGAACGACTTGCTCGTTGGTGTACGACATCAAGAAGCAAAAGATCACCACCATGCTCAACTTTTCCAAGGGCCACTGGGAGAAGCCGCAGGAGGCGCATGGCGATAAGCGCAACCCGGAAGACTTTGAGCGATGGCGCAACCTCGCCAAGATCGGAATCCAGACCGACCGACACATCCTCAACGACCAGGCCACCATCCTCGAATCCTTCCGCGGTGCTGGCGACCTCAAGGACATCGACCTCAACGCTCCCACCCTCTAGTCGCCTCCCTGTCTTGTCGCTTTGCAAGTGGAATGCCATCCTTCAGTTCTTTCGTAGGCGATGAAAGTATCTGTATGAATTCGAGATGCTGTTCTGGGAGTGCACGAAAATCTATGCAGAAAAGGGCGCCAACCTCGCCGAGGGCTTCTCGCTCTGCGTGCGCAAATCGTACTCGCCATGCTGCGTGATGTATCGCACCCACGCTATACCACGCGACAAACCGAGTGAGAGAAAGGAGTGCAAACGGCGTCAGTACTTGTTCGTGCACTGGCTCTTAGGCAGCTGGGCAACTTACGCAGAGCTTGGTAGCCCGACTTTTCGACGATCTTGAGGTATCGCACCTGGATGCCCGACACGGTAAAGTAGGGGATCTCGAACTTGATGCTGATGGGTGTGCGGCGATCGAGCGTGTCTTCGCTCTTGACGCTGGGCAGGCCAAAGTGCGCGCGCATCAGGAACTCCTTCCCACCACCGAGCTGCTTGATCTTCCACACCATGGCCGACTTTTCGGGCGCATACACCACCGATCCAATCGCCGCGCGGAACTTGGGCGTGTCGGCATCGTCCGGCACGGGAATGTGGATCTCCACATTGTTGGCGGTGGAGCGACGTTTGAACTGCGCCTTGACCTTGACCATGAATTCGATGCGGCTGCCTTCGTGACGCTCCACGATGGCCTCGGCCCATATGAGCGGCTTGACCTGCGTGCTGAGCCTGTAGCTCATCAGTTCAAACTCGCCGTCCGGTGGGATGAACGAGATGGTGCGGTCGTTTTCGAAGCGCGACAGACGCACGCACTGGTGGAACTTGACGTCTTCCATCTCGATCGCCTTGCCGCGTGCGGCCCTGCCCGTGTTTTCGAACATGACCTTGTCGTTGAGACCGAGACGCAGCTCGGGCATGCCGGAGAGGTAGCACTTCATCTTGATGGCGCCCAAGATCTCGCTGCGCACCACGTTGCCATTGGCGCTGACGAGAAGGTTAACGGATTCGACGACGTCGAGGAACACCTCGTTCTTGCGGTAGCGGATACCCTCGGATCGCCACGAGACCGCATTGGTGACGGCCATGGGCGGGCGCACCTGCACCTCGAGCTTGTGCGACTCCTGGGTGATGTACTCCTGCAGGATCTTGGACTCGGTGGTCTGCGGATAGCCAAAGTCCATCATCTCGTCGAGCAGCTCGTAGATGATGACAAAGTTGTCGCGGATCGACTCCTCCTCGAGCTCCTTGAAGTACTCCTCGAGCACCGACGCGAGCTTGTGCAGGAAGATGAGCACCTCGGCGGCGTTGGAGTTGCGCCGTGAGAGCGCGAGCAGATACAGGTTGTTGTGACGGATAAACATGTAGTTGACGCCCTCGGACGAGAAGCACGGGCTCACGGCGCTTCCACCCGCCTCCTCTTCGAGATCGAGCAGCAGCGGCAGGAACTTTTCCACCGCCGATGGCGACACATCGTCGCGATACGAGCGCTGGATGAGCGACTTGCCCTTGAGGTCGACGATGGCGATGAGTGATGTCATGCCGGCCTTTAGATGCTGGAAGGTATGTTGGAGTAGCCTGATGATTGCAGTGCCGCAGGGATCCTCGTCCGACCGACTGACGTACAGAGCGCAAACGGCCGATGCGCTAGGCCGTGTATCTGCTGACTCTCAGGTGGGTGTGTGCGTGCGTGCGCGTAAGGGTGGTGGCGATGAGCAGAGGCCGGGCTGTAGCGGTGTCGATGAAGCGTGGATGTGGGAAGAGGAGATCCAATCTCGCCTCGGGCGCAGGGTGGCCTGTGTTGCACTCTCTGCTGGCGCGCAGCGGTCGATGGCCCTCAGTGGGGTCGCCGAATTCAAGTCTTCGCTCGTGCACGCAACGCCACGGACACTCAAACTTAACATCTTACCCGATTTCCGCGGCTGGTCAACCTCACGGACTCAAGCCAAGCAGCCATTCTCAGAGCATCTCTGGACGCAAAGCAGTGGCCAACACACGTGCTATCATCCATTGAAGGCGGGGGCGAGACAGTGTCGATTCTAGGGCATACAAATCACAAGGCGCATCTGCGCTTTGCGCCTCAGTGCACGCGGGGCTTTTTGCGGTAGGCGTCCTCGTGGGCCGGCTGGCCCTTGAACATGGCGGCGAGCTGCGCGTACTCCTGGTCTTCGTCGACGTGGACAAAGTGCTCGAGCTGGTGTGGCGTGCCGGCGGCCGCCTCGTCCTTGCGCTTCTGCCTCTGCTCGTTCTCGATGCGCGCCTTGTCCTTGGAGGCGGTGTCGTAGTCCTGGGTGCGGATGCCATTGGCGACCGTCTTCCACACGTTGCGCGACTCCATGGCGCCCTGCTTCTCCACCGGCTCGACGCTCACCTCTTCGCGCTCGGTCGAGGCGTCCCAGAACACCTCGTTGGAGCCGCCGGAGGGCGACTTGCCCTTGTACTTGCAGACGCCGGCCCACTCGCCCTCGACGGTGTAGAGCGTGTTGCCGCCGGCGCCGATGGTGGCCTTGAACGAGTGCGCCTTGCCCGAAAAGTAGCCCTTGCCCGTGTAGCTGAGCGTGGTGAGCAGGCCGGTGGTGGACTGGATGTACGAGTTGCCCGTGAGCTCGACGTAGGGCGAGCCGTACCACAGGCCTTCGATGAGCAGGTTGGGCAGCGTGATGAGGTAGAGCTCCTCGTTGGAGCTGCCGGGCAGCTTGAGGCGGAGCACGGCGTGTCCGACCTGCTTGACCGAGATGGTGCGGCCGGAGAAGGAGGTCTTTTGTGCGCAGTGACCCTCGAGGGTGACGCCGGCGGTGGCGTTCTCGATGGCGTAGGCGGTGACGGGCGGGTGGTGCGACACCTGCTCGGCGGTGAGCGTGGTCTCGCCGCGGCCGTTCTTGTCGCCCCACTTGCCGAGGAAGAGCTCGCCGAGGATGGGGTTGAGCGGCTTCTTTTCGGAGCCGGTGGAGATGTTACGTGCGGTGAATTGGCCCTTGAGCGTGCCGATGAACCACTTGAGCACGAGCGTCATGCGCTCCACCTCGTCTTTGCCCTTGGCGATCGCCGCGAGCGTGTCGGGATGCTCGCCCCAGTACGCGGGGAACTCGACGAGCGACACGGGCGACAGGATGAACGACGGCGCGGTGAGCGACGACAGATCACCGGAGAAGGTGGCGATGGACTTGAGGAACTGGCCCCATCCCTGTCGCTGCTCCTTGGGCACAGCAGCGCCGACTTCTTCTTCTCCCATGGTGGTGGATGTAGAGGGTGGTGGTTTATAAAGCAAAGACCTCTAAGCGTGCCGGTGACGAACGAACAACGCGATGCGATGGTGGTGGTGGTGGTGATGATGGAGAGGAGGAGGCTCATTCGAAAAAACAGGGCCAAGTTGCAACGTGCGTGTGTGTGTGTGGAGTAAATTGGGCGATGCTGGGCGCGGCTGATGCTCCCTTTTCCGGCTCGAGGTTGGGGCGACGGCCGAGTTGCGCGTGCCTTGAGCGTGGAGCACTGCTGCCAGGTCTGTTTTTGGGCGCGCGCGACAGGGGCCAGCTGAGGGCTGCAGGTGGGCCCAACACGTTTCGACCCAGCCGGCCATCACTGACCTGGCTCGTGCTCCCATCCACCATTTTTTCGGCAATTCTGTTAAGCCAAGTCCACACCCCTCCGCTGGCCATCGACAAGCCTCCTCCGCGGGCTAGATGCAATGCGGTGTTGTGATTCGAGACAGCGACTAGCAACGACAGGGAAGAGATGCTGTACAGATACAAAGACAGGTGGTATGCGTGCGCGAGCAAGAGTAAGAATCACGTCGAGATGATGGTGGCCTGGATCTCGGGGCGGCGGCAGAGCTCACGGAAGAGTCTTCGCCATTCGAGCGGGTCGCCCTTGCCCTTCTTCATGACGACGAGCGTCTTGACCGTGTCCTGAGAGGCCGGGTCGACGTCGCAGCCCGAGTCGGAAGCCATGAGGTTCTCGACCCACACCTCGCCGCGCAGGGGGCACTTGCGCTTGTCCATGGTGGCGAGGCGGATGCGTGCGCCCTTGGTGCCGATGGCGAAGCGCTTTCCCGTCGTGCTCGCCGCTTCTGCCGCTGGCTCGCCGCCGTCGATGATAAAGTTGTACGCCTCTTCGAGCTCCTCCTGCTCGCCAATGGCGTTGGTGGCGTTCTGAATGGCCAAACTGTCGAGAACATCGGATACCAACGCCACCATCTGTGACGGCGTCGCCGACGAAAAGAAGCGCGTAAGATGCGGCGAGAACCGATGCGAATTGCCGGCCCCGACCATGTTGGTCAGCGCCTCGAACTGTGTAAAGTGATTGAGCGCCTGCGTGAACTGCGAGGCGCCTGGCAGTCCCATCTCGGATCCCGTGGCGCTCGACGAAAACTCTTGCCTGCGCGTCGTGATGTGCTGGCTCATGGCGAGGCGGCGCGACATGTCGTCGCTGCCCACTGCGATGGACGGCATGGCCGTCGACGACGGAAGCGCCAGTCCAACCGCTCCATCGCGCCAGCCACGCGCCGACGAACCACCGGCACCAAGCTCAAACGAGCCCGTCTGGATCGCCTCGGGCTGCGTCAACGACACGTTTTCCGGCACCTGCGCTCGCTGGCCGTCGGTATGCAGCTCGAGTCGACGCGCGGCGGCGGCTGCTGCAGCGCCGCCCGCCACCTCGAGATTGATGTCGCCCGACACCGCCAGACCTTGGAGCAGCTTCTCGGCGAGGTTGACGGGGTCGTTGCACTTGCCCTTGTTGGTCATGAGCTCGTTCTGCCGCCTGAACCATCGATGGCGCCGGATGCCCTCAAACGTGATGCGTCGCTCGGGATGAGGGTGCATCATTTTTTTGAGCAGCGACAGTGCATCCGCAGGGATCTTGGTCCAGGGATCGTACTCGAACAGCGCACCGCTTCGGTAGGCGTTGTATTCGGGCGATCGAGACGTGGGCTCGTCCCAGGGCGTGCTGCCGACGAGCATCGCAAACAGCACCACGCCCGAGCTCCACACGTCGACAGGCTCGCCACGGTACGGCTTGCCGTTCATCTCGGGTGCGATGTAGGGGAGCGAACCACAGGCGCCCGTGAGCTCTCGCTCCTTGCCCTTGTACTTGTACACCGAACACAGGCCAAAGTCGGCGATCTTGAGGTTGCCTTCGGCGTCGAGCAGCATGTTTTCGGGCTTGATGTCGCGGTGCGTCACGCCCTGCGAGTGGATGTACTCGAGGCCGGAGAGGAGCTGCTGGAAGTAGAAGTGCGCCAGGTCCTCCTCGACGCCGTAGTCGGGCGCGATCTTGTCGAAGAGGTCGCCGCCGGCGCCGAGCTCGAGCACCATGTAGAGGCCGGGCACGTAGTTCTCCTCCATGGAGGGCGTGCTGCGCATCCTCTCGCGCTCTTTATCGCGCGCCTCGATGGACTCCTGCGTGGTGGCGATCGATTCGCCCATGAGGATGCCCTTCTCCTTGCCCGCATTGCCATTCTTGTCCACACCGCGCTCGACCGCTCCGAGGAACTCGAGCACATTCGGATGCTTGAGGATCGAATGTACCTGGACCTCCTTTTGCAGCGCGCGCCGGTCGATGGGGTACTTGTTGGATCGGTTGGGCGCGTACGAGATCACCTTGATCGCCGCGACCGGATTCGACTTGGAGTGCGGATTGACGGCGCGAAAGACCTTGCTGAAGCCGCCACCGCCGATGAGCTGCACGAGGCGGTAGTCGAGCACGGGTGGGTACGACTGCCCTGTGGACGAGGTAGGGATGGGCATGATGGGCGAGTCCTCCTCGACGACGACCACAACGACGACAACAACAAGATGCTAGGGGATGGTGGGAGTGTGGCAACGATGAAGTTTGTGGTGCCACAAAGACTGCGTCCCTCCAAAAAAATCCAAGCCCGCCGCAGAGTGTTGGTCTCCTTGCTTGACTGAGGCGCGCGCCACCGACAGCCATCGACGCGTCGGGTAGAGTGGCATCAGCAACAGCATCGACTCAGCCAAACGAAACTTGCAACGTGTGCGCAGGATCAAAATCGCACATATTTCCAAAAAATCCGACTCGCGCGCAAGTCCACTGCTGCAAGGCACAGCGCACGGCTTCACATGAGCGAATCGCCTCCACTTTGGATCGCCCCTCCTCCTCCTCCTCCTCCTCCTCCTCGTCACTCTCATCACCCTTTCCCTCCCAATCTCTTTCGGTTGCAGGTCCAGAAGTTCGCGCCAATGACAGCCGTAGCATCCTCTTCGACCACTGCAGCGTCGGCAGCGGGGTCCTCCTCGTCCGCATCGCGCCTCGAGCCTCTGCTGCTCGTGGCGCGCTCCACCAAACCTCGGGGCGCCGCAGCCGCCAAGCTGATCCACCAGGCCATCTCCACTCCGGGCGCGTACTTCTTCAGTGAGCTTTTCGACATCCCGGGTGTTGTTGAGCTTTCCGCTTCCTCCTCCGAGTCGGACTCTCAGCTACGGGCGGCGTCGATTCTGTTGCAACTGTTTGCGTACGGAACGTACGATGACTACCTGCAGCTGCTTGGCGCTGGAGCAATCGAGGCGGTTTCGGCGGAGGAGGTGCAGAAGCTTCGACAGTTGACGCTGCTGTCGCTGGCACGCAATAGCAAGTCGCTCGCGTATGCGGACATGCATGCTGCGCTGGGGATTGCCCAGACGCGCGAGCTCGAGGATCTCATCATCGAATCCGTCTATGCTGGCCTCATCACCGGCAGACTCAACCAGCTCCAATCGCGATTCGAAGTGCATCATGTTCAAGGCAGAAACGTTCCACCCCCCGCGCACTCTGTCCTTCCGTCCCTCAACGGGAAGCAGGCATCGCTACAGCATATCTTCTCGGCGCTCCAGACTTGGCAGGCCACAACAGCATCGGTGCTATCCAGCCTCCAATCGCGTATGGACGCCGTCCGCTCCACAGCCGCACAGGCCGAAACAGCGAGAACGCAACACCACCAAGCACTACTCCAGAATCTTACAAACGCTCAACACCAACTCGAAGCCCAGCAGAAAAAGTCCAAAGCAACCGCAATGGACCTCGACGAAGACTCGCGCACGGGCGCCAGGAAGAAATCCACCTCCTCAGCTGCCAGAGGCAACAAACGATCCCGTGCCTAAGCTCCCCCTTCCCTCACATCTCTGCAATGCATGATCATCCTGAAAGATCCACAGTCTGACACATTGACACCGTTTTCTACATGAGCCTGCGCGAGTGAACTGACCACGAATCGCCATGACCGTCGACAAGGCGACCTCGGTTGAAGATGATCAAAAGGGAAGGATGGATTCGGATCCATCGGCCGGCTTGGCCTCGAACGCATCGGCTGCCCTTGGGCAGTGTGCGTCATTGGAGGCATGGTCGATCGCATAGCACAGATACAGTGTATCCGACCTGTCATCGCAAAGCAGAAGAGCATTTGTCAGTGCACGTTCTCACCCTCCATGACCGCTTTCTACTTACGCATTGCTGAGCACGTCGGCACACAGCCTGAGTGTCCAGTACGGCAACAGCGCACACAGCAGCCCCACGAGCGGTGCATCTGCCGGCACATGCAGCTGGTGCGCCGAAAACAGGAATCCGACCAATCCCGCCAGGAACGACAACGCAATCGCCGTCAAGTCGAGTACGAGATTGATCACCAGTCCCTCCATGACGCCCTGTACGCCGCGCCTGCTCACCAGCTGCGCACTCTTCTTGGCCGCGGTCCAGAATCCGTCGCCCGTGACACCCACATACACGAGCGCCAGATCGCTGTACGCCTGCAGCACCGCACCCAGCCCTGCCAACACGCCCACCACATGCGTGAGTGGCTGCAGCATCCGCGGCACCCTGCGCTGCGTCGTCGCATCCGAAATCCTCCGCGCCACCTCGGCCACCAGTGTGAGCGTCTTGATCACCGCCAGCGCCAGTGCCGACATGCAGATCGAGCCGAGCGCCGGACCCGTCGCCCGCGCAAAGCTCACGCGCACCACCTCGGTCGCATCCGGCGCCGCATGTCGACGCACCGCATCGTGCGCATCGCGGTGCTGCGGATACGTTCCTGGCGCACCCGGCATCTCGTCGTAGATCGAGTCATCGTGTGCAGCGTACGCCACCTTGTTCAGGCCGTCTTCGTCCGCACGGCGCTCGTCCAGAGTCGCTGTGCGAGCCGAGGAGGCGTGGTAGTCCGAGTGAGCAGCCGTGCCCGATGGTCCTGCAGCATGCGACGTCGCTGCAGCCGGTGCACCATCCCCGATACGGTGGAAATACCAGTGACTGACGACACCGGCAACGGTGACGCGTTGCACGCCGCGCAGTACCGCCCAGGTCCAAAGCCACGCGCACAGCGTCGCCCAAGCCAGCCAAGCAGCCCTGGTATCAGTCTGCCACTCCATCGAGTCGCCCTTGGGCCGTCCAAAGTGACCGACGAGGAAGAGCCGAGTGAAGAGAAAGAGAAAGGGAATCGTCACGAGCGCAAACACGCCCAGCGAAGCGAGCGCGAGCACCAGCAAGGCCGGATGCATCAACACCACCGTGCAAGAGAGTTCAAGCACGGCGATGGAACGAGAGAGCGCCTTGCGGCGCTGCCACACCATGCGGGCGAAAAGCACGGCAAGCGCGAGCGGGAAAATCGAGATGATGCGCAGACCCGTGGTGCTCCACCCGCCTCCCGACCATGCTTCGTCGTCGTAGACGAAGCTTCCCGCAAATGCCCACACCCATCCAAGGCCGAGCACGATGGGCACACCCATGAGGCCCGTACGTAAGACCTTGGCGCCGCCGAATCGGCTCAAGTTGCGGAGGAGCAGCAGGTTGCCCACTCCTGCAGCAAACGAGAGCACGGTCAAGAGGATGAGGATGGGCAGCGATCGCGTGATGGTGTAGTAAGACGACGGTCGCGTCTTGGGCGACTTGGGCTGGCTCGGCGTCCGTGCGCCCCAGCTGAGGTAGGCACCGACCAAGACAACAGCCCCGATGGCGGCAGCGAATGTGGCGATGGCGGTCTTGTCGCGGTACTTGCCAAAGGCGAGACGATTCGCCCACGGTCCCCAGCCTGCCCTGGCGGGAGGCGCGGGATAAAGGTGGATCTCGTCGATGACGTCTTGATCGTGGTCACGCGAGGATCCCGGCCGTGCATTGCGGCCGGAGCGTTGGTGGCGAGAGGAAGATCGTTCGTTGCGAGAATGGTGCTGCTGCTGCAGAGAGGCTTCCGAGTCGGTACTGGAGGCTCTCCTGATGCCGATGCGCAGCGGACGCGCGTCTCCGGATCCTGACGGCAGGAGAGGTTCGCGCAGAGTTGAGGTCATCTGGCGGGCGCGGTTGCGCGACTTGCGGCGGGTACGCTGGGTGCGGCGACCGTCGCCCTCGGTGTCGTAGTCCGAGTCGGTGACGGAGGATGCAGAGACGGAGCCGGATCGGGAGCGCGAGAGGTCGGAGCGATCGTCGTGGTGCTCTTCGCGCTCATCGTAGATGCTGTACAGACCGCCGGATCGGTCGCGATGCGAGGCTACCGTCTTGGAACGCGGCGGCTTGGCAGATGGTGGGGATTGCGCATACAGCGAGGACTCGCCGAGGCGACTCTGGTCTTGCGTGCGAGCGTGAGGCGAGTAGATGCTCGACTCGAAGGGATCGTATCGGCTATCCCTGGCAGAGTGTGAGGCGGCAGTGTTGGTGGTGCGCGAGGCGTCTGCGTCGATGGTGGAGCCGTGTGCCAGCCATCCGCGTGCTTTGGCAGCCTCGCGACGATGTTTTTGGGCCGCTGTGGGCACGTGTGGCGAGTCGGATGTTGTGGCGGCGCGTCCATCCTTTGTGCTGGACGTGCTGTGGTGGCTGGCGGCGTCGTCGAGATCGCCGTCGGCAAGGAAGGGGTCCTGTGCATCGGATGGGGCTGCGGGGGATGAGGAGACTGGCGGCGCTGGATGCTTGGGGAGGAGGCTGTTTGCGTTTTGGGAGCCATCCAAGCTGTCGTCGAGATCGTGGGAGCGCGACGAATGTGCGAGACGAGAAGCCAGGCCTGGCATGCGGCGATCGTCGCGCCAGAGGTCGACGTCGTCCTCGTCGTCGATCTCACGGATGAGCGACTCGCGGATGGCGTGGGTAGCGTGATTGGCTGCAGGCCTGCCTCGACCTGAGGCGAGAAAGGAGGCAGGACCGAAACGGCTTGCGCCTGTGAGGCTGTGTAGGATGCCGCTGTGGGATGGGTGTTTGTGATGCGCGGGAGGGGTGGGGAGGCCGTCGGAGCTGGATAGGCTGTAATCGGGGCCGTAGGGATTGTGCGAGTTGTTGGGATGGGAGAAAGGAGCAGCGGAGACCGAGGCGTGGCTATAAAAGAGAGGGTCGGCAGGGTCGTTGGCGTCGTGGTCGGACTCGACGCCCGGGCGCACGGAAGTGGCGAGGCCAGAGGAGAGGAAGCGCGAGGCGTACTGCGAGAGCGACGTCATCTTGGCAGAGCTCGATGGAACGACGGGCAGAGAGCTTGGATGGCGAGAGCGTAGCGCGCGTCAAGTGCGGCCCAAGGCCCCAGCACGCGGTGAGGAGCGAAGATGTCGAGACTCGTTGATGTAAAAGAGCCGTGTCCGCAGTCGGTATCGAAGCTCGCTGGGAGGGACGGAAAGGAGGAAATGAGCAATCCAGGATTCCAGGCGTTGGGCTGAGCCGAGCTTTGACGAGCAAGCTGAAGTTGGAACGAGGATGCGGATGGTGATGGGCACGAGCAGCGGTGCGATGGCGATAAATCGGGTGAGAGATGCAGGCAAGGTTCAACAGACCGAGCTTGTCAGTGAGCTTGTGAGCTTGTGAGCTTGTGGGGATGAGGAGGAGGAGGGATGACAAGATCACGAGAGCACAAGCCTGGCTGGCTCACTTTTTGAAAAAGGGATTGATTGCCTGCCAGCCAGCCCAGCCGCTCGGCGAGTCAGCCAGGGGCCAGTCCAGCGCCGTCGAAAGGGTTGCGATTGTGGAGCGGCAGCTGCAGCTACTGTAGCCGACTGCGCGCCGCACGCGATCTGCCGCACCCGACCAGTGTCGAGTGGAGGAGAGATAGGCGCGCTGAGCATTTGGTGCTGCAGTGCGCTGCATTGCGCTGCATTGCGCTGCACTCACGCTCAGGGTCCAATCCAACCCAATCCAATCGAGGCGGCGCTGCTCAGTCGGGCCCGCGCGGATGCTGATAAAGTCGCTCGCTTGCGCCATCCCTCCATGCCATCAACCACCGCCCAGCGCCTGGATCGCCTTGTCCCTCGAATCATGGCCATGAGATGCGGTATTGCGATGATCGGATCTCTCCCAGCCGCTCCGTGCTCAGGATATGAAGCATGTTAGCCAGAAGCTTTGTGCACCGGCTCCACTTCATAGCTTTCGGCGGCGGTTGTTCATGTTAGATTTGTATACGAGTGACGAGCTTTTTAATTGTCCACTGGAGACGGCGTAACATTGATTGGCATTCTCGAGTCAGGCCTGGCTTCCCCACGCTTCGTTGAGCTTCAGCCGGAGGGCGAATCGAGATGCGGCGAAATTGGAGCTCGGGTCATACCGTCTGCCGCTGCTGCCCGCCGCCCGCCGCTTGCCACTCGTTGGCTCAGCTGCAGCCGGATCCACTTCTTCCAATTTGAGCCCCAACCCGCCTCCACTCCTGTGCTCTCCACCATCTAGCTCTTAGCCTCGCTACATTCTCTCTCCCGTTCACCTTCACAATGTCGAGCTCCATGTCTCGCTCGCTCGGATTCGCGCTCCGATCCGCATCGCGGTCTGCCGTCGCCGGCTCTTCCAAGCAGCTTCTTACAGCCACCGCAGCGCCTGCGTCGCGCGCCATGAACTTCTCCACCACACGAGCCGCCTTCAACTCGGCGAGCTCCAAGAAGGAGCAGGACAACCAGGCATCCGGTGAAGCCATGGGGGCCACCGACAAGTCCGGCGCCGCCGACACCGAGGCTCTTCAAACCCAACTCAAGGAGAAGGACGCCAAGATCAAGGAGCTGCAAGAAGCCATCCTGTACGGCAAGGCGGACTATCAGAACCTGCAGCGACGAAGCAAGGACGAAAAGGCGCAAGCGGGCGACTTTGCCATCACCAGGCTCGCCAAGGACCTCACCTCCTCCATCGACATCCTCGGTCTCGCACTCAGGTCGGTGCCCGAGGAGCTCCGAACCGCACCCAAGGACCTCGACACGAAGGACCCGCGCCGCGTGGTCGCCGACCTCTACTCGGGTGTCGACCTGACCTCCAAGTCGTTGCTCGACATGCTCCGCACCCACGGCATCGTCCAGTTCGACCCCACCGGCGAGAAGTTCGACCCCAAGGAGCACGAGGCGCTCTACCAGGCTCCCGTTCCCGGCAAGGAGCCCGGCACGGTGCTCGAGTGCAGCAAGCTCGGATACAAGATCAAGGACCGTCTGCTGCGTGCCGCCGAGGTCGGCGTCGTCCAGTCCAGCTGAGACCACCCAAAATGAACACAAGGCCTCACACCATCTTGCCAGCTACGTCTCCTGTATATCTGTACTTGTTTCAAGATTGACTCCCCACCACAACACTGCATCCCAATGCTACAACAGCCCCACCACTTTTTCCGTTCCCGCTCACCTATCCAGCCCGTGTGTGCCAGCCTGTGTGTGCCAGTCTGTGCTTGGCGCACTGATCGTATGATCCATCTCGTTGGCCGACAGCCGCTCCTCGGAAGGTCACTCATTCTTCATTTCGAGGCTGCTCCCTGTGGAGCGAGAATTCAAATTTTTGCTTCGGCTTGAATTCGGCTCGAGGGGGCTGAATACACGCTCTGAGCTGCCTCGCCGGCCTACACGCTAGGCTGCATCGGCGGTGGGGTGGATCGGGCCGCGTGAGCTGGTCAAACGCGGTTGCGGGCCCTTTGTTGCCTGCCAAGCCGCCTGCCGTGGCAGAAGAAAAAATCTCTGGAAAATTTGCTGCGCAGCTGCAAAATCTCGTCGTCCGAGTCTTCCTTCCAACGCGAGCGGCAGACGAAAAAAAAAAAAACAGAGAGCAGCAGCAGCAGAGAAGTGAGACTGGTTCGCGTCGACGCTGGCCTCTGTGAGCGTGTGGATGTGGATGCGTGGGCGAGAGCGAGGAGGCAGACCACACACACTCTGGCCTGGCTGCTGCGGTGCGCTGCGCCCGCTCCCCTCTAAGCACGCTCGACACCATCCATCCCTCCTTCCTTCCTCTCCAAAAAACTTTTCGTAAAAAAACAAAAACACCTTCTTCTCTTCGAAAAAAACCCGAGGTTCCATCGTCCTTAAACAGGTTCGACAGTCCTCGTACAAAGCCAAAAGAAAACCAAAAAACCCATACATAAAAGGTAAGCATCGAGTCCAAAGCAGCGCCGCAGCGAGGGTGCCGAGGAGGTTCAGCCCTGGTGATGATGGCGACGGTGATGGCGATGGCGATGGCGATGGCGATGGCGACGAGCAGGTTCATGGATCTGTCCGGACATGACCGCCTCGTCTCGTCCTGCCGCCATCGACGCCGGCTTTGCTCCACCACTGCCACCGCCGCCGCCGCCCCAGATCGCATCGAATCAGACCTCTCAAGTGCTGACCACTGTCCTCTCTGCATTGCATCCCCCAGAAAGAGTCTCTTCACCGACCCTTTCTTCTTCCCATTCTTTCCTTCTTCACCTCATCTTCTTTCTTTACCCTTCTTTTCTTCAAGGGAACCTCACGGCTACGATGTCTTCCACCGAGTCTCCCGCTGCTGCCCCCGCCGAGGCCGTCCCCGCCTCCAACCCCGCTCCCGCCACCGAGCAGCCGGCTGCCGGCAACGGCGAGCAGGCCAACCGCAACGCCGATGCCGCCGCCAACAACACCTCGCTCTACGTCGGCGAGCTCGACCCCTCGGTCACCGAGGCCATGCTCTTCGAGATCTTCAACATGATCGGTCCCGTCGCCAGCATCCGCGTCTGCCGTGACGCCGTGACGCGTCGCTCGCTCGGCTACGCCTACGTCAACTTCCTCAACGCCGCCGACGGCGAGCGCGCCATGGAGCAGCTCAACTACTCGCTCATCCGCAACCGCCCCTGCCGCATCATGTGGTCCCAGCGCGACCCCGCCCTCCGACGCACCGGCCAGGGCAACATCTTCATCAAGAACCTCGACGCCGGCATCGACAACAAGGCGCTCCACGACACCTTCGCCGCCTTCGGCAACATCCTCTCCTGCAAGGTCGCCACCAGCGAGTCCGGCTCGCTCGGCTACGGTTTCGTCCACTACGAGACCGCCGAGGCCGCCGACGCCGCCATCAAGCACGTCAACGGCATGCTGCTCAACGACAAGAAGGTCTACGTCGGCCACCACATCCCGCGCAAGGAGCGCCAGGCCAAGATCGAGGAGTCGCGCGCGCGCTTCACCAACGTCTACTGCAAGAACGTCGACGCCGACGTCACCGACGACGAGTTCGAGAAGCTCTTCACCAAGTACGGCAAGATCACCTCCTGCGTCCTCCAGCGCGACGACGACGGCAAGTCCAAGGGCTTCGGCTTTGTCAACTTTGAGAACCACGACGAGGCTCAGACCGCCGTCGACGAGCTGCACGACTCGGACTTCAAGGGCCAGAAGCTGTTTGTCGCGCGTGCCCAGAAGAAGAGCGAGCGCGAGGAGGAGCTGCGCCGCTCGTACGAGGCCGCCAAGAACGAGAAGCTCGCCAAGTTCCAGGGCGTCAACCTGTACCTCAAGAACATCCCCGAGTCGTACGACGACGAGCGTCTGCGCGACGAGTTCGCCCCCTTCGGCGCCATCACCTCGTGCAAGATCATGCGCGCCCCCTCGGGCGTCTCGCGCGGCTTTGGCTTTGTGTGCTACTCGGCGCCCGAGGAGGCCAACAAGGCCGTCTCGGAGATGAACGGCAAGATGCTCGACAACCGCCCGCTCTACGTTGCGCTCGCCCAGCGCAAGGACGTGCGTCGCCAGCAGCTCGAGGCGCAGATCATGCAGCGCAACCAGCTGCGTTTGCAGCAGCAGGCCGCTGCCCAGGGCATGGGCTATCCCGGCCCTGGCATGTACTACCCGCAGCCCGGCGCGTTCCCCGGCCAGCCTGGCGGCATGGTTCCCCGCCCGCGCTACGCGCCGGCCGGCATGATGCCCCAGGGCATGCCCATGGCTCCCTACGGCCAGCCCGGCCAGTTCCCCGCCGGCATGATGCCCCAGGGCTACCGCCCTGCCCGCCCGCCTCGCGGTGCGCCCAACGCTGCCGGTGGTCCCGCTTCCCCCGCCGGTGCTCGTCCCCCCGCTGGCGTCAACGGTGCTCCTCGCCCCGCTGGCCAGCCTGTCCCTGGCCAGCCCATGCCCCGTGGCCCCGGTGCGCGCCCCGCCGGTCGCGCTCAGGGCGACGAGGCTCCCGGTGCTCTGACCGCCGCTGCGCTCGCCAAGGCGAGCCCCGACGAGCAGAAGCAGATGCTGGGCGAAGCCATCTACCCCAAGGTGGCGGCTAGCCAGCCCGAGCTCGCGGGTAAGCTGACCGGAATGATCCTCGAGCTGCCCGTGACGGAGCTGCTGCACCTGCTCGAGGAGAGCGAGGCGCTCGACGCCAAGGTGAGCGAGGCACTCGAGGTGCTCAAGGAGTACCAGCAGAACGAGCCCGCTGCCCCCGAGGCCGAGGCTGAGACGCCTGCCACCGAAGCCTAAGCGGGTATTTACGTCGATACCCTCTCCAACCAACACCCCCCAAAAGATCATCCCTTGCGCACCCAGGTGCCCAACGACAGGTGCGACGAGGTTTCGGGCATGGCCCAACAAGAAAATGCCCAGGCGGCAGCAGAGCGGGCTTCTTTCCTCGAGTGAAGAGAGAGAGACAGGGGGAGCTGTCGTCAATAGGGTCAGTCTGTACGGCTGCCTTCCTTTGTCGTTTGTTTTTCGTTTGTTTCAGATCCGTTGTACCATATCCTAATTCGTCCCCAGCTTCCCCTCCCGCTGCTCCCGCTCTTACTGTTTATATTTGTTTTTTTTTCCGGCGATGTTTGAGGGGGGCCACAAAAGTCGCTCGCTCTTGCTCTCGGTCCGCTTCCCTGTCTTGTGCGTTGCATCTCCCCCGTTGCGCACCCTTGTCGTTTTCCGCTCGCATTGGGTTGATCACCTCGCTGTTTTGTGTCAATTCGATTTGGCTTACTACAACTTTGGTGTGCATGTGTTTGGCCTACGATGTGGTGTGCAGTGTGATAGGCATGGTTGGGCAGTGAGACGGTGGAGTCGGAGGCGAGGGCCGGGTTTAACAGGCTGAAACTTTGAAAAAGGACAGGGTTCGGTGAAATTTTGAGTTGCAGCAGAAAAAAGTGCAGGCCTCGGGGCCACTGTGCCATGGGGGGAAGTTTTTTTGGGACAGGGCGCAAGCTAAGCTTGGTTCTCCACCACATCCATCAGCTCTACACACACCTCGCACACCGTCGCGAACAGCCGTACTCATCGCACTCTACGTATTCGTACCATCTCGGTATATACCAAACCCGACCGGGGAATAACGCGCAATGGTGGCTACACCAAGCAAAGCTGGGGCATCCGGCAGCACGAGTCGGCCCAAGAAGGCATCTGCCAAGGCCGGGCTGGTTGGCACACCTAGCAAGCCTGCGGTTGTGGATGAGGATGTGGTTTTGAAGCACAGCAAGCCGTTCGGTCAGGAAGGTGACGATGATTCGGACGTTGATCTTGGCGACGAGACTTTCGCGACCGCGCCAGCTATGGATGAGGATGACGAGCTTATGATTGGAACCTCTACCGCCAATGCCCCCACTAGCGCCACAACTACGACCGAGGAGTCGAAGCCATCGTTCAAGCCGCTTGGCACAGCATCTTTGACGGCAGTTGCCAAGGGGCAGCTTCGCAAGATCCCCATCCCTCCTCACCGCTTGACGCCACTCAAGAACGAGTGGCACAAGATCTACACCCCCCTGGTCGAAATGGCCTCGCTCCAAGTGAGGATGAACGTCGGAAAGAAGTGCGTCGAACTCAAGTCTTCACGTTACACAACCGAACAAGGCATGCTTCAAAAAGGTGCCGACTTCGTCAAAGCCTTTGCACTTGGCTTCGACGCCGACGATGCAATTGCCCTGCTGAGGATGGACGATCTGTTCATCGATACGTTTGAAATCAAAGACGTCAAAACCCTCCAAGGCGATAACCTCTCGCGAGCCATCGGACGAATCGCAGGCAAGGATGGTAGGACAAGGTTCGCCATCGAAAACGCCTCGAGGACACGACTCGTCATCGCAGATACAAAGATCCACATCCTCGGCAACTTTGCCAACATCAAGATCGCCAGGGATGCCGTGGTTGCGCTGATCAGAGGTAGCCCGCCCGGCAAGGTGTACAGCAACCTAAAGACCATCGGCGCTCGTCAACGTCAACGTGCCTGAAACCACACCCCATCCATGTACAACTCCCGTCTCGAAATACGCAATGCCCAGTCTCGTCCTCACACACAATGCGCCCACAGAGAAGAAAGAATCGCTGAAAAAAAAGTGGGATTGAATGCTTGGCGAGGGTTAGAACGAGCCGATGGGAACAGCCATTCGTCCACCACCCAGTTCCTCTTGACGGATACGGGCGTTTTCGGTGGCGATCGAGTGGTACAACTTGGCCTTGACGGCACGATCCTTCTCGCGCGCATACACGCGTGCGATCGTCTCGGCCACCGCCACACCTCCATTCGCCACGCCTACCGTCGCACTTGCGGGTGCCGAGGTGGTAATCCCGCGCGTGACATCGTCCGCCGCCATGGCGAGGTACACCCGCCTACTGCTCGCCAGCAACTGCTTCTTCGCCGCCCTCTTCCCGCTCGGACTCACCCCACTGCTAACCACAGCCCCACCCACTCCCGGCGCAAGAGTGGACGTCTCGACGTCGCTCGAGATGCGGATCACGCCGTTCACCTCCAGCATGTCGAATACGCCCAGGAGCTCCGAGCCTTCGAGCGGCGAAAATAGCCCGTTCTCCGCCTTGAGCACCGCATGGTACGTCGACTCGACATCCGCAATGCGCAGCCCCCCGCCCGCCGAACCGCTAGTGTTGGCACTGCCAAGCACACCGAGACCCTGCTCGGCACGTGCCTGCGCAACCAGCACAGCAAGCAGCACCAGCTTCGGGTGCACACCTAGACTGCGCACCTTGGACAGGTTCGGAGAGCCCAGAACGGCTGTGAGCACTTTGAGGATGTGTGTCGGCGTCGCCTTGGGTGCGCTGGTGCGCGTGAGGTGGCGCAGCACCGTCGCGCGCCCCGCCGCATGCTCCTCGGCCGTCGGCGCGGATGCAGACGCTGGCGCAGCCGTATCCTGCTCCGGCGCTGCCTGCTCCGACACCGTCGCGGCGTTGGCTGCAGCCTTGGCGCGCTCGGCTTCAGCCTCGGCGACCGCCTTTTTGCGCTGCTCGTTCTCCACCATCTCGACCGCCAGACGCGCGGCGTCGAGCGCCTTGCGCAGATCACCCGTGGCGCTGGCGATCTTCTTGGCGAGCAGCTCGACGGCGGTCGGAGTGAAGAGCGGAAGCGCATCGTCGGCTTCGGGAGCAGGCTGCTGCTGCTGCTGCTGCTGCTGCTGCTGCTCGTCGCTGTCGTCGTCGTAGCGCGCGTGGAGGCCCGAGAGACGGTCGCGAATGACAGAGACGATCTCGTTTGCCTCAAAGGGGCGGAAGTGAAGCAGGGCGGGGGAGGCGCCCTTGCTGGCGAGGAGCGGCACGAAGCGCTCGGTGAGGTCGAGCGAGTTGGCAATGCCGATGAGGCTGCAGCCGCGACTGTTGGCGCACGAGAAGAGCTTGTAGAGGATGTTCTGGTGTGCGCGACTCTGGAGGAGGTGGTCCATCTCGTCGAGGACGATGAGGATGCGCTGGTGGCCGTCGCGGATGAGCGTCGAGAGTTGGGCTTCGGCGACGGCATCCGACTGGCCCTCGGCGGCGTTGGAGCCGAGCGCCTGGAGCACCTTGGCAAAGATGAGTCGCGGGTGGGAGAGCGTCATGCAGTTGACAAAGGCGACGCGCGGGACGAGGCGCGCTGCGGCGGACGAGCCGGTGGATTGCGAGAGGCTGTTGAGCACCGAACGCACGAGCGCCGTCTTGCCGGTTCCGGGCAGGCCGCAGACGTAGAGGCAGGCAGCCTCGGAGTCGCCGTCGAGCTCGACGCCGAGCGCACGCGCACGCTGTGGCGCGTCGGCAAAGAGGCCAAAAGACTGATGGAGGAAGAGCTGGATGGCGACGCGCTCGGACTCGCGGCCCACCACCTTGACGTGGTTCGCTCCGTGGCTGGCAGTGGTGGCGCCAGTGATGGTGAGGCCGGCCTCGGTCTCTGCGGGGTCTACACCAGCGGCGTATCGCAGCAAGGCTCTCGCATGCGCGTAGACGCTCGAGTACTTGTCGGCAGCAGCCGACTTGAGCATGGCAGCGTGGACGGGAGGCGAGACGTCGCGGTCCGAAGAGCAGGATGAGGTGGGTGCCGAGGAGGTTTCTGCGATGCTCTGGCAGTCAAAGAGCGTGCTCTGCGCCGAGTCCTGGGACGAGAGCGGGAAGTAGGAGCCGGAGAGCTCGTCGGGGGTGGCGAGACTAGAGATGCGAGACGACGAGGGGCTGTCGAGGAGGTGTGTGGCATGGCAACGGGTGGTAGGGGTGTTGAGACGGAGTCGGGAGAGCGGGCTGGCCGGCACGGCACCATCGTCTGCGTGCTCCAAGTCGAAGTCGTTGCGCGATCGTTTCCTGCCCGAGGCCGAGAGCGCCGAGGGTCGACGAGTTGGGGTGGAGTCTGTCGTTGTGCGGCTGGTGGGCGAGGAGCTGAAAACGTGTTGGTCCGAAGCTGTGCGCGTCAATCTCCTCGAGGGGGTTCTCGGGATGGAAGAAGCTGACATGGCGAAAGTGGGTGCGGTGCGCGGGGTATCAAAGTGTGTCGAAAGCGAACGACGAGGTGTGCAGGGTATAGAAATGCAGCAATAAACAACGAGAACAGGAGGTGATGAGAGAGAGGATATCGAGGCAGAGAGGTGGGTTGGGAGAGGCAAGAAGGAGGAAGGAGAGATGAGGGTGGTGAGCGGCGTGAACTTGGAAAAAAGGCATCTGCAGCAGGTCTGAGGCACTTTGGCAGTGAGACGCGGCCATTCGAGAGCCAACGCGTAAATTGGCGCGTCGCGGATTGACAGACAGGCGGGCAGGCCGAGTCGAGCGGCGCATCGCAGCGTGACGGCTGGGAAGCTGCATGAGAAGCTGCATCGCGCGCTGCATATTTGCAGCACAAAATGTGACCGTCCAGAGTGGAGTTTTTTGGTCCGTTTTGCAGCGTCACACTGCTGCACCCTCGGCCTGCAGCCAATCGATCGGGGCTGCCATAGCACTGTAGCTGCAAGCACAACGAGACACGGGGGACTTGGAACTCACCTTGTGAAGCGGAAAGGTCGGACACGGTGGAGCTGCGGCTGAGACGCGGTGAAGAAGCAAACGAGGGGCGCTCCATGAGGCTGGTGCGGCGAGAAGGCGTGGTGCGACGGATAGCGTGCTCGTGCTGGACATCGCGAGCCTCGGCGTCGAGGACGTCTTGGGAGGTGCAGCGGAAGGGGGCGACGTTCTCCTTGTTGCTGTCGTCCGGCTGGTCGGTGGTGGCGATTCGGGAGGAGCATCCGCCGATCCTGCGCTGCTGGCCTTTGTCGTCGTTCTCATCGTCCGAGGAGTCGCCAAACTCGGAGCTGCCCAGCACCGAGCGCCGGGACGATAGTCGACGGGTGCCACGCGAGTAGCGAGGCCTCGAAGATGCCGAAGTGGTCGAGGCGGCGGTGCTGGCAGCGTAGGAGCTCGAGCCCGAAGTCGAGCCTGCATCCTTGGCGGTGTTGTGGACGTTGAGCTGAGCGAGGGCGCTGGCCACCAGTGCACGCGCAGGCTCGACCATGGCGGCTGCTGCTTGAGCCTGGCTCTTGAGCGCCGTCATATCCTCGGTTGGGTGGTTGATCGCAGCAGCTGGCGTCGACTGTCGGCGCGACCCGGAGCGCAGGCGGCTCGACAAAGCTCTCGTGATGGGCATGCTGGAGGAAAGTGGGAGGTGCTCGACGCTGGAGAGCTGATGGCGATGGTCCAAGAGGAGCGTAAGAAGCAATGATGGCCCAGGGAGATGTGCACAAGCAACAGGGGAGGACAGCTGAGCAACGAGGCGAAGTAAGAAGGCCCTTCACTGGACTCGCCCGTGCGTCGTTGCGAGCAGAGACAGTCGAGCTTCGCATTCGGCCTTGGCCTGCGTTGAGCGCCGGCGAGTCGAAATTGGCTCAATCGGTCTCGCTGTGACTGGGAGCAGGCGTCGGCAGGCAGCAGCGTAGGGTCTCAGCAGGCTTCACCTCAGAAATCACACGGCGTGACACCCACCTGTCGCGTAAATCGACAACGCCACACGAGTCCGCGTGTCGTAGAAGCTTGTCACGCGTCAATCGTGCGAAAAGGGCTCCCGAGCCGGTTGGCGCAGGCACCTCGATTCCAGCCCTGCGCCGCCGCCGCCGCCATCGTTGTCCCAGCAGCGGACAGTAGTGCCTTGTGGTACGTCGAAACAAGCGCTGACTCCGGAGGTTAACAGGCTCAAGCTACATGCAAAAGGTCCGAGGGCATGCCAAAGAAGAACAACAACAACAAGAAGAAGAAGGCAATCACAGCGCATCGGTCCGATACGGCGGTCTTGATCGGGTCGTCCAAGATGGCCAATTCCGACTCACGCTGATTTTCTGCCGGAGTGCCCGGTGCCGACTGGTACCGACTGGGGGATGCGCGTCATTTCCGTCCTTTTTTCGCTTGCATGTCTCGGGCAAAAGCGCGCTTGCTGGGCCACAGAGGTGGAGCGGCAGCCAATCCAGAGAGAGGGACGAGACGGCGACCTCCTCCAACCCAACTCCTCCAACCCTGCCTGTCATTCTATCGTCGCCCTCATCCAGCTGCACGCGCCTAACAAGCTCTTTCTTGGCTACCTCAACCTCGGCGCACCCATCTGCGCATCGCTCTCCAAAAAGCGCCGCCAAGACCATCACCCTCGGAGCGAACATCGTGCCTCGTACGCGCACAGCCAACAATCGGCATCCTAGCACCACCCCTCGCCAGCGCACCTCCCACAACCTTATCTCAATCGTATCTTCCCACCGCGCTGCACACCCTGCAAGCTTCCACACTCGAGGCTACATTTGCACGCCTTCTTGGGCACATGGTCCTTGACCACTCGCTCCCCCACTACACATCCTCACCACCGCCAGTTGCGCAACGATGAGCTACAGTCCCCACTTGGCTTACGACTCGCGCAACGGCGAGGCTAGCTCCGGCCTGCCAGCGTCCCAATCCATCCGCAACACGCTTTCGGGCGCCATCAGCTCCACCAAAGCGTACCTCCAGCCCTTTGCACCCGGCTCGCCTTACCTCGGCTCCAATGGCGCCAACGCACACACCGAGCCAGGCCGGCTGCTCTCGGACGTGGCGCCCCAGCTCATGACCACGCGCATGATGGCCGCCGTCGCCAACTCCAACACCGCGCTCGGACTCACCCCAGACGGCCAGCGACGCGCGCGACTGCTCCTCACGCCCGGCTTCTCCATCTCGAGCCCGGCGCGCTCGCTCGTGCGCATCGGCGGCTCGCTCATCCAGTCCGGCATCGGCCGCGGGCCCATGAATGGCATCACCTCGCACGAGCTCTTCGTGCTCGAGGAGAGCGATCGCATCCTCGCCACCGCAGCCCAAGACCTCGCACTCACGGACACCTCGTCAAACTCGAGGGCCGCAATCCAAGACGCAAAGTCGCGCTCCGAACCGCCCGTCTCGCTGCTCCGCGGCTTTCAGGCAACGATACCCAGCTCCACAGAAGGGCGGCAGCGACGCAGACGCGTGCGCGCCATCGCAAGCGGCTATGAGGACGGACCCGAGGGCCCCACCAAGCTCGGGCTCAAGGCGATGGGCGACAAGGCGCGCGGGCTCATGGTGGAGGGCGTCGAGACGGAGCCAGTGTCTGCGTTCCAGGCGCGCGAGCAGCGCCACGCGCGGCGCAACCACGCCAGCCGCATCCTGTCGCGCGGCAAGGACGGCGCGCGCGCGTCGATGATCCAGCTCGAGGAGCTCGAGCGCCAGCTGCGCGAGATCGAGCGCGAGCAGGACGACGTGGGCGTCAAGCGTGCGCTCATCGACGCCGAGGTGAGCGCCGTGGACGCCAAGATCCAGGTGCTCGAGAAGATCAAGGCGGGCCTGCACACCAAGCTGCTCGGCCTGCGCGAGGAGGAGCTCGAGCTGGCCGACGAGCACGAGGGCGTGGGCGAGCTGCTTGCGGTGCAGAAGCATCTGCGCGCCATGCCGGGTGGGCCGGCGGCGGCAGCCAATGCGGCTGCATCGGGCGCCACCACGAGTCAGGGCAGCAGCCGTCGTCGAAAGGGACCGCTGTTCATGCCGTCGGAGCACGATGAGTTGCCGTCGGGTGTGGCGTTTATGACGCTCGCCGACCATTCGGCGCCCATCACCTCGCTCGACTTTACCGAGCCGTACGGCACGCTCGTGTCGGCGTCGCTCGACGAGACGGTGCGCGTGTGGGATCTGGCATCGGGCGACGAGGTGGGACGGCTGCGCGGACACTCGGGCACCGTCAAGTGCCTGCAGGTGGAGGACGAGGTGTGCATCACCGGCGGCACCGACCATGCCATCCGCATCTGGGACCTCACCAAGGTGGAGAACTTCGAGGCGCGGCTGAGTATGACGGCGTCGGGCGAGCTGCGTGCGCGCAAGCGGTCGCCGGATCTCAACCGCAGCCCGGAGTTGGGCGATCAGAGCATGGACAGCATCAAGATCCGCGATGGCGATACGACGGTGGGCGAGGAGGACGAGGAGGAGGTGAGGGACGAGTTCGATCCGTGCGTAAAGAGCCTCGAGGGTCACAGCAAGTCGGTGACGGCGCTGTACTTTGACGACAATTGCCTCGTGACGGGCGCGTCGGATAAGACGCTGCGCCAGTGGGATCTCAACACGGGCCAGTGCGTGCTCACCATGGACATCCTCTGGGCCATCTCCAACCCGACCTCGTCGCAGGCGATTTCGCAGTCCGAGTTTGGGTTCCCCGAGTCGCCGTCGCGCAAGGCATCCTCTTCGGCCATCCTTGGCTCCACACGACCCGAGTTGAACTCGCGCGATTCGTTCAGCGTGCTCAACAACGTCTCGGGAGCCTTTGCGTACCCTACGCCGCCGTATGCCGATGGCAGTTGGGAGATGTACCAAGACTTTGTTGGAGGGGTTCAGTTCTGGGGCTATGCGCTGGCGAGTGGATCGGGCGATGGCGGCGTAAGAATGTGGGACATGCGCACCGGTCAAGCACACAGGACGCTGTTGGGTCATACGGCGCCGGTGACGTGTCTGCAGTTCGATGAGCACCACGTCATTTCGGGCAGTCTGGACAAGTCGATCCGCATCTGGGACCTCAGGATGGGCAGCATTTCGGACACGATTCGATACGACCATCCCGTGACGGCGCTCCAGTTTGATTCGCGCAAGATCCTTGCCGCGACGGGCGAGAACGGCGTCAAGATCTTTAACCGCACTACGCTTCAGCACGGCGCGCTCACGCTCAACGGCCACACCTCGCCCGTCGAGAGGCTGCGCTACATGGACACCTACGCCGTCTCGGGCGGCAAGGACAGTGTCGTCAAGGTGTGGGCGCTCTAGATGTCCGCCACGATGCACGCCATCGTTTTCAGACGCAAATGTGAGGTGGTGCAAGTTGAATCGGGCTCAAGAATCGTGAATGCGTGTGCTGTGTGTGATTTAGCCGCGCGCACGCGTGGATAGGGGATGGCGGATGCCCCTTTCCTGCACTCACAGACTGGGCGGATGTGCGGGTGAAAGTGCGAATTTTCTGCGTCGGCTCGGTGTTGCCAGCAGCACGGCGCGGCGTCAAGTGGCAGCATCGGAGGTGCACGATTTGAATTTCGTCGATTTTCGAGGTGCATCCCAGCTATTTTGGCCGCTGTGTTGTTTCGGACGTGTGTGTGGCTTGGCCTGGCCGAGGCGGCAGATGCTCAGTGCGCTAGGATTGGCGGTCTAGGTCGATCGCGACTGCCGCTTGTTGCTGCACGACCATCACTCCTACACGCGCGACTCTTTACCATCCCTGCATCCCAGTTCCAGCAAAAACGCAAGATGGGGTTCTCATTCGGATCGTACAGCTCGATCTGCGACGAGGTGGCCATGGTGGTATGTCCACTTCTCGGCAACTCGGGGCTGGGGCTCGAACCGGTATGCTACTCGAGAAACGTCGAGATCAACAAGACGATCATCTTTCAACCCGCCACGTGCTTCATCCACATCGCCGCGCTCGTCATGACGGCGATCATGGTGTACCACATTCGCAGCAAGTACACTGCTGTTGGACGCAAGGAGATCGTACTCTTTTTCTACCTCTACGCCATCTCGGAGGTGCTGGTGATCTTTTTGGACTCGGCGATTGTGCCCACCTACTCGGCAGCCTACCTCTACCTCACAGCCGTCTATGTGGGACTTAAGACGGCCATATTTTGGTGTCTGTTGATCAACGGGTTTGTGGGATTCCAGTTTGCGGAGGATGGAACACCCAAAAGCTTGTGGTTCATCAGGTTGTCTTCGGTGGTACTGTTTGGTATTGGGATGTTCGTGTCGGTTGCAACGTTCAAGGGGATTGCGGGGATGTCGCCGACAAAGCAGACGGGTCTGTGGATCGTCGAGCTCATCTTCCCGCTGGCGTGCGTACTCATCTACACGGTGAGCCAGGTCCTGCTGGTTCTGCGCACGCTCGACGACCGCTGGCCGCTGGGAGACATCACTTTCGGCCTGTTCTTCTTCGCCGCAGGATTGATCCTCATGTACGGATTCGGCGAGGAGGTTTGCAGGGCAGTCAAGCACTATATCGACGGCACGTTCTTCGGAACGCTGTGCATGCTGTTGGCGGTGATGATGGTGTACAAGTACTGGGACTCGATCACCAAGGAGGACCTCGAGTTTTCGGTGGGCAGCAAACAGGCCGTTTGGGAGGTCAAGGATGCCGGGTTCGGGACTGCATCGTCAGAGGGCGATGGGACTATGCTCGGTGCGGGAAGTGCCATGACGCACGACTCGTTCAGGGGTACGAGTCCAAGCAGGTTCCAGGGACCGGGTAAGAGCAACATGGCCTATCCGCCCGTGGGCAACTACTCGCACTAGGCGATCATCGCTCTCACTACGCAGCCGATCTTGTATAACGCTGGGCTTGCCTGATGAATTGGACACTTTCTTTGAATGATGGGTGCTAGTGATACAGAGGCTTAGGCCTTGTGGTGGCCTTTGATGGCGCCTGAGTCCGGATCGATCTTGGCAGCACGGGTGCCGAACTGCATGGCTCGCTTCGCTAGCCGACTTGCTTCCACCAACCCCAAGCTCTCGGCCAGCATGCGTAGGAGGAACTTGTCGCCGCGTTGATTACTGGCCAACAGCTCTGTGTTGATCTTGGTGGTGGTGGGTGTTGAGGTGAGGAATTCGAGCACGCTGCGGTCGAGGAAGGGGTATCGTGCCTCTCTTGCATGGGTCGAGATGACTCGATCGTCCCGGCCGAGGTTGCGAGTGGGCAACCGATCCAAATCCATCTGCAGCTCATCCACCAGTGCAGCAAGGCTTGTAGAGAGCGCGTTGCGGTGTCGAGAATACCCGCCGAGTAGTTCGTCGGCTCCCAGGCCCGAGAGCAGAACTCGCGCGGGGGTGGTGTAGGGTGTACCGTGGAGAAGACCGCTACCGCGCGAAGCAAAGTACAACGCACACCCGATACTCAGGTCCATAACACTCGACGTTGGAGCCATAAGCGTCGCCACTTCGGAGCGGTACCGCGTGTAGTCGGAGTAGGGGATGTTGATCGCAACAAAGTTCCACCGCCGCAGCGGTGCTAGTTGCAGCAATTCGGCGTACGACGCAAGACCGGTAAGACGGTCAGGAACAGCATAGATATCCTCTTCCCCACCCACCTCGACCGTGCTCTCGACTCCATCGTGGAGTGAGATACTGGGCGGCTGGTGCTTTTTGCTGCGCTTGGGTTCGGTCTTGGCGCGAAGTTTACGGTCGCGCTCGTTGCGGGCTGCCGCAAGGGCACGGGGGTTTTCGAAGCCGACGTTGAGCAGGTCGATAGGTTGGTGTGCGGGGACGTAGCGGTGGGCGAGCAGCGCAAGCGTGGTGCAGTCCAGGCCGCCCGAGAAGAGCACGGCCACATGCGCCTCGTCCGCCGCCTGGTCCGTGGCGATATTTGTCACGCGCCGCCGAACGCTGTCTGCAAGCACAGCCATCAGGCCGTCGCGCGCCACCGCAAAGTCCTCGCCATCTACCGCTGCGTGCTGTTCCGCGCGCAGCTCACGCAGGACGAGCGGGGCGGTAAACCGGCTCTTGCAGCGAGGCACCGCACGCGGGGTGGTGGGGGATCGCAGCAGATCGATCGACCAGATGCTGGCGCAGTCGATCTCGTCGAGTGTAGCGCCCGGGTCGTTGGCGATCGAGTCGACCAGCTCCGTGCTGGCCACGGAGCAGATAGTCATGGCTTCGTGGCGCGGAGTGCGGTGGAGGAGCAGCGACCTGCGTCCGAGCGGATCGCGTGCAAACACGAGCGTCGACGTGTGCGTGTCGAGCAGTGCAAACGCATACGGCGCCTCGACCTCTGCCAGCGCAGCATTCACCGCCTGCTCACAACCACTGCCGGCGGCGACGAGGGCGGTGATGCGGTCGAGCAGCACTTGCGCATCGTTCTCTCCCGCATCCAGCCTTACGCGCGAAGACGAGGCGCCGTCAACGGTGTCAAAGATCTGGCCGTTCCACGCGAGCAGCAGCCGTCCATCGGACGACGCAAGCGGCTGCGCCGTGATGCCTACCCCACGTAGGGAGAGCACGCTCGAGGCGAGCGAGAGCGTGTACGGCTGCGAGCGCGCGGTAAAGTGGTGGTGCAGCGTGCGGAGCGAGTCGGGCCCGCGGCGACGGATGGCCTCGAGCACCGTGGGCCACACATGGTCGTGCGCCGAAGAAGATGCAGGGGCGATGGCGATCCCGATGCCGCACATGCCAGAGTGATGGTGAGCATGTGTTCAGAAGTGCCGGCGGGGCGCGAAGAAGAAAAGTCGCAGAGTGAAGGTTAAGGGTCCATGTGGCATCGCTGCGAGTCGCACTTCAGGAGCAGAAATGTGCACAAAATTCATGCCCGCGCCTGCCAGAGTGCCGTGCCAAAATTGGGCGCGGCAAATGGGCGGAAAGGCACGAGGAAATTGCCGCCCCGCCAACGCACTGCACCGCACCGCACCGCACCGCACCGCACCGCAACGCACCGCACCGCCCGCACAGGCCAGACCTCAGAAACAAGAGCAGCGGGACGTGCAGCTACCCTCCCTTCCAACCGCATCCACCACCACTACCACCACCACCACCGCATCAACATGGCACGAAAGGGCGCAAAGAAGCAAGCAGCCGCATCATCATCGGCGGCGGCGACGGCACCAGCCACAAAACCCGCCTCGCTCGCCGAAGAACTCTCCGCGGCCAACATCGACGACGCCAACCACGACGGATACGAGTCCAGCACACACACCGACACCGACGACTTTGAAGACGCCGCCGACGGCTCGCACACCGACGAGGCCCTCAACCCTGCCGTCGTCGAATCGCAACCCATCATCGAACCCACCTCGCCCGTCGCCCACGATCTTTCCCTCGAAGACACGGCGGATGCTCCTCAGAAGCTGCGTCGGCCCTCGCTCCTCGCAGACGCAGACGGTCAGCTCGCCACTCCCAAGCCCACCGATGCCGCCTTCCCAGACTCTGCCGAAGCACTCCCTACGACAGAGGCAACTGCAACTGCGGGCGACGACACCGGGACGCCGGAGCAAGTGGTCGCCAGCTCCTCCGCAGCCACATTCGTCGCCTCGCCACCGCACGACAAGGTGCACACCATCGATGCGCCGCCAGACACGCCGCTCAGCTCAGCCGAGATCAGAGACAGCCAGTCGGCATCCGACTCGCTCGTCCTCGACGAGGAAAAGGCCAAGGCCGCACTGCCCGAGCGCGACGCCGTACCGCCCTCGATCGGCGCAACCTCGATGCTCGAGCCGGAAGAGACGATCTCCAACCCATTTGCGGCCGACGAACCCACGCAGCCGATCCGATTCTCGCGGCACGATGGCGGAGCGGCGCCGGGCAATCCGCCCGACACGCCCAGTGTCAACTCGAACCACTTTTCCGTCGTGAGTCTCGGCAGCACCACCGCGTCAGCCGCAGGCGCGGACGAGGCGGCGTGGGCAGCGGCGGCAAATAGCGACGCACGGCGCGATACCATCACCACCAACGGCGAGGGCAAATCGGCTGATGCCGCCATGACGCGCAGCGGCGAGTCGTCGAACTACGACTTTCTGCTCGCGAGGCTCGAGACGCAGAACAAGCGGCTCAGTGGCGATCCGAAGCAGATGCGCGCGAGTCTCGATGGGGCGGTGAAGCTGCGCGAGCACTTTGAAAAGCTGCGTGGACAGGGGCAGCGGCATTCGCGCGGCGAGTCGCAGAACCGTGCGGACGACGAGGCGGCCACCGCGGCGACGCAGCAGCAGCAGCAGCAGGCACGGGAGTCGGTGGTTTCGACGGATACGACGGCGTGGGAGGGGCCACCGGTGGACGAGGTGAAGGAGGACGATATCGACTGGGAGTTCTGGGGCGATGTGATGAGCAACTACCAGAGTGTAGCGCGCAACCATCCTCGGCAGTTGAGTCGGGCTATCCAGGCGGGGATCCCCGCAGCGTTGAGGGGGATGATGTGGCAGTTGATGAGTAGCAGCAAGAACGAGGAGATGGAGATCATCTATGCCTACTACCTCAAGCAGACCTCTTCGCACGAAAAGGCGATTCGGAGGGATCTTAATCGGACTTTCCCGGAGCAGGATTACTTTCAGGATGGTAAAGGGGTGGGACAGGAAAATCTGTACAATGTCATCAAGGCCTATTCGTTGTACGATCCCGAGGTGGGCTATTGCCAGGGGATGCAGTTTGTGGTGGGACCACTGCTGCTGAATATGCCGGATGAAGAAGCTTTCAGTACGTTTGTACGGCTTATGAAGTCGTATGATCTTCGAGGGCATTTCACGCCCAACATGCCTGCGTTGCAGTTGCGACTGTTTCAGTTCGATCGATTGCTGGAGGAGATGGTGCCGTTGCTGCATCGGCATTTGGTTCGGCAGGGGGTCAAGTCGAGCATGTATGCAAGTCAGTGGTTCATGACGCTGTTCAGCTACCGTTTTCCTCTCGACTTGGTCTATCGCATCCTCGACTCCGTCTTCGCAGAGGGTGTAGAGGCCCTCTTTCGATTCGCCATTGCGCTGATGAAGAAAAACGAAGAAGCCCTGTTGGAACAATCCTTCGATCAGGCAGTCAACTTCCTCAAGATGAACCTCTTCGATCAATACCTCTCCAACACCACCTCTGCAGAGGGGAAACCGGTTTACAGAACAAACGAATTCGTAAGAGACGCCTTCGAGATCAAAATCACCCCCTTCATCCTCGACACCTACGCCGCCGAATTCGATGCCCAAGTCAGAGCCGCAAACGCCCACCGAAGAGAGGTGGACGCTCTGCGTCTCGTCAACCGAAACCTCGCTGCGCGCGTACAGGCCCTCGAAAACCAACTCAACTCCCTCAACGCAGAACACGTCGAAATGGTCAAGGACGTCGTCATGGCCAAAATCGCAAAGGAGGAAATGGCCGAAGACCTCGTCCGATACAAGATGATGTACGCAGAAGCCGTACTGGCCGCTGAGGAGCAGAGCTCCAACCATAGAAGCTCCGCCCAAGCTATCGCGGCTAGGCAACTCGAACAACACCAGAGACTCTCGGCAAACTCCACCTCGTCTTAGCCCTTGCCACCCTCAGTAGACACTGCGAAACCGCATCCCCATTTCATCCTTCTGTCTGATCACATCAACAGCCCCTGCTCGGCACTGAGACACACACACAGTCACGAGTGACAATCGCGGTCCGAAACCAAAACCGAAAACACTTGAAAACACTAAAGATACAAATGCGCGCCTACTCCTCTTCGGAATCGTCGAGGTTGTAGCTCAGCTTGCTCGACGCCGTGCGTGCCGTGCGAGCTGTTGCGCGCGCTCGGGGCGCCGGCTCGGGGCTGTCCATGCTGAACGAGTCCTCCGTGTCCGACGCCACCGCCGCCGCCTTCTTGCGTCCCGCGCCCGTAGCCGCCTTCTTGGCCGCCGGCTTGGCTGCGGGCTTGGCTGCGGGCTTGGCTGCTGCGGGCTTGGCCGCCGCCTTCTTCGCCTTGGGCGCCACGATCAACTCATTGTCCGAGTCGGACGAGAGCGAAAACGTCTCCGGTGCCGCCTTGGTCTTGGTCGCCGCACTCTTCTTGGCTGCCGCAGTGGCCGTCTTGCGGAAGAGCGGCGCGAGCTTGGGCTTGGCGTCGCCGTCGTCATCGGACAGATCAGCGCCCGCGGTCACCTGCGGCGTGGTCGCGCGCGACGCCGTCGCCGACCTCGAGGCGCTGGCAGCGGCGTTGGCGCGCGGCTTCTTGGCTGCCGTCGCGGCCTTGGTGGTGCCGAGCAGACGCGCCATGTCGTCGTCGTCGAGCGCATCCGCGGCAGCACGCTTGCGCGCCGGACTGGACCGGGCGGCCGTCGTCGTCTTCTTCTTTGTTGCCGCGGGCTTAAAGTCGTCCTCCGAGTCGTCGAGGCCGTCCATGGTCACGTCGTCATCCTCTTCGCCATCCGAGTTGAGCGGCTTCTTGAGCACCCGGCGCGCCGCACCGCCCTTGGGCGCCACCTTCTTGACCTGCTTGCCCTTCTGCACCTTGAACGACACGTCCTTGAGCCGGCGCTCGTCCTCGGCGAGCATCTCGTCCCAGAAGCCCAGGAAGTTGGTCAGGTCCTCGTCCCACAGGTTCTGCGGCGTGCGGCCGATGAGCACCCTGAGCTCCTCCTCCTTGTGATTGCGCTCGTTCAGCAGCTTGTCCACCTTCTCCTTGGTGAGGTTGTAGATGGCCATGTTGAGCAGGTAGTCGTAGTCCGAGTCCGCCGAGATGTCGCTCTCGTCCACCGGCTCGGCATCCTCGATCTCGGCCGCCACCGCCGCCTTGCCCTGCTTGGGGAAGGGGCGGAAGTCGTTCTCGCGCAGCTCGGCGACAATGTCGGCGCGCTTGCGGTTCGAAACAACAAGCTGGCGGTTGATGATCATCTGCACAAAGCGCGCCTGGTTCGACAGCCGGTCGTACATGAGCTTGAGCTGGTCCACTAGGTGCTCCTTGCGCTTCTGGTAGTACGACAGACGCAGCAGGTAGAAGTCCTCGAGGATCTCTTCGGGCGTCGAATACTTCTTGATCTTGCCGTCCTGGTCGAACAGCACCATGTTGGTCGTCGAGATCTGCGCCGACATCTTGAAGAACGCCTCGACGCCCTTCTCGGCGATCTCGGCCTGGCCCTTGGCGGTGAGCTCGACGATAAAGTGCACCGTTGATTCGGTGTGGTACTCCTTGTAGTCCTTGATCGTCGCCGGCACCTTCTCGGTCGACACGATGCGCTCCTCGAGACCCTCCTTGTACGTCGATGTCCAGGTGCGGATGGGCAGCTCGGTGATCTCGTACGTCTTGTCGTCGATCTGCGTGACGCGGCCGCTTACCTTGAAGCGGCCCGGCGCCACCTCGTCAATGTCGCCGGTGAAGCCGCGGTACCATGGCTTCATCGGCACCACCTCCTCGCCCGCCATGCGGCGTCGGATGTTGGCCACGATCTCGTGCGGGTTGTAGTTGGGCACCGACGTCGACCAACCGGTGCCGATACCTTCGGCGCCGTTCATGAGCACCTGGGGCACCACAGGCATGTACCACTCTGGCTCGATGCTCTGTCCGTCGTCGTCGAGGAAGGTGAGCAGCGCGTCGTCGGCCTGCGGGAAGAGGGCGCGCGTGATCTTGGGCAGGGCGGTGAAAATGTAACGAGCCGAGGCGGCGTCCTTACCACCGAGCAAACGGGTACCGAATTGACCCCTCGGCTCGAGCAAATTGACGTTGTTGCTACCGACAAAGTTCTGTGCAAGACCGACGATGGTCATGGTGAGCGATGCATCTCCGTGATGGTAGGCCGTGGTGCCAATGATGTGACCGACGAGCTGGGCGACCTTGATTTCGCCGTCGCCCCTGCGGTTGAAGGTGCCAAAGATGACCTTGCGCTGACCGGGCTTGAGACCGTCGACGGCGGAAGGGATGGAACGCAAGTTGTCGGCCATCGAGAAGAGGATGAGCTCCTTGTTGATAAAGTCGGCGTAGGGGATAGTGTCGATGTTGTGGTCGAGGTAGGTGCCGGGACGGAACTGGCGCAGCCACTCCTTGCGGTCGTCGGCCTTCTTCTTGTTGAAGGCGAGGTCGATGAGCTCGCGGTCGCCGTCCTTGGTGACGTCGAAGGGCAGCATGTGCTTGTCCATTGCGCGGAAGTACTTTTTGGCGTCCTGGGAGTCCGAGGTACCGAGACCCTTGAAGTACTTGATGCGCCATCCCTTGCCGTTGTTGTGCTGCTCCTTCCAAGTCATGTACTCGGGGATGGTGAAGAACGAGAGCTCCTGCTTGCCCTTTGTGCACTTGACGATGGGCGTGATGAACTCGACGAGGAAGCCGGGGATCTTGAGCAGCGACGGATAGAAGTGGTCGAGGAAGTTGATGATGAGACCCTTGATGTGCGAACCGTCGTGATCCTGATCGGTCATGATCATGATGCTGCCGTAGCGCAGGCTGTTGACGTCGAGGTACTGCTTTCCGTGCTGGAGACCGAGGATCTCCTTGATGGCTTTGATCTCGCTGTTCTTCATGATCTGGTCGTGCGAGGCCTCGCGGACGTTGAGCAGCTTACCACGGAGCGGGAAGACACCGTAGTTGTCGCGACCGACCTCGACGAGACCGGAGACGGCGAGCGCCTTGGCCGAGTCACCTTCGGTGAGGATGAGGGTGCAGTCGCGCGCCTTTCTGCCGCCGGCGTTGTTGGCGTCCTCGAGCTTGGGGATGTTGGTGATCCTGGTGCGCTTGTGACCGTCGGTCTTCTTGAGCGCCTGGTCCTGCTTGTAGCGAGCAAAGCTGACGATGTTGTCGACGACGCCCGACTTGATGACCTTGCGGGCGAACTCGTCGGTGAGCGTCCACTTGCTGCCAAAGGCGTTCTGCTTGAGGGTGAGTGTCTCCTTGGTCTGGCCGTCGAAGGTGGGGTTGACGATCTGGCAGTTGACAAAGACCCAGAGCTGCTGGCGCACCTGGTTGGGCAGCACCTTACCGGTCTTCTTGTCCTTCTTGACGTGCTCGATGAGGCGCGTGATGACCTGGTCTGCGACGTGGTCGACGTGCTTGCCGCCCTTGATGGTGGCGATGTTGTTGACGAAGGAGACCTGGCGGAACTCGCCGTCGGAGACGGCAAAGGCGACCTCCCAGTTGCGGCCCTTGTCGACCGTGGACTCGTAGATGATCGCGGGCTTGGCGGTGGCACCGACGGGCATGTCGGCGGCGCCGTTCTCGCCCTGGTCGGCGCTGCCGCCGAGCTCGTTGATGGCGGTGACGTACATCTCGACGTACTGCTTGAAGTTTTTGATCTTGAGGAGCTCGCCGTTGAGGGAGACCTTGATGCCTTTGACGGTGCCTGCCATGTCGTATACGCGCTTGAGCATGAGCGCCTCCATGTGGTCGTCGATCGAGTCCATGCCGAAGAGGGCGAGGTCTGGCTTGAAGGTGATGGAGGTGTACTCGTCCTGGCGCTTGTGTGCGGTGATCTTGGGCTTGCCCTTGTCGTGCATGTTTCGGGAGAAGGTCTGCTTGTACTTGCACTGGTTCTTGGAGTCTGCGGTCTCGACGGTGAACTCGGTGGAGTAGATGTTGGCGAGCTTGGCACCGTAACCGTTCCTACCACCGGTGACCTTGGCCTCGTTGTCGTCGTAGTTGGACGAGGTGAGGAGGTGGCCAAAGATGAGTTCGGGGATGTATACGCGCTCCTTGTCGTGCATCTCGACGGGGATACCGTGGCCGTTGTTCCACACACTGATGGAGTTTTCCTCTCGGTTGATGTCGACCTTGAGGTGGGTCATGTTGGGGTCGCGCGCCTTGTTGTCGGCGGCGTTGACGAGGATCTCGTCAAAGATCTTGTAGAAACCGGGGACGTAGGTCGTCTCGCGGTAGGCCATCTGCTGCCTGGTCTTGTCGTAGACCCAGAGCTTTTCTGTATGCTTCTCGACGCTTCCGATGTAGGTATCGGGACGTTTGAGGATGTGCTCTAGTTGCGAGAGCTTCTGGTAGGTCTCGGAGGCGCTCTTGGAGTTGGCCGACTTCGTGGGAGGCGGGGGCTGGAACGAAACGTCGGCCTCGCTGTCCATCATGCTGACGTCGTTGTCGCTGTCGGCGCCGTTGCTATTGCGCTTTGCCAGCGGCTGCTTCTTGGGCTTGGCGGCGCCGTTGGCCTTGGAGGCGGTTGGCTTGGCACCATTGGCAGCCGCCTTGGGCTTAGCAGCGGCCGGCTTGGCCTTTGCAGGCGCCTTCTTAGTGGGAGCCGGGAGGATGAAGCTGTCCGAGGCGTCGGACTCGTAGTCGGACATCTTGACTGCGGTGGCAGCAAAGCTGCGGAACGAGGACGGCGACGAGAGAGCGGGGAGCAACGCCGAGACACTCGGAGCTGCCCAAGGGTATAAAGAGCTCAACCGCGGCGATGGAGATGCAGGCTGTAGTGAATGCGAGAGCCAAGCAGCGCCGAAGATGCTGCCGCGACGGAGGGTGAGGTTGGTGGTGGAAAGAAGCGAGGCGGCGCCAGGCAGCCAGGAGTTGGGGGGAATGATGAAGGTCCTCTGTGAGTCGAGGAGGCCTGCTGCTGCTTTGTAAGTGACAGCAGCTGGTGGCAAGATGGAAGGAAGAGCGACGCGAGGAAGGAAGGAAGAGGGAAAGACTTGCGGGATCTTGAGGCGGTGGTGGGATGGAAGAGGCAGGCAGGCGCGAACGACGCGCGGAAAGTCACAGTGTTGGGCGCGCCGAGCCGCAACCCCTCAAGGCGCAGTCACAGAGGGTGGAGCTACTGCGGAAGCGCGGCGGAGCGAGAGCAACACTTTTTTTCTCTTTCCCGCACCTGCTGACCGCCAAATAGGAACCGCAGCTGCACAGGTGCTGCACAAAGCTCACGGGTCCGGACGAGGACAAAAAACACATACACACGCCGACGCGCCTCGCATGACTGAGCATCAAAGCTCAAATGCTGCCTTTTCCGCACCCGCATCCACTTGCGGGCGTATACCCCGTCTGAACTCCATGCGCTCAGCTGTTGATCAGTGTCGGCAACTCAGCACCGAAGCTCAGGCTTCATCAGATCGTGCAGCGGAAAGCGGAAAAAGGCCGAATGCGCGATGCGGATAACTTGGCTGCAGGGTGCGCGTTCGAAAGCGTGCCCTCTCGCCGCTTCACACTCGCCTCCGCCAATTTGCGGCGTAAACGACGCGTCCGCACGTGACAGCTCATCACCCGCCTGCCCGTCACCTGTCGCAACCTCATCACACCTCTGCGTCTCTCGTCGGCATCGCCGAACACGACCGAATGCATCGCATGCAATGAAGAGTGATGAATGCGTATGCGGGTGCATGTCTATATGTGTTCACGCCCGCGTCGGAGTTGCGCGACGTCGAAAGATGCGGCGTGTGACGCCCTTGAGCGGTTCCAGCACGGTGCGTGAGAATGGAGCGGCGAGGGCAACGGAGGCGCCGATTCGGAGCGGGATCAAGGCCTTGACCAGGATGTAGGCGGCTACCATGTTGGCAAAGGAAGCTGCAACGCGACTGGTGTCGCCGACTTTCTGAGCCTGCTCCATCGTCTCGGCGTCTTGCTTTTCGAATCCAAGATAGCCGTTCTTTCGGCAGTAGCGCTCGAAGCGCTCCTCCTTTCGTCGAGCCCAGGCCCGCAGTCGCGCTGCCATGCTCTCGTCTTCGGCGCTTGGCTCCGAGTCTCCCAGCAGCCACTGCAACACTGCCGTTCCCACGCCCAGCGCGCCAAACACGTAGAAGAGCACCACGAGCGGAACCAGCGCCGTGAGTTCGTGAAGGATGAGGAACGACGCCACCATGGTCGGCGCGTCCGTGCCGTTTCTCTTGGCAATCGAGCGCACCCGCATCAGCGCACGCTGCAGACGAGACCGCGGCCGACGCTTGAGCTTGCCCGTGTGCAGCCACGTCACGTTGCGATCGTGCTCGCCCGCCAACCAGAACGGCTTGAGCGTGTCCGGCAGCACCAGCCTGCCCTTTTCCACGCCGTGATTCTCCAGAATCGCCACAATCAGGCGCGGAATCGCCGCCGCGGTCGCATTCAGCGTATGCAGCGTCCTTCCACCGCTGCCACTCGGCAAGGTTGGGGACGCCTTGTCCGGCGAGCTGTCGGGCGCCTTATCGGAAGCCTTATCGGAAGCCTTAACGGAGGCCTTAACGGACGTCTTATCGGACGCCCCGTCGGAGGCCCCGTCGGACGCCTCGTCAGTCGTCGAGTCGTCAGTCGAGGTGGCAGACGACATGGGTGGCGCGCGCTTCTGCTTGATGCCAAGTCGCAACGCTTGATATACCGTACAGTTGGACGCCGACGACACCTCGCCCCACGAACCTCGGCCGGGCATCCACACCTCGATGTCGTACTTGCGATACGCGCTCGCGCCCAACTCTTCCGTCGGCATGTCCAGCACGCGGTACGGCAGGCCTAGCCCACCGATCACCTCCTCTTGAATGCCACGAAGCTCCTCCAGCATGGCGTCGCTCTTGTCCCTGAACGATTTCATCGCCACAAACATCTCGACCTTGCTGAACTGATGCACGCGGTACAGTCCGCGCGTATCCGCCCCGCGCGCACCCGCTTCGGCGCGGAAAGAGTGGCCAAGCGCAGCCAGCTTGATAGGCAGATCGGAATCTTGGATCAAACCTTCCGAGATCTTGTTGAGGTACCCGTGGCGCTTCGACTTTCTGAACGGTTCAAACAGACGCCCAGCGAGTAGACCTGCCAGCGGAATCTCGGCAGTAGCAGCCAAACAAAGCTCGCCGTTGAGAAACGACTCTTCCTCTTCGCCGTTTTTCGCAGATGCTTCTTTTTTGAGTTGTCTGCGTGAGATGCCTTCGAGGAAGTACGTCTGCTTGGCTTTCTCGTCTCGAGGACGGAATCCGCATCGGTCGGCCAGCTCCGCACGCACCACGTCCGGAGGCGAGACCGCCAGGAAGCCTTTGCTCACCACCTTGGACATGGCATACTGCGTCAGCGCGTGCTCGAGCAGGCTGATGCTACCCAGCAGATATGGCCACGAGCTTCCGGTGGCCAACAGCCCCGAGATCGTGTCCACCTCTGCGTTTCTGGCGTAGTTGGCGACCCGGAGATGGTCACGCTTCTTATCGGGCGGCGGCCCTTCCGGAAAGTCCTTGATCTGAATCGCCGACTTGTTCCACGACTCCTTCATGGCATCGAATTCGGTAGGGAGCAAGTTGAGGGGATCCTGCACCGACATCACCACCGCATTCTCTTCCGGTCCGATGGGTACGTCCGGGTGGCAATGGTTGGGCCAAGACATACGGATTTGCAAGCTTCGCTCACGCATATCTTCCAGTTGCTTTATTAGCGGTGCTAGCTCGGCCTTGACCTGCTTGGCGCGATCACGGAGCTGCGCCGCTTTCTCGTGGGCTTCTTCCATTGCCGTCTTCGCTCGGTCTTCGTCTTCGGCCGAAGCCGGAAGAGATTCGGAGGTTGCTGCTTGGTCTGCATCCTCTTCCTTCTTCGCGGCGCCCTTGGCCTTCTTTCGCTTCGTCTTCGGCTTCTGGACCGCCGCGGCGGCGAGCTGGAAGATGCGGTTGAGCTCGGTGGTGAGCGCCTTGTGCTCGGTGGCCAGCTCGGTGTGCTTGAGACCCATCATGTAGATCTGCGTGCGCGCCTCGCGCAGCCACTTGAAATCCGCCTCGTCGTACTTCATCTTTCGCATCTGCATGTCGCGCCGAGCATCGTTGATAAAGTCATCCGACACGCCTCGGCCCGAATACGCATCCGGAAGTTGGCGTGGCTTCTGCGCCGAATGCGAGCCTGGCGTGTCTTTGTCGCTCGTTTCCGTTTCGTCGCTAGAGGAAGGACGCGGCGCCTTGCGGTCCGAGCCCTGGTCGAGTCTCTGTTCAGGTGGTTGTCCCCATTTTGAGGTCGAAGCATGCCGCAAAGCGATGGGTTGGATTGCTCGGGCCGGGCGCATCGACCTTGACGAGCCAATCAAGGCGCGCCATATTGGGGTGGTCGGATGTCGGTATGACATGGGCCCAGCGTCTGGAGGACCGAAAGCCAAGCTGCCTAGCCAGCGAGCGATACTTGTGGACGGCAGCGAAGGTGGTGCTGCTGCTCTTCGTCCTCGTGCGGGCTGCCCATCAAAAGCGGCACAAAGGGACCCCCTCTTTTTTCCCAGGGTTCGGCTTGAAGCGAAGGTGGAGGCTAACGTTCTTCCTGAGAGGCAGGCTTTTTTTTTGGGTGTTGGTGCGGTTCAGCGCTCCGATCTCGCCTGCCGATTTTGTACGCGTGCTCTCGTGCGGAAAAAGCAGTCTCAGCCAATGCAGAGAGCGCTTACGTTTTGTGCGCGGCGGGGCCGTTGCTCAGCACAAGCCAAGGCAAGTCCGATGGAAGGTCGGCTCCTCATCGTCGCCAATACCGTTGCTGTTGCCTAATCACCGTCACCCTCCTCGACAAACACACACTCTTCCTACCTCCCACACACACTCTCACAACATGTCGAACTTGGCGGCCCGCTTCGCCGTGCCATTGGGTCTGGGTGTGATGGCGCTCCAGGCGTCGCTCTACGACGTGCCCGGTGGATACCGCGCGGTGATGTTCGATCGATTCCAGGGTGTCAAGGACCTAGCTACGGGCGAGGGCACCCACGTCCTTGTGCCATGGCTGCAAAAGGCGATCCTGTACGACGTGCGCATCAAGCCGCGCAACATCTCCACCACCACGGGCTCCAAGGATCTGCAGATGGTGTCGTTGACGCTGCGTGTGCTCAGCCGTCCGGACATCCAGCACCTGCCCAAGATCTACCAATCTCTCGGAATCGACTACGACGAGCGTGTGCTGCCCTCGATCGGAAACGAGGTGCTCAAGGCCACCGTGGCGCAGTTTGATGCGGCCGAGCTCATCACGCAGCGCGAGGTGGTGTCGGCGCGCATCCGCGAGGACCTGCTGAAGCGCGCCAAGGAGTTCAACATTGTGCTCGAGGACGTGTCGATCACGCACATGACCTTCGGTCAGGACTTCACCAAGGCGGTCGAGCAGAAGCAGATCGCACAGCAGGACGCCGAGCGTGCCAAGTTTATCGTCGAGAAGGCCGAGCAGGAGCGCCAGGCGAGCGTCATCCGCGCCGAGGGCGAGGCCGAGGCGGCACAGACCATCTCGAGGGCGCTCGAGAAGGCCGGCGACGGTCTGCTCACCATCCGAAGAATCGAGGCGTCCAAGGATATCGCCTCGACGCTCAGCAATGCAAAGAACGTCACCTACCTCCCGCACGGTCAGGGCATGCTTCTCAACATGCAGACCTAAGGCGCGGGCAGGGCACCATCCGCAGCCTCGGTTCCTCTTGTAGTTCTATTCCACAGCGCAATCCATCACCACTATCTCACGACCGTCGAGCGTCCCAAGAAGCACGCGTGAGACTCTTTCAGATCCATTGGCAGCGGAACAAGGAATCTTCTAGCGGGACATGAGTGCAAGCGTGTAGGTCTAGGCGGACTGGTTCCAGACGCCGGTGGGGTGGAGTCGCTGTAGGTGAAACCCAAGAGAGCGTGGACGGTGAGTTGGGTTGAATTCGACTTTGGTGCTGGGATGCGTAGGGACTTACTTCGTTGGGAATTTGGATGTTGGCAAGCGCAGTGAGCACCGACTTGCCCGCCCAGTGTTCGAGCGTCTCGCACTGTTCGGGCGAGATGAATGCCGAAGTGTTGCGGTTTGCAAAGCTGTCCGAGCCAAACATTCGTCAGTCTGTGCTTCTCTGTGAGTGGTTTGGAGGGTGGGGACGTACATCATCTGAACGGCACCGGTCCTGATCTTGCCCTTGTGTACTGGCTGTTCGCCATTCTTTTCCGCCAGGTCAATGGCATCATTCGCAGCGGCAGCAAGGTGGTTGAGGAGGAAAGTTTCCATCTCGAGCGTTGCCACACCGGGTCTCCTCTCCCGGATCACATCGATCAGATTCACATTGGCATCCACGAACGCCGGGTCGATCCTGCCCTGACTTCCGTAGAAGCTGTCCGCCGATGCATTCACCGTATCACCAGCCGCCTTGACCTCCTCGCCTCCAAAAAGGTCGGCGCTGTTCTTGGGTTTATCAGCCTCGAGTGCGGCGAGTAGTGCATCGTGAACCTCTTGATCCGCATCGAGCGGCTTGGTGATGAGATACGGTTCGAGCGCACCCGAGCGTCGCTCATCGGCAGTCGTGTCGTGGTGGAAGTAGTCGTAGTTGCGCGAGATTCCGAACGAAGCTTTAGGGACTACGACGGTGCCAATACCGTACTCGGGTTGGAGGGAGCCGCACGAGCCAAGACGGACGATGATCATCTCGCCCTCGACGACCGCACGGCACTCGCGCACGAAGAAGTCGACCACGGAAAAGCCCATACCGATGGCTACGATCGAGATGGGTACGCCCTGGAACGTGCCCGTGAGCGTGAGGAAGTTGCGCTGCGAGCTGAACTCGAACAGCGGCTTACCGCCGTCGAACGCCTTGGCAATGCGGTGCGCGCGCACCTGGTCACCAACCGTAATCTAGATGCAATCAGCGCATTCCAGCGAGAAGGTCAGCTGGCGCTGTGCGCGAGCAATTGCTCCAGGTAGATGAGATGAGATGCACTTACGATGCGATTAGCAACCCTAGTCCGACCCAAAAGCAAGTCACAGATAAGAACGCAGCGTCAGCAGAGGCGCATACGACAAGAGCATATACATCACCCGCAGCACTTACTGTCCAACCTTGGTGGCTACGTGATACGTTCGGCCTTGGGCATCTTGCTGTGATCGTCCAGAAGCACAAGCAACGCCTTATCAGTCAAGACTTCGTGCTTGTGGGGTAAGCTTACCGCAACATGAGGTCGGGTTTACTTACGGGAAAGTTGGCGTTGCTGAGGACGTCCTTCATCTTTGCTCTATTGTGTATGTAGCGGAGTGACTTGCAAGGAGGAAGGCTCGCTTCGGCTTGGCTGTGGGCGTGGATCAAAGCTATATAGATGGCCGGGTGCGGGGTCGAGAAGAACGTGCGGGGGCAGCGACTTTTTCCTCGGCGTAAGCGGTGTCACAGGATCCGGGCGCCGAAGACGTTGGCTCCTGCGCGCAGTCGCCTTCCGAAGATCCGAGCAAGCGCGGAGATGGCCGAAGCTGTTCGTTGCCCCACCCCGATGAGGATCTGATCGGGACGAGACCGACTCCACAGTTGCTTGTTAGGTTGTGGTGCTGTTGAGAAATGACCGGCTCGGCCATGTGGCAGCCTGCATAAGGTCGACGGTCAGCCGGTGTGTCAGCGCGGCTGAGCCCAGGCCATCCGAATTTCGGCCAAGGCTTAACCGGCTCAACTGCACTTTGGCAGCCGCTCTGCACTGCCGGTACCGGCTGGATTGGCCGGCTGCATCGCAAAGGAACCCTTTCTTCTTCGAATCTTGCATTGAACTTTGCCACGCAGCAGAGCGCCAAGACGGAGCAGCAAAGCAGCTTGTCTATCTCCGTACTGTCGAGGTGCAGTCTTGGCTTGCTCCATGGAGCCTGCCCCGCCCGGCTCAACTCAACGCTCGGACCGTCGCTCGCCAAAAGTATAGCCGCCCCCTCGCTCGTGTCGTGTTTATAAGCTTCTGTTGCCAGCCCGCGCTTGGCCCTTGGCGTCTCACCACCACACGCTTCCCGGATCCAAGCATGTCGTTCAACATTCCTTCCCAGCAGACGCAGATTGTGCTGCGCGAGCGCCCCACGGCTGCCATCAAGGATACGCTCGGCGCCGCCGACTCGACCTACGAGAAGCGCACCGTGCCCGTCCCCACCGAGGCCGAGCTGGCCGACGGCGAGGTGCTCATCCGCGTCGAGTATGTCTCGCTCGACCCCGCCATGCGCGGCTGGCTTCGCGACGCACGCTCCTACCTTCCCCCCGTCCAGATCGGCGAGGTGATGCGCGCAGGCGGCGTCGGCGTCGTCGTCGCCTCCAAGTTCGCTGGCCTCGCAAAGGGCGACCAGGTGAGCGGCACGCTTGGCTGGCAGCAGTACGCCCGCCTTCCCGGTAAGACGGTCGAGAAGCGCACCATTCGCGAGGGCGGCTCGCTCCTCGACTTCCTCGGCCCGCTCGGCTCCTCCGGCCAGACCGCCTACTGGGGCATCGAAGACGTCGCTGCCGTCAAGAAGGACGATGTTGTCGTCGTCACCGGTGCTGCAGGCTCCGTCGGCACCATCGCCGTCCAGCTCGCCAAGCTCAAGGGCGCCAAGGTCATCGCCGTGGCCGGTGCGGACGACAAGTGCGAGTGGCTCAAAAAGTCGCTCGGCGCCGACGAGGCGCTCAACTACAAGGCGCCCAACTTCCGCCAGACGTACCGCGACATTGTCATCAAGAAGTACGGCTACATCGATGCCATCTTTGAGAATGTCGGCGGCAGCATCCTCGACATGTCGCTGCTGTGCATGAAGCCGCACGGCCGCATTGCGCTGTGCGGTGCCATCTCGGACTACAACAACCCGAAGCCCGACGGCCTCAAGAACTACCAGACCATCATCGCCATGCGTATCAAGCTCCAGGGCTTTATTGTCTTCGACTACCTCAAGCGATACCCGGAGGCAGAGGGCAACATGGCGCGCTGGATGAACGAGGGCAAGCTTGCGCGCAAGTTCCACGTGGTCGGCGAACAGCACGACGCCCAGGCACGCGCAGCGGGCAAGAGTCTCGAGGAGTGCCCCAAGGCGCTCAACGACCTCTTTGCCGGCAAGAACGTCGGAAAGATGGTCGTCCGTGTCGCTCCCTAGTTCTTTGCTGGATAGGCAATCCTCTTGTAACATTAGCATTCTCGTCGTCATCGATTCTTTACACGTAAGCTCAGCGTCAAAGGCTCGGGGAGATGCACGAGTATTCTGAACTGGCAGCGGGTACCAAATGAAGAGGATTCGGAACGACACAGAAATGGCTTTCCTCTTGTAACTTCAACATCTGGTCGTCCACGTTTGCAACTCGCACAGCCCCCACAGGCTCGAAAGGGTGCACGTGTATACTGTATTGGCAGCGGGTAGCAGGCAAAGGTGGGTATTGGACGACAAAGTGAGGACAAGCAGGGAAATGTTGCTGAGGAGAGAAGGGTTAAGAAGGTGGACATCCAAAAATGAAAAATAAAAGTGCCTAAAAAACAGAGGTGTAGAAATTCGAAGCCTTGACCAGATGGGGGATTGGAGAGGGAAGGGGGCGGCTACTCGCCGCTGCCTGCACTCGATACGGGGCTGAGGACACCGCTCTTAGCCTTGCGTGGCGACCTGTTCAGATCCCACGTTCTGGACGTTCCGATGTTGGCCATGCTGCGTTTGGACTTGAGCGGGCTTCCCCCGGGGGCGGCTAGCATTGGACGGCTGGAGTTCTTCCTCAGTCGCTTCGTCGGACTACCCGGCACCGCACCCGAGGCAGAGGCAGGGCTGGTCATATCGAAGTCGTCGTCGTCGGAGCCGGCCATGGCGGTGGTGCCGGTGACGTTGCTCATGGTGCGCGTGCGTACCGAGCTCGTCTCGTCGTCGAAATCATCCTCTTCACCCGACGATGCGCCAAAGCCGCGCAGAGGCACCTTGTAGCTGCCACTGGGTGCAACGGCCGAGCAGATCTCGTCGGCATCGTTCATGCCATAGTTGACAAAGGCAAGCTGCGAGAATCCTGCACCCCCCGAGGCGGTTGGTGTGGGCGACTTGGATTTGCCGGGACTCGAGTGCGAGCGCGATGAGCTGGCGCTCTGGTGCGAGATGGTGCGCGCGCGGGTGGGCGATGCCGAGGTGGTGAGTTCAAGCGTAAATCCAGAGGTTCCAAGGATGCTACCCTTGCTACGGAGAACTCCGCCACTGGCAGAGACTGACGAGCTGGACGACGAGCTGGACCCACCGCTACCCGTCGTTGTTGTGGTGATGCGTCGGTTCGAGGCGATCTTTCGCAGCCCTGGCGCAAGCGGTTTACCAGGCGAAGGCGGCAATGCGCTCGTCCCCACCATGGGACTCCGAAGGTGCGGCGTCGACTTCATCTTGGCCGGCGAACGCGGAGGACTCAACGGGCCCGTGAGCGTGCCTGGCACCTTCCTCGTCGTCAGCCCCGTCGACGGGCCGGCCTTGGGGGCAGGGTTGGCGGATCGTGCCTGGTTCTGCATTTGGAGCAGCTGGAGCTGCTGTTGCTGCAGCTGGCGCATGCGTGTCTGCTGGAGCGCCAGATGCTCGCGCGATGCATCAGCCGGTGCAGAGCGTGGCGTCGCCGCTGTAGGCGGCACCAACCCCGAGCCCGAACCTGCCATGAGCTTGGCCGGCTCGAGCGTAGCCGCACCCTGCTGCTGCACGAACGGATTCTGCAGCTGCATCGGGTTCGCTGCGATCTGGCTCGCAAGCGAGGGTGACGACTCTGTGGTACGCAGCACCGCATGGCTAGCCCGTCTTGGTGGAAGAAGCATCTGCTCGCCACTGCTACCAAAGTGGCCCGTGGCGCTCACCATTCCGCTTGCATTGAGCGTGAGCGCATGAAGACCGCGGTCGCCCACCGACGATCCGCTGATGCTGTTGTGTCGTGGCGGCGGGTACACCGATGTGTACCCCGCCAGATCCTGCGAGCCCGTGGCGACACTGCCTGCAAACAGCGTCGCGTCGTGCTGGTGCACGAACTGAGGCGTGAATACACCCTGCTGCGTCGGCTGGCCCTGCTGCTGCGCGAGGTGAAGGTTGGAGAACTGGTTCTGGATCGACGGCGCAAAGCTCGCCGAGTCCGCCGACAGCGGCATGCCGGGCACCCTCGGGTCAAAGCCAGCATAGCCCTGCATCGGCATTGGCACGTAGCCCTGCACGCCGTGCTGGTACGCGGGCATGCCGCTCGGCCCTGGTTGAAGAGGATGCTGCGGCGTCACTGGCGTGAGCAGGCCCGTCGAGCCCAGGCTGAGCTTGCGCGGCGAGTTGCCTTCCATGCCATACATGAGTGCGGCCTGTACCGCCTTCGCTGCGCGTTCGCTCGCTTCCTGGCCGGCAAACTGCTGGCTCGGCGTGACAAAGTCCTGATACACGCCGAGCCGTGCCGCCTGCTGCGCAACGTGGATCTGGTGCAGCTGCGCGAGCCTCTTGCGCTGCTCATCCGTCATCTTCTCCGGGTCGATCGTCGACTCGGCGGGATTGCCCACCGTGACGGTGCGGCCGGGAGCCACCTCGATGGTCTGGTCGCCTTCGCCGCCCTGTGGCACCGCGACGGGCGAGGGGGCAGAGAGGTCGCGCTGCACCGCACGGCGCTGGAACAAGGCTGATGACTGTGCTACACTGGCATTGCCCGAAAGTTCCGTGAGGGTGGGCAGACCGTCCTTGCTCTCTTCTCCTGCCAAGATGGTATGGGCGTGGTCGGGCACGTCGTTCGCCGGGCTGCTGGCGGTGCTAGCTCGTGGACCAAGTTCGAGACCCAGCGCATTGTCGCCCGGGATGCGCTCCTGCGGGAAGCCAACGTCGATGAGGTAATCGTTGATGAGCGTCTGTGACCCTGCAGCTGCGAGCACGGGGTCGTCGCGCTGAAGAAGCGGTGCACTGATGCAGGAGCGAAGTGCCCGGGAAGGAGCGTTGAGGAAGCCCGGGCCCTCACTGCCTGCAGGGCTGAGATCCGAGCCAAGCTGGTCGAAGCCCGCGCCAAGGCCGCCGGGCGAGTCGACTTCGTCGTCGGCCTGGTCGATGCTGATGGCGAAGCTGGGTACGTTGACGCCTCTGCGTGCGGTCTTGGCGGTAACCGCCTGCGTTTGACCGTACCAGATGCCCTCGGGCGAGTCGACGTCCGAGTCGATCAGCCCACCCATCACTTCTGGCCCGTGATTCCAGCCGGGCAGGTTGATGGTCGTTGCCATGTACGGGCTACTTGACGCCGAAGCAGCGTCGTTGAAGAAGTCGTCCACGTGCAGTGTCTCGGTAAACGTCGATTTGAGATCTGTCGATTCCATCATGATAGCCACACATCGCCTTTGGTCAATATCTCGCTTCGTCTTTGCTGGAGCCAGAGAGAAATTGTACTTACCAATCGAGTGTTCGGCGAGATGCGAGAGGTAGTCGTCTGCATGGTTGAGTGTGGGCAGCTTGGTCTCTGGGGGATGCGCCCACGATAGAGACGAGGGCGAGACGATGTCGAAGCCATCGGTGAGGCTTGCGAAGCTGCTGTCGCGTGGGATGGCGCTGTGGGCGGTGTTGGCGGGCTGGTGACCTTTGGGCGTGTTGTCGTGCGACCCTGCGAGCCATTCGTTGACACTGTCGTCGCGCACGAGGTTGGAGTGCGAGTTGTGTCGGCTGCCTAGCGATTTGCCAGCGGCAGTCACGATGCTGCTCGCCATGACGGATACACAAGGGAAGCGCGCAGCTTCCCTATGCCCTTTGATATAGTCTGCTGGAGTCGGGATGTGCCTGCTGCAAAGTGCTGGACGAACCGGGTGCAGCGGTGATGATTGCGGGCGCCTAAGATTATATCAGCCGGACAAATGCGCGTGCTTCGAGGAAGGAGGTGACGATGTAGGACAGAGGATAAGAGCGATAAGCGATGATGATGGTGTGGGTATGAGGAGAAGATGTCAAGATCGGTATGAGATGTCGAGAGGTGCTCGGGGGTATCGAAGTGGAAAAGGAAGGTGAGCAAGGACTCGAGTGGCCCAGAAAGCCGATTCGACGAAGCCAAGATGTCAAACTCAGAGAGGTGAGACACGAAGGGTGGGCGTGGGAGTGGCGAGTGGCGAGTGGAGAGGAGCGGAGGAGGAGGAGACGGGGCAAAACATTGGCGTGGCCACAGAGTCAGGTCGGAGGAAGGCTTCACTTGCGCCGCACGGCTAAAGGGAGGTGCAACTCAGCAAAGGGGAGAAGTTACACCCAACCGAAGGCTCAAGCGGCTTGGGTGTGCACGCAGCCATCAGCTCTGCTTGGGCTTGGCTGTCAGATGCCGGCACGGAAGGCTTGGGTGGATCAGGACGAGGTGAGACCAGCGGTCTACCCCAGCTCACGGACGGATGGACCTGCATGAATCGTCCTCATGGCCTCGATTTTCAGCCACACAGAATGCACAGCGAGCGCGATGGGTTGCGCTTAGCTCGATGCTGTTGCAGATCACAGGCAGCAGAAGAGGGAGGAGGAGGAGAGGGCAGGTTTCGGGGCTTGAACTGCAGCTAGAGTTGACACTCGCAGCGTGGCACGCAGGACTGCGGAGGGAGTATGCACGTCAGCGTCGATGTGGCCGGCAGGAGAGAGACAGCAGGCGGGAGGAGGAGCAGAACACAACAATATCCTCCGCCTAGGCGAGGCATAAGGATCGACAGTCTGTCAACCCAGAGGCGTGGATCAGCTCGCCTGCCGAGCCACACTCTCGAAACGCGCTGCCTCTTTTTCTTTTTCTTTTTCTTTTCTTTTTCCTTTTTTTGTCGGCGCTTGAAATGAATTGCAGAGCGCAGCTCGAAAAAGGTCAAGTCGGTCTGAAAACACGCGCGCCACGTTCAGCCTCTCCACCTCACACTCCATCAAGGCGGTTGCTCCTCCGTCACAATGCAACGCTCGCTGCACACTTTGAGCACCGACTCGCAAACTCATGTGATGTTTGCCTCTGCCGGTCGCGGGAAGTTCGGTGATCACTGGTAGTCCCGAGGCGATCCCGGGACGTGAAAGCTTACGGGTCAACCGCCAGCCGCCGTGCTGCGCTCGGCGGGGTTGTGAAGGCAAGACCAAAAGCCTAAGATGCACGCCGTTGAAGAGCAGAGCGATTCAGTCATGTACGAAGAGATTGAGGACTTCGCAACAGGGTTTTGTGGCTTAGCTGCGCCTGCTCTCCGCCCGGCGTTTGCCACCTGCCCAATTGTCGTCGGTAGCTTTGATACAGCCATATGCGATGCGATAGCTTGCTCAGCTTCGGCTTTTGAGAGCCCCTTTGTCTGCGAGATCAAGTCTGGACCTCAGCAACATGCTCAAAGGAGAGGCGGGATGAGTAAGGAGACTCGCGCGCTCACGCAACGTGCTTATCCGAGTTGCCGTCTCCCCATCGGAGATGATGACGAGAAAGCTACTTTCGTCCTACACAGCCTTGGAATGGCTTCGCGCGCAAGACAAGGATGAAAAAGACGGTGCATTTGCAGCTACTGTGGATGGTGCGATCGGACTTCTGTAACCGGTGCGTACGCCGATAGCCGTCGTTGGACGATAGGCGCGCGACATCTACGTCGGAGAACGAAGAGAGCCGCTTGCTGATGCGCGCTAGAGCTACTCGCAGGAGCTATCCGCCCGGGCCTGCTCCGGTCGGGCTAGGTAGCTCGCTTGTGCATGCTGGATGCACCAGCAAGATACGCGCGGGCCATATGTGGCCGCAAGATCTGCGCAGGCCGCGAACGGGTCGTGCATCGTTTGCAGCGTGGCTTGCTTGGAAGGGCGAGGTAGCTCAAGGGTCAGGGTTCGTAAGACGCCTGCATTGAAGCGACCTGCATGCTGGGCTACAACAGACCTGGCTTGTCCACGAGTCCCTTTGCACCTCAAAGCACCGGTTGGGCTGTGAGGACATGGCTGACCCTGGCTACCTGCACGGCCTGAGTCTCGGTGTAGAACTGCCGGAGGGAGGGATTAGGTTAAGGTGGAAGCGGAGAGTGAATTCAAGATCTACACTGCGTTTCTCCAGCCGAGGAGGCAGAGCGTGAAGGGGAAGAGCGAGGGAGGGAGAGAGGGGGGACACTGTTTCTGTCGTGGGTAAAATGGACGGAGCATGTCAAGTGGGCTTCAACTCTACAATATGCAGCTCGGAGAGGCGCTTTCTAATGCGCATTTGAGCTCGCTTGTATTTGGCTTGTATTGGACAAGTTTGACAGCTGCAGCTTGTGCGGCTGTCCTCTTCCGCATCCATCACCTCACTTGAAGCCGAACCATCCGTCGGATACATGGCTTTGCGGCTTGCTTTCGTTCATCCTTCGCCTCGGCCCAGCAAAGAAAGGAAAGCATGAATGGGCCCTCGTGAGGCGTCTGGTCCAGATCCTCAGCCTCCCCGCTCCATTCGCCGTTTGTCCGTCAAGGTTCTGTTGAGAGCTCGGACCTCGCTACGACATGCTTGCCCACATGCTCATCAAAGCCATGCACAACGTAGATAGCCGCGACAGATCTCGGACACCGTTTTAGGCAAGTTCTTCCGTCACACTGGTGTCGGCAAAACAAAAAAGTTCGCCGATAGATCCGTTGAATCAGACGATCGACTCTTGCCGATCTGGGAAGTCCTGACGATCATAGCACGGTTCGCCGGTGCGCCGATCGATGGGCATCGACGCAGGGTCTGGCGGTTGGATAGGCCGATGCAGATTGAACCTTAATCGTGGTGTAGGAGCTGGAAGACCAAGGCGTAGTGACGTCGAGAGGTCTGGAACAGAGTGCAGTGCACGCCCCTGTCTCAACGGCATCCTTCAACCCAGCCATTGCCGATTGAATCATCCGAACACACCGATAGCGAGGGCGTGTTTTTTTCGCGAGTGTTAGACCAGGACTCTGGCTACAACCAACGTTTTTTTAAAGATGTGAGAGTGAATTGACCGTACAAACTTGGAGGAAAAAATTCAAGGAAGATGCGGGATTCGGCTCCGACGCGGATTCGAGACGATCACGCCTGGCGGCACCTTCACATTTCGCCTCACTCACTCACTCCACACTTTACCTCGACATCGACCATCCTCACCTCCTCACACCCTCACCTTCTCGGCTACGTAGTTGCAGACACTGCAGCACAGACTTCGATTCAGCATGGCGTCGCTCTTCTCTCCGTTCCGAAACACATTTCGATACCTCGTATGTCTGCAACCCCCACCCAGCTCCGCGATGGGTAAGGAAAGATCCACTGACAGATGTGACATTTGTTTAGCAATATGCGGCACACGAGCACCCGGTTGTATTCTACTCGATCGTGATCGGCTCGGTCGGCCCTGTGGCTGTGGTGGCTGTGCCGCCTATCCGCAAGGCGTACGGCTGGAAGCCCGCAGAGAAGGTCCCCACGTCCTACCCGCGTAAGTCGCCGCAGGATCTCCCAACAGATGCAGACGGTTGATGCTGACAATGCTTTTTGGTGCGCGTGGACAGTGCCTGCGCGTCAACGTCAAGAGATCAACGCCTACGACGACGAGTAACTTGTCGAGTAGCTTCCAGCGCGTTGGCAATCCCAGCTTCAGTTTCGTCTCTTGCAGCCGTGTGCATCACACCAACACCACATCCGGCCTTCTTTTCAAAGCGCACACCCCAGCTCACACCGACTCACACCCACATTCGATCACACGCGCCATGAGTGAGCACAAAGCGGTGACATTGGACAGAGTACGAAGACGTGGACTACAGATCCGCGGTGCGCACGAGGCGGGTATCCCACGGCCCCTTGTCCGACTTTGCGCACCCTTTGGCATCTCCGCAGTCGCATTCTCCACCCAGACTCCTTGGCCAATCCTGCTTGCTGACGTACTGCCAGATGCGGTCGTGGTAATCCGCGCCTGCAATGTCGATCTTTTCGACGGTGGCGACGGGCAGCCAGCCCTTGACCCACGACCAAATCGTGCTGAACATGTACGGTGCATTGATGATCTGCACGCGTCCGGATAACTCTGGAAAGTTGTTATCCAGGATCGCCAGCAGCTGCTGAAGCTGGCCCTTCATGCTCCAGAACGTTCCCAACCCCAGGCCGGCGAGGTTGACGACCATCATGTTGTCATCCACCCACCGCCCGCTCGCGACCGTGCATGCCTCGTAGCGGTGTCGAACCGCCAGCTCGAGCGTGACTGCAAAGTTCTCGATCACCCGCTCCGGCGTCGTGATCTGGAACACTTTCGTCACGTCCATGTTGCCCAGGTCTTGGATGAAGATCGGTCGACCAAGTCGGTCGGTCTTGTGGAAGTACATGCTCCAGCCGTGCGAAGCGACCTCGTCGCGCTCGGCAAAGTCGAACTCGCGCACGAGCCGGTCGAGCTTGATCTCCTTCTTCCACGCTTCCGCCTTGAGGTACATCGTCCGCGCCGCAGCCACGTTGAAGTTTCGCGCGCGCAGAAAGCGTCTACCGCCAAAGCAAGAGGGTCTGTCAGCAAATGGGTGAGAGACTGCGCATCCGCGTCGGCGACTTACAGAAGCTGTGTGTCTTGATACGACGGCGGTTCGGATTCGGCTTCGTGCAGTGCGCCGTCGTGTCGGAGGGCGGCGGTGAGTTCGTGCAGGGCGCGCGTCTGCGCCTCGGTCAAGTTGCCCGGATGGCCCGGAAGCGGTTGCTGCATTCATCCACACAAACTGTCAGCGTGTCCAATCCCTGCTCGACATCGGCCGCTGATGGCTGCGCAACTTACTGCTTTGGCGCTCCTGAGCACGCGTGGCAGCGGCGAGTCCTGGTTGATCTGTTCGGCGTTCTGGTATTGTGGCACGTGCGGCTCGTTGTCGCTCTTGGACATGCTGGCCCTGCGCGACACGGGTGCCGAATGCTCGCGTGGTGCAGCCGCTCCGTCCGGCTTGGGCGCTCCGCGCATGAGATCGAGCTTCTCGATGCGTTCGCTCATGTCTTCGTTGGGCGGTGTCGTGCTTGCAGAGCTGCTCTGCGAGAGAGATGCTGCCGTCGCCTTGCCGGACGAGCGCGTGAACGAGGCGAAGCGCTGCCTTAACGAAGACGGCGGTGTGGCGGGCTTGGGGGTGGAGTCCTTGTCCGGCGTGAGAAAGGCGCGAGGATAGGTGGCACTGCCCTTGGCGGGTGGCGTCTTGGGCTCCGACGAGCCAGACGATGCGGTCGACTCCATCGACGGAGGCATGTGAAGCACACTTGATTTGACGTGACGTGCGTGGTGTCCTCCCAGCAGCAGATGGAAGCAGGCGGGACCGAGCAAGGTCGCGGCGAAAGTTGCCCCTGAATCACGTTGCCTCTGCGCGCCGAGGTGGGTGATACTCGGTTACGGTTACGGATGTGGTGGGCCCGCGGGAAAGTGTGTGTGGGAGGCTGTGGTGGTGATGGTGTTGGATTGGATCTGTGCGTTGGCTGAAGGTGCATGCAGCCCGCTCCCACCGAGTCGAATGTCTGCTCACGCGAGGCGGCCGACCGCTCATCTTGACTGCATCGCCCTTTCGGCGCGCTCTTTGCCGACAGAAAGCGAGCCGTTTCGAGCCAACCAAAATCGCTCGACGCTCAGCCTCCACTTTGGCGCGGCCCGGCAGCTCCGCCCTGCGGTGCCCTTTTTGACATGTCCGCTGACCGAAAACGAAGCGGTCTCGGCTCACTCACTCCGCCCAACGGTGGCCATCAGCAGAATAAGCACATCTACATGCATCACGGCCCCTGCTCTTCCGTCCGCATCTTCCCGATCCTTACCTTCAACCTCAATTCCACAGTGGCTCGACACATCGCAGTGAAAGGGATGAACGGAGGAAAACATAACTCGATTGGTCGTTTCTAGCTTTATCAAACAGGAGAGCATAAGTGAGGGGAAGAAACAGGGAAAAATACGAGAGCGGCCTCGATGAGGACGTTCGTCAGGGAAAGATCCCTGTACAGTCAAGGAAGAGGAAAGAGGCATAATGATACGGAGTTTAGGCGCGCTGGTGGAGCACCATGGCAAGCAGCGCCATGCGGATGTACATGCCGTACTTGACCTGGCGCCACCACGCCGCGCGCGGGTCGTACTCGAGGTCGTCGGCGAGCTCCTTGTTCTTGGGCAGCGGGTGCAGCACAATCGTGCTGGGCTTGCACTTGGCCAGCGTGGCGTTGTCCACCACGTAGCTGTCCTTGACCGCCTCGTACGCCGAGAGGTCCGGGAAGCGCTCCTTCTGCACGCGCGTCACGTACAGCACGTCGGTGCGCGCCAGAATGTCGTCGCTCAGCACCGTCGACTCGTACTGCTTGATGCCCTTGCGCGCCACCGTCTGCTTGACATCCTCGGGCATCTTGAGCGACTCGGGACTGACGTAGTTGACCGTCACGCCGTACAGGCACAGCAGCTGCACAAGGCTGTGCACCGTGCGTCCGTACTTGAGGTCGCCCACCATGGTGATCGTCAGTCCAGCCACGGTACCCATCTCCTCGCGGATCGCAAACGTGTCGAGCAGCGCCTGCGTCGGGTGCTCGATCGAAGACTCGCCGCCCGAGATCACAGGCACGGGCGAGTGCTTGGCCGCCAGGTGCACGCTGCCCGCCTCCGGGTGGCGCATGACCACCGCGTCCGCGTAGCAGCCCAGCGTGCGGATCGTGTCGGGGATCGACTCGCCCTTCTGCACCGACGACTTGTCCGGCTGCACCTTGACCACCTGTCCACCAAGGCGCAGCATGGCCGCCTCGAACGAGCACGACGTGCGCGTCGACTCCTCGTAGAACAGCGTAGCCAGCACACGTCCGCGCAGCAGATCCACCGAGCCCTGTCGCTCCACCAGCATGCGCATCTCGGTAGCCACCGAGAAGAGCGCGTGCAGGTCTTCACGAGTGAAGCTCTTGACCGACAGGATGTGGCGGCGAGCGAACGTCGGGTGGTACAGCACCGACCCGATCGAAGGAGCCGGCACCGACGTCAGCGCCGTAGACTCGTTGGCAAAGGCAGCCATCAGGCTGCCGCTGCGCGGCTGAGAATCGGTGCTTGCGCCCAGCACGGGCGATCGCAGCGCCAGCGAGAGCGGCGTAGGCGACGTAGGCGCTTCCTGAGCCGAGACACCCGGAGTCGTCGAGGCGCCCGCAGTGGCAGCCGAGAACGACACGCGGCGGCCAGCCGACTTGGCCTGCTTGGCAACCATCGCGACGTTGCTCACGTTGCTGCCGAGCGAGGCGTCCGAAAGCACCTCGCCATCCACGAAAACCGTCTTGGCCTTGAGCGTCACGCGGTTGATCGAGCCCACCGTGGCGCGCGACTCGAGCGGCGACCAATAGTCGCGGCGCACGAATGCGGTCGGGCGGTCGATCTCCACCTCGACCTGCGTGTCGGCCTGCGACTGAACGCCGAACACCTGCTTGGGCTTGGTGTACAGCCTGCTCACAATGTCGTCCAGCGTCAGACGGCGCTCGTTGACCGCATCGAGCAGCAGCAGCAGCGTCTCCTCGATACCCGCCTCGGGCGCAGCCACCTCGCCGATCTCCTTGGCCAGCTGGTACGGCGTGCTGCCGATCGAGAACATGTCGATGTCCTCCAGGTTCTCCCACAGCGCCTTCTGGTCGTCCGCCGAGGGCAGGCAAGTAGCCTGCGGGTACATCTCGGTGGTGAAGAAGAGAGCGTACACGGCAACGTCGCACGTCACCTGCAGACCCTTGGCCTTGCTGAGAGCGATCAGCTGGATGTCGTCGCGCGACAGCACGTTGGTCACGTGGATCGAGCGGTTGTTGAGGCTGGCGAGCAGCAGCACCGAAGCGAGATCGGTGTTGCGGGCGTCCGTCACGATCGGGCGGTCCGCGGGCCACGAGGCAAAGTGCGAGGCGATGGTCGCCGCCTTGTGCACGTTCGAGCCAAGGCCGTTGAACGAGATGAGCAGCGAGCGCGCGCCGTCAGCCAGCTCGTCGATAGTCTCGGCGTTGTCCGACGTCGCGGAAACACCGAGCGACACATCGCAGTGCGCACCCTCGACGATCTTGCTCTCGGCCGTGGCCAGAGAAGCGGCATCCACGATGCTCGACGACACACCAACGGGCATCACCTGGAGCGTGGTGAAGCCGCCGGCGATCGAGGCGCGCGTGATGGCAGCCAGCTCGTCCGTGCTCACCTTGCCGTCGGCGATGCTGGGCACAAACGTGTTGACGTTGATGAGACCGGGCAGCGTGAAGGCGGTGTGGCTAGTCTTGAAGTCGACAGGGGAGATGTCGAAGTTCGAGCCGGCCTTGCGGTGACGGGCGAGCGCCTCGACGAAGAGCTTGGCGTTCTTGACGTTGGTGATCAGCGGGATGGAACGGTCAATCGCCAGTCGTCGCGCACGGTAACCCATCGAGGTGAACGACACCGGTCGTCGGTACTTGTTCTTGCTCGGCAGCGAGATGAAGAGCGACGACAGACCCGATGTCAAGTGCGTGAGCAGCGAGTAGGATGCCTTGGTCGTGTCCTCGAACTTGGACTCGTCGTCCTCGGGCAGAGCCTCGAGGTGGATGACGGGGATGCCCTGCTCCGAGTAGAAGTCGGCCGAGCCCGAGGATCCGTACAGGGTGAAGCCGAGCTGGTGCAGCGTTCGCACCGCAGGCAGCAGCTCCTGCTTCTCGCTGAACGAGCCGATCGAAAGCAGCACGTTCTTGGTGGGCAGGCGGATACCCGAGGCGATCATCGCCTTGAGGTACGCCTCGTACTTGTTGCGACCGAAGCAGGCCACCTCACCGGTCGAGGCCATCTCGACACCAAGAATGGGGTCGGCGCCGGCCAGACGGCTGAACGAGAACTGCGGCACCTTGACACCGACGTAGTCGCGCGGCAGGTCCACCTTCGGGTACGCCTCGACGGGCAGGTCGAGCATGATGTCGGTGGCCATCTGGATGGCGTCGATACCGGTGACCTTGCTGACGAAGGGGAACGATCGCGCAGCGCGGACGTTGCACTCGATCACCTTGATGTCGTTGTTCTTGGCGATGAACTGGATGTTGAAGGGACCGGTGACGTGCAGCGAGGCGGCGATCTTGGCGGTGGCCACCTCGATGCGGCGCACCGTCTCGGGGTCGAGGTCCTGAGGAGGCAGGATGAGCGTAGCGTCACCCGAGTGCACACCGGCATTCTCGACGTGCTCGGAGACGTAGTGCATCATCATCTTGCCGTCCTTGGCGACGGCGTCCATCTCGATCTCCTTGGCGCCCTCGAGGTACTTGGTGATGACGACGGGGTGCTCGCGGTTGATGGCGGCGGCCTGCGAGAGGTAGCTGTTGAGGTCCTCGGGCGAGTAGACGACGTTCATGGCGGCACCACTGAGCACGTACGACGGACGCACCAGGACGGGGTAGCCGAAGCGGGCACAGGCGGACTGGGCCTCCTCGAAGCTAGTGAGCTCCTTCCACATGGGCTGGTCGACGCCGATCTTGTCGAGCATGCGCGAGAACTTGTATCGGTTTTCGGCCATGTCGATCATCTCGGGCGAGGTGCCGAGGATCTTGACGTTCTGGCGGTGGAGCGGCAGCGCAATGTTGTTGGGCGTCTGGCCACCCATCGAGATGATCACACCGGACGACTGCTCCGTGTCGTAGATATCGAGCACGGTCTCGAGCGAGATGTTCTCAAAGTACAGACGGTCGGCCTCGTCGTAGTCGGTCGAGACGGTCTCGGGGTTGTAGTTGACCATGATCGTCTTGAAGCCGCGCTGACGCAGCGTGCGGATGGCACGCACGGCACACCAGTCGAACTCGACCGACGAGCCGATGCGGTAGACACCGGAGCCCAGCACCATGACACCCTTGTCGCTGAAGTTGACGTCGTGCTCGACAGCGTTGTAGGTGGTGTAGAGGTAGTTGGTGTAGGCGGGGAACTCGGCGGCGACCGTGTCGATCTGCTTGACGAAGGGCATGATGGCGTGCTCCTGACGCAGCTTGCGCACGGCGAGCTCGGTCGAGTTGAGCGCCTTGGCGAGCTGCTTGTCCGAGAATCCGAGCTGCTTGGCCTGACGGAGCATGGCGGGCGGGAAGCTGGCGGCGTTGTGGGTGCCAAACACCTTGTGGGCGTTCATGATGCGCATGAGCTTGCTGAGGAACCAGCGGTCGATGTTGCTCATCTTGTGGATCTTGTCGACCGAGTAGCCCTTGGCCATGGCGTTGGCGATGGCGAACATGCGCTTGTCGGTGGGGTTGGTGAGCTCCTCGTCGATCTCGTCGTCGGCGACGACGTCGTTGGCGCTGAAACCGTCGTACTGGTAGTCGATGGATCGGATGGCCTTCTGGATCGACTCCTCGAAGGTGCGGCCGATGCTCATGACCTCGCCGACACTCTTCATCGAAGAGCCAAGCTTGCTGCTGACGCGGACGAACTTGCGCAGATCCCATCGGGGGAACTTGGTGACGACATAGTCGAGCGAAGGCTCGAAGCAGGCGCTAGTCTCGCGCGTCACGCTGTTGCGGATCTCGTTGAGCGGGATGTTGAGACCGAGCTTGGCAGCGATGAAGGCGAGCGGGTATCCGGTGGCCTTGGAGGCGAGCGCCGAGGATCGCGAGAGACGGGCGTTGACCTCGATGATGCAGTACTCGCGCTTGTGCGGGTTGAGCGCATACTGGATGTTGCACTCACCCACGACACCGAGATGACGGATGACGTTGACGGCGGTGGTTCGGAGCATGTTGTAGTCGTCGTCGCTGAGCGTCTGCGAGGGGGCAATGACGATCGAGTCACCCGTGTGGATACCGAGCGGGTCAAAGTTCTCCATGTTGCAGACGGTGATGCAGTTGTTGCGGCAATCACGCACGACCTCGTACTCGACCTCCTTCCAGCCCTTCATCGACTTTTCGACGAGCACCTGGGGCGAGTTGGCAAAGGCAGCAGCGCAGAGCTTGCGCAGCTCCTCGACGTCGTTGGCGAAACCGGAGCCGAGACCGCCGAGGGCGAAGGCGGCACGGACGATGACGGGGAAGCCGATCGACTTGGCGGCAGCGAGCGCCTCGTCCCAGTTATTGGCGGCGGCCGAAGGGGCGCACTTCTCGCCGATCTCCTCCATGGCCTTGGCGAAGAGGTCGCGGTCCTCGGTGGTGATGATGGTGTCGATGGGCGTACCGAGGATCTTGACACCCATCTTGGGGAGCTCGTCCTTGATCTTGATACCGACGTTGAGCGCGGTCTGACCACCAAAGGTGCAGTAGATACCGTCCGGTCGCTCGTGCTCGATGACCTTGAGCACAAACTCGGGGGTGACGGGGAGGAAGTAGACCTTGTCGGCGAGACCGGTGGAGGTCTGGATGGTGGCGATGTTGGGGTTGATGAGCACGGTGTAGATGCCCTCCTCCTTGAGCGCCTTGATGGCTTGCGAACCGGAGTAGTCGAACTCACCGGCCTGGCCGATCGAGAGACCACCGGAGCCGAGGACGAGCACCTTGCGGACGTTGACACGGGGAGTCTTGGCGGCGTTCTCGGCGTGGATACCACCGGTGAAGCCGACGGGGGGCAGGATGGTGGCGGGGGTGGCGCCAGGAGCGGCCTTGACGGCGGCGCAGTCAACGACACTGCGAATGAAGACATCGAAGAGGAACTCGGTGTCACGAGGACCAGGAGTGCTCTCGGGGTGGAATTGGACACTGAAGTAAGGGCCTTCGGTCGAGTAGATACCCTCGTTGGTGTCGTCGTTGGCGTTGGCAAAGAGGGCCTTCCAGCCGAGGGGGAGGGTGTCGGCGTTGACGGCGAAACCGTGGTTCTGGGAGGTGATGTAGCAGCGGCCACTGATCTGGTCGGTACAGGGGATGTTGTGGCCACGGTTACCGAATTTGAGCTTCTCGGTCTGGGCACCGGCGGCGAGAGCAAGCAGCTGGTGACCGAGACAGATACCAAAGATGGGGATCATGTCGGCGCCCTTGCGCTTGAGGAGCTCGGCGATACGGGCGATGGTGGGGCCGCACGAGACCGGGTCACCGGGACCGTTGGAGATGAAGAGACCGTCAAAGGAGCCGACGTCGGCGAGGAAGTCGTAGTCCCAAGGGACGACGTTGAGCTCGACGCCACGCGAGGTGAAGCATCGGATCTGGTTGTACTTCATACCGACGTCAAGCGCAAGGATGCGGATGGGGCGACCGGAGGGATGGAGGAGGGGAGCGTCAAACTTGCCGAGCGACTCGCCCGAGGCGGTGTTGGCCGGGGTGTAGAGCTGGGGCTTCTTGCACGAGACGCGAGCGACCAGGTTCTCGGCGTTGGGGTCGGCGAAGGGGAGGTCGACGATGGCCTGGCGCCAGTTGCCGGCAGCGGCGGCCTGGACGATGGAGGCGCCGGGCTGGGGCGTGAGGAGCTTGCCGAGCATGCTACCCTGGTTTCGGATCTTCTTGGTCAGGGCGCGAGTGTCGATGCCGTAGACGGCGGGGACGCCGCTCTCCTTGAGCCAGTCCGAGAGACCGGTCTGGGCGAGGTAGTGGCTGAACTCGTGGCTGTAGTACGACACGACGAGACCGGCCACGTGAATGCGGCTCGATTCGAAGGGGGATGCCAGCAGCTTCTGGATGCTCTGGGCGGCCTCCTCTCGGCTGGGAACACCGTAGTTGCCGGCGAGAGGGAAGGTGAGAACGAGGATCTGACCCTCGTACGAGGGGTCAGTGATCGACTCGACGTAGCCGACCATACCTGTGCATAGCGGCGTTCGCAGGGAACATCACGGTCAGGTTGGAGGCGGCGGGTCAGATAAGGGCTCGACAAACTCGTTGCGCAGGGAGCTGCACAAGGCTGAGAGCCGGCGCTTGGAGACGCGGACTGTGCAAGCAGCAGAGTCGAGGCGGCGTTGGACTTACCAGTCTGGAAGACACACTCTCCGGAGATGGACTTGCCCTCGGCACCGAAGCTGATACCGCGGTAAGCGGAACCGTCGGCGAGCTCGAGGACCATCTCGGTGCTGTCCTCTTGACCGAGAGGCGGGCTCGTGGCGGGGGGGTAGAGGGCGACCTGGCCGTTGGGGGCCAGGGCAGGCTGACCTGCTCCCAGCGAAGGGGTGGTCATGATGGATATCTAGTTTAGGGGGGAAAGAGAGAGGATAGGAAGAAAGAAAGTGATGGACCTCGAACAGCTGACGAGCTAGCACTGTTCAGAGTGAGGCTATTTTTGGGGTGGGAAAGCGATCTCTAGAGACACAAGAGAGTCGCTGGGGTGTGTGTGAGGGGGGTTTTGTCTAGCGTCGTGGACGAGCCGGAGCGCTGCTGCGACTAGTTTGGAACGATGCAAGAGAGGAGGTTTCGCCGTGTAAAGCGAAGAAGGGTGAGATGGTGGTGGACGATGAACACAATCAAGGAAGAAGACGGCGGAAAGGGGTTGTCAGAAGGACGGTTTGGTTTGGATTGGCAAGTCAGATCGAGTTCTTGGACCTCGTTCGACCTCCTTCCTGTCTTGCGTTGTGTTGATGCTCGCTAGAGAGGAAGGAGGAGGAGAAGAGGAGGAAGAAGGAGGAAGAAGGGAAGGAAGATGGTGGGAGCGGCGTGCCACGGACTAAGCTTTGCCAAAATTCGCTCGCTCGCCTTCTCTCGCGGGGGAAAAAGTCGGCGCCCTGGCATAGGGAGGAAGAAAAAAAATTGAACGTGGGTCCGTCCGCGCTCCGATGGGGGAGGGAGAATCCTCGGCAGGAAGGAGGGAAAAAAAAAGTTTCGCGTCTGTGACTGGATCTCTCCGCTTTCAGGCTTGTCTGGCTTCTGAGCGGTGCTGATTCGCCAATCTTCGCGACACGCTCTTGAAAAAAGAAAAATGCCGCTCCCGATCTTGGGCCTGAATCGCTGCTGCACCAAGAGAGTGGAGAGCTGCGACCCAAAGAGGTGGAGAAACTGCAGTCTCGCCCGCTCCGACTCGAATTTTTTGTGGAATGCGCCTTCTGACCTCAGACCGCGCTCTGCAACCGAAGACCACCCAAAAAAAACTTTTGCTTCAGCTGGCCACTCTCGTGCCCACTTGGCCGAGCTAAACTTTCTTCTAAATTAGAGGCCGTTGGGCCGTTGGGCGGCGAAATGAGCTTCAAGCACCGACGATGGCAGGGCCGAGTCTGCACCCGCTCGCCACTGGCGGTGCAAAGGAGGATTCGGCTCAGCAGAGCCCGTCTGGCAGTCGAATCCGATTCGGGAAGCAGCTCAGGGCGCTGATTGGAGCTCGCCCGTCGATGCCAAATCCTCGACCCACCAAGGCTGCATTTCCGAGTGGGCCAGTAAGCAGCAGCTTTCGGCCAGATTGCAGTCGCCTGTCCAATCGCATCTCGTTTCCCGTCGCGTCGTCGTGGGCACTGCACGCTTTCTGCTTGAAGATGGAGGCACAAGAGCGTGGACACTTTCACCAAAAGATCCGCTACGGCCGATCCGAAGCCCGCCTCCGCCTCACAGAATCAGGGCGGCCAATTCAAATGCCGCGGCCCCACGTCGGTCCATCTCGAAAGCCACGATCGGGCCGATCAAGTTACAGCCGATCCCTCATCCCGTCTGACTGGATGCTCTCTGTGTTTCCAGAGGTCGTGGGTATACTAAAGTTACAGGGAGATCATCACAGGAAGTGGGAGACGGTGAGGCACGCCACGTTTTACTGACGTCGACGCTTGTTCTTGAGCTTCGCCAGGCATTCCGAGCAGTACCACTTCTGCGGCAGCGGCTTGGTGACGCCCACACAGCCAATGTGGAACCACTCCTTGCAGTCCGGGTCGTTTTCGGCGTTGTCGCATCCGATCATCTCGCCGAACGACACGCGCTGGCAGAAGCAGTACGGCGTATCGTCCTTCTCCTCGCCCTCTTCGCCCTCGCCACCTTCTCCCTCGAAGCCCTCCAGCCCGCCGAGCGAGCCAAACTCGGTGCTTTGCGACAACGCCGATCGACCCGGTCCACTCACCGACAGCGATCCGCCGCGTGCTTTGCGACCGCCTCCGACACCGCGAATCGAGCTCCCGAGGCCCCGTTCGGGGGGAGCAGGCGACCCTTCGCCCGGCGTAGTGCGACCGCCAGCTCGAGCTCGCGCGGCGGCACTCATCGGTGTGCCGGGTGTGAGCGTTCCAACGCCGGGCGACAGCAGGCTACCCTTGCGCTTGAGGCCAGCCAGTGGCGAGTCGAGCTCCACCGCAGGACTCTTGAGCCCAGCCAGCGCTGCGGGGAGCCCAGACAACGACGGCACTTGCGGTGTGCCGATCGAAGCTGTCGACGCATAGTTGTTCAGCACCGACGGGCTGATCTTGGCCATCTCCTCCTTCAGATGCTTGTGATGCGCATGGATCGAGCGCCACAGACGCAGGCTCAGTGCCTCCTTCTGCGAGCCCCACTCGTCCGCTCGTCCATAGTCGGTTCGGATCTTTTCCGCCAGCTTGTCCGCCTTGACGCGGTCCGCTTCCGAAAGATTGCCCGCTGGGTTGGCCAGTCCACTCCCGCTTTTCTGCAGCAGCTCCCTGAGTTGAGCTTCCCTGGCTGCGATCTTCGGCATGAGGTCTGTGGGGTCGGTGGAGGCCGTGGACTGGTCAGCATCTGGACGCACGTTTCTTTCCGAGCTGCCAGCGTGCCGGCTCCGACGGTGGACTCACCTTGAATCTTGACATCCTTGTGCTCGATCTCCTTGACGAGGTGACTAACCTCTTGCGGCAGATTGTCAAGGTCTGTAATGCGGGACGAGACGTATTCGGGTCAGAATGCTGGAAGGCCAGTCCACAGGCAGAATCGGCCAAGCAACTCACTTGAGATGAACTCGGTCGCAATCGCAGCAATCTCGGCAGGGTCCTCGATGTACATCATCGTGAGAGGTGCAGCTGGCTAGGCTCGGAAGAGGTGCCCGGGCCGGATCCTTGCAGGTAGTTGCGCTTGAGTTATATGCCACGCCCAGAGATAGCAGCAATTCCGATCAGCTGCTTCAGTCGCAGCAGAGTCGCAGCAGACGAATGAGAAGCCTCGTGGTGGCTGTTCGTGGCCGGTGGATGCTGTCAGATTGCGGTTGAGTAGTGGGTGGTGATGGTCAGGGTCCAGGATGCGGACGCGGCTGCAGTTGCAAGTTGAGGCTGTCTCTCCTGGCCGACTTCCGAGAAATCGTCAGAAATTTTGGCTAGAGGGTTCTTCCTGGCGCCGACTCCTCCACACCTCGTTCTGCCCTCAGGAAACTTTGCCAGCCCGTAACGACCTTGCGACCACCATCCGCTCCTTCACATAGACTTGCTGGCTTCGAACATGGCCGACACATTGGAAGAGAACTATCTCTTGGACGAGCACGATGCAGTCTCGGTCGTAGGCTCCGATGACGGCGCTGTCAGCGTCCAAGACGAGCCCGTGCTCTCGAACGAGGCATCCGAGGACGCTGCGCCAGCTTCCACATCCATGCAGCAAGAGAGCAAAGACGAAGCGGCGCGCAAGCTCGACAAGAAGCGCAAGCGCAAGGAGAAGGAAAAGGCCCGCAAGCAAAAGGTAGGTGTCCGTGCCACAGAGCCTAGATGGACCATCTCGACGACTGACACTCTCGTCTGTTCATTGCGTCTACATTTGATGGAAACAACAGCGTGCTGCAGTCTCGGCAGAGCTCGCGCAAGGAGTCGGCTCGGTGGCCACGCAGCCATCCGATCTGCAAGCCGACTACCTCACCTCCAAGCAGAGCGCCTCGTTTGCCAAGCTGAGCGAGCTGGAATTGGAAGAACTTCGCCTGCGCGAGTCGATGCTCTTGGATACGACCGCATTCGACAAGCCTCGTACCGTCGACACGCTCGCCGACTTTGTTCGCAAATGCATGCCGTCGATAGCCAAGAACATCGTCGACAGCCAGCATCCAAGCGTTTCCAAGCCAGGCCATCCTGCGCTCGTCATCTTGACCGGAAACGCTCTACGTGCGGCCGACCTGGCACGTGGCCTTCGATCCTTGGGTCCTCAGCTGCCCGATTCAGAAGATCGCTCTACAGGCCCCGCGAAGAAGCGCAAAGTCACCAATGGCTCCAACAAGGCGCAGAAGGACGATGCCGACGCCAAGTCGGGAAGCAAGGATAGCAAGGCGCTGCTGGGCGGCTTTTCCGTGGCTAAGCTGTTTGCGCGCCACTTCAAGCTCAAGGAGCACGAGGCCTGGCTGCGCGAACACACGACGCCACTCGCAGCCGGCACGCCCCAGCGCGTAGCGGCGCTCATCGCATCGGGAAGCCTGCATCTCGACTCGCTCCAGGCGCTCGTCATTGACCAGACTTGGGTCGACGCCAAGCAGCGCAACGTCTTTGACACTTTTGAAACGAGAGCCGAGCTCATGAAGCTGCTCGCGCTCGATGCGGTTATGGCCGCCCTCAAGCGATCTACCTCGCCAACCAAGCTCGTCCTCTTTTGAACGTCATGGGCAAGGCAATCCAGTATTCGCAACGCACCGCCAGCCTATGAGCCTCGCACTGGTGGTCAGAGTGAACAGATTTGAGCGTGTTTGAACGGTCTCTCGCCCTCTCCCTCTTTCGTGGGGCAGGGAGGCTTGCTACAGCAGCGTGAGTGCCGTCGGGACTGTGTGTGCTTCGGCGCGCTGCCCACGCACCTCTTCCCGTGCTACTGCACCAGCAAGTGCGTGCACCCCTCTCCGTAGTGCCGTGTGCTTTGCAGTGCAGGCTCAACATGCAGTGTATGCGCAGCCACCCAGCCAACGCCAGAGCCCAAGCTGTAGAACAGAGGCTCGAGGCTCGATAGACCAGGGAAGGCTGGCAGTGTAGGCCGAAGGTCGGGCTCCTTTCCGAACAAGCGCCTCATCTTGCTCAAGCGTGGCAACGCGCGCGACGGGATCTGTGACTTTACAAGATGTGCAGTCGGTAGCGCAGTTCATCACGCTCTTCCGACCGCTCGCCATCCTGGCCACGTCGACTTGGCGACGCGCGAGAAAAAAGGACTGCTCACGAGCGTGAGTGAATCAGCCCCGCGTAGCCAAAGTCGCCGCAAAATCAGACTTCGTCTCTTGTCCAGCGTGGTGAGCTGTGCGATTCGAATGCAGTCCGAGTGTCCATCACATCGCTGTCGTCGCCCTTGCTTGCCAGCAGCTCCTCGTCGCTTGCCTCATTCGTTGCGTGTCCGCGTCGCCTCCTTTCGTTCCTGCCCTTTCCCTCCCCCTCTCCTCGGACACGCAAGCTTGCCATCGATCCAGTCTTCCTGCAAGCCACACTCTCCTCTGTCGTCGGTTGCACACTTTCAACGACGATAAGTGGCAGAACAGCGCCTGCAGCCTCGAGGCAGAGAGGCGTCTCCCAGAATGCGCAGGTGCCGCGTTCGAATCGCTGCTCCCCGCTGGGACGCCGAACAGCTTCTGTGCACGTACTGCAGGCAGCAGCCAGCAACGCCAAGGCCTTCATGATGCCCGGCGTTCTATCAATGGCCTGCTCGACAAGACCGACTGGGCGCATTTAGCGTAAGCAGCTCATACCTCACAGCACCGGGAGCATTCTCTTACGCCTGCGCAAGTGCCGCACTCGTCGTTCCTTCGCTCGAGTCTTGCTCGACCAACGTTCAAGCCTTCGTTCACACCTTCTACGTCATCTGTTGTGTGTAGATCAAAGCCATTCGGTACGAGCTAGGCGAGAGATTCTAGAATCAAGGCCTTATCGAGCAAAAGAGGTGCACGACGCAGACCTCTGATCACGCCAAGGGCGGCTAGATGGGCGAGTGAGCTCATGGTTGGCGCGCCTTCGAGTCGGACTATGCGACCTTCGCTTGCCCCCGCGTCTAGGGGGCAGACCTGCTCGATTCCCCTGTCGCACGCCAGCTGCGGTGCGGCGTTCCACCGGCCATCACGCTCCGACTGTATGCCTGTCGACCTTGGACTGGGATGCCGAACTTGCTGATAGCAGTGTTTGCCTGCCCGTCTTTGTTGCCACGGAAGCAGTGCAGCAGGTGCAGATTCGCAGAGCCTCAAGCGGGTGATCTGCAGGTGGCCCGCATGCGAGCTTCTTCCTGAGGCGCACCAAGCACGACAGCTTGGCTGCACGCAGTTGACGGCAGCACAGACACGAGCTGGCTCGTGCAACTTCGTGCGACTTGTGCACGCTGGCCTGCGTTGCGAGATCTGTGTGCTCGTGCAGTCTGGCGCTGGGCTATATCGGGAACGTCGACTGGATCTGCTCGCAGTACAAATACAATCGCTCGAGCTCGCCCATCTACCAAAGTCGGGTGCCGTCCACTGCTTGCTCAACATCTCATACACCATCACCCTTCAAAGCTTTGCTCTCTTCTCTGACGACTTGCTCCAGACGTTGCTACTTTGACCATCTTGCCGCTGCTTCAATTCTCATCAGAAGATCCTCGACCAGCTTGCTCGTTTGTCGCAACTCCTCCTTGTGAAGCGAAGCTCCGCAAATGAGTGGGACCAGCTTCGACACCAGCTTCCCGCACTTCTCCCAAGATCACGTCGCCGACGCAGCCTGCAACGGTCCGGTTCTTTCTCAGGCATTCCGTTCCACCGACCTCAAGGCCACTTCCGAGTGCGTCGCTCCGTACAACTACATCGATCCCGCCAAGGCTCTCGGCTCGCAGCCCGTGGCTACCTTTGGACAGAACATCCTCTGCGGGACACAGAACCTTGCTTCGGCCTTGGCTGACAACCGATATTCCTCATGCGATGAAGACGCAGAAGGCGAGCCTGACGAGAGCTACAACGCAGAGCTCTCGTTCTGGTCGACCGAATCGGGCGACACGAGCGGATCCACGGCGACAACTTTTGCTCCTGGTGAAGCATCGTTTCCTTTTACCGAAAACTGTTCCGCTCTGGGTGGAGCGACGCCTAAAAGGACGGCGATGCACGGCGACATACCGATCGAGCTCGACTTGCCTCGTGAGGCGGACATCGCTGACCAATCCTCGAGATACGCGTCCGCTGGACTTCAGCCTCTAGCTGCCACCACCAGCGGCGCGAAACGATCGTCGAAGAGGAAGCGGAGAAGAAGCAGCCCCAAGAGGCTGACGGACTACTGCGCCTCGAACAAGGCGAGTCTCTACTCGGCACCGGCGAAGAGTAAAGCCGCAAGAAGCCGTACGAGCGCTTCGTCCTCCAAGCCTGCAGCTAACACTCGGGTCGCGGACATCAGCGAACGACAGTCGCCTGCGATTGGGTCGGATGGGCCTGGGTCCGGCGCAAGCGGTGTTTCGTCGCCATCGACGCCCTCGGGAAAGTACAAGCTGCGAAAGAAGGACGAAGTACCGCGACGCAGTCTGGCAGCTCTGCTCACGCCTCCTAGAGACAGGCGCGCTGAGTTCTTCGACGAGCCCTCTCAAGACGCCTGGAACTGGTCTGAAGCAGCCGCTCCAGAGCCCTCGATTGAAGTCGCTGCCGATAACGATCTTGCTACGGGAGAGTCAGCAGGTCTGGCACACAAGTCGGAAGCGGACGAGGTGCCAGAGATGGTGTTCGCCGACCTGGAAGAGACCGAGGATGTCAAGCCGGCAACGCTTGTGGACAAGGGTCAGCGAGTATTCCCTGCAGGCTGGGAGATTCACTCGGGATTTCCTCTGCTGTACCAGCGGTATTTTGTCCCCTCTTCCGTCAGTCCCGAGGTGTTAGAGATGCTCGTGCGAGGTCTTGGAGATGCCGAGTAAGTTCCATTCCGCGGTGACGATGAAGCCTCAATGACCTTTCTGGCTAATGGTTTCTCTGGGTTCTTGGTCGGTAGCTACGGCGACGAACTGCGCGAGACGGTCGATCGAGCGCAGAGCGTGCATGGCGCTTTCAACAAGCCACGATCGATCTTGGATCTGTACACGCCTCGCTTCGTCAAAGGCGTGGGGGTGGACAAGGTCGGCATGTGCCCAGTATGGTTAGTACTAGGCTCTACGAGTGAGCGCCGGATGAAGGCTGACTCTTATGTGTGGACGATAGCTACGAGGAAGGCAAGGTGCAGTTCTTCAAAACCAAGTTTTCAGGTAAGCCGTCTTGGACTGTCACCATGGCTATCCAACACTCCGCTGACGGCGCTATTGATGTCTGGTTTGTTCAGCCTACAACTATCATCTGCAGAACTTTCACGGCGTGTCTGCGCTGACGGGGTTGCCGTTTACGCCGCCTGCCAAGTTCCGGGTGCGGTCACAGCCGCATGCCAAGCCCAAGGAGCGCAAGCAGCTGATCCAGGGCCACTGCCACGGCTGCAATCGGTGGATCGACATGCAGGGTCCCAAATTGACCGACCTCAAGGTCGCCGAGATCTACTGGTGGAAGCATGCGCAGTCGTGCCATCGCAAGGCGCGTTTGCCGGAGGGCATCGCTGGGTACCTGGTCGAGAACCAGTGGTTCCACAGGGTGCATGCCGTGCTCGAGATGATCGGCGGCTACGACAGCGAGATCGACAAGCTTCTTGCTGGACCTAAATGAGCGCGGCATTCGTTGCGACTTGAACATAGACAGCCTTGTATGGCAGCAAGCGAAATAGAGTTGCGTTTTTCAAAGTGATCCCACGCTGAGCATGTTCGACGAGTGCAGATGTGAAATTGAATGTGAATGCGATGCGAGAGCTAGGAATTGGGTGACAGTGAGGGAATCAACGTGCGGATGTTCGCCATGGCGACTGACGTACGGCATCATAAATACCCTGCGGACCCAGTCTCTGGTAATCCTGATACCACCCCTCCATCCTGGTCCTTAGAGCTGCAAACGCCACGAGCGCAACAAGCACGAGCAAATACAGTGTGATGATCGACTGGTCTTTGTAGCTGTCTCTCTCGAAGCACTTTGCCCACACATCCCCCTCGAAGCCTGTCCCCACATCGTGGTCGGTATGCTCGAGCTTTGCGCCCTTGCAGATATCCAGACTCTGGTCGAGGCAGAATTGGCGCGTGCAGGTGCCGCAAGGCTTGGAGGGGTCAGCAGGAGCATAGAGGGGCACCAGCGTAGAGTTGGTCTGGAAACATGTGCACTTGCACAGATGAAGCTGGCGCGTCTGTCGGCCTACAACCGCCGGGGTATCGCGTCCAAGTAGGTGCGGGTTCAAAGCGTTACCTGATACAGGCACAACCAGACCAATTAGGAATGTGAACAGCGTGAGAAGTGTCAACATCACCCCCGAGGTGCCGAGGCGCGGAGAGCGTGAGCGCGAGCGAGAACGTGAACGTGAACGTGCCGCATTACCCCCCGAGGCAGGTGTGGATACGATCGAGAACGTCTCGTCATCGTCTGTCGCCTGATGCTCAGGTTGAGCGAGGACGCCGGCATCGGGCTGCGACAGCATCTCGGCAAATGCGTGCCCGAGCTCGGCACTTATCGCGGACTCGGCTGCAGGCTCTTGCACAACATCGGAGGGTGAGGGCGTCGCTTGCGGGGCTACGGAAGGTGCTGGCTGTGCACGTACACGAGCAAGCTCGTCCAACATGCCTTCGATCAGCGACTGTCTCTGCTGCGCTAGGGTGCTGGCGCTCGTTGCATCCTCCGCCTGCAAAGGAGTATCAACAGGCTGTGCCGACGCTTGAGGAGCGGCGAACGCGTGATTCTCGGTAGAGCTGGAGGTGGCTGCCGGGGACGGAGCCGAGAATGCGTGCGCAGAACGCGTGCCCTGTCCAGGAGAGATGCCACCACTGACGCTGTGGATCGAGTGGAGTGCCTGCGGGATGGCTGACAGGATGAGGCTGGACGAGACGACGGGCAGATCGCGCGAGACAGGCTGGAGCGCTTGGAGGACGGAACCGGCGATGTCGTTCGCCAACGCGGAAGCCGATGCCGAAGCGGCATTGAAAGTCTGTTGCTGCGGTGCTGTCGTGCTGGCATTGTTTGTCTGTGGACACGGTGCTGCGGGCGCCGACGACGATGGAGTAGGCGTCGTCGAACGCATAAGAGGTGGCTCGGCTGCATGCTCAGAGAATGTTGCGGGATGGTTAGCAGCGTCGCAATGCTGAGCGCTAGGCGGTGAAGCGCTAGTGGAGGAAGTGGGAGTTGACGACGCCCAAGTGACCGATTGCGAGGGCCCGGGCGTCGACAGTTGCTCTTGCGCTGGCGTGTCGATCAGAACCTTAATGTGGACCGAATCCATTGCGTTGGGAGTGCCAGGATCCTGCCGGAGAGCGTTTGGCCTGCCTAGCCAGGCGAAATGGGCGCGGGCCCAGTCGTGCCAGTCGTCGTGGTCCTCGACGAGGACATTTTGATTGCCAATAGAGATGCTGAGCGCACGAATACGGTCGATCGAGATGCCCCACCTCAGTGCGATTTGCTGCTTGTACTTGGGCGCGCCTCCCCATGCATGCGATCGAGGCGATTTGATCCTGGCAGATAGAGTGATGCATTTGACCGACGGCGCTTGATGGGCGGCCAGGAGCGCTTGCAAGTCAGGCCGAGCCGATGGTGGCAGCGAGACGTATGCTGGAAAGGTGACCACGCCGTCGTCGTAGTACACATGAAGCATGCGATCTCCTGAAGCCATGGCTACGAGGTTGCAGCTGGTGCTATGCTGCTGTGAGTTGGCAAGAGGAGTGGCGGTCTGATGGTGTTGGATAAAGCTCAGCTGCGGACCCTCGCGTGCGCAGCAAAAGTGGGGTCCTCAAACACTCTAACACGGGTTCAATTTGCGAACAACTGCAGCTGGCCTGTGCATTCGCCCGAGCCAAGAGGGGCAATTGGAAAGAGGGTGCGGTGCGGTGCGGTGCGCGTTGGGAGAGTGGAACGCGAACGCACTGCACAGCGTCTGCACAGCACAGCGCATCACACCCGGCACGTCTCAATCCCGATTTGGCACAGCCAGCAGCAGCACACCGCCGACAGCAGTGAAATTAGCGTAGATGGAGGCTGAAAGCAACACCTGCCGTTCAGCCCGGCAGATTTCATTCTCGACCGCTCTCGCTTCCGCCCATCCCATTTGCACCACCACCATCACACCCTTATCACCTTCCTCAGCTTAAAACAAGCGACACAAATCAAGATGGACCAGTGGAAGAAGTTCACCAGCAATGTCGGACCTCAGTTCCAAAACATCGGCAAGACCTTCGGCAACCTCAACCAGCAGGCTCGCGAGCGCTTCGGCGCCGTCGACCAGGAGGACATCACCGAGCTGCCCCAGGAGTACAAGGACCTCGAACGCCGCGTCGATGCGCTCAAGGCCGCCCACACCGGCCTCATGAAGGTCGCCAAGGTCTACGAGACCGAGAGCTACGACTACCCAGTGAGTATCGCTACCCTGCCCGTACATGCAGCAACGCCTGGAATGTCTGCTGATAACATCCCTCTGACTCTCGCATCGACAGACTCAGCTCCAGGAGAGCATCACCCAGCTCTCTGCCAGCGTCGGACACAGCGTCACCTCGTGGGCTGCCAGTGCCACGCGCGGCACCAACCTGCCCAAGGTCTCGCCCACCGCGCGCCCGCAGAAGGTCAACAAGACGCTCCACCACGCCCTCTCGCGCGCTGCCGCCAGCGGTGCGCTCCAGCTCGGCGCCGACGCCTCCAACCTGTCCGGCCTGCCCAACCTTGAGACGGCGCAGGCGCCCGGCTCGGACGCGCCCGTCAAGGACGACTCGAAGCTCGGCGAAGCGCTCCAGAAGTTTGCCATCGCAGAGGACCGTCTGGGCAACGCGCGCTTGACACAGGACGACCAGATCACGCAGGGCTTCAACGTGCCTTTCAACTCGTTTGGCGCCCAGATCGCGCTCGCCATGAAGGCGCGCCAGAACGTCACCGACGCACGCCTCCACCTCGACAGCTGGAAGCAGTCGCTCAAGACCGCCGAAAACGCCGGCGCCTCCGCAAAGCTCGAGCAGTACCGCAACGACGTCGAGCAGGCCGAGGACAAGCTCGTCGCCTCCACCGAGGAGGCCATCAGCCTCATGAAGCAGGTGCTCGAAAACCCAGAGCCCATCAAGAGCCTCAGCGCTTTTGTCAAGGCGTACGTACCCGGTCCCACATGGCATCTTCACACAGCGCTTCTCACTGACATTTTTCTTGACCTTCCTTTGAATCCTGCAGTCAAGCCGAGTACCACGCTGCTGCGGCCGAGCTGCTCTCGTCGGTGCAACAGGAGCTCGCGCAGCTCGCCACCTCGGTCGAGAGCGACTACCGTCTGTCGCGCGGTTGATCTCGCTCTCGCGCCACATGCTCATGTATGGAACCAGCACACGCAACTATGTGTATATGACGCTATTCTCTTTGGCAGCATGTTTCGAGTTTTTGGCCTAAGCAGGGATGGCGAGGCCGGCGTCGCGCCATGCCTGTTCGACCACGCTGCGCAGACGCTGGAAGGCGGTGTCGATCTGGTCGAGGGGGACCTGGCTGAAGCTCGTGCGCACATACGCGCTGGGCGTGCGCGTGTCGGTGGGCGGCTTGAATGCGATGCCTGGCAGCGCGAGCACGCCGGCAGCCTTGGCCTTGTTGCTGACCAGATCGTACGAGTCGCCGTCGGCAGCGCCTTCGCCAGAGGGGGGAAGCTTGAGACGGATCCAGAGGAACATGCCTGCCGTCGGACGCACCCAGTCGGCGACCGAGGGCGACGCCCGCAGGATGCTGTCTGCCGATGCCTCGAATCGTTCCAGTCGGTCCTATTCCCAGCGAAAGATGAGACTTGGTCAGTGAATGTAGAGGTGGACGGTAGGATGAAAGGGAGATCGCATACCTGGTAGAAGCGCGCGACCGAGTCGGCATGGTGCAAGAATCCGTCCATGCCCCACCTGCTAAGCAGTGCATATGCGATGGCCTGACTCGTTCCCGACGTCTGCAGATTGCGACTGCTCGTATCGAGATCAATCGCATCCAACAGCTCCCTCGGGCCCGTGATGAAGCCCAGCCTCAGACCGGCACTGAGGATCTTGCTAAAGCTGTCGAAGCGCAACACCCTTCCGACATTGTTACCGTCTTCGAGTTCGAGCCGAAAGTAGCTTTTTCCCCTCGCCCGCGTGACGGGGTCGGCATCCGCACTCAGTCCGGCAAAGCTGAGAAAGTAGTACGGATCGTCTTCGAGCAGCAGCAGGTTGTGTTTGCGGATGACGGCGAGTACGGCACGCTTGCGCTCGTCCGAAGCGCTTGTGCCAGATGGATTCGCACCTGTCGGGGTCGTGTAGAGGAACTTGGGAAAGGGAGCGCCTTGTGTGGCGGGGGCAGTGGTCCAGTTGGAAAGCAGCTCATCAAGAGCATGCGGCTCAACACCTTCCGAGTCGGTGGCTGCTTCAAACATGCGTGCCTTGTGCGCCACCAGGCTCGGCAAAATCCCCCTGCACATCCAACACCATCAGCCGACTATCTCGTGTACTTTGCGAGTTGGTAGGAGAACTTACGAGTAAGCAGGGCTTTCTAAGACCACCGAGTCACCCGGATTGACGAGCGCCTCGAACGTCTTTGTGAGGAGATCCTGGCTTCCATTGCCGAACGAGCACCTCCACACTTTACCGGCGCCCTGTTCGTTGGCCACCAGCGGCCGGGCATGGATCTTGCTCTGGAACGTCTGGATCCACTCGACGAGCTTGGGGATTCCGCTCGTGGCCGAGTACTGCAGCGCGACATCCAAGTCGCCACCCTCGATCGCAATCTGCTCCGGTGCTGCGTCGGGCTGCGCCGGCTTGAGCTCAAGCACGATGCGCTGGAAGGGGAACGTGTCCGAATTCGGCTTGCCCGACAGCAGCGACACCATGCCCGGGATGAGCTCGGCGGGGAACAGCGAGCGGATCGCCGAAGGCATCCGGTTGCGCGCCGTATCAGACAGCAGCGATGTATAGTCCATCTTGAGTGAATTCGAGTGAATGTAATGGATACAGAAGATGCGGGGTGAGCCGGCAACGGACGCGCCTTATATTGCGCACGGACATGCACTTGTCGGTGGTGAGGGCGCGCTGCAATTGTCGCCGACCAAATCCCCCACACATGTCACTCACCTCATCAACCAACACTCGAACAGCACTCTTCCACCACGACCTCGCAGGCAAACTGTCGATGCCGTGGTCTATGCTGAGAACGCCCCGCACAGGAGTCACAACGAGCTCGAGCGCAAAGTTGCAGAGCATGCGCCCGTCGGGAACACGCCGAATCGTTCGGCAAAATTCCGACGCCGCATCCCACGACTCTCCCTCTCCACTTCCTCGTCAGCTCTTCTCAAGCAGACCGACCATCAAACTCACAGACAGCCTGTATGATGAAAATGCAAATGGATTGACTGGCTGCCTACAGCTCCCACCGGCCGTACATGCGGTCAAACAAGCTCATGATGGTCCACTTTCGGTTCTCGGCCTCGGGGAAGACGATGGAGCGGTCCGAGTAGAACACCTCGTCGTCCACCTCGTCGCCCTTGCGCGGCAGGCAGTGCATGAACTTCCAGTCGGGCTTGGCGCCGCCCGCCTTGGCCATGGCCTCGGTCACCTGGAAGCCCTTGAAGTCGCGCAGCCGCTGATCCTTCTGCGCCTCGTCGCCCATGCTGATCCACGTGTCCGTGACGATGATGTCGGCATCGCGCACCGCCTCGGCCGGGTCGTTGGTCCAGTTGACCTGGCCCAGCGCAACAGGCGACGAGCCCGACTTGCTGAGTGCCGAGAGGCCGTCCTGCATTGTACCCCACACGAGCTCGTCGCGCTGGTACGCGGCGCCCTTGGGCGTGGCCACCGAGAGGTTGATGCCCAGACGCGGATAGGCCACAAGCATGTCGTTGAGGATGTTGTTGCTGTCGCCCACCCAAGCCACCTTGAGGCCCGCGAGGCCGGTGAGGTCGCCGGGCGTGGCCGAAGGCGCATACACCTCGAGCATCGCCTGCAGGTCTGCGAGGATCTGCGTCGGGTGGTAGCGCGCCGAGAGCGCATTGATCACCGGCACCGTCGAGTGCTTTGCCAGCAGCTCCACCTCGTCGTGACCCGCCACACGCGCCATGATACCATCCACCATCGAGCTGACCACCTTGGCGGTATCGTACAGGCTCTCGTTCACGCCGAGCTGGATATCCGAAGGCGCCAAGAAGAGTGCCGAGCCACCGAGCGATGCGACACTCGTCTCGGACGCAACACGAGTACGCGTGCTGCGCTTGCTAAAGATGATGGCCACCGACTTGTTCTTCAGGCTCTGCGGGATGGGAGACTCGCCTGCGCCGAGCTGCTTGCGCGACGCTGCGGGAAGCGCGAGCGAGGTGCTTCGGAACGCCTGCTTGAACTCAATTGCCGACTTGAGCACCGAGCCAATCTGGGCGGGCGAGAGCTCGGCCAATGTCAAGAGATGCGGCGGCGTACGTGCCGCCTTGGCTGCCGACGTCGAGGCGAAGCGGCACACCGCCGAGCCACCCGAGAGTGCGGTGCGCGAAAGGGTGTTTACCGCTTGTCGTCCGGTCATACTGTCGCAGGTTGTGTGAGTGTGATGTTAGGAAGAGAAGATGTGGTGATGAGGCTAGGAAAATCACAAGGCGTCGTTTCTTCTTATTCCAACGCTTGGCCCCAACGCTCACGGCTAAATTTCACCCACTCCATCCCAACAGACTGGAATTTCGAGTCACAGCCAACCAGGCCTGCAGAGCGCGAGCGATAAGATTGCACCTCGCGCTCCAACCTCGCGCCCACACGTTCAGGCCGTGATTGGCTCAAGTACTGACTCACCTTAGACAAACCCGACGCACATCCACTTCGCATCACTCGCTACGAAGCTCCTTCTCATCGCTTCTGACTCGCTCTCACAAGCACGCACGCCTGCACGCACAGCGAAACTTTTGAGTGGGGAAAGATTCATGAATCGACGACGACGACGTGTATCTGTACATGCGGCGAACAACGCACTCGAGACCACAGGACCCGAGCACGCGACACCGAAAGTATGGCCCACTCATCTGCCCAGCTCAAATGAGACTGTTTCAGACGAGAGAGACCAGTGTGGGATAGGAACGAATGCAGTATTATACGGGGAATGGTAACAAAAGAAACTTGCGTATGCGGACGGTGCAAAAGCGGACCAGGGATGGGAGGCAACGACAATGGCAAGATGCTGAGGATCTTGAACGCGGCGCGCGCCCGATACATTATCGTATCGGACGGCCGCCCCGTCATGGCGTAGGGTAGCAATCCGTGGAGGGAGATGGACCGGAGGGGGGAAAGCAAGCGGAGCCGGCCCGACGCGGACGTCGAGCTAATTATAAAACAGTGTAGTCGGTAGTAGGAAGGGGGGGGTATCAATACAGGTGAGGGGACAAGGAGAGACGGCCTTTACATGCCGGTAGGCGACGACGACTGCTGCTGTTGCTGCTGCTGCTGCAGCGCCTGCGTCAGCTGAGATGGAGGCGTCGAGATTGTTGGCGTCTGACGTGCCTCGCTCTCCTCCTTGCGTGCCGCCGCGGCCGCCGAAGCAGCGGCGGCGGCGGCAGCAGTGGCGGCAGCGTTCTTGGCGGCCTGCGCCTGGATCTGCTCCTGCGCTAGCTGGGCGGCCTGGGCAGCCGCAGCGATCTCCTCCTGGCTCAGCGTGCTCGTAGAGACGGGAGCACGGCCGGTGGCGTCCACCTTGGCGCTTGCACCACCGCCCGACTGCAGAAGCTGCAGGCCGAGCAGACCATGGGAGCCCGAGTGCAGGTAGTGGTAACGCAAGCCGTTGAGATTCTTGTAGCGCTTGCCACAGGCACCAACCTGGCAAATGTAGAGGCGGTCGCCCAGCGCAATCGGCGCCTGCGTTGCCGGGCTCGCCGGGTCGGGAGACGCGTTGGAGCTGCCGCCTGGCGACGTGGGCGAGCCCGTCGACGTGCCGGCGGCACCATCCTCGCCCTTGACACCGTCGCCCGACTCGGGCTGCGGCGAGGTCTTGGTCGAGTTGGTGGTGATGTGGATGGTCGGCGGTTGCGCCGCGGCCTGAGCAGTGATGGGCAGGTTGTTCTGGTTGCAGTGGCCGTGCAGACGGTGGTACTTGAGGCCGTTCATCTGCTTGTAAGCCTTGTCGCATCCGGGCGCCGGGCACTTGTAAGGCTTGTCGACGTTGGCGGCGCCGGCGCGAAGCGCGTTCTCGAGGGCGATGGTGGAAGCGTTCGACACGGCGCTCGTCTTCTCACGCTTGGCAGGTGGCTGCGACGACGACGCCGACGACGAGGATGCGGTGCCCGAAGCCGGGAAGAAGAGATTTGGCGGAGCGCACGAGGGGAGGTGGTGCTCGTCGGCGTTGCTGGATCGGATCGAAAGCGCCGAGAAGGCTGCAGGGTTGAGGCCATTGGTGAAGAAGCCGTCGTTCTCCGAGTCGAGGCAAGGGGTGCCTGGGATGGAGCTGCCCGGTGTAGAGAAGGGAGAGTTGGGGGCATAAATGTTGGGGGAGCCAGGCGTCCTGCGACCGACACCGCCGTCGATGAGCGCCCTTCTCAAGGACTGGTGGATAGCACCGTTGGGGTTGGCCGACGATGCGTTGGCATACTGGCCGAATGACCGCTTCTTGCCCTTGGGGAGCGACGGCGATCGCATGACCGCAGTGTCGAACGCCGAGGCCTTGTCCGTGTCATCGAGACCGGTAGGGGTGGTGGCATTGGAGTCGGTGGCAGCGGCAGAGGATGTGGCGGTGGCGGCGGTGGCGGCGGCCGAGGTGGAGCCGGCGTTGGAGGTGCGCGGGCTGGATGGCTGCGAAGTCGAGGCGGTTGACGAGTCGGAAGACTCGACCTCGTCGTCGGCGATCATGGCAGGCATATCGTCGTCCTCGAAGCGAACGTGGCATTCCTCGTAGTGCTGCAGAAGGTCATGGAGGTCGTCGAGCTTCTGGCCGCAGCAGGTGAAATTGCGGCAGAAGGTAGACTCGAGACGCACCGACGAAGGCGCGACGGTAACGTCCGACTCGGTCGATGTTCCGAACTTGGAGATCGAGTAGTCCATAATTCTGTGAGGTTCAAGGTGTGGTCGAGGTGTCACAGACGTCAGACTTTGTTCTTTCAAAGAGCGGATGTGGTGACGCGAGAGCGCGGTGGAGCTGTGGCGCGGTGGCGAGGAGACTGGTACTTACTCGGAGACGTCCTTGCCAAAGGAGACGGCCATGGGCTCCCTGTAGCTTGCGCTGCCAACAAAGCTGGACGAAGCGCGCGGTGTGAGGCCTCCAGGGCGCTGGAAGCTGTATGAGTCGAGGCGGCCAGGGGCCTGTGCGATGGGGATGGGTGCCTGCATGGTGAGAGCGAGGGCTTATGCGGACGGTTGTGAGTGGCGAGGGTGTGTGCTAGCTCCGGAGATCACTGAAGATCGGGATTGGAGCTGCGAGAGATGATGGGGGTCGACACACAACGTTGCGTGGCAATGTGGGTCGGTGCGGTATGCAGGGTTGAGGCAATGCAGGAATCAGGCAGGAGCGCAGATTCGAGAGAGGCCGATGGTAGGGTAGGGTGATAATACGAAGATGATGTAGTGTGAATGTAGAGAGGAGGAGAGGCTGTGGGGATGGGTGTCGTTGGAGAGGATGGCAAGGAGGGGGGGATAATATGGATCAATGGAGATGCTTCCTTGACGGGAGCTTTTGGGGCATGCGGGTCGCTGAGTGGTCAGGTGCGCGGAGAGTGGCAATCAACGTGTGCTGTTTGGCTGCGAGCAGGGGCTGCAATGTGCCTTTGGGAAAGTAGGGTAGGGTAGAGGTAGAGTAGAGTGAGGTGGGTAGGTGCGAGGTGCAGGAGGGATAGGGATGGGAGGCGGACGAGAGAGGTGGGTGCTATGCGTATGTAGGAGGGTGGGTGTATTGGGTGTGTGGGCTGGCTGGCTGGGTCGACCGAGCCGCAGCGAGATGAGGTACGTTGGGCGGCGTGCAGCGAGCGCAGCAGAGCGCAGCAGAGCGAAACAGCAGCGCAGCGCAGCGCAGCCGCAACAGCGTCGTTGGACTCTGGAAGAATCACGCCGCTGGGAAGAACGGCGGCGGGCACAGGCATCACAGCAGAGGTGAGGCGAGAAGGATGGCGGTATTGCGCACACGGCGGAATGCCCAGCTCGAGGCAAGTGTGAGATGCGCTGAAACAGCCCAGGGTCGAAGGCGAGCGAGACGGAGAGCGCGCGCGCGCGCCTGAGGTAAAGCTGCGCAATTCACGGCCCAGCCCAGGGGCACACGGTCGAAGGGAAGCCACGGCTGAGCCGAGCCATCACTGCCAAAGTGCCCTTTGGCGAGGGTGTAAGGGCGGCATGGGCACCTGGGCAGAGGCGGCGGATTTCAGAGACGTCGGCCATGCAGCGCGAGCTTGTGAGCCGCAGAGAACCTGGGTGAGGTGCATGCACGCGCAACTCGGTCACGGCTCCATTCGCCAATGACAGGCCAACTTTTTTTTGGCAGATTTGGAAGAATTGAAACCGGAGCAAGCTCGCATGCGCTTGATCTGCACCTCGAAAAGATTCACACTGCTCGGATGCCTCGTGGACCGATGCGAGTGATGACAGAGCTCTCCTTAGGCTGGCGCTGGCGAAGGGGCCCGGCAGAATGGCCTCGCCAACCTTCCACCGCCAAACGAGTTGGCTCACTGCTTGAGCTCGGTGGCAACACACGGAGCTGGTGCGGCGCTTCACTGGCGCAAGCCGATGGAGACGCCCGGCTCGCGCGCGCGGATTTAGGCTCGTCGCCCGAGCATGGAGCAGGTCGAGGGGACCGTGGGAGCTTGAGCTTGGCTTGGCTTGCCCTTTGTGTGTTCCCTCTCGCCTTTGTGTCGACTGACCAGCACGGCCATCCGAGCATCGCAGCGTGACGGAGTATTGAAAGTGGCTGATGGCTGCTGGCTGCTGGTTGCTGGCTACTGGCTACTGGTGGCTCGCTTGCGGAGCGGTTCGCCTGGCGAGCAGTGTTTGCAGATGGCATCCGAAGCCGCGAGAGGATTCCTCGAGGCGCGGCGTGCAGCAGCTCGTCGAGCCGGGTTGCGCTCAAGCCGCTTGGCAATTGGTCCCAAAAGGTCAGGCGCAGATCCCCAGCGCCACCAACGCAGTGATGCCTACCCGAGCTCTCGCCCACATTGCCAGACCCCGCTCGCCCTTTTGGCTCGGAGCTCCTCCTCCTGCCTAGCTTGCGCACGGTACTACGTCGAAAAACATGGTTCGTATGTGTAGGGCTCGGACACGGATACGAGATATTGCACTCTCATTCCGCACTGCCGGTAGCTTACGAAACAATGCTCATTGTGCGTTATGAGTCCAACTTTCATGCGGTTGGTGGGCAGGGCGAAATGATCTCCTACAGCGCTCCACGGCAGCGGTGAGGCGCAGCCAAAAGCCATCACAATGAAAGCGCTCCACGACCGATGGATCGGATTCGACGGAGCTGTGCCGTGAGCCGTGTCATCGCGGAGCATTTGAGCCAACGAAATTGGTCGGGCGGAAGAGCCCACAACATTGAAGCTTCGGGAAATTGCGCACCGACGAAGGGCCCCACCCACCGACCAGCCCACTCACGGCTCACAGCCGAGGCTCGCCTGAATTCCACGGTGCTCAGCGCAAGAAGCCATGCTGCTCGTCCCAAATTGAGCCGGCGTCGGGCGACACTGAAGCTTCGCCTGCCAATGCGACCTGCGTTATGCGGAGGGCTAAGTTAGCGTGGCATTTGCAAAAGGGGTCCCATCAAGCTGGGACCGGCGCGAAAGTGCGAATTCTGGTTTCACTTTGCATGCAGGAATGCAGAAAATCAGCCGAAATTTGCAGCGCGGAGCGTCGCACGTCTCTGCTCCGGCTCAACTCTCTCGCTGGCGCTTGGCTCCGAGTTTCGGTTCATTTGGGAGAGAGACTGGTGGGGCTCGCCAGCGGTCTTCATCACTGCCCAAGTGCATGAACGAGATGGCCGCTCTACGATCCCATTGTTCTCGCTGTCGTCGATGAAGATGGCGGCGGGAATGTCCCGACGTAGCGGAGGGAGGGCCGCTCGCCATTGTGTTGCTACTTGCCACGCCTGCTGGTCCGCTCCGGAGCAACTTGCATCACTGAGACTCGTTGCGTGTCTGTCGCCTGGATCCGAGGTCACGCTGGAGACGCATCCGTGTCAATGGAGCGCAGGCCCGCTGGTCACGAACAACGTCGAGGTCAGTGCGCCCCTCCTTTCGACGGAGCCGCGCGACACTCGCGCCATTGTCTTCGCTTTCACTTCGCAGCGGCGCATCAAGAAAGCTTGCGCCGCTTGGACCACGAAAGAGAATGCAGGGTGCAAGGCAGGTCCAAAGGCGAGCAGCAGGGACCCGCCATCAGCGTCGCAAGCCAAGACCGTCACCAAAGCCAGCAGCGGAGCTGCGACAAGAAATCCTGCGATCCTCAGCAACATGAGCGGGATCTTTTGTGCCTTTTGCAGCCGACCAGAGCGTGTGTGAGCTAAACCGAAATTGGCCGCACTGGTGGGATGCATGCATCCGAAATGATGCGCCGCTCTGCGACTGCTGGGCCATGGTCAAAGCTCGGGCCCTGGCGCTGGCGATTGATCGAAATTGGTCTTGGACCTGCAGAATGGCGGAGTTGCAATTCCAACTCGCATCTCTCTCTTCCACACACACACTCTCTCTCTCTCCCGCTTGCTCTCCCTCTGCCTGCAATGAATCGTCGAAGCCGCGCATGTGGCCACGCTGCGGCAGGATCAGCCTGAGACCATGGGAGCTGCGCAGCGCTGCAGGGTTTGAGCGAAAGAAGCTTGCCTGCGTGCGTGGCCGCGCTCGCGAAACTTTGGTCTGCCACCAAGCGAGGGCAACGCAGTGCAATGGTGCAGCTCCGCTGGTTCCGCGCAGGTGCAAAGTGGCCGACGGAGCTTTTTCGCCTCGCGATGCCTCTGGGCAAGAAGCCGTGCCAGATCAGCAACACTGGCTTGGAGCCAGGCTGCCGCCTGTGCGTTCGTGTGCCCATCCACTCTCCCGCGCTCCCGTCCGCGTCATCTGCCCATCATACAAACACACAACCGCCAAGCTGGCTCGTTGCCTCTCCACGTCGGCCGTGCTCACTGCCAGCGCTGCTGCTCGCTTCACTACGGTCCCACACGGGCCAGCTTGACTCACACCCTGCTCTCCAGCCTCATCTTCCGGTCTACGAGATCTACCGATTATCCGACTCATATGCCGAGCCTTGATTGCGACAACGAGCTATGCAGCTGAGACTGAAACCGTGTAGGCCTGGCTGGGTGGTGGTGGGGTGCATCTCCAAAAGCCGTCGGCCAGTCGACCTCTCCGATCGCCAGACGTCACGTCTGGCCAGCGTCACGTCTGGCCAGACGTCACGTCTGGGACGGGTCGAAAGCGGGGCGAGGCGACAGTGCCGATAAGAAACGTGCCGCTCCTACACCAGCGTCCCAGGGCGACCCAAGACGATGGTGTCTCGAGGTGGTTGGTCAACTTTCCCCAACGACCCCCCACCCGGGTCTCAACAAAGGTGACGCTGTTGTTTTCGCGAACGCGAACGCCTATCCTTCGTATTTATCAGGGCTGAACCAACATGCGATGCTCTTATCCGCGCGCACGGTCGCTCGAAAACACACGAGTCCTGACAGAGGTCGCGCCAAGTGGCCGATGAGGCCCATGCATCGCCATCTGTGCAAAGCCGAGGCTATTGTCTGCGGTCAGCGGTCAGCGGTCATTGGTGACGAGCGCAGACGAGCGCGTGCGGCGAGTGATGTGCTTGCACGCGGTATCTACTGTAAGCTGAGCGGTGGGGCGGCTCGGCAGAACGTCGCGACTCCTATGTACGTCTCCACTAGCTTACCGCACATTCCGCTCGGATTGCCAGCCAAGGCCGTCGTGTCTAGCTCGGAAATCCAGCTGGAGTGGATTCGCCAGCCGAGGTGTGACACCGCGCTCGAAATCCACCGGGGCACGACGGAGAGAGCCGTCGACGAGTACCAGTCAGCCGGGCCTTGGTACTGAATGACCGCACCGGCTCGCTTAGAGCTGCCGGCTGGTCGCCAAACGGCGCTCCAGAGTGGCGCTCGGCCAACTGCAAACATCGCTTCGCCTCGGCGTGCTGGTTTGGCCCGCGCTGACGCGTCTCCCGCAGCTTGTGCCGTCAACGCCTTTGCCACCCGGCCTCTTGCCAGCACGCTGCCCTCCGTGCGAACCCCACGCACCGGCCAACTTGCTCGGACCATGGATGCGTGAGCGTCCGTCGGGCTCCCGGCATGAACGCAGCTGATAGAGACGCGTCATGCCGGCTCGCTCTCAGAGTACTGGAGGTCGTGGCGAGGTGGC